GGAAGCGGACAAACTGACATGCATATGACCGTGGTCTTCTCAGATCCCAACGGCGTGGTAAACGCGTGGATGGTAAGGGCATGTCACTTATTGAACCCGTTGCACGCACATTAACCGCCTCAGCTTTCTCGATGTGTAGGTGACACAACATGCTCTGTGCATCTTTGGGTCCGGCTAGCTCGTCCTGTTGGACCGCCGCTTCCTTGTCTACCACGTATAGGAGGCTAGTTGCATGGTCAGGACCACGGGGAAGGGCCAAGTATTGCTCTAGTGTTAAAGATAGCCAGTAGAACCTGTTTCAGGGACTCAACAGGGCGGGTAGGCTACATCGGATCACAGCATTACGAGTTACAGTACTCGAGAGAGAAGAGCATCATGGTACGGCGGTACTATGGGCTATGGCTATGGCTTGATGCTATGCCTCGGGTGTACCTCCTGAGGACGAGAACGCACTGCATGCCGTCCCACGCGGGGTCCTGCGTGTCATTCGCATTTTTGGACCAGGATTTGATTTCCCCCGAGGATGAGGCGGCCCTTAGTAAGTAGTGTGTAGAAGGAAGGTGGCCATTAGAAATTTACTCCGCAGTCTCGGCCCCGCCGCCCCCACTCGGGCCGTGACTCGAGGCGGTGCAGTGTCGGATCGGTGAACTCCTATGCCGGCCGATGCACGGCCTGAACGCCACGGTGATGAGGGGCAGATGTATGTCTCTGACCAGCTTTTTCCAGCCCAGCAAGGGGGGGTTCCCCGGCCATACTTCTGCGCCTGCATAGGATAGGAGAAGGGATGTCCGGCTACGATCGCACATCGCATGCTTACTTCTCACTCTTAATAAAGATCAGATGATGCACGTCGCCATTGTTGGCTTTTCAGCCCTTATCCAAGGCTGACGAGTATCCCAGTCCAGCGTGGCCTAGACCCATCTTGGATACGACGGCAGATGCACAATGAATCTAGAGCTTGTTTCCGATGGCCTGTTTTTTGAAACCTGCGATACTGGAATAGGCGGGAACATGTCAATTATCAGCCCCCATAGCTCAGTTGGTAGAGCGCGGCACTAGTATGATTCGCGGTCACGTGATCTGACATGCCGAGGTCTACGGTTCAACTCCGTATGTGGGCATATCCTTTTGTCTTGTGAGGCGTGTTTTTTGATAACGGATTCTGTTGATGATAGATTGAGTTCGTGGAGGGCGGGGTCACGAGATGCTCTTTGTTTTGTTGTGTTCTTGCTTCACTGGAGAACACGTCGATTTTCCACATACTAGTCTTGAATGCTCCTTCCCTTTTGAATCCGCACGAGTTTCACGGTACTTTAATAACCAGAGTAAATTGCACAGACACAATTAATTATAATCAACGACGAAGGAAGTCTAGATCATTTTCTTGTAGAACAAACTACTGAGATTACTACTCCATAAGGACTTACACTATTTCTCCGCATTTGGTCCCTCTAAGTCACGTGCTGGTGACGACAGAATCCGATTATGTTTATCTGGTCTTGTTGGGCCAATCACAACCCTTTCCACAGGATAAAACGAGCGAAACTTTACAGAAAATGAAAAAAATGTAAACGGACTTGGCTATTGGTGCCGCCTAAAATATCGGAAGAGGGACTGTCCATAAATAATAGTGTGTTTACAGGCAAACGCTATTTCCATACAGACGTTTAATCACTTCAGGGCTGGATTCCGTTATCATTCTCTTTATTTACGAAAACGTCTTATCCCCCCCCAAAAAAATTATTAAGAGGGGAAATAGGAGCAGGCTGGGCCAGTGCGCTCTTTCACTTTAATCGGAAAAAGTCACGCGCATAGCGTATACGCGACGACGCGAACCTGCCACTTTGATTACAGACCCAGACAGGAATTTCACCCAACTAAACAAACCGGAGGCATGAGTCGTGCAACAAACTAGACTTTATTGTCCAACACACATTCACCAACCCACTAGAGCCTCAATCACAAAAACTATCCCAAAGTTTGTACAAGTCATCGGGGCGCAAGAAGGAGCCAACTCTTGATTGCCGCAGATTGATGTAAGAGGTCCGTATTGAGCGAATCCAGTCCTTTGATGGTTTCCGGGTACTGTCTTAGATGACCGCCACTGGCGCAGAACCCCCAAACAACACTTCCCTGCGACTACCCATCCAGACTCAAATAAACCAGTCTGTCGCTCATACTAATATACTATTGTTAGGACTTTGACAATACAACTACAGGCGACACAATGCCACCTTCCACGAAACGCACCCAGCGTGCCAAACGTGGGCAGCCCATCAACCATTCTGACGACATGGATACTACCTTGACGTCCCCAGCGCAATCCGCGAAGAGAAGAAGGGTGAGCATGAGGTTTATCTTGTTGAGGGAAACTGCTAACTCGCTCGAAGACAAAGGCCGAGATGAACAAGTCCGAAACACGCGCCCCGGAGCCTGTGAAATTGCCCACCAGCCAAGCAGAACTGAACATGAGCGACGAGGACCTGGTGTCGACCGTATCACAACATCTGTCTATGCCAGATCACTTCGTTCAAGTTGCGCGCGACCATGACAATCATCACCACCAAAGACAAAGCAAGAACGTTGCTGCGTACGCCAAAGTTACCGGAAAGGACTGGACGTTCTACGTCAAGCGTCTCCGGACCAACATTGGGCGACCACCAGAAGGATATATCGCACCTCTCCAGGACGAGAACGCCCCAACTACCCCGGCGGTGAGCAATGAAGGGGATGGCATGGAATTGCCGGCGGCGCCGACGGAACCAAGCAGGATCCATATCGATATTGGACCTAACAAGCTGGTCTCTCGATTACACGCCGAGATATACTTTGACAGCCAGACATCGCAGTGGAACGTCATCGTCAATGGGCGAAATGGCATCAAAGTCAACGACCAGCAGGTCCGCCGAGGCCATGTAATGAAGCTCCAGAGCGGGGCAGTCATTGAAGTAGCCGGCGTCGAGATGATGTTTGTTCTACCAACGGACGATCAACCAGTCGAAATCGATGATAAATATCTCCAACGAGCGGGCCTTATTGCCTCGGATCCCTTCCAGAGCGAGCTGCCGATTACAGGCAACTTTCTTGCTGCGGCGAACAGAGGGAAAGCAGAGGGAACGTTGGGATCTAACCATCCAACACTGGCACCTGCACCTCCGGATTACAAGAAGCCAGACACCCCAGCTAAGCAGAGAGCGAGGGGCCCTATTCCTACATCCTCTCCTGCGTTTGGACGTGCTGGTGGAACCATTATTATGAGCGCGGATACGATTGATTATCAGAACGATGCTACGTCCCATATTAAGCCGGCTTTCACCTATGGGCAGCTCATCAGCCAAGCTCTCTACACATCCGAAAACGAGATGGCAACTCTTAACGATATCTACGAATACATGAAACGAAATTACGCTCACTATCGCCGCCCTGAGTTCTTCAAGGGCTGGCAAAATTCCATCCGCCATAACCTCTCCCTCAATCCCGGCTTCAAGGTTCGCCAGCGCGGCCCAGAAGACACCGGTAAGGGAGGGTATTGGTGCTTCACTCCCGATATGCGTGAGCACATGATCTCCGATGCTTGGGGCCCAAAGTCTGCACGCAAGTCCCCTCCAAAGCGACGCGAGACCTCTGGAACTCCACGTTCATCACCAGGCCCCAAGATTACCAGGACTGTTCATGGCCCGGGTGATAAGGAGGGTGGCTCCCCGTCAAGGAGGGTTAAGAGAAGTCCAGGTGGAAGCCCCACTATGCGCGGTATCCCTCCAAACGGATCTCAACAGACCCCGGACCGCCTGAAGCTTCCAAGACCTCTTCTAGACGAGGAACCCGGTGATGGCAGCCCGTTACCGAGGCGCCGAACAGGCAGCAACAACCCGTTTGGGATAGGCGAGAATGCAGCCGAGTCTCCGGTCCTGTCATCGTCGTTTGCCCAGGAAGAGGGCACGGCATTTCTAACGCCAGCACCCGTACGCAAGCACCCGCACTTTGCTCCACCGAGCACAGCGCAGCGACCCAGCCAACACATGCCGACGTCGAGTCCCGCGCCGTTCTGGCGTTTCGCAGAGCTTGGGAATACACCGAGTGTGATTAAGGGGGCGCAGGGCGGGCTGGGGTTTGATGTCAGCCCGCTCCGCGGACTTGGTGGGGACGCGCCGCAGAGTAGTAGTCCCGCGCCGAGGAGGCGGAGGGAGAGCCCTGAGAGGTCTGCGGATGTGAAGGATGATAGGGAGGATGAGGAGAGTGAGGGAGAGGAGCCGGCTTTTGATTTGACGAGGTGAGTTCTTCCAGCACTGTGTTTGATAAAATAAAATACTGATTGATATTTAGGGGCTTTATGAAGATCAGCAAGTACCATGCTTCGGCTGGGAATGGGGCTCCGATTGCGAGTGCCAGCAAGGTGCAGCCATAGTTATCTATCATGCATCAACCCGCAACAGCCTGCTTTGCCACAGCCAGCCACCGCCAACTCACGATTGCCGTATATGGAGAGAGCCTTTTTTGAAACATCCCACCAGATTCATTTTTTGGACCAGCACCAACCAAGCAAACATTGGTTTTACCACTCCACTATCTTCATCATCAATCAAAGAGAAATTCGTGTTTAGCTGCCCGTTGCTTTTTATCTACCCCATGGTTTTACTGTATATTTACAACACCACGATTTTTATTTTTCTGGACTCGCAACCAAACTTTGGCTCTGGCTGTGCTGCTCGCTCGCGCTAGTTGCTTGCTTGCTATTATACTTGGGCATACTTGGGCATACTGTTGTACTTTTATGGGGCGCGCGGGGATTATGTTATGATTGGGATTGAGATTTGACGACGGATTTGGGAGGGGGGTGCGTTGCTATTCTTGGGATGGGGCTGGGGGGGTGTGTGTGGGTTAACGCTGGTTTTTTGTTTTGGGGGACTGCACTGCAGGGGATGTATTTATGATAGGGGATTGTAGCAATTACATCTTGAACCTCTGACTGATGTCTCGTATTCTTGTGAAGTTGAAAATGCTGTTGTCATTGATATGTAATAATTGCCTTAGCAAGAGATAGAAGCACTCCTAGCCCCATTGGTCAAATAAAACTGCCCATCCTTGTTCGCAATAGGAGTGCAGGTAATCCCACTATGCTGCACCGTCGCCTTCCCATGACAATCAGCGAGCTCCCAGAACTTGAAGGTGCAGCCGGGCTTGTTGTTGTATTCGTCGAGAATGAGGGCACCATATAATCCGCCGGTTTTGAAGTCTATAGGGGGTTTTATATTAGCATTTCACTTGTAGATAAAAAGCTTCCAAAACCTTGCTTTAGGAGTACGATTTTTTATATTTCGAGTAATAAGAAAGGGGAACTTACTCGTACAGCTCCCAATAGGGCGGTCTATGCGCTGGTCTGCGACGGGGCCATTGCAGGCACCATCTTTATAGACGACGAATTCGAAGGGGTTGGCGACAGCGAGAGCGGCCAGGCTGGCTATGGCGAGGGTCTTCACAGGTACGAGAACCTGTTTGAATTTATGAGCATTAAATTGCAACACATAGCAGGAGTAGCGGGGGTGTGTACCATTTTGAAATTTGCGCAGTAATTGAGCTGAATTAAAAGTTGGATATGTGATTTGGATAATATTTCTGTATGATAATGGATTGGACAAACTGATATTTATAGTAAATTCTCACCATAAATGATGATGCATCTAAACTACACAATCAGAAGTAATATCGTGCTTACTGTATTATAACGGGTCGGGCGATGAACCAGGCTGAATCAGCTTCGTATTATTTATTATTTACATATTTATTTACGTGGTTTTGCGTAAGCTCACCGTATTCTCACTGGCTTTGTAAGTTGCTTCGGCAGATGCATCTCGCGCACGACGAAGTCTCTTAAGCATCCTCGAGTTATTGCGTTGTCAAAACGAACCATTAAAGGTATGCCAGCACCCAGTTATAATTTTTGCAGCCTTCGATCTGGTGTCTCTAGAGGGAATGGAGTCTTTGGGATGCACAAGGTGGTTGGAATAGAAAGTCTTTCAGTAAAATATTGGGATATCATCTCTCCCGCTAATGTTTCTACCTGCCTATTCAAAAGACAAATATGAATATAATATGTAATCTAATCGTCAAGTTCTTCGCCCATGTTTCAGTCTACATTGCTGATCCGGTATCACACACGCCTAACGCCTCATCCTCATCCTCATCCACATCTTCCAGCTATCCAATTGCATCCAACATAGATCAAGCACCAACACCCTCTCCCAACCTCCTCCTCCACCCCTCACACACCTCCTCAAACCCCCCCACCACCTCCCCACAAACCCGCGCACACTCCCTTTTCCCCAGCCTATCCCCCCACCCCCCCCTCCTCAACCACCTCTCCCCCTCCTCCCTCCTCTCCTCCTCCTTCCTCAACTCCTCCACCATCTCCTTCGCCTCCCTCAGCCGCCTCGCCGCCACACTCGTCGTCTGCCGACTCATATGCAAACTATCCCCCACCCCCCCCAACTTCTCAATCAGCTCCCCCGTAACCCCATGCAGCCCCGTCAGCGCCACCAAGCTGCTCACATCCGGCCTCGGCATCGCCTCCCCCAGCGCAGCCAGCAACGGCAGTAACTCCTCAATCGACTCCTCATCCAGCGGCGCATTCATCGGGCTAATCAGCGGATACGTCAAGCTGTGCAGCGTGCGCGTCTGATGCATCAAATGCGAGCTCAGCGCCGTATTCGCAGTAATCAACCTTGTAGCCCCCGTCTCCACGCCTCCCTGCCCACTCAGATCCCGTAAGCTCTCCACAACGCGCTTCACCACCCCTGAGCGCGCGTCCCCGTTATCCTCTAGCCCGCGCCGAGCGAGCGACTCGATCCCATCGATGCGCGCGAGTAGGCTAGTCGGGAGCCCAGTCTCGGGAAGCGACGACGACGACCCGTAATCGCTCCCGTCGTAGTCGCTAGCTGCGCGGCGGTGGCCGATGGGGTTGGGAGCGAGGCCCTTCGGCGCGGGCGATCCGGAGATGGAGACGCCGCTGTCGCGCTCGCGGGGCTTTTGGGAGGGATCTTTTGTCTCGGTATCTGAGTCGGCTTCGTCTTGGGAGTCGGCGTCAGCGTCGGCGAGCTCAGCGCCGATGCTGGCGAAATTCATGTCTGGCTCGGCCTCATCTTCGTCGCTGGCCCAGGCGTCTGCGAGTTCGTCGGCGAGGTTCCCGAGGCCATTTGAGGCGGGCGCGCCGGGGGAGAAGGGCGCGTCGTTGAGGGAGTCGGAGCGCAGGAGGCGGCTTCCTGGGGATGTGGGGGTTATGGAGGAGATTGAATTTTTGGAGCGGTGGGAGGCGACGGACTGGCGGCGCTGGGAGGACGGCGCGGGCGAGATGGAGATAGAGAGGGCGGAGGGGCGGCGGGAGTGTGTGGGTGTATGGGGCGTGGATGGCATGGTAAGGGCGTGTGTTTATGTTGTTGTGCCTGGACGGCACGGCGAGGGTGGGACGACGCAGAGGTTTGTCGTGATAACGAGGCGGCGTGGAGTGCACATGCGATATATGCGTGTTCGTTTGCTTACAGGGCGGTCTGTGGTAGTTGTCGACGCCAAGGTGAAGGGCCTTTTCGTGCGCGCTCAGTTAGGTGTAGGCGGGAAAGGGAGTTGGAGGCTGCGATGTCATTTCCGTGATCGTCGGTTTTGATGTCCTTGCATTTCAAAACATATATCACCGTTGCGCTATGCCACCCATAATTCGTCCGTCGGCTTTGATGATTGGCGGCGCCTTTCGAAACTTGGGGCCTGCATAAATTATCACAAGGTCCCCTAAATTACTCCAGATGCATGCACAAAAAGATAAAGCACGTGACCGAGATTTTATTCTGGGCTATACTCTCCATTTGGAGCATCTCTTCTCTACTATCTTGGTGTCACTGTGGAATCTGCTGACAGCAGTGGATATGGAAGTGAGGGGCGCGTATTCATAATATTTCTGTGGTCGTCCACTGTCATATAACTCCTCCTTGACCGTGGACAACGCCTGTACTATGCCCATCCCTTTCCAATGCCATACAAATGCTTCAACGTGCCGCAGCCGCATCGAGCCCATCTAAAACTCCCTGTGTCTCCTTGACAAGGTCCTTTCTGACCTGCCTGGCCTCTGGGTCTCCCTCCGTATCAACTCCATCCAACTTCAGTAGTACTTGGGTCATGATCGTCTCCCCCAGCTTCTTATGCTCGAAGTCCTTCTTCTTCGGGTCTTCTGGTGGGTTTGCCGTGTATACGATACAGAGCGGGAGGATCTTCGTATGGAAGTCCGATGCAATAGCGTTCAGTTTTTCTAACGGTGTCTTCGGAGCATTAGCTGGCGAGTCTGTCCGTGACCCTCCTCCAGCAGCCCCCTGCCCCTGCCCCTCCTTGACATCGTCTTTGTCGCTCTTCTTCTTCGACTTGCCCGACTTGCCCTTCTTGCCCTTCTTATTCTTCTTCTTCTTTGAATCCTTGGACCCACCGGTCCCCGTGTCGCTGAGACCCGAGTCCGAGTCGCCAGCCTGAGGCTCTCCCACGATGCACAAGACCTCAGACTTATCCTTCAAGCCATAGTCGCGGCAGAATGCTTCGTTGTCCTTCAGCTGCTTCCCCTTGTATAGCAGTTTTATAGGCCTGTTTCTGATGCCAAGCACCACCATAGCACGCTCTCGTACATCCTGAACGAGCAGCTTCCCATCGCCGATGCTGAATGCCGGGAACTTCAGCGGATATGTGATTCCCTTGTTCTTCAGTAACAGCACATCGTCCTCTAAATCGCTCGAGGCTGGCGGGCGAGACAGCGGGTCATATGCTCTGCCTGGTTCCGCCAAATCTTCCGATGTGATGTAGGAGAAGTCGTCGTTAGTGATGACAGGCGGGGCGTGAGATCTGGAGCTAAACGGCGACAAGCGTTGCCCTCCAGTCCAGAAGCTAGATCCCCAGCGACTCATTGAAACGATAGTCGCGACAAGGACCAGTGTGGTTCCGGCAAGACCAACCGGCGTATTAAGGTACGAGCGTTCAGCGGCCTCGTGGATGTAGTCTCGAGCGGGCTCGGGAATTTGCTGATAGGCGCTGTTGACGCTGACGAGGGCGGCGTCGAGGTAGCTCTGCAGCGAGTCGGGCAGGTGTTGAACCAAGGATGTGAAAGTCGTGGCACCTTGCGATGCCACTGCGCGTGAAGCCACCTTGACTTGGTTAGATGGAGACCCGCGGCGGGGGGTTTGGGGAGGAAAGCGGTCAACGCCAGCGAGGGCGTGAGCGCTTTTTGGGGTGACGAGGGGTCGTGAGAGGAGGAGGTTCGACAAGCGGGATGTGCTATAGTGGGGGGTGGGGTGACTGTTGGCTGCCGCGATACTTAGTTGAGTACATGACTGGAAATATTTCCTGCGAGACACCTGGCGGGCGTCGTCAAATACAGGGATGCGCCAAGGTTAAAATTCGGGGAAGCGAGACATTGGCAAGGCTGGGCTTAGGGGCCTGATATGTTAACTATCACGTCACGACCCTAACTTTTTATGAACATTTTGTGAAATATATCCCGCTCATCTCAGCCTCGCCTTGTGGCTTTTATCTTTATCCTCCCACTGTCTCTGATCCAGCCCACCACCCTCAACCCTCTCCGGCGCAAAGAGAACCACATCCAACCGCCGCAAAGATGACCTCCATCCGCCCCTTCCACGCTATGGACGTCTTCAACTTCAACACCACCAACCTCGACCCCCTCACCGAGACCTACGGCCTAGACTTCTACTTCACCTACCTCGCGCGCTGGCCCCACCTCTTCAACGTCGCCGAAAGCCACACCGGCGCCATCGACGGCTACAGTACGTTTCTCCATCCCCCCATCCCCCCAATCTACGGCACCATTCCCAGCTAACCCCTCATCCAGTAATGGGCAAACTCGAATCCTCCCCCGCCTACCTCCGCCACTCCCCCCACGCCCTCCCCTGGCACGCGCACATAACCGCCCTCACCATCGCCCCCCCGGCCCGCCGCCTCGGCCTCGCCCGCATCCTCTCCCAATCCCTCGAGCACGCCGGCGACGAGTCCGACGCTTACTTCGTGGACCTATACGTGCGCAAGAGCAACGAGATCGCGATAGGCCTGTACAAGGGGCTGGGATACTCCGTGTTCCGGCGGGTGCTGGATTATTACAGTGATGATCCGTCACCCGGGGCGGAGGAGGGGAAGGGCGAGGACGCGTATGATATGAGGAAGCCGTTGAGGAGGGATAAGGATAGGAAGCATGTTAGGGAGAATGGGGAGAATTTCGAGGTCCATCCGGAGGATGTGTGGTGAGAGGGTGGGGGGGGAGATGGCATTTTTTTTTGAGCGAGGGAGGGGTGTGCGGGGAAGGGGGGTTGGAGATGTCGGAGATGTTGGAGCTGAGGTCCTTGGATATCAAGGCGCCTAACCGCCCGCTCGTTGCACGGCAGTCGCAGTATGCATGAGCCCGGAGGCACGAAGGGAGGGCGTGGGACTGCTACACAGACAGTGAGTTGGTACGTGGCGTTCGTACCGACGACGACGACGGCGGCACCTTGCACTGAGCACAGAATAGCAGTCTAGCTATATGCGATGACTGCACGGTTCCGAAGCTGCAATACTTTGGAGTTAAATCGTTGTATATAGGGTATTTGCACATAGACGAAGATACTTCATGCATATATCATGCCACTTATAATAATATGTGCAATTGTTACTCAAACATCACCTAATAGTGAATGGATGCCCAGCATCCTGATATCTATCCCTGAACTCCAGCCCTTGCCATAGCTTGCGCTTTACCCATCTGTCTTAAAACACCATAAAAATGCATACAACGCAATGCCGCTCAGCACAAACGCCTAATCCCATATCTCATTATTCCCAACTCCCAACCCAATTCCCAATTCCCTCCCCTTATACACAGCCTCTAACGCCTTCCCCACCGCCTCCAGATCCCCCAACATCGTAACATGCCCCCTCTCAGTCCTAATCCGCCCATTAAGCACATACCGATACCCGTACGGCAGCTGCGCATCCTTGGCCAGACATACCCCGTCCCCGCTCGCAAACGCAAGGTTTTCATACACATCCGCACACGGTATGGCCTCGCGATCATCCACCTTCGCCGCACACACCGTGGGGGTGTTCTTGGCGTAGATGATGGCGAGCGGCGGGTACTTGTTCGCGACCTCGGTGTCAGGGCGATGCGCGAGCTCCAGCTTGAATTGCTTGATAGCGGGGAGGATGCGTGTGAGGTAGGCGACGGCGGCGGGGCGGGGGATAGTCACGGTCATGGAGACGGATGGGGGCGTTTTGGGCGAGTCTGAGGATGGGGGAGTCGCATCAGGCTGTTTCTTTCCCTTCTTTCGCTTTCGCAGTGGGGATGTGACCTTTTCTATGGCTTTGGAGGCGGTGCTCTGGCTAGTTTTTGGGGCCACGCCTAGCGCTGGTGGTGGCGGCGAGGGGTTCTTGCGTGGTATTGTCAGACTAGTGAGACTGCTGGTGATGGCACTGGCGATAGAAGGATTTGGCGGATTCCTAGCCGGCATCGGTTGATCCGTGCAGGGTGAGATGCGGTATTTGATCCAGTCGTTCACGTCAAAAAAGTCAATGTGATAGGGCTCCTTAGTCTTCTTATCGATGTAACCATACCCGTCAAGTGGGAGGAGAACCAAACTTGTCCTCAGCGTGAAGTTGACTTGTGCAGTAAATATACGCTGGTTAAAGCCCACGGAGTCACCATTTCGGAGGGGCCCGATGATGTTAATGCAAGACTGCGGGACACCAGCGTATATGACGCCTGAAAATAGTTCTGGGCGCTGGTTGACGACATGGCGGGTGATGAGGCCGCCAAGGCTGTGGGCGATAACAAGGGCACCCTTCTCTTTGCCAGGCACATTGCATGGCAACCCTTCAAGGAACTCTTTCAGCTTGCGGCTGAGGAGGTGAGGATTAAGCCGCCAGTCATATCCGTAATCCCAGACACGTAGCTTCCCATTCTTCGCGTTCTTTGTCGCCCGTAACCGTTTTATTAGGCGGCGCGAGATATCCACCACTCCAATGTTCTTCAGCATCCCAGACGCATAGACGCTATCTTCCATTCGCTCATCGTCTTCATCTTCCAGGCCAACCTCCAAGTCTACTGTTCCAAGATTGAACCCGACTCCCACAGGGGGTATCCAAAGCGGGCGATCTGACGCTTTCGTTGATTTGAGAATTGATCCTCGGTAACCCCCCAAGATCACAACGTCACCAGTCAGCTGCTCTATGACATTATCGAAGACCGTTGGATTAATTTTATCGGACGACAGAGTTGGCTTAGCATCTAAGCTTTGCCCTTTCGTCTCATCGCCGAGAACATCATCCGGAGGGCGTGTCGTGTAGCCACTGATAGCATTGAATTTCTCCCTCAAGTTGGGTAAACTGGGCATTTTGAAACTCTTGTCTTGTAACGAATCACTTATTGCCTTGCGGCGGGAATTGATCATCTGCTGAGTGTTTTCAAAGCGGGAGTCATCGCCGAGGGAGGAGATGCGTGAGAGGGAGGAATAAAGCTTTGAATCGGAGATTACCCGCAGCAAGGGCGGTTCAGCCGTTTCATGGTCCGGGGTTCTATCTCCCTCAAGTGTGCTTTTAGACCCCATCTTATGAGGGCTGCCCGTTCGGACAACGTCGCTAGGGGTGGCACTACCAGGAGCTGGCGTCGCCTGGCCACTCACTTGACGACTTGACGAGTAACTACTCCCTCCTGTTGCCTTATTCCGTGCCTTCCGCAGGCCAAGTTTGATACTTCCAGATAAAGAAGGTAAAAGTTTCTTCAGGGACTCTCCGCTCCCTGATATCGACATTGACCTTCGCTTCGTAGATATCTTTGCTCTGAAAGATAACCGTTTCCCTTCTTTCCCTTCAACCACCGTCCCAGCATGCGACGATTCCGAGAGATCCGTTTTCTCCGACGTTGTAGTTTGCGGCACCGGCCTCTCCTCATCACTCTCAAGGAACTCCCCTCCCTCCAATTCCACCTCGGCGATGGATCCTGGGATAGTTGACTGCAGCGAGCTACGGCGCGTGAGCGCCCAGTTCATCGACACTCCCACCAGAGACTCTGCATCTTCCTCCGTCAAGTTCCGCAAATCAGCACGCTCTTCATCACTCCCCTCGTTTTCCGGCGCCGGCTGCTGCTGTGGCTCCGGTGCTTGGGTTTGAGCATTGTCTTCCGCTGCCGCCTGTTGCGGCGGCTTCAGTGATTGGGTTTGGGCATTGGCTTGCACTTCCTCCTCTAGCAGCGGCACTCCCGTCTCGACCAATGGTTTATCACTTGATTCTTCCATAGCCACGACATCCACTGGGAAGAAGAAAGATTGCAAGCAACAGTAAGAAATTCCCGGCCCCAGAAAAGCCGTTGGTAGTGTCCCCGGAAGGCGCGGAGGTTGGTCTCGGGACTAGCGGCACCGAGTATTATTCCAACATCAGTCAGCTGCAATTGTGTAGTCAATTGCTTCTGGAAGACAGGAGAAAGAAAGTTTGAAGATGCAGATTGTAGATGACAGAAAGGTAAACAGTAGAAAGTCCGGCTTCAGCCTCATAGTACTTGCCATGATGGGCGCGGACACAATAGGAAAGCGCGTACTTTCCCCGTTGGGCAGTGACGTTGACGTCAGCTTATAAAAATGGATCGACTCCAATGACAGACTCCAATGGAAGGAAGGAGCAAACTACTGGAATAAGCAAAATAAGCTTCCTCATTATGGATTGGCTTTTTGAGACGAATCAAAATAAGGGTCCTCGGTGGAGTGGTCCCCTTCCGTCTTACCTGTTGTTGGTAGTTCATACGTTGCAGGAACGAGTTTCTATACGCGGAACGCTATCAAGGTCTAAAAAAAGGATCCGAACCAAACAAAGATCTCCGGATCTCCCTTATCAACCAAAACCAGGGATTTCTTGGCAGGTACACCGAGGCTGTGGCGGCTCGCTTCCGCAAACCACGTAAGCGGCTGACCTCAGCCCCAAAGTGGTGGATTTCTTTTGTGCCATACGAGGAAGGAACGAACGACACCAGAAAGGAAGGAAGGAACGAAAGGAAAGGAAAATGCAAGCAAAAATATATAAAAAAGCAAAAGGCAAATAACAAACAGCAAAATAGAAGACAAGCACCGACAAAACGTAGAAAAAATCACAAAAAATGTGCCGCCACCCAGAATTGAACTAGGGATCTTCGCATTAGATTGCTAGACAGTTTACTGTCTTAGTGGTACAAGTGCGACGCGTTACCACTGCGCCATGGCGGCAATGTAGATAACTGGATCCCTACTATTGCGCTTCTTATCAGATGCGCAATTTCATAATCACAAGGCATAACTTCACCCGACCCTCACTCACTCACTGTTGCCTATGTACGATTTAACTTTCCACAGCTGACAGATTGTGCATAGAGGGCAGGCGCGAAGGTGCATATTCTCCACATAGACAAAGGAATAGTTTCCTCGAGTATGTCTAAACCACCTCTCTATAAATATTTCAATATTTTAATTGAATCTCTGCTACATTGTTTCTTCATCGCTTGCCGTTGTTCATATCATTCTGCGTAGGCGGTCACAGAACCGTCGATATGGACAAGCTTCCAACAGAAACCGTGCGAGTCATCGCTGAACTCATTGACCGCGAGGACATCCTATCTCTACGCTTGACATGCCGCTCCTTTGCAGCCCTGGGTCTGCCACGGCAGTTCGAAGTGATACCCGTAATGTTATTCCGCAACTCGCTCGAGAACCTGCTGCGTATATCAGAGCATCCCGTCTACAGGAACTACGTCCTTACCATCAAGTATGGGGGCGAATTGGTGTCGAATCCTAAAACCCGAATAGCCTGGACCAAAAACGAATTTTTGTTACCTGGGGCGCCGAAAAAGACATTCTCCGAGAGCGAGGTCGAGGAAGCCTGTACGTGTGCCAAGTTCCAGCAGTTCGTTATCGACGCCTATGCTAACGAACGACATAGACCAAAGCCACGTCCGGTACTACAATGACCAGAACCGCATGAAGGCCACCGGATACGACTTCGAGATGCTCCAATCCGCCATATCCCGCCTTCCAAACTTCAGAGGAGTGCGCATCATGTCATTATTCTCCGAGAATAGCGCAAGGTTCGCGAACCCTCCGCCAGCATGGGGGGAAGCGTTTTGCAGCATGGCAAAGGTCATGGGTAGCCCGTTTCGTTTTTTGTCGTGCTGGGAGCCTAGTTATTTCGTCCGTGAAACCGTGGCGGTTCTTGCGGCTTGCAAATTGGCGCCGCAGGCCATTTCGTGGTTCGATTCTAAAAATTTCGAGCTGGGCCTCTTGAGTTGTGATGGGGATGATAACGGTGATGGGGGTGGCGGTGGGGGTGGAAATGGAGGCGAAGATGAGACCGAGGCTGATTATAGGAGGCACATTGTCCGATTGTCCAGGTTCAACAACTTCGTCAGAGACCCTACAAAGGATCTAGGTCCCCCGCTCCTGTGTGCTACATTTCAAAGCTTGACAACCGTCAAATTGGAAACCAGTTTCACGTATAACCCAAACTACGGACTCTACCAGCAAAGACTCGGAACTGCACTCAGCGGTGCCAAAAACCTACAGACGCTCTGCATCAATCACAGAGGCGCCAACAGCGAACACAATTTATCCTTCACCCCCCTCCTCGGCTCCTCGACCTGGCCCCACCTCAAACACATCTCTTTATCCTCTTTCACTATCCACGAACACGACCTCCCCCCCTTCTTCGCCCACCACCCCTCCCTCGCCCACTTCACCCTCGACAACGCCTTTGCTTACGACTTCGACTGGGCCACGCTCCTCCAGCTCCCCTCCCTCCGCACCCACCTCCGCCAACTCCACTCCCTCACCTTCACCGGCAGCTGGGGCGCCAACGCCTGGACCTCCGCCCTCGCAGCAGAAGTCGCAGCCCAGCCCTGCTTCGATATCCACAGCTACCTCGAGGGCGTGGACGTGGATTGGTCTTTCCCCGAGGCACTCGTCGGGCAGGTCGATCTCAACGCCCCGTTCGCGAAGTGGGCGCAGGACGTGTGCGGCGCAAGCTGCATGAGCGAGGTGCTGAGGCGGTATATCTTTGCTGGGCGGGGGGCGGGGGGGGAGGTGGGGTTCCCGCTTAGGACGGGAGGGGAGGTGGCGGAGGCGCTGGGGAGGGTGAAGGAGGAAGGTGGGGTGCTGGGGTATAGGGCGGGGAGTTTGGTGGTTGGGAATGAGGCGGTTGTGGGGGGGGAGTATGGGGGGAGGAATTTGTATCGGGAGTATACGGAGGATGGGGAGGAGGTTGTGGAGGTTGTGGAGATTGTTGAGGAGGAGGAGGAGGAGGAGGAGTAGGAGGAGGAGGAGGAGGAGGGTGTGGCGGGTAGTGGTGGTGAGGCGGAGGGAGATGTTGGGAGAGAGAATGGATTGTTAGAGGAGAGTGTGGCGGCCGACAGTGGCGAGGAAGAGGGGGAGGGGGCGCGATGATGTGCGGATGCTGAGGGTAGGGGTTCGGGAGATGGTGCTGGCTGATGGGGAACATTACGGTTTAAGATGACGGATGGCCTGTTGGGTTTCGGTGATGAGTAGGTACGTTTGAATATCTATCTACCCTTCTTCTTTTAAAGAGGGGAAGTATGAAGATTAATTAACGCGGACGGGTATGTTGTCCTCCCTCCCTCCCTGCGATTTGTGAGGATGCGTAGGAGAGAGAGATAGATATAGACGGATATAGAGATAGATGATAATGTATAGGGGCTGTTTATGAAGTAGTTATCGGCTTATGGAGGGGAAAGGGGAGGAGAGGGAAGAAAATAAGGGGGGGAAGAGGGAAGGAAAGAAGGGGGTAAGATTAGGGGAAAAAGGGGGTCAGAAAAGAGGTAGAAAAGGAGGCCGAACGAAGAAAGACTGAAGAACAAAAGTATTTCATTCGACATGCTACAGTCTCCCATTCCCTCAAGCCACCGTAGATTGACCCCGTTTGTCCCTGTTTAGACGTCATCTCACAACCGCCCAGCTCGCGAACTAAAGCATATCAATAAGTTGGTCGGCTTGTATAGTGTGCTTACGTCGTTCGTCAGCTTAGTCGTCATGGGAGTGAAACTTTAGATTTGCGCAAACTCGCCTCGCCCCCACCTCTGCGCGAAAACCGGTCCAACGCATTCCTACTACACGTGTTTAGAGGGCTCTCTCTCTCTCTCTCGCGCGCGCGCGCGCTGCGCTGTTCTCATTGACTGCTGGACGGGGTATGTAATGGATATGGTATGGTATTGATATATGGAGAGATGTGGAGATGGATGGGGATGCTTGGAACAACTGCCATCTAGAGGGATGAGAGGAGGGATTTACGTATGACGTTTAAAGATGGATACACATACATATATACGCGTAGATACATACGGCAATGGATCACTTTATAACGCGAACTAAGACACAGACAAAGACACAGCCATCATATATGGGGGAAACAAGGTATATAAATTTCCAGTCCACACGCAACCCCGCCAGTATTCGAAACGGAAGTAAAAACTAATTAGGAGCAGCCCGCACACACAGTTTATGTTGGCACACGATGGTCGACGAAATAAAACAACATAGAAGTAACCGGTTGTATTTTTATTCCGTGAAATAAAAAACCATAATAGACAAGACAAACAAATGTGTGCGAACCACTCCCGCCAGAATTACTGAATTACATAAAAAGATCTCAATCGCAAAAGACGTGACCTAATAAACAAAGGACACACGCCCCGCTCTCGTTTTCCCAAAGCCATCCCAATATGCGTAGAAAGTCATAGCCGATGCCCTCTCCAGCCCATCTTCTCCCTCCTCATCAGAACGAAAAGACAGCTCAGCGAGGCGGCGGACTGAAGAAATATATCCCTCTGGTCGAATTGAAACCGCTTAAGCGAAGAAGACAGCGGCCATGGCGGCGAAGCCAACGGCGAAGATGGAGCCGGACACGGCCGAGGCGGCACCAGCGATAGGAGGCGAGGTGACGACTGGGGGGGTGACGGTGGTGCCGTTGCTTGGGGTAGGGAAGCCAGAGATGGTTGGGACGGGGGTGTTGACAGCTGGGGCAGTTGGGCCAACTGGGACGGAAGTCCAGGTTGGGACCTCAGCTGGGCAGGAGTTGATGGTGACGGTGACGGTGGCGGGGGGAGCTGGGACGGTGGCCTCAGGGGTGGTGGGCTCCTCGGAGGAGACTGGGACCTCTGGGACAACTGGGGTCTCAGTTGGGGCGGGGGCCTCGGTGGTGGAGCAGGGGACGGTGAGGGTGGTCTTCTGGCCGATCGGGCAGTTGGTCACGGTGGGGTGGCAGCTGGTGATGGTGTTGACGATGGTGGTGTAGCTGGTGAGGGTCTCCTCGGCCTCCTCGGTGGAGCTTGGGACGACTGGGGCCTCGGTGGTGAGGGGCTCCTCAGCGGCGGTGGTGGTTGGGACGACCGGGTAGGAGGTCAGGGAGACGACGGTGGAGCGGGCCGGGCAGTCCTGGAGAGGCTGTTAGGATCGATCTTGTGGTTTATTGTGCGATAAACGCGTCGTTCAGATCAGAGAGAATCTACTTACGGTGACGGTAGGGGCACAGCTGGTGATGGTGACCTCCTCAGTCTGGTAGACGGTGGAGTCTGGGGCAGTGGCCAGGACGGCGGTGGCCATGACGGCAAGGGTAGCGAAAGTGAATTGCATCTTGACGGTAGAGTTGTTTATTAAAAAACGGTGAGGTGGGTTAAAAAGCGAGTGTTGGTTCGAAAAGACGAAAGCTGATAGAGTTCTGTAAAGAATGGACGACCGAAGTCAAAGAAGCCTGTTTGGATACTGGGAAGTAAGTGCGTGGTGGGTGAAGAAGAGAGGAAAGAAAGAAGAAGATGGAGAGCAGGATGGGGGGGGATATAAGCAAAGGAATTCGGCTACCGGGAGATTAGGGTGGTGTGGAGATTGTGGTTGTGGAGTTGGGAAGTTGGGAATGAATGGGGGGGGAGTTTGTTGACAGGGGTAGGGGATGACAGGGGGGTGGTGGGTGGAGGGTGGATGGTGTGGATTGGCGGTAGGAGGGTAGGTAGAGTAGGTAGAGGGGAGAGAGGAGAACGGTGGTTGGGTGGAGAATTGATGGGATGGGCATGGGCATGGGATGAGATGGGCACAGAAGGGAAACTCGAAACTTGACAGGATGAAATTGTCCCGCGAGGGTGGCTGGGATGGTACCTGACAGTACGAAGGGGATAGCTTGATATGGGTGTGCTTGGTATGTACAGTACTTGTTTTCCCCCGACAGTATGAAGACTGATAGCTTGTTATGGGCGTGCTTGTGATGTACAGTACATGTTGTTCATGTTGTTTCCCCTGATGTGTTCATCCCCAAAGGTACACGTTAAGTATAATCCCGCCCGTTGCTTGTTCCTAGATCCCATCCTGGCCGTGCGTGCCACTGAGCACTGAGGCATAACCACTCAATTTGCGCCTCCTCTCATTAAAAGCTCATCACGGCACAAAATAGCCTAGATCTCATCTCCCCAGCGTACCATTGTAGGGACTTCATGCTGGCAGGGGAACCTGCTTCTTCCTGTCATTAAACGTTAATCTCTTTTCCCCCATGCTGTTGCTGAATCGAGAAGGCCTAGAAGGGGAGCGCATAGTGTGTTGATATTGCGATGCTGGCTGGGCTCGATACGGGCCGACGGCGAGGGAGGGACGGATGGAGAGAGAGAGAGACGGACAGAGAGAGAGGCACCCGCGTGGAGTAGACAGATAGACGTATACTTACGTAGAGTGAGGCGAAAGCCGACCAGGAAACAGGTTCTCTGTGCTCCCTCCGTACACTACGTAGCTCCCTCCTCCCTCCCCTACAAAGTCCTCGCTGGTGAGTATTTGTATACATGCATTTCACAAATATGCATCTCATGGTGCACACGACACAAACCTACCTACTACTGTACGCGTACAACAACAGCGAAAGCATCATCGTACCACCCACCATCCTGTACCCACCATCCTGCACCCACCGCCACTCCCCATCATCACAAAAACCTCAGCGCGTCCACAGCAGCTAAAAGTCTCAGCCAGTTGTCGGTCTCAGCGCTGTGCGTGCGTGTGGTCCGGTGGTGGTGGCTCTTCTCGTCCGCTATTCGCCCACTAAAATCCGTACCTGCGCCGGTCCGTCCAGTACCTCTAGTTCGTACCGGTACATGCCGTCCCTCTCTCCCCTCCCACCCCTGGCAGCGGGAGATTAAGATGCGCGCTGTGGGCCGTTCCCCGTGCGGCAGTAACCTCCCCAATTGGGTAGTAGATTCGTAGTAGTAAGGGGAAAGGGTATTTTCCGTTATTTTTCGCCCCCCTCCCCTCCCCGTTGCGTTGTTGCCACTGTTGATCTCCGTGTGTTAAAGCAAGATTTTTTTAAGATTTAGATTTCTATTTTAGGTGTGAACAAGAAAAGGAAAAGTAAAGTGGTCCCCTGTTTTTTCTCGTGTAAAGATAGATGGGAGATTTGGTACGGAGTAGCGGGCGTGTTCGGTGTGGGCCGGCCTTGCTGTTGACGGGGATTGCTGATGTGAGGGAAACGGGCAGCTTCTGGTGGTTTCTTAGGCTTGTTTAGCTCCTAGCAACGGGGAAAAGATAAACAGCCAGCGAACAACAAACACCAGCGCAGCGCGGAAGGCCCGACTTTGCTCCCTTTCAACACCAGGTACATCATCCTACCGCACAATCGTTACTTGCCGCCAACCCAACCCAACCCACACAGTAACGCCACTACTGCAGGAACACCCATCCAATCCTCCATCCCACCAATCACCACGCGCCGTTTCCACAGTACGTAGACTGTTTCCCCTGAACCTACCGTCTGTTATCCAATCATCGACGCGTAACCCCCGTTTAGCTCCCCCTCTATATTTCCCCATTTAGCCACGAATGCAACGTTGAGGGAGGTACTCCGTCGTACTGTACTCCGTCTGTTGTCCGCTGTGGCACGGGGACACCGTCACCGCTGATGTCGTGTCGTCCCCCTCCGTCCTGTCGTCTGCCGCTGCCGCTACAAATCAGAACAGGAACAGACAGACGGCATGCAGAGCACAGTCAGATACCGATACTATCGTCGTATTATACGTACCCGCACCACTTCCCTTCTTTCCAACTCATCTCTCTTAATTCGTATCCCATCACCATCACCGCTGATCCCGTCGTCCAGCCCAGCCTAGCCGCCGACCAACCAACCATCCATCCCTCCATTCATCAATCCAGCCATTCATCCCATCTTCGGCTTCGGCGTTTATTGACAGAAGCCGCTCCCACTCATCTACCTTCCTTCCCTACCTACCTAGTTGCGTAAAAGGGAAGCCAGGCCCGCCCACCACCGTGCGTGAGTGCGTGCGTTCGGCGCTTGGCTTACGTTCCTCATTCCACGCCCCCTTATCCCGTGTTCTCCATCTCTGGGCGCGAGTTGGGGGAGATTACACGGCCCCATCTATCTCCCATCCACCATCACACCTCCCCTTCTTGCTTGCCCCGCTGCGTACCAAGACAGAGCAGCTGTTTATTAGCTTTTCTCGAATGGAGATGGGGGGAGATTAGACAGAAGAATACCCCATGAGTCCAGCCTATTAATAGTGTGTGTGAGAGTGTGGTACACATCCAGAGTTGGCGATCGGGATGGGGATGGGGGTCTAGAGCGCGTTGGCGGTGGTGGTGCCGCGAGACGGATTGGGAGGAGGGATGGGCGGGGAGATTACTACTATGGGTGTTGTTGTTGTCGCTCGACGCGGTTTCTTGGACGAGTGAATGGGATTGTTAAGTAGGTGGGTGCTGTATGAATTATACGGGTTCGTGGGTTTCATCCCGGAGTCAGAGAGAGTCTATGTAAGGGAGGTGAGGATTGAATGAACGCGTTTGCGACGAGGTAAGGGAGTCAATCCTGTTGCCGTATCTATCTATCACCTCTCTACCTCCCCCCGACCGATCCCTCTTCCCATTCAAGCATCCCCCGACCATAGAAAGGAATGTGATGGGATGGGATGAAATAAACTCAATAAAGCAAGGGATGATCCCCCCGTGGCGTCGCCCATCGCACTTTTACGACACGACACACCTCCTGTCACCAATTCACCGATTCACCACCGATAGTGGTGATCCCGTGATCTAGACCTTTCCTCTCCTTTCGCTATCTCGCGTTCTCTACACCACAACAACAACAAACAACAACGCGATGAGAGGAGAGAGCGAGATTGGGATTATACATCCATCATACATACGGGCTCAACATAACATACGATATCGGATCGACCCGACTCGAGTCGCGTCACTGAGACGAGACGAGACGAGACATGTTTTCACGTTATGTATCTATCCCCTCCCTCCCCTCACTCAGCGCACCGGCACCGGGTTCAACGGCTTCTGGTGCCTGGCTATCAATCAGGTCGGAGGGGTGAGACGCGGGTCTTACCCAGCGCCGGTGGTGGTGGTGACGCGCTATTGGATTCTCTACAACTTGCTCTACTGAACAGTCGACGCGCTATTGAATTCTCTACTCTACCACTTACCTGCTTCTACTACTGCTTGCTACGGTAGACTCCCGGATCTCCGCGCAAGTCGTGGTTCTCTGCGCCAGGGTGCTCCCGACGTGTTCACCGACGCGAAGGTTACGTACAACCATCTGACTGGCTGACTGGCTAACTGGCCGAGTAGCTGGAAAGTAGGTCCTAGGTCCACGTGTGGGCCGGGCCGCACGTTGGCGAGCGAGTGAGTGAACATTGTTTGGGAACGCATTTGCGGGGAGGCGAGTCAGGTCTTGTTTTGTGAGTCTGGTGATGGATGGAGTTGGGGAGATGGATGGCAGGATAGTGGGGGATGCCGATTCTGCGATGAGAGTAGGTGATTCTCTACATGTGGTTGAGCTTTCTTTTGGGCGGTTGAGTCTGGTTTTCTATCAGGTCCGGAGGAACGTCAGTTCCCAAAGCTACTAGTCCGGGACGAGAGCCTCACCTACCTTTCTCTCGAGCGGTTAAGTCTGGAAGGAGGGGCCAGACCGCACGAGTCAGTTCCATTTGTTGTTGATGGCTTGGATTGACGTTGGTTCGTGGCGCGTCTTGGCACGATGAGAGTGGTTTGAGGAACATGTTTGACATGTCGAACATTACATGGCATGACCGTGGCATTCCTCATGGGCATGTTGGTGGTGAAGATGCCAGTTTTACGATGGGAGCAAGTGCTTCTCTAAACATGTTTAAGATCAAGATTACCTTTGGCGGGGTTAAGGTGAAATGGCGGGGATGGGCTGCAAATGGACAAACAACATGAGCACGCCCCTCCGCGGCTGGCTGGCTCCCCGGCGAGAGAAGAAGCCAAGCTTCGCCGAGCAGTGTGAGTGTTTGTGATGCGTCATGATGCGCCGCCTATGTATGATGAGCACGCCGCGGAGGTCTTCGGTGAGTGAGGTTTCTAAACATGTTTGAGTACTGTTTTGCGTGGTTGTGGCGTGATGGGTGGGAATGGCGTGGTGGGAGTGGGGGAGGGGAGTGCAGAATCACCGCATGCTATGAGGCCATGGGCGTTGGTCCACGGTGACCACGCCTGTCACTAGTTCACGGCGAAGAGATTAAGCCTCAATGTGCTCGCCTATCCACGACGAACCATCCGGTGAACACGCCACGCCAATCCAGCAGCAGCACCACCACCACCATGCGACCCGTTCTCTGAACTTGTGCAGATACGCTTTTGCGCAAATTAGCTCACACGGCCGCGGATTTGCGAAAAACGCGCAACTCCATAAGTCTAGGAGCCTAGCGATCAAGGCAGCCGTTCTGCTTTACGATGTGCCTCCCGAAATAAGCCGCCTATGGTGCGCCGACCCGCGATAAACTGCTTTCGGTGACTGTCGGTCTACCACGATGCGTCGGCTTCTGTGGATATGCCGGTGGAGGAGGAATTCGTCCGATATAAGCCGATTCAATCCACGATGAGCCGGCCTAAGAAAGAAGCCTCCCGCGGTAAGCCGTCGGTGGTATACCGAGGCATCTCTGCGCAAAATGCGCAGATTAGTCAAAAAGGAGGGCGATTTGCGCGAAAACCCCCAAAATCCAAAATCCTGTTCGTTCGGAAACCAGCGAGGACCACGATGACCCCTTCATGCCATCGGCGCTAGCGAGGCTACGGCACGTTGCCTACGGTAGGTAGCTCAGGGAGGTGCGCCACCTTCTCCTATACATGTATAGGAATAGATTTGCGCAGATTCGTCTTGATGGACGGGGAATTGCGCTTAGTCTGAAGTTTGACACGAGTCCGTGGGCAGACAGCCAGCTAGCCGTTCGAGAGCCCTTCCGGGGCCTTCTATAACCCTCCAAAGACCATACCTACCATTACAAGCCGCCGTCATAAGCCGCTCTAGCCCGTCACTACGATCTGCCGCCATGGTAGGCCCCCCCCTACCCGCGCGGGGTAACCCGACCGATCCGGGGTAGTGGCCCGGCCCGACCCGTCAAACGTGCCTCGAGCCGTTTTTGCGCAAAATCAGTTATGATATCGTGGATTTGCGCAGAAAACAGCTGAATCCAAAAAGATGATGAGTCCTGAACTTCGTGAGGACGGACCCGACCCTGTTTATGAGCTCGGCTAATCGAGAGGGAGCCAGCCCCCTTATTTATCGATGAGTAGATAAGCCCCTCGCGGTGGGGTGAAGCTGGTTATGCGCAGATTCAGCTATCATATCGTGGATTTGCGCATAAACCACGGGAATCCAAAAGTTCGATAAGTCCGCAGCTTCGTGAGGACGGACCTGACCCCTTCTGCGAATCGGCTAGTTAGTCTATGGAGAGAGAGCACCTATTAGTCACGACGACGTGGTGATGTGGAGGCTAGCCTGTGAGGCTGCTACTCTATAGTGGTGAGGCTGCCGAACTTGTGCCGAAGCAAATTCAACTACGGGATCGCAGATTTGCGCAAAAACTACTAGAATCCAAAAGTTCGATGGGTTCTGAACTTCGTGAAGAAGTCGGCGACCCTGTCTACGAGTCGGCTACTATACAAGAGCTCCTATTGGTCGACGAGGAGGTGGTTGTGTTAAGGCTAACTTGTAACCCTGTTGGTTAACGGTTGGGAGGCTGCCGAACTTGTGCCGAAGCATTTTGCGCAAATTCAACTACGGGATCGCAGATTTGCGCAAAAACTACTAGAATCCAAAAGTTGATGAGTCCGGAAGTTCGTAAGGAAGTTGGTGACCCTGTCTGCGATTCGGCTAGCCCCTGACCCATCTACGATGGGCTGGCTTTCTTAAGGCTGGTCACGGGACTACTAGTCTACGCCAGGGGAGCCTTTGTGACTGGTGCTGAAGCGTTTATGCGCAAATTCAACTACAGAATGCTGAATTTGCTCAAAAATCATCAAATCCAAAAGTGTGATGAGTCCGGAGGATGGTGAGGACGGCTGTGACCCTGTCTGCGAGCCAGCTCTTCAAGCTAGTAAGCGAGCTGTCTGTCTGGGTCTGCGATGAGTCTGCTCGTCCTCAGTGGGTTCTCTGAACATGTTTCAGGGGTTTTTGCGCAAACCCAACTAAATGGAGCTGGATTTGTGCGAAATGGCAGTTTGGACAGCGTCCAAACCTACGGCTTTCCGCGGCATTCGCTGCGGCTTTCTTCGGTCTTTTTCTCTCCGACCTTGTTGTTTTCAGCCGCTTCTCTTCGGCTTTCTTCGCCCCTTTTCTTGCCCCTTTTTTATCCGTACCCCTTTTCTCCTTACCTCTTTTTTCATTCCGCCTTCTTCCCCTTCTTCTTACCCCTTTCATGGTCAGGCAACGGCAGGTTTATGAGCAGCCCTCTAAACATGTATAGGAATGTGTGGAATTAATTTCGCGCAAATCTATGTAGATGGAGCTGAGCTTGCGCGAAGCCCAAAATTCACTCCGAGTCTAGCGCGGACGCCTAAGCCGACGACATAAGCGCACAACATAAGCCGACAAATTCATTATATAGTTGCTCCGTGAGCTGACGTCCGTGAGCCGACGTCGGAACGGTTTTGGCGTAGCAGCCAGCCGTGACGGGGAGGAGCTTGCGCAAAGGTTCACAGAAATGCATTAGCTGCTTCAGATGAGAAATATACATTACATATATACTAAAGAACGTCACGTTACACACTATATGTCTTCTTTGCTTTGTATGCTCACAAATATCATTACGCCCCTTATCAAGTCTTCTTCTTCGCCTTCCTTCTCTTCTTTTTGGCGGGCTTTGAAGCCTCTCCTTCTTTGCTCTCGTCCTCATCCACGGCGGCAGTAGCCTCTCCATTTGGAACGCTCTCCGCAACCTGCTCTTCAGCCTCATCAATGCCACCCCACTCCTCATCATCCATCGCCACATCTTCACCACCAGATGCAGATGCAAGAACAGGTATTCCCATCGCATCCCTCACAATCTTCCCACTCTCATCCCTCACCACCTTCGCCTCCACATCCCCACCCTCCCCATCCCTCACAAACGGACAAACAAAGAACCCCATAGTCCCCTCCCCATCCCCCTTATTCGCACGAATACACCCCTCACTAATCTTCTCATACTCCCCCTCTGGCCCCTCCACACCCCTAACATCCCACCTCTTCATCCCCCCAACCTGCTCATCTCGTCTCAGCACCCTCCACCCCCTCTCCCTCGCAACCTCCGACCCGAGCGCCGCAAGCACAACACCCTCATTCTCCTCATTATGCTCAGAGCACGTGGAATACGTGATCTTCCTCGCCCCAGGGAAACGCATCGCGTGCAACAAAAGCGTGAGTTGGAAAGCAGCTAGGGCGGCTAAGCGCGCCTGCAGGTCTTGCGCGGAGGTGATGGCGGTGGGGACTCCGTCGTCGTCGAGGAGGACTTCGACTTTCTCCTCTTCTTCGCTGTCGCGTTTTCGTTTTTGGGAGGAGGGCTTTTCGTCTTCGGCTGGTTTGTCTTTACCTTTGCCTTTTCCTTTTGCTCCTTTTCCGCCAGGCTTCCCGCCGGCTGCTGGACCGCCCTTCGCTTCGGATGGTAAATGCAGCTCTGGCATGTCGTCGCGCCCTACGATGCCGCTCCCGCTACAACTCGGGTCGAGCAGCAGCGCTCCAACCTTGGCGAACTGCGGGGACTCAGGATCAGCTTTGAGGAAATCCGTCGCCGCGTGAATTTTCGTCATCCCCTCCGACCCCGCCAGCGCAACCATCTTCGCCAACGTAGTCGCGCGCACCTTATCCTTCTCGAACGCATGAATCCTCTGCGGTAGTTCCGCCAAGGTACTTGGATCAGCTATGTCAACCGCCGGCGAGTGCGAAGCCAAGATAGACGCAAGATGCGTTGTCTTATTCCCCGGCGCCGCACACGAGTCTATCACATCCCCATCCTCAGCAAGCGGGTCAAGCAAATACGCCGGGAAGCACGACGCCTTATCTTGGAAGATCAGCGCGCCGGAGGTGTAGGCGGCTGATTTCGTGAGGTCCGCGCTTGGAGGGACGGCGATGAGGTTAGGTACGTGTGCGTCGAGGAAGATCTTCTTCCCGCCGCGCTTCTGCACCTCGCTCACCTCGGCGGCGCGCGTGTAGTCTTTGAACGTCGTGGCGAGCTGGTCTTCAAGCGTCGTTTTGAGAGTGTTAATCCGGATCCAGCGAGGGTGCGTGGTAACTGGGATACCGGAGGTGTTGTCACCCCCGGCCTCGACGTGCTCCGTCAGCGCCTCGAGACTGCCGAGGCCGCGCCGGATGCGGGCGCGTGTGAATTCGGCGGTCAAGCGCGCTTTGTGGCGCTCGATGGAGGCGCGGAGGCCATGGGTGGCGGGGAGGGAGATGCCGCGCTTGGCGAGGAGGAGGTCGTGGACTAGGAGGAGGGAGAGGAGGGGTGTTAACTGGGGGGTGTTAGTTGAGAGGTATTTTCTGGCAGGAAGGGAGAGGACGCACCTTTCTCTCTAGACCTAGTAGTCCGGTCTTCTCGATGACTTCTTTTAGTACGGCGGACCATTTGCATGTCTCGATCACTAGGGCGTAGATCTGTGCTGGGGCGGCTTTGAAGTCTTTCTTGCTGAAGATGCGGGACTTGAGGCTGCCGCCGGTGGTGGTGGGTGCTTTCAGCACGTCGGCTGCTTCGTAATAGAGTGACATTGCTGCGTTCCTCCTCTTTCTCTTTCTATTTCTTTTCTTGTGTCTCTTCTCTCTCTATCCTAGAGTCCTCGTACCCCTCAATCCAACCCTATCTGGTTGTTGGTACGTCTACAACACCGACGTCTAGTTCCCAGACGTATGGCCCGCGAGCGGCTTAACGGGATCCGCGCTCTTTCCGAAGAGAGCACCTGGGCTAGTCGGTCGTCCGATTAAAACCCAGAACCAGATTGCGACGAGGGTGGAGATAGCGAGGTAAGCGTAGCGGCGGTTTGGGTCCGGCATTGGTTGACGGGGGGGTTTTTGCTGGGGGGTTTTGGTGATAGATTGGTGGTGGATAGCGAGCCGTCGGGTTCGCAAGTGTTTCCGTAGATGCGGTGCGGTGTGAAGATTAGGAAGTGCAAAATAGCTCAGCTAGAAAATTCAATAGATAGTTTGAGATTGGGTTGTGAATTATTGTCTCTTCAAGACGGGGTTCAGATTCAGGGAGGAGAGGCGAAGATTTTGGGCTTGGGGTCTCGGCCCCTCAGCCTTACGGATTGTTTGCCGAGTGTTTGCGCTGTGTTTGCTCCGCCTGGGCGGCCTAGAATCAGCCTCGTACTAAAATTCCGGTGCGACATCGACTTGTGAATGACCCCACGTCAAGTGCATTTGAGCATTTACAATAGCAACTACTGTCCGCTGTTTAGGCTACGGTTGGATACGAGTATTACACATCAACTATACGTATTAAATCCGGCATTGACAACCGGTCTCACACCTCGCGATTCTGCGCCACAACAGCAAAACGACCGCAGCCATGGATTTTGCATCCCTAATGTCGAAGGAGATCTCGAAGGCCAAGGCCCCCGCCAGCACGACCTCCGAAGGCAAGAAATATAAGAAGCGCGCCGATGAGGAAGCCGAGCGGCAAGCGGCATATGCAGCGCACCAGGAGAAGCTAGAGAAGGAGCGCATGGCGCGAGAGACGCAGAAGCGGAAGCGCGAGGAGGAAGAGGCGGAGGCGAAGGAGGAGCGAGAGGAAAAGCGGAGGAGACTAGCAGAAGAGAGCAAGGTGAGGAGGGAGAAGGAAGAGAAGGAGGAGGAGGCGAGGAGGCGGAAGAGAGTGGGTTTGCCAGAGCTGGTGGAGAAGGAGAAAGTGGAGGCGGTGGACGATGATGATATTGTGGAGGACGAGGTGGTGAAGTTGTTGGAGGAGATTGGAGAGCCTACGAGCTTGCCTGGGGAAAATCACAGACAGAAGGTTAGGCGGTATAGGAGGGTTACGACTGTGATGACGACGGGGCCGATACCGACGAGTTTGAAGCTGGTGGACGAGAAGGATATGAAGGTTGACAAGATGCCGCCACCAGAGGATGTGGAGGCGACGAAGTGGTTGTACAGGCAGCTGGCAAGCTACTTTACGATGGTGCTTAAGGAGTGGGAGGATGCCCTGTTGAGGGAGGACAAGAGGGATACGTTTGCTAGCAAGGCGGCGTATAACGCCATGGCGCAGAGCAAGCAGAACATGACGCCGGTATGACCCCTCTCTTGGCCCTATACTACAAATGCGGGGTAGCAAGCTAACATCCAACCCCAGCTGTTCCGGAAGTTTGAGAAAGGTGATCTCGATGTAGGCATCCTCGAGCCAGTCGTTGAGATTGTCAAAGCGGCACAGGAACGCAGATACGTGGACGCCAACGACGGGTATCTCACCCTTAGTATCGGCAAAGCAGCCTGGCCTATCGGTGTCACCATGGTGGGTATCCACGAGCGGTCAGCGCGCGAGAAGCTGCACGAGAGCGATAAGGGCCATGTCATGGGCGACGAGGTGACACGCAAATTCCTGCAGAGCATCAAGCGCTGTCTGAGCTTTGCGCAGGTCAGGTGGCCACCGGAGGACGTCAGGCAGCTGATGGGCTAGATGGTTGGAAACGGACGTGCTTGAACAGGAACAAGGGTAGCCTTTTGCTAATCCAACACTCCCCGTCAATATGTCGAGACTGTTGATGGTGACATCCGCTTATCCGAGGAGGCTGGTTCGCTGGTTTCAAAGGCAGGAGCTCACGATGCAAGCGCCCGCAGTTCATGCGAGAGTGCCGGCAGATGGATGGGAATGAAAATATATTACACTACGACCCGCTTTGGCTGGATTCCTTCATCTGGATGAAGCCGTTGATCTCAGCCCTCATATATGTGCTTTTCGGCGGCGGGTTTATTATTTAGCCGCTATGATAGGCAATGGAGGGGGGTGGTCGTCGTGGGGGTTCCGGTGGCGTACGATTGGTGCTTTAACCATACCCCGCGTCGGATCTCTTCAATCCAACATTTGTTATAAGCAATGCCACTTAGCCCATAAATAGCCTCTTCAAGTCCAATCATCAGTGGTGTGTTTTTTAACCTTGGCAAGTCTAAGCAACGAGAATATCATGTACGTGCAGTACTGTCGCAGGGCGCGCAAATGTTTAAACCCAATAACTTTCTGTGCGTGGAATATGAATGCTAACAAACAAATTTAGTTTCCTTGAAGTAAACGGATCTGAGCTCCATTTCGATACCCTACAGCTATGGCTGTCAAGAAATCGATCGTCAGCAACGACGGGCCGCATAACCCGGATTCAAGTGGGTCATCTACAGATCCCGAACACAGTCTCCCTCGAGGATGGGAGCGAGCAACAACGCCCGACGGAAGAGTCTACTATATAGATCACAATACGCACACTACAAACTGGTACCATCCACTAAGTCAGAATTATATAGAGCAGGGTGTGAGGGAAATACCAGAGGGAGGACCACTGCCGTCAGGTTGGGAAGCAAAGCGCAAGAGGGGTGGAGGACCGTTATATTTCATAGATCATAACACGAAAACCACCACCTGGGATGATCCGCGCCGATAGCCTGGGGATAAATAAACGCCAATGATCAAGGAGCGAGCTTGCTCGTTGCTGACGTGGGGTCAATTTTAATGGTATCTGATCCAAGTAGAACCTCCGCATAAGAATGGGCTCGGGACCGGGGATAGGCATTCATATCTTTATAAACACGCGCGATTGTACAATAATATGGGCTTGAATTGATTCATATACTCATATTCGTACTCATACTGATATCAAACTAAATCTCCTCATCTGCAGCCTTGCTCTTCCGCGACCTCCTCTTCTTCTTCTTGCCCTCAATAATGTCTACATCGTCCGTCACATCCTTGGCCTCAGCATCCTGGGGCGCAATAATGATCTCTGGACCATCCTCGTTGCCGAATGTCTCCTTACGCCACTCACGCAGCCTAGCCTTCTTGCCGAGCCTCTTCTTATCCTTCCTCTTCTTCTCTGCGTCTCTGAAAGTAGCCATTCTCTTCAAGCCGACGAACTGGTTCAGGGAGTTGTCTGGCGCCATGAGAATGTCTCTCGCTGTGAGACCGAAAGATGTGGGTGAAGTCTCGCGGTAACGGAAGGTCGATGCTGTCTTTGACTTCGTGGGGAGGATTGCATGGTCAATGTCAAGCTTGGCGTCGACAAGCTCTTCGATCTTCTTGCGCTCGATGCGGCCGGCCTTCTTCTTTGCCTGCAGGTCTGCCTTGCGGTCTTTGCTTGTCTTGCCCTTCTTGGCTGGTCCGCTTTCCTCATCTTCGTCTTCGTCATTGTCCTCGTCGTCAGATAACTTGAAGCCTTCCCCTTCAACAGCCTCTTCGTCATCCACGAATTCAGGGATGATATCGTTGATATCGATATCATCGTCCCACTTAGGCTTCTTGACCTTCTTCTTCTTCTTAGAAGCGCCACCTTCACCATCCTCACTGTCGTCGTCTGATCCGGCCTCCCCTTCAGCGTAGTAATCTTCTCCGAATTTCTTGTTCATCTCCGCTTCCCAAGTAGCATCGTCAAAGCCTTCGCCCAAGAACTTTGTCCACTCCTCGCTCTTGAGAGTCTTGCCACTGACACCTGCTGCCTTCTTGATCTTTGCTAGCTTCTCCTCCATCTGATCGATCTGCAGCTTCCTCAGGCGTGCCTTCTCGTCCTCGCGCTTCAGCTTCTCTGCATCTCGCTTCTCGCGCTCCAGGTCTCTCGCCCTCTTCCTGGCCTTGGGCTCTTCCCTCCTCACCGACTTCTCCGCAATTATGTCACGGGCAAAAGACTTGAGAACCTCGTTGCTGGCTTTTGGATCCTCGAATCGCAGGTTGAAAGCCGTCTCAAACTTATCGGCACGCTGGTCGTCTTCGTCGTCATCTGACTCCAAGGGCTCCCATTTTGTTCCTTCTCCTGGAACCCACGCTCTAGCAGCCAGGAAATTCGAGAGGAAGGTCTCTGGGTCTTTGTCGGCACCTACGGTGTCTAGCTTAATCTTGTGTCGGCGGGACTCGTGTACTTCTGACTTGGGAGCCGCTGCTGGCTTCGCTTTCGGGACCAAAAAGTCTTCATCTTCGTCCTCGCCCTCATCCGATCCAGCTTCGTGCATCGCCTTGACGATGGACTTCTTAAGCATCGCTTGCTCTTGGTTGAATGTAGGGAGTGGCGCATCATCCATCTCCACATCACCGGCATCACCATTCGCAGCCTGCTTCAGCAGATTCTCACGGTGGTAATCTCTCAGATATACTGGCTTCTCAGCCTTCTCATTCGGCCCATCCTGTGCAGTCTCGTCGATTGGCGTATAGAATGTAACCTTCTCGTCGTAAACTCTGGGGTCCTTGTTGCGAATAGCTTGGAGAGTGGCTGAGATTTCGGCGTCCAAATCTTCGGTGGCAAGGAAACCTTCGTCATCCTCATCCTCGTCAGATGAACTGTCCTCCTCCTCATCGTATTTGTCTCCGTACTGGCCCTTGACCGGCTTCGCCTTGTCCTTTTGGTACTTTTCCTCAACTGTTTTATGTTAGGCGGGCGAACACAATAACTCATTGGGGCAGACACTCACGCTTTGCCAGTTCTTCTCTCTTTTTATTGTATTCGAAGCGTCTCGCATATTCTTTATTGACAGTGAACTCCGCTTCTAGAGGCACGCCGCCAGAGTCGGATTCCTCATCCCCGCTGGAATCGCTATCCAGAAGATTCTGCTTTGCTTCAACCTTCGGTTGCTTGGCGATTTCTTGCTTAATCTTCTTCGCACCCGTATCCTTGACGGATGCGACCTCGGATTCTGCCTTTCGTTTGCCCATTGTGACGGTGGTGAATCAGCGCGTATGAACTTAGAAAGAAGTCCCTGCTCAGTTTTCTCATAATCGGGGTCCGCGATACAGAAAATATTTCGGAGTCAGGAACGATGTTTCTCCGCGATTGCGCTAAACTGTATGCAGGGCCTTTCGTCATACGAAGCCGTCAAGGTCCACAGGCAGGAACATGAGCATTCCAACATCTTAGGCACCTGAATCAGAAAACTTCTACCTTATACTCTGACTACGTCGCAAACAGCTATAAATACTGACAACTGCCCTGAACAGCCAACAGCCTATGTGGCACAACTGATCGATTTAAAACCCTTAACATACGCCCGACGCCAGAGCGAAACTTACAATGGCCGATAGCACAAGTGGAACACCAAAGCCCAGCAGCAGCGTAAAGCTGGTTCTCCTGGGCGAAGCTGCAGTTGGGAAGGTATGGACAGTCCACAGCCGCCCGCCACGGAAGCCCGCTAACATGTTGCAGTCGTCCCTCGTCCTCCGGTTCGTGAACAATGACTTCCAAGAAAACAAGGAGCCAACCATCGGCGGTTCGTAGCCTCTACCTGCAGCATCTATGTCCCAGAACTGACAACCGGCAGCCGCTTTCTTAACCCAAAAATGCAACCTCCCTAGCCGCACTATCAAATTCGAGATCTGGGATACGGCAGGACAAGAACGATTCGCCTCCCTCGCACCTATGTACTACCGCAACGCACAATCCGCGCTCGTCGTCTATGATCTCACCAAGCCAACTTCCCTCATCAAAGCCAAGCACTGGGTCGCAGAGCTCCAACGGCAAGCGTCGCCAGGGATCATCATCGCCCTTGTCGGCAACAAGCTGGACTTAACAAACGAAGCTGGCGAGGAGAGCCGCAACGACGACGGCGAGGAGGAGGACGACAACGAAGGCGATTCGAGGAAAATAAGCACAGCAGAGGCCAGGAGTTATGCCGATGAGGAGGGCCTGCTCTTCTTTGAGACTAGTGCGAAGTTGGGCACGAATGTCACGGAGGTTTTCACAGCTATTGCAAACGCGATTCCAGAGACAAGCTTGAAGGGTGCGAGGGGCCCGGGTGCATCGGCGGCTGCAGCAAGGACTGAGGAGTCGAGGGTGAATTTGGCGGGGCCGAGGGATGGAGCGACGAAAGATGCTTGTGCGTGTTGATCAGTCTTTTATGGTTTGCGTACTTGTTGCGATGTCAAGATAGGGCACAGTTTGTTCCTCGATGGACGAAGTGCTACGGTAATGTGGGTGGATCTCAACAGCGCCGATGTTTGAAGGACGGGTTGGTGGACAGGGCCATTGTTCATATACATATGTTTTCAGCGAATTGAAATTAAATCATATTATACATAAACTATACGCCTGGCATGCCTATGATGGCTCGCCATGATGGTACAAATCGTGGCAGAAAGTACACTACAAAGACGCCAGAGAAGGCGACTACAAGCCCGGTAAGCTGTGAAGAGTTAGCATGTTGTCTTCGGAAAGATATGATAATACGTGCCTTTTCAAACCAAGTGTGGAAGTATGCTGCTGTCATGAGCAGCATCCATATACTCAGCGCCCCAACTCCCAGCGCGATCTTTACCCCGAAATCCCACGGGCTCGCAGTAATGACATTCTGCGTATCCGCCCTCTCAGCCCCCGATTCACTATCAGCGCCCTTGATTTCCCCGTTCTGAAGAAGCACCACACGCTCCTCTCTACCCCTCGCAGCTCTCAACGCCACATGCAGAACCTCTTGGAACAAGAACATGCTCCCCAAGACCAACAAAAATACGTGCCCACTTATATCATGCCCCCCGCTCCATTTTCCGCCATGCGCTTTACAGGCCATAGAAGTGAAAAATCTCTCCGTGATATCTGCCTCCGTATCGCCACTTTCAATTCTATCCTTCAACTCACACGCGCCGCCGGTGAGTAAAAACCCCCTATCGATGATCGCCGGCCCGAAAAACCACTGCGTCACGCACACCCACCAGAGGGTCACTATGCCCCACCTCAACGTCCCCTGTATCCTCTTCCTCAACAGCGCGTCGCTTCCTCGCGCCCCTATCGCGGCGTTTGTGAAGAGGAAGAGAAAGTATGACATCGTCACCCAGAACCAGCCCCTCTTAACGAAGAGGATGTTGACGAGGTTGCTCTTCTTCGCAAAGTATGAGGGTGCTAGGTCCTGGTCGTGGGACTGGTGCGTTTCAATGTAAGGAGAGGCACGGGTGGCGGGGTCGAGGAGACCAAATATAGAGCCGAGGAGGAGGGTTGTCGGGTACACGAGGAGCAGGATCGACTCTGCGTATGTGGGAAGGTATGGCGAGTCTTTGGATGTTGCCATTGGGTAGGACTCTGTGCTTGTTGACGGCATTGGGGTGTCCGATGAGCTCGAGCCCGGCGGCGTTGGGTCTGCTGAGGAGTTGCCACTTGTGCTGGACGTTGAACGTGAAAGTGTAGATTTGCCTTGCAGGCGAGTTGACCGCCGAGGAGTTACATCAGCCATTGCGAGGGTTATAACATATATAAAATAGCTTAAATAAAAAAGACGAGGCCGCTTGGTTCCATAGATGTTCTGGAGATAGTATGCGCCGAAGGACAGATTGCCACAGTGGAGACGCGCAAGGCAGTTAATGGATCTTGAAATTGGTTGTCTTCAGCGGCGACGATGACGTTGTGCCTGGGGACCTGTCCGTCTGTGCTTGCCGCAACGGAGCTACTCTTTTACCGAGGCCGGCCGGGGGACTGGGGAAGGTTATGAGGGAGTTGTGGACTGATCTGCCAGTATTGGTGCAGGGGTTAGCAACCTTCACACGACCACTGGGTGGCCATCTGAGAGATGCGACTGGAGCGCGTTTGAAGGGTAAATGCCACATCCCCCGCACAATTCCTCCGTCTCTTGTTTACTTCTCATCTCAATACGACTTAATGACCATCATCAGTATATCAACACTGCCATAGTCCTATAATAATTATAACTTTGCCAATAACTCATCATGGTCTCCACGCGCCAACACCCCAAGGACTTCCCTGAGCCTGATCTCAGTCCAGTGAAAGCCTCACCGCGCACAACGCGCAAAGCCAAAGCTGCGTGGGCGCATACCCCATCGAACCTCGTCTTAGTCTGGCTCGCCATTTCTCTACCGCTCGTCCTCTGGGACGCTGGTTATGTCCTTCTTCGCCCGCACTCCATGCCGGGCGGGAAGTATCACTGGCCGCTTTGGGTGCCGTACGAGCTATATGGCAAGACGGACTATATTTATGGTTGGAAGGCGTATAATGAGAAGAACGGCTTTACTGCTGCGCAGACTGTCATGAACCTGATTGAGACTGCCGGGTACTTCACCTACCTCTGGCTCATCTTGAACTTTGGAAAGCAGTCAGTGGCGCACGGCCGCGGTGCGCCCAAGAACGCGGGATGGTTGGGACAGCAGAGGACATTGACTGGAGAGAAAGCTGCATGCGCTGCCCTTGTGGGTTATAGCTCGGCGATCCTTACCTTGGCCAAGACGATGCTGTATTGTAAGTGACCCGTTCTATGCTTAGCATGCATTGACTGACATATTTCCAGGGCTTAATGAATACTACTCCGGCTTCGAGAACATCGGCCACAACACCTTGCCAGACTTGATTCTGCTCTGGATCATTCCCAAGTGAGCAACCTCTTAGGTCGAACTTTCATGCGCATTACTGACATCAAGAAGCGGCGCTTGGCTCGTCCTTCCGACTTACATATCGTACGTTATGGGAAGTGAGATCTTCGAGGGCCTGGCCATGGCAGCTGGATCTGCAAATGACAACGGAAAGAGCGAGTAAGGTTTGTAACGACTCTCGACGCTGGAATCATGATGGGGTATAGATACGGATACCCATACGTATAATTTCTTAGACACGAGTTTGAACTTCGGGTGGGTGGTATATATTTATGACGAATAATGTAAAGGTGGAGTCTTGGATTTACCACTCGAGGCATAGATTTCGAGAGAGGCGCCCTATGCTCCGAATGCATCAGGGTTGCAAGTTTTATTGGTATAAATCTGCTGGGTCAGAAGATTGTTCAAATAATTGCGTTCTTAAATACACCGGCCAGTTGTTTACGATGCATTGCTGAGACAGCAATAATAATAATACTTCAAAGAGATTTCATTCTTTCCGATCCTAACAGCCATTCTAGCATTAAACAGCCTTGCAATTTGCTATGGGCATAAAACGAACTCAACACAAAACGATCATTCTGATGCCTGTTGCCTGCCACCTCCAGCTAAATATCACATCCCCAACTCCGAATAATTTCCACCACCAACGCAAACTTCTCATCTAAGGCAAGTAGCACCCTCCAGCAACAGCGAGATTCATCCTCGTGAACTTGACCTTGTAAACAGGGCTCTTCTTTGTCGGGAACGCGCTGATCTGGTCCGGTGTGATAACCATATCCTTCCCCTTCTTCTTGCCCGTCGTAACACCCGTCATAGGCCCACTGCTTCCACCTGCAGGAGCCACACTCTGCGCACCGGCAGTCCCGTTGGCAGTGATGCGAGTGGCATCTGGCTGGTTGCTTGACCCGATCACGTCGCCATCGATACCCTTGTATGGATCAGACGGGACTTCGACATCCCAAATTCGAACTGTGCCATCAGCACCACCAGAGGTGAGCACGGTGCTCTCCGCACTGAAAGACAGCGACCAAATACCGCCCTTGCCGTGGCCACGGCAGCGCTTGATTTGCGTGCCCTTTGCAAGGTCCCAGAGAATGATAGAGCCGCCGCCATCAGCAGAAGCAAGGATCTTCCCGCTTGGAGAGCACTCGAGTGCGGATATGAAGTCGGTGTGTCCGTTGAATATGCGGACGCATTGGCCAGTCACTACAGACCACATGCGGACCGTCTTGTCAACTTGGTCCGACGCAGAAAAGACGTATGCGTTGTTCGGGTGCCAAGCGATTTGGTTGACGCTGGAGTCATGGCCGACCAACATGCGGACGTACGAGATGTGGTCTTGAGTCCAGACTCGGACAGTCTTGTCCCAACCGCAGCTCACAAAGTAATGTCCAAATGGACCCCAGCGGACATTCCAGACTGGGCCTTCGTGGCCTTTGTACACAACAAGACACGTCCAAGCATCAAGAGACCAAAGCCTGATTGACTTATCCGATGAACAGGAAAGGAGAAGGTTGGATCCGGTGGAAGGCACTGCGCTGGATGGACCCTCGGGACCGGCAATAGAAGGAGAGAAGGAGACGCTGTATACAGAGGCGGAATGGCCAATGAGACGACGAGAATTCGAAGGTGGTGCGTCGCTTGGTCCTCCTGAAAGTGTCGACTTCAGTGCTTCCCCGTGCATGTTCCAGACTCTAATATATGATTCCTCTGTGCCTATCGCCACAAGATTGTTGTCATCCGAGAATTCCATGCAGGTTATGCTAGAATAAGTCAGTCAATGTATATGTGACTTCTAAGATGAACTTACGTATCAAGCGTGTTATGGAAAGTGAACATGCAGACAGAAACAGCCGGGCCAACACCCCCTGTACGGCCTTCAATCTTGAAGCGATCCCTGCTTTCTTTCATCTTTTGAACTTCCATAACCACATCGCGAGCCTTCGACGGCGGAAGGGGTATTTCAGTCCGGAGAATGGCATCGGCGCTTTCTTCCCTCTTGATCTTCTGCTCATAGGCTTCGACCAACGATTGCTGGCCTGGTGCAGGAGGGTTCTTGGTATCGGCCTCAAGAAGTTCAGCTCGCACATCGTCTGTCAGCTCTGTCTCCGTCTGGAGCGGGCCCAGTCGGACAGGGGCATCATTATTCGCGAGATCTTGGTTGCTGACTCCAGTAAAGCCTCCCGGAATTCCTTCCTGAAGATCCACAACTTCATCCACCCCACCACCACGAGCACGGTTGACAATAGCCTCAAAGCTGTATTGATCAATTGGCCCACGAGACGTTTCGACCACTTGGCAGTATGTCTGTAGGATGTTGAGAACAATGCTTCCGCCCTTCTTGCCTTGCCCCTCCAAGAAGCTGATTAGGTTGAAGTTCACGTGGGCGTTCAGTGGAATGCGATATTTGTTCTCTCTGTAAAGCTTCGCCACGGGGTTTTCGAAGACGTGAGATTTGAGCGAGATCGTTTCAAAAATGCGAAGTTCATCTGCGTGATTCTTTTCAAATCGCTGCCGGAATTGCTGAAGGAACTTCTTTGCGTCTTCAGTGAACATGTCGGTAATAAGTTCAATGAATGAATAGACGTAAACTGGCCATAGGAGACGGTTGAGTTCGAACTAGAAATGTCAGGGCCGCCCAGCGACGTGCTATGATTGACCAACCTTGTATATGTCAAGATTCGAATCAATCCACGAGCTCAACAGCTCAAACCCTCGTATATATTTTTCATTTCCATACTCGTCTCGGCCAAAAATGGGACGGCCATCCTTGTCGACTTGGGCTGATTCTTGTCTAAGAACCTGCTCCGTCCTCAAATAGCCCTTTTTCATTAGGTACTCAATTACCTGCGAGGAGTTTGCATCAGTTACAGGATTCTTCGGTTTGACGGATGGTTGGCCACTAGTATTGGCGGAAGCCGCTGGCCTTGATGAAATGCTGGATTGGCTTCGTCCAGCTTGCGAAAGGTTGAACTGGGCTCGTCCACCTTGTGAAAGGTTGGATGGGGCTCTCCCAGCTTGCGAAAGGTTGCCAACGTGAAGTCTGACAGTGGGAGCCGCGCCACTTGGAGCAGGCTTCCTTTTTCCTCTTCCAAAGCCCATGATTGTAGAGTTGGTAGAAGTATAGAAACGACGTTGATAGAAGTGTGATATGCAGTAGCTTTTGTATTCAGAGAAGTGTGATATAGCAGTAGCTCTTGTCTTTGGAGGAGGAAGTGATGCAGCAGTAGCTCTCTCCTGGGGGTTCCCGGAGGATGGGACGTGGGGGTCAATCTAGCGCTTGCATTGAAAGAGCAGGATGTAATAGTAGCACTTATCACACCCAAACTTTTGGGGTCGCGTATATACTAATTCAACGATGTGAACTTTTGATTTTCGCCCTCCCTAGAGGTCCCCCCTGGCGAACAACCTCATCTCACTTTGAGGGGAGGCATGACGCCACTGACGAGAGAATATAAAGGCTACAAGACCTTAAATTCACTCGCCTAGAGCTACCCCATTATTCTCCTTCGCTAGCTTTAACTAGACAGCACATATGTGCTTAAGAATAGACAAAAGGAATCACCGCTTCAGCTAGACACAATGAAGGTTTTGCATTTTGCAGGTGATATCTGCTAAGTTGCAAACATGCTCATTTATGACAGTGTCCCCAGAATGAAATAGAAATGAATCTATTACACATACGTCTCTGCCCGTACGTTCGCCACTTGGCTCTGATGCTGTCGCCATCGATTCCCACTCAAGACTTCTACTTCTTGTCTCTTGTAAATCCGTAGGAAGTGAATTAGGATGCCACTTTGGCAGATTGTAAGGCATATAACCAACACTTATGGTCACTTATGCGGCTTCATGTGGCCTCATCGCCCATTATCAAGCCCCAACCATCCGCAAGCTATACTCGTGTGTAGGAGGCTGTGCTGGCCAGAGATGCAAAACAAAAGGAGTATCACGTGCAGATGGCCATCAATAGCAATTCTTTTAAAAGGCACACAGTAGACCAGTTGAGGCTAATCGCTTGATGCCCTGCAATGATGCAGTATGTCTTCTTGGGAAGCTTCCAGTCCTCTAGCTAAGGTGGCATGGGAATAAGGAAGTTTGAACTCACAATTTGATTCAAGTTTTGCTGGGACATATTTTGTACAGGCGGAGGGCCGGGCGGCTGTTGCTGTCCTGGTGGCATCCCCATACTGCCACTCGGTGGCCCAGAGCCGGGGGTTTGCGATGGATGGTTTGACATATCGATGGCTAATTACTTGCGACGCGTCGCTGTATCTTCCTCGATAGGGCGATTATGTCGAAGACGTCCCATGTCCCATCATACCATCAAAAATATTCAAATTAAGAACGTTGATGGACCCTAAATGAATAAAGATGGTAATATGTCGAGAACTTGTGTCTTGACGGCTTGCCCATAATCGCCAGTTTCGCCTTGAAAACATGGCGCTACTGCAGCTATCCGCCGAGCCTCATTTCTTAAACGTGGAGAAGCTACAACCCAACCCGCAATAAACAGCCAGCTCAAAGACCTCCCAGTTTCCTCAAATTCAACCTTTACAATAATCGCAAGTCATTGGATTTATTAATCAATAATTCAAATTCACAATGTCCTCCGAGCTTGACAAACAGCCAATCTCTTCCAAACACCTCACGAAGGCAGAGCGCATCAAACAACTCAATGAAATTGACCAGGTTAGCCTACCCTGATGTCTTTCAGCACTTGAAGGATAGTTCTAATGGCGCTTTAGAGCATTACAAAACTTCTTGAATCTGCCGGCCTGGCAGTCAAGACTCTAACGTCCATCAATTCACCGTCCGAAACAACCTCTGCCAGTCGCCGAGAAGCATTTACGGCCGCAACAGACACATATCTCAAAGACCTACATTCTGTCGACGTTCGCCTTAAGCGCCAAATCAAGGGGCTCGATGATGCGGGTGTAATAAAAGCAGAACCGGAGACTGAAGAGGAGGGCGATAAGGGAAAGCAAGCACCGGAAACCAAGAATGGCGCGGTAGATGTTGGATGGCTCAACACTCGAAGCAACAAGGTTGGGAGGGACATGGAGGCAGAGCTTTGGGAGAAGGCACGGATTTTTTTGGACGGTTTAGAAGCCAAAAAGTCCGGTGGTTCTCTGCCTGGTCAGAACGGAGGGGGAACGGAAGGCCGTGGGGAATCCAACGGCGATGCTATGGACACTTCATGATCACGGAAAGAATGCCATATAATTGGTTGTCTGAATACAAATATGGTCTTTTATACCCACGAAAATCGGTCTCGTGCAAGCATATACCTTGGCATTCGAGGTTTAATTGCTGCTCCCATCATGCTGGCAAACTCACAGGAAGGCGACGATAAGCAAGGGGCTGATATGTATTATTGCATGGCATCGAGAGAATATAAGGAGCATAAACAAGAGCAGCTCGGTTTATGAGGTAGCTTGATTTATAGTGCAATTGCTCAAATATCTTGAGTGGTAATAATATTCACAGGTGAATATTAAAGAAATACATCGTCATTATATTGAGAGTTACTTGATAATGTAAAATTATGCAAACAAGGGCTCTATAATTCTAAATATAAATGAATGAAAATACCAAAAAATATAAACCCAGGGCATTGGTTGTAACATTTTTGTGCTTTTGTTGTAATTGTTGTCTGATTGGCTTTTTGAGAGGTACCTCGATGGGTGACGCTTATCTTGGCAGCGGCCGCTGCCTCACGTACGTATGTGACCCTGCCGGAGGAGCCAAGCTCCACACCTGAGAGTTCAACTGCATTCTTCCACCTCTTCAACCAACTATACACAATGGATCTTGAAGACGGGGGATCCTCGCCATGGGGCGGTATGTCTTCTAGAGAATGTTAAGCTGCCACGGTCTCTAATTTGCCACAGATGTCCCAACCCAATCCCAGACAGGCGCCAATAAGCCCAAGACTGGTGAAGACGATTCATTCAACGCGGGGCAATCAGGTATGCCCTCTTTCCTACCCAATCCTGGTCGCGACATGCTCATGGATTTATAGATGCTCCATCTAAGACTGCGGCTGCGCAATTATCCGAATCATCCGCAACCTCGAACGTGAAGTCGCCAGGCGGCCGATCAAGAGGGCCCATTCGCCGTGTTGCCGCGCAAACCACTCGACTCGAACCCCTCGACGACTCATTGGGGCCCTTGGGGCCATTAGGACCACTGGGCGATAATGGAGTGCAGGCTACGTCTCCTTCGGAGCAGCCTCCGGCACCGCCTATGAAGGAGCAGACGGTTACCCTCAACACCAGGCAGCCCGACACTGCACAGAGGGTTCGAGATGTCATGGATCCGAACTACGATGACGAGGCGCAATCTTCCGGAAAGGCTAGGATACCACCGCCAGTTCAACCGGCCCAGCCTGGCTCTGCGCGTCGCGATGTCCAGCCAAGTGTGAGCATAGAACAGGCAGCAAAGCCGACATTCGATATCACGGTCGGCGACCCACACAAAGTTGGAGACCTCACAAGCTCTCATATTGTATATCAAGTTCGGACTAAGGTATGATCAGGCTGCGGTTAATCATTGGACGGAACTGACAATCATGATAGACTACTTCTATAGGCTACAGGCAACCGGAGTTCTCGGTGACTCGTAGATATAAGGACTTCCTATGGCTGTACAATACACTGCATACAAACAACCCCGGAGTGGTCGTTCCTCCACCACCTGAGAAGCAAGCTATGGGAAGGTTTGATACCAATTTCGTGGAATCAAGGCGCATGGCATTGGAGAAAATGCTCAACAAGACCGCGGCCCATCCGACGCTACAACATGACGGCGACTTGAAGATATTCCTAGAGAGCGAGGCATTCAGTATGGATGTTAAGCACAAGGAGCGCAAGGAGCCTGTGTTGGGAGAGAGCAAGGGTATGTTCGCCGGACTGGGACTATCGGTGGGTAGTGGAAGCAAATTCGTGGAACAAGACGATGTAAGTTGTAGTAATGGCTCCGATGGTATGCAATATGCTAACAAGCGCAGTGGTTCCATGATAGAAAGGTCTATCTCGATGCTCTTGAAAACCAACTGAAGGCTCTTCTGAAATCAATGGACACAGTGGTGGACCAACGGAAGGGGTTGGCCGAAGCCGCAAGTGATTTCTCTGGATCGCTGCAAGCCCTTTCCGCCGTTGAACTGTCCCCCACTCTGTCAGGCCCATTAGCTGGATTATCCTCCCTCCAGATCCGTATCAAAGAACTCTATGAACGACAGGCACAACACGATGTGTTGACCCTTGGCATCACCATTGATGAATACATTCGCTTGATTGGGAGTATCAAAACGGCATTTGAGCAAAGGCAAAAGGCATTCCATTCATGGCAATCTGCAGATATGGAAATGCAGAAGCGCAAGGCGACACAGGACAAGCTTCTGCGCCAAGGCAAGACTCAGCAAGACCGTTTGGTCCAGTTAAACGCAGATGTTGCCGACGGAGAGAGAAAGGTTCACCAGGCACGTTTGCTATTCGAAGACATGGGACGACTGTTAAGAGCTGAGCTGGAGAGATTTGAGCGGGAGAAGGTGGAGGATTTCAAGAGTGGTGTGGAGACATTCCTAGAGAGCGCTGTCGAGGCTCAGAAAGAGGTATATTTAACCTCCCCCACTGGTGACTGAAACAGTTTACTAACATCTATTCTAGCTCATCGAACTATGGGAAACATTCTTGGTACAGTTGGATGCGGAAGATGGCGAGCAACCTTACTACAAACCGCCCGTGGTCCCTCTACCCTCAGAGTCGGAACAATCAAGTCACAGGCTCTCAGGGGAGACTCAGAATGACTCGGTATCAGGAACGGCTCATGAGGATGAAGAATAATTTGCAAGCGGGCACTATCATCCATTTCTGCTATAACAAGGTTGAAACAATCTTGCGAGCTTCATCATTTTGCAGTCCCCAAAATGTATAGTGTACAAAGATAATACCACATCCCAACGCCTTGAAATGCCACCCTCTTCTGTCTTCCACCCTTGAATTTATACATGGCTTCCCAAGACCGTAGTCCTATCTCCTCCAATGATCATACACTGTTCCGAAACACAGGTAACCCGAAGTAACCGCCAGGCACATGGATATCCCCCTAGTACTTGTTCCCCTTCGCAGTATGTCCCTTCATCTGATCCGCCGTAACCTGCACCCCCTTAAACCCACTAATCAAATCCATCATCGTATCCTCCTGCTCTCCCTCGCCCTCCGCACCCTCCTCACCACCCTCAACATCCCAACCGCGTCCGAAGCGCTCACGGAAAGCCCTCAGGCGTCCAGCCTCATCCTCCTCCACGTTCCGCAGACTCGCCATGCTGGGCTGCCATAACGGGTGGTTCCGCGAATCCTTCGTAGACTTGTATATCGGCGCCGGCGACGTCGTGCGCTGCGTGTATGTCGAGCCGTCGGAGAGGGTGATGAGTTGAGTGAAGGTGTAGGGGCGGTGCGGGCGCTTCTGCAGAGAGGCGTGGCGGACTTGGTTGCTGGCGCAGGTTGAGGAGATGGGAGAGAGAGTTGCGCGCCGTAAGGCGTGGGATGGGAGGGAAGCCATTATGTGTTGAGTTTCCGTGAATCGTTGGCTTGGTCGTGGGTGGTTATACTCCTGGCTGAGGGTGGTGGTCGATATAATTATTTTGTCGCTACGGTTGCCGAGAGGAGCTAGAAGCGCGGGAATGTTTCTTGGAAACTTCAATGACAGCCTTGCCGACGGTAATCCTTTTGACAGCTCGGCACTAGCAATTTGACAATTGCTGCCGCAGCGATTGTTGCTGCCCCTACCGGATCCATCGGAATGTTTCCAAATACCTCGAGGATGGGTGCGAGGCCCAGTACTGTGAAGGGGTTCTATTCCCTGTTCTATGAATGGTCGGTGGCTAATAGCCCTGGTATGTTTCTTGCCATTCTGGCTCAGCTATTTAAATTTAAGGCCCAATTTACTAATATAACCATGCAGCAAGGACGCACAGTATATGCAGTGGCTTTTCGCAAGCAATTGCTTCCTCCCAGCGCGTGGTTCAAGCGCGTAGTTTCACCTGCTCGAGCAAAAGACAACATGTGAAGAGCGCCCGCCCAGACGATGAACCCCCTCTGTCCACCCACCTACGACAAATTATGCGCAAGATGCCCCATGCTGCAGTGGTAGCTACAACCAGCACTGGTGGCCCGGCCTCCTCCTCGACCTCGAATTTCAGAGGAATGACGGTATCCTCCTTCTCGACTGTGACGCTCACACCCACGCCGATTATCTCATTCAATATACGCAGGCCATCTCGGACACTAGATGCAATACGCCAGTCTCGCCAGTTTCTCATACATGTTCTTTCTGCTACGGAAGCTGGGGCAAATGTGGCACATGGTTTTACAAAGGGGAATTCAACGGATGTATTCGCGAAGCAGCAGTTTGCCGTGTGGAATGTCGGGAGCAAATACCCTCTGCCATTACTATCTTCTCCAGGCGTCACGAAGGTGCTGAGATGCAAGCTAAGGGACGTAGGAGAGGGTGCAGGCTTGATTGAGGTTGGTGACCACGTTCTGGTTCTGGCAGATGTGGAGAGCATCATTGAGCCGCCGCCAACGAAGGATGCGGCGACCTTGGAGGATAGAGGACTGTCATATCTCGATCGAGCTTACAGGGAAGTTGGGAAGGTTATACAAGTGCTAGACCCAGCGGAAAGTGAAGAGCTGGAGAAGCAATGATGATGGGTTGAATGGCCCCTGTACCACCGTCTGCTAGACAACTACATGTATATTATTGTTAAAATATTGGAAATAATACCAGAGTAATTTTATGTTGCCACCACGAGAAGAATACTTGAAGCGGTGACCCTCATTGATGAGACTTTTCGACCTGACTAGCCAAGCTTACACCGGGCGTGCATGCATGAGTCGAACCAGAGCTCTAGACTGCCTCCAGCAATGAACGACCCCTCAATATGGTGTAACATCGCCACTGAAGACAGAGACAACAGAATCGGAATCTTAAGGCAGGTACAGCTTCATATATTGTTAAATTCAATAATATAAACAATTCCCATATAATTATCGCTCGTGAAACTGTGATAAATTTAGAATGAAGCGTTTCTTTGTTCTTTGGTTGCTATGCAACGGTGTGGGACCAGGCTGGCAGCCTTGCCTAAATTTCTACGGGTTTCTGCGACTTTCGCGCTACTGGTCGCTTCTGTTTCTGGGCGGTTCTGTGGATGAAAGGCAGGCAAATTCCAAACTATTAATTAGTCCTCCGCCTCACCACCACAACTTCAAGCATTTTCTCTCTCAAACCATTGATACCCATTAAACCTGTCCACGTACCTGCTCTTCAATTAGCAAGGTCATTCACTCTACACCTCCAAGTAAGTCTAATCACTCACCTCATTCAAGTCGGTGTGTTTGTTTTGGGGAAGAAGCTCGTTCAGCCTCATGGTCCTCCAAAGATTATGATCTTGAGAGGCTATGGTCTGATCAGAGGGGCAAATACAATCTCTACAAACACTTCGCCTTCACTGTGAATCCATCTATACAGGGCATCATTTCTAACACCTGCGCTTCTAGAACTATCATAAATAATCCACAAATATGGTTGCCGAGACCTTCGAGTTCCAGGCTGAGATCTCCCAGCTTTTGGGCCTCATTATCAACACCGTCTACTCTAACAAGGAGATCTTCTTGAGAGAGCTTATCTCTAACGGCTCCGATGCCTTGGACAAGATCAGATATGAGTCGCTCGCAGACCCAAGCAAGCTTGACAGCGGCAAGGACCTGAGAATCGATATCATCCCCGACAAGGTCAACAAGACCCTTACCATCCGAGATACCGGTATTGGTATGACCAAGGCTGTAAGTACTGCGTTTACACATCGTATTTGCCACCAGCTAATAATTTTTTTAGGATCTCGTCAACAACCTGGGTACGATCGCCCGTTCGGGAACCAAGCAGTTCATGGAGGCTCTGACCGCCGGTGCTGATGTTTCCATGATTGGTCAATTCGGTGTTGGTTTCTACTCTGCATACCTCGTTGCAGACCGTGTTACCGTCGTCTCGAAGAACAACGACGATGAGCAGTACATCTGGGAGTCTGCCGCTGGTGGAACTTTCACCCTTACCCAAGATACCGAAGGCGAGCCACTCGGCCGCGGTACCAAGATCATCCTCCACCTTAAGGATGAGCAGACCGACTACCTTAACGAGGCCAAGGTCAAGGAGGTTGTCAAGAAGCACTCCGAGTTCATTTCTTACCCAATCTACCTTCACGTCGAGAAGGAGACTGAGACCGAGGTCCCAGATGAGGAGGCTGAGGAGTCCAAGGAGGAGGAGGGAGATGACAAGAAGCCAAAGATCGAGGAGGTAGATGATGAGGAGGATGAGAAGAAGGAGAAGAAGACCAAGAAGGTCAAGGAGACCAAGATCGAGGAGGAGGAGCTCAACAAGCAAAAGCCAATCTGGACCCGCAACCCATCAGACATCACCCCTGAGGAGTACGGTGCGTTCTACAAGTCCCTCTCCAACGACTGGGAGGACCACCTTGCTGTTAAGCACTTCTCCGTTGAGGGTCAACTTGAGTTCAAGGCCATCCTCTTCGTTCCCAAGAGGGCCCCATTCGACCTCTTCGAGACCAAGAAGACCAAGAACAACATCAAGTTGTACGTTCGCCGCGTCTTCATCACTGATGATGCCACCGATCTTATCCCAGAGTGGTTGAGCTTCGTCAAGGGTGTTGTTGACTCTGAGGATCTCCCCCTCAACCTGTCCCGTGAGACTCTCCAGCAGAACAAGATCATGAAGGTCATCAAGAAGAACATCGTCAAGAAGACCCTTGAGCTGTTCCAGGAGATCGCTGAGGACAAGGAGCAGTTCGACAAGTTCTACTCTGCTTTCGGCAAGAACATCAAGCTTGGTGTTCACGAGGATGCCCAGAACCGTGGCGCCCTTGCCAAGCTCCTCCGTTACAACAGCACCAAGACTGGTGATGATGACCAGACCTCGTTCGCTGACTACATCACCCGCATGGGCGAGCACCAGAAGAACATCTACTACATCACTGGTGAGAGCTTGAAGGCTGTCCAGAAGTCCCCCTTCTTGGACTCCCTTAAGGCCAAGAACTTCGAGGTTCTCTTCCTCGTCGACCCAATTGACGAGTACGCCATGACTCAGCTCAAGGAGTTCGACGGCAAGAAGCTTGTTGATATTACCAAGGACTTCGAGCTTGAGGAGACCGATGAGGAGAAGGCCGAGCGCGAGACCGAGGAGAAGGAGTACGAGAGCACCGCCAAGGCCCTGAAGAACATCCTCGGCGACAAGGTCGAGAAGGTTGTTGTCAGCCACAAGCTGGTTGGCGCTCCTTGCGCCATCCGCACTGGCCAGTTCGGTTGGTCCGCCAACATGGAGCGTATCATGAAGGCCCAGGCTCTCCGTGACACCTCCATGAGCTCTTACATGTCTTCCAAGAAGACCTTCGAGATCTCCCCCAAGTCCCCAATTATTAAGGAGTTGAGGAAGAAGATCGAGGCTGACGGCGAGAACGACCGCACCGTCAAGTCCATCACCCAGCTTCTGTTCGAGACCTCCCTTCTCGTCTCCGGCTTCACCATTGAGGAGCCAGCTGGATTCGCCGACCGCATCCACAAGCTTGTCTCCCTCGGCCTCCAGGTCGATGAGGAGCCAGAGGTTGAGGGTGAGGCCGCCACCGAGGCTGGTGCCACCGACGCCCCCGTCGAGAGCGCCATGGAGGAGGTCGACTAGATATGTGTACAACATCTAAAGGATTTGCGGAGTTGACGGCTGGTTTTACGCGATAGTCACTTCATACATCGACTCTTTACTTTTCGTGTTACGCATCTCACGACAGTCTCCGAGGGTTAATAAACGTGGTGCTTTGCTTCTTTGGCGTGTTCTAAACGGGACAGGCTGGCAGATAAAAGCGCAAAATAAATGAAAGACGGTTTCTACTTTACTTGATATCTGAACTTGCTGTGAATATGTGAATGTAATATGTGAATGTAATATGTAATAACAACTAAATTTAAGTGTAAGATGAAGCTTATTATACGGCCTGAGAGTCATTATCTGGATGGGAATATGTTGATTGTTAAGGAGGTAAGTGGCGTTGGAACTTACATACGGTAAAAGTATTGAGGCATATGTGAAATGACATTTCATCAATTAGTATCTTATTTGCAGTTATTATATCATCTTCGTGACTTAATTCGTATTTCTGACAAGGCTCTCTCGCTGAGGTAGCGCTACCTTTTTATATTACCTCTCCCGTCGCGTCGTCGCGTGCGGTAGCGGTCAACTTTACGCGAAATCCGACGACCTTCAGATTCTTGCCGCATAATCCTTGACATAGCTCCAAGTCAAACCACTCAACCACCACCCAACTCCCTCACACAGATCTCGCCACTTTATCATCATGTACGTCTTTTTGCGACAAGCTTCATATTGCCAGCTTCAAGCTCAATTTGGAAATTGTCGGCGCAGTTCAGGGTGAATTCAGGAAGTGCATAGCTAACGGTGGCACTATTATAGGGAGAGCTTCGACAACATCTACCTCGACCTCTCGAAAGATTCGGGAAAATGCAGATTTGCTGAGAATGGCTTTGGCTGGAAGCCTTCGGGCGGTGGCGACACCTTCACGCTTGATCGCTCAAACATCGGTGGAGCACAGTGGAGCAAAGCATCCAAAGGGTTCGAAGTGAAGATTCTACAGCGCAATTCCGGCGTTGTACAGATGGATGGCTTCCAACAAGATGTGAGCATCACGGTTATCACGATTGGCGTACCCTCTAACCTATATGCAGGACTTCGACCGGCTGACAAAAGTATTCAAGAACTGGTACAGCACGAACCTCGAGACGAAGGAACACGCATTACGAGGATGGAACTGGGGCAAGGCGGAATTCGGAAAGGCGGAGCTGGCATTCAACGTGCAGAACAGACCCGCGTTTGAGATCCCCTACTCGGAGATCTCGAATACGAATTTGGCGGGGAAGAACGAGGTGGCGGTTGAGTTCTCGTTGCCGGCGGGTGGCGACGAGGGCGCAAACGGAAGCTTGGGCGGTGCGAAGGGGAAGGGGAAGAAGGCTGGCGCGGGGAAGGATCAGTTGGTTGAGATGCGCTTCTATATTCCTGGCACGACGACTAAGAAGGAGACGATGGAGGACGGAGAGGCGCCGAGTGATGCGGAGGATGAGGAGGAGCAGAATGCGGCGAACCTCTTCTATGATACCCTGATGGAGAAGGCGGAGATTGGAGAGGTTGCTGGCGACACATATGCGACATTCTTGGATGTGCTGCACTTGACGCCAAGGTACGTTCTATCCCTACTGTTGAAGACGGTGAAGACGGTCACTAATGTGGTATCAACAGAGGCCGTTTCGATATCGACATGTACGAATCTTCCTTCCGCCTGCGCGGTAAGACATACGATTACAAGATCCAATACGAGGCTATCAAGAAGTTCATGATCCTCCCCAAGCCCGACGAACTGCACTTCATGATCTGCATCGGTCTCGACCCACCCCTGCGCCAAGGCCAAACCCGCTACCCCTTCCTGGTGATGCAATTCAAGAAGGACGAAGAAGTGACAATCGACCTCAACATGACCGAGGAGCTTCTCAAAGAGAAATATGAAAACAAACTCGCCCCCCACTACGAGCAACCCCTCCACCAAGTCGTCACCCAAGTCTTCCGCGGCCTAACCGGCAAAAAGGTCAACCAACCCGCCAAAGACTTCCTCAGCCACCACCAACAATACGGCATCAAGTGCTCCATCAAAGCCGCAGAGGGCTTCCTCTACTGCCTCGAGAAGGCCTTCATGTTCGTCCCCAAGCCCGCCACCTACATCGCCTACGACTCGGTCAGCTCGATCACGCTCTCGCGCGTCGGCGGCGCCATCTCCGCCAGCCGCACCTTCGACATCGCCATCCACCTCAAGAACGGCGCGGGCGACAGCCAGTTCAGCAACATCAACCGCGAAGAGCAGAAGCCGCTCGAGGAGTTCTTCAAGGTCAAGGGGCTGAGGGTTAAGAATGAGATGGATGAGGATACGTCGATTCTTGCTGCTGCGCTGGGGGCCGAGGATCTCGCGAGCAGCGATGAGGATGTGGTGGCTGCGCGGGCGGATCGTGGGAGTGCGGAGGAGGATGAGGAGAGTGCGGATGAGGACTTTAGGACGGATAGTGAGAGTGATGTTGCGGAGGAGTATGATGAGGAGCATGAGAGTAGTGGGAGTGGGAGTGAGGCGGGTAGTGATGCGGAGGAGGAACGGCCGGCGAAGAAGAGTAAGCACTGAGTGGGGGGGATGCATGGGTTGGGTATGGGGTGGGATTGTGGATGGCGTTCCGGATGGGGTTGGATCTCGCTATAGGGGTGAAGGCAAAATATGGGGTCGTTAATGACACCTCGATCCTCAGTCTTCGTTTTGAATCTAAATGTGATTAGTACAGTGTGGGAGCCGTTATTCATATCGCATCAAGCATAATCACAATTTGTTTTGGCATCTTGTAGCAAGCGTAGATGGAACAACTCCTATATTTCGCAAGTCACTCAAACCCCCCACCCCCACCCACTCCATAACCCCGATCTCCCGACGTCTACCAAGAACCCCCAGTCCCCCATCCTGCTCGCAACACCAACGCCTGTAGATGCAAATAGAGGTATCGTCATCGTCATTGAGTCTCTCTTCACGGCCGTTTATCCATCCTTCTCTGACACAGTACCTTCTACGTCGGAATCCTGAGTATAGTCCGTCCCTCTCTTCATCCCCTCAGGGTGTGTATCTCTGGTTTTTTTTGTCTTCCCGGCCACTGTTGTATCCTCTCCCATACTTTTATCGCTGTTTACATAATAGCACCAGCCCCCACCATCCCTCAGTAATTCTCATACCCGCTCTGCCCCTGCGTATACCTCCCCGCCGGCTGCCCCGCTGGCTGCCTTGGCTGATTCAGATCCGCGAACCACGGGTGCTGCAGCGCATCATGTGCGCTAACCCTCAGCTCCGGACGCAGCTGCAACATGCGCTGCAGCAAGTCAATGCCACTCGGGTCGATCTGCGGCAAGATAGCACGGAGGTCCTGCGTATTGAAGACCTGGAGATTAGGCTTGTACTCGGAGAACTGGCTGATTCCCGGCCACGAGCGCTCAGATGGCGTGCCCATGATGCGGAAGATCCGCACGAGCTGGTCCTCGTTGGTGGTGCCGGGGAACAGCGGACGACCCGTGTACATCTCCGCCATGATGCAGCCGGCGGACCAGATGTCGATGCTGGTGTTGTAGGTGCGGGAGCCGAGGAGGACGTCGGGGGCGCGATACCACAGCGTCACGACCTCGTTGGAGAAGGTGTTGACAGGGATGCCGAAGGCGCGGGCGAGTCCAAAGTCGCCGAGCTTGAGCTGGCCCTTGGCGTTGATGAGGAGGTTCTGCGGCTTCAGGTCGCGGTGCAGCACGCGGTTGGTGTGGCAGAAGTCGATGCCCTTGAGCAGCTGGTGCATGAAGGACTTGATGGTGACGGGGTTGAGGGCGCCGCGGTCGCCGGTCGTGTCCATGTACCGCTTCAGATCGGTGTCCATGTACTCGAAGACGAGCATGAGCTTGCTCTCGGTGTGGATGACATCGTGGAGGGAGAGGATGTTGGGGTGTTTCAGCTCTTTCATCAGGGAGATCTCGCGGATGGCCGTGGAGGGTGTGCCTTCTTCCGAGTCGAGGTGGATCTCTTTGAGGGCGACGAGCTCGCCAGTCTGGCGGTTACGCCCTTTGAAGACCTGCGCATGTTAGCTGAAGCTCGCTCGCGGTGGCGACTGGAGGTGGGGGGTCGAGGCGCATACCGTGGCATAGGTTCCCTCTCCTAGCTTCTCCAACTGCTGGAAGGAGCTGGGGTTCCTCTTGTCCATGGTTGCGGTGAGGGCTTCGGAGTCGAGGGTATGGACACTGATGGTGCTGGGTAGCCTTGTTGGAGGGCGTCTCTCGCCGCGGGGAGAGGGAGGAAAGGTGCGGAAGGGTGGGCGGGCTGAAGGTTTTGGCGCCGCAGTGTAGCGTGGATCGAAGAGGAGGGAGGCGGGAGAGCAGAGCTGCTTAAGTATTTGTTTATTCGCGTCGTTAGACCCGATAGAGGACGCCGTTGTTGAGGATGCCAGTATGGAGACTGGACGACGGGGACTAGGAGGTGCTTTTCTTCTTTCGAGGGATGGGGTCGTCCCGTCGGTGACAATCGTAACCAAGTTACCAGGTATCAGGCTCCACGAGGCACCACTATTGCACCACTATTTGGGGAGAATCTAGTGGATAACCAGGGCTCTAATTGAAGATTGTCGGGCGCTAAAGAGGGATCAAGTTAGTTGAGTTATAGCGAGTACAGCAGTGTTCCAGTGGGAGTATCAACCAAAGAATAGCGCTGAGTTGCCGCCGTTGGGATAAGATGTACAGTACGAGATCAGTACGGGGACAGTACGTGTGTGGTTGATTGGAAGAGGGGGAGTGGGATGATTGAGTGGGATGGGTGGGAGGCGAGGCCACGCTTGACCTGTTTAGGCAATATAGCCTTGGGTCGCAGCCTTCCGCTCTTTGATATGGGGACTTTTGGTTGATAGCCTCTGATTGGCTCTGATTGGTTGTGATAGGCTGACACCGCGGGGTCAAGTGGTGCTGTGTTGTACCTTGAGTGGTACTCGTCTGTGTCTAATCACAGCTATTCAACCATACAACTGATCATACGTAGTTACCTTAATAGTACATTCAACCCCCATCCCACCTCATCCCAACGGTCTGGTAATAGAGAGAGATCGTGATATGATGGTCTGAATATATACTACACGTATCTCGTGCCTCACCTACAACTCAACAACATCTCCGCTACCTGATTCAGCTTCTCCTGTCTTCATACATACAACTAACTCTTTGGCATGATATGATCAGCCCTGCCCCAACTGTGAATACGACTACCTCGGACACACCCCGCCAACATGCGGCCTATACCTGGCGATGATGCCTTCTCCTCCCGCTCCCGGACATCCAGCGACGGCGATAAGGCCACTCCGCTCGCACGACCAGATCAACCACCGATGACCTTCTTCCTAGCCGACGAGAAGTCCATGGAAGCTTCGCTTGACAGGTCTGTCTCAAACAGCTCCAATCAGCGTTATCTCCGCGATCACCTCAAGCGAAGCAACTACGGCGTTGAGAGCATCGAGACGATAGCATCACAAGACAGTTACGACCAAGATACCACCGACGAGGGTCGGAATACGCGAAGCCGCGGCAAGAAATTCAATATGAGCAGGACAAGCTCTGAAGACCTTGGTGGCTCATACTCCCCGTCGAGCGTGTCCTCTCCAGACGTCACGAGGAACACTTCACCGGCCGAGCCACGGCGAACCCTTCCAAATACAGCACCGCTCTCAGCAACACCCTCCTTCCTCGAATCGCCCATGCTGGGCTCCATTTCAACATTTCCGCACACACGACAACCCTCTGAGATTGACTTCCTGACCGATGACGGCGGGAGTCAGGCTATAGTTTCAAGTGGAGACGAGGACACTACCCAGCCACCGGATGTCATGGAAGGCAGCAGCAGCTCACAGCTGGTAATGCCGAGTCTGCAAATGCCGAGCAGGAGGCCATTTACGGACAAGGGAAAGAATATGGGGAGGCTTAAGATCCTGATCGCTGGCGATTCTGGTATGTCTCTCACGTGGTGCCCAGGGTGAACAATGAATGATTACTGACTTTATATAGGAGTTGGAAAGACATCCCTCATTAAGTCTATTGTGCAGAGCTGTTCCGATATTGTGCACGTCGACCCTCTCGAATCCATACCCTTAACTGCGTCTGAGACGCTGAGGAGCTCCAGGCGGAAGTCCAAGGATACGATGCGTACACATTCAACCACAAAAATCACCGAAGTGTTTGCGAGCACAAGGGCGTATCCTAGTTGGTGGTCGGAATCTGAAGATTCCAAGATTCTTCGAAGGAGGAGAAGCATGGGTGATACAGTTCTGGAGCGTAACCTCTGCTTTGTCGATACACCAGGCTATAGTGGTGGGATATCTGTGGGTATCATTCTCTCTCCATATTGAACATAACTAACTTTTGGCAGAGCATGGAATGCATTACTCCCGTTATGGATTATATCCAGTCCCAATACGAACGTACCGTCTCAGCAGACCTTTCTGACGGAGAATTAATCAGCATGCTAAGTGGTGGTGGAGGGTCTCAAATCGATGCCGTCTTATATGTTGTAAATAAAAGTGAGTTCTCCTCCAGAAAATCATTTGTGCTTTGCTAACAAAAGTAGGCTTAAAACCCGTAGACATCGAATACCTCCGCCGCCTCTCCCAATTCACCAATATCATCCCACTCCTCGCCCAAGCCGACACCCTCACACCCGAGCAGCGCGAGCACCTCAAATCCCGTATGGCAAGCGACCTCGAATCCGCCAACATCCGCCCCCTCCCCCTCAACATCGCCGAAAGCGGGCTCCCCCACCCCGGCATCTCAGCCCCCTACGCCGTCTCCTCCCTCCCCTCCGACGACCGCGAGACCATGGACGCCAGCCTGCTCATGTCACCAGACTACATCCAACCCCTCGTCCCCACCGACCTCCCCGCCCTAATCGCCCACGTCTTCCACCCCTCCGCAATCTCCTACCTGCGCCACCATGCCTCCCTCAAACTCGTCCGCCACCGAAAATCAACACACTCTTCCATCTCCTCCATCCCTCGCTCCCTCACCGCCTCGATTCAACCATCAAACATACTCAGCGCCCCACTCGGCGCAGCAAACACCTTCGCCCTCGCCCGCATCGCCGACCACTCCCAGCGAGAAGAGCAACTCGCACATATCCGCCTCAGTACATGGGCCGCAGACCTCCAACGCAGCATCGCCAACGAGCGGGCGCGCTTCGAGGCTCTAGCACGCGGCGAACGCGCTGTGTGGCTCACGCAGAGGCTTGGAGAGTGCGTGGCTGACGGGACGCTGGTGGCTGTTTCAGCTCCAGGACGGGGGAGGTCAAGCAAGTCCGAGGGGAGGAGGAGGGGGGCGATGAATCATGTTGGGAGGGGGAGGGAGGATCCATTGGGGTTGTTAGGGGTTCATGACCGTGTGGGCGAGGCGGTTTGGGTTGTCGTTAGGGTCGTGAGTGGGGTGGGGGTTGTGGGTGCTATTGCGTTTTGGGCGATGAGGGGGTGGAGGGCGGAGGAGGGATGGGGGGTTGGGTGGGAAGGGTTGATTGACTTTTAGATTGGGTGTTTTGTTGGAGGCTAGATTGGGAGTGTGATAGAGGGGTGGGTGGTTTTGGATCTGGGTTGAGGGATGGGGGAGTGGAGGAGTATATTGTCTTGCGTATTTGGGGGTTTGGAGTTCATCGGGTTAGGGGGATGGGGATATCACTTCGCTACTCTGCTTCCTTGAGTCGGCTATGCCGCATTGCTGGAGCCCGTTTGTTTTATTGGGGGGTATAGGTATCTAGTATTCTAGTTTATAAGAAATCAACATAAACAAAAAAAACAATCTATAATATAACGGCAAGGTCGTTCCATATCCGTCATCGAATTATCTCGGAAAGGAGCGCCAGGCCATCAATACCCCATCCATCCAACACCACGACAGAAAGACCGCATTCACCACGCAATAGCAGGAGGCGTAGCGTAACTCCCCGCAGCCGACCCTCCACTACAACTCGTCGGCACCTGATTCCCCCCACTCTCCCCCCAAGACGGCGGCACCGCACCACCCCTTCTATCTATCGCCGTCAAAAACGAAGCATAAGACCACGTAAGATCCACCGCCGACAGCGGCGCGCCATCATCCCTCCCAAACTGCTCGGCGAGAGATCCATCGGTGGGTGTATACTTCTGCACAATCGCCACGAAGCCATCAGCGTACGTCTTCACCGCGGCAGTGAGAGATGTGTATTCGGTTGAGTTGGCGGAGTAGGTCCCTACGGCGGCGGTGGAATCGAGGTCTTTGAAGAAGGGGAGGGAGGTCTCGTCTATAGCGAGGGTGCCGGTGGTGTCCCACTGGTATAGAGCATCATAGAGCAGCTCTGCCGCTGCAAGGGTGCAGAGATACCATGGGTTTCCGCCTTGATACACATCCTCCGCATACCTCCCAATAGCCGCAGCGGACCCAGCGGCGTTGGCGCTGTTAATCCCGTAAACCGAGCGGAAGGAATCAACCACCTTCTTGTGGTTTGCTAGAGCGCGGGAGGAGCAGGGCTGGAACGTCGCGTCGTCGCATGGTGCGGCGGGGTCGAAGGTGAGGATGTTGGCGAGGAGGGAGTTGGCGTCCAACCCGGTCCGGCCGCTCGTTCCGAGGTTGGAGATGATGGCTTCTCCGTTCCAGAAGCTTTGGAGGAAACAGAGGATTTGTGGAGCTTGGGATGCGCAGTTTTCGCAAGATTGGCCGAGGGCGGTGGCGAATGCATCACCCTGGACTAGAGATTTATGCTGAGCTGCAATTGTGAAAAACGAAGACCCCTGCACTTCTTCCCAGAGATCAAAGCCAGTTTGATTCCAGTACTGCGCCACATATGCCAAATCATTCCGAACAACCGGCCAGATGTTCGAAAGCGCCAAGTCCTTCTTGTCCTTCGCTATCAGGTAATTGCCGTAAGTGATAAGAGCCGATGCGCGGAGTGCGGGCCCGTCGCGCTGCGGGCGTCCCCAGGCTTCGGTGAAGGGACTCATGTCGACGTTGAATTTTGGTTCGGCGAGGCCGAGGCCGTTGGAGAGGTCGCCGGAGGGGTTGGAGACGGATTGGAGGGCTGCTTGGGCGGTGATGTAGGATTGGATTGTGGGTTCGAGGGTGGTGTCGCCGGCGATGAGGCGCTCGATTAGGGCGGTGAAGGTTAGGGCTGAGTCGCGGGTCCAGGTGTAGAAATCTGTGAGGAGGGGTTAGTTAGTAATAGGAACCTAATAGCTAATGGTGATATGATACTCCTCCACTGCGGAGAACTCGTAGGAAAAGACTCACAATCCGGATCGGTCTTAGAAGGGGATGCAACCACAATTCCAGCGGAAGCCCCAGAAGCACCAGCCCCAGCGGAGCCTATGTTACTAAGGACTCCTTTGTAGGCAATAGGCCCTTCAGACGCGATGAAGCTATCGACATCAGAGTCGGACTGTCTCTTAAAGCGGTGACGAAGCGCCGGTGTCGCAAATACCGAGCTGGCGAGGAACTCGACGGCAATGACAGTCTTGAGGAACATTTTGAGAAATAAAGTAAGATCCGTTGTATTCAAATCTGGCGGGAAGAGAACGAGTGTTGGTTTCCTGAGGATTTACTTGATGGGACTGTATAAAGTCCATGCAGACTATTTGTAGTTTGTAGGCCATTACGGTGCTGATTGTCATCGTCGCTCTTTTTTTGTGATGACGACAAAAGCATGATAGAAACACGAGGCACGGAGTAATCTAACAGAAATGACACCGGGCCGGAGGGTAGAAAAATGTCGATCACGGCGTTGCACTGAAATAAAAATCTTGAGAATGCATTTACTGAATAAATGACACCAGACCGGAGGGTAGAAAGATGTCGATCACGGCGCTGCACTGGAATAAAAATCTTGAGAGCGCATTATCTACTGAATGAAGGCCGCAAACAGGTTGATCAGTTTGAAACGACGTTAGATGCCATGATAGACACAAATTGGAGACTGGCGTGACGGTCCGATAAGGGGAGGGGGTTGTGCGGAGTGACGATGGGGAATGGTGATGATCCGCACCCACGAGCGAAGTGGAGCAAGGAGAAAGGAGAGGAGAGCACGCGGGCCGTAGGGCGTGAAACATTCACCTCCACCCTCGTCATAGGGCTTGAACGTGATTTTTAAAGTATGAGAGTGTAGACTTACGGACGTAAGTGGAGGCGACATCCTTCCGAAGCCCTACTCGGCATTATGCTGATCCCATAAACAAGCAATCACAAAAGTGGCCTATATAAGCGAGCCGAGGCATACCCCTAACTCATGCTAATCCATGAAGACGGAATGATGGCTGAAGATCTCTTTCTTTCTGGCATCGTACTCGCTGTTCGTAATCGGAGGCTGTTCGGAGGCTGTTCGGCGACTCTTCTCGGGTGGAGATGCTGCTGTCGGGGCAGACGCGTGGTCGAGGTTAGCGGGGCGTGGGGCGTGCGTGCCGCCCCTTGTTAGTCGGCAGGCAGGGACCTTATTGATCGGCACCTGGGGATACCCTGGCCGTATATGCGGGGATGAGGGGACGTGCCGATCTAAAGCCGCATAGGACCCAAGCGAGCAGGGCTGGGCAGAAAAAGATATGATACTGGATAAGAGAGACCGAAGCTTCGGCCCTTTACTCATCGCGTTTGTAGGCCCCTTGGAAACTGTATTATTTTGTCGCAGGTGGCTGAAGAGTGGCTATCTAGTATGGGGTTTTTTTGGCATGAGTTTGAGTGAAAGTTGGATGGGAAGTGGTTGGAGCTGGATCACGCCGCAATTGATTGTGATGTATAAGGTTATTAGAGACTTATGTTAGAAACTTCCCCCGTTTTCAGAACCTCTCCCGAGTATCATGATTTGAATTCCAGTATATTGGCTACCATCATGAAAGAAATGAATCTGTTTTGCGCTATCCTAGGCGTTGCCTTATACTGTAAGTGGCTTTGGGGCCCATGATCGAGATAGCAGTTCTTAACAGTCAAACAGATATTCACGGAGTCGCTGCACAAGACGTTGCAGCCCATGGATACTATACAGAGCCAACCACTGGGATTGTCTTTTACACCAGTTCTGAGCCCAATGGCACAGTTATTGGGGATGGCTTCTTTTCACCTGTTTCACTCGGAGGTTTTACCTGGGGTATAGCGCTTCCAGAGGATGCTGCAACAGTGGATTCTTATGATTACCTTGGTTTACTTGTTAGTTTGTCCCAATATAAGAGCGATTGTCACACGCAAACTAATAGGGTAGGTCGGCTCTCGTCCTAATGGCACAGGATGGTCTGGTATAGTTCAGGGTCAGAATTCTAGTGCCGAAATGCCAAATCATCTGATGCTCCTCGCATGGGCGACTGGGAACGGCGATGAAATTGCCACCTCATTGCGATACGCCACGTGTGTATCTCGGACCAGGTCGATTTGAGTCCAGCACTAACATATACATTCAGTGGCTACCTAGCCCCGAAAATCTACGGCGGAACCGCCTCGATAACCCAATTATACACGAATGTGAACGAGACTAATTGGGTGATGGTTTACAAGTGCAATCGATGTCTTATCTTTGATGACCCTTCTCAGACACCGTTCAATATCTCAACCTCCAATGGCCAATTTGAGCAGGGCTGGGCTCAGTCCACCGAGGCCCCGAATGACCCAGAAAACGCCAATTCTGATATTGCACAACACAACAATGGAATGGGAGAATTCAAAGTTGAAGTGGCGTCCGCTACACAGGCTTCATATTCGATTTGGGCAAGCATGACTGCGACCGCAACCTCTGTCAGTGGAACAGCGGGCCCTACTGCTACCTTCTCGTCAAACCTGGTTCCCACCTCTACTTACGATTATGTGGTCATTGGAGGTGGGGCTGGTGGAATTCCTCTTGCCGATAAACTTTCAGAGTATGGAAAATCCGTGCTGCTCGTTGAGAAGGGCGTTGCATCCTCAGCTAGATGGGGGGGAAGTTAGTTTATGCTCCCTTTCTTTCCTCATAGCTAACAACTCATTTTTAGCTATCCGACCCCCTAGTGGATGGCTCGACGGCACCAACATGACTTGGTTTGATGTCCCTGGAGAGTGTAATAGAATGTGGACTGGGGGAGCGGCTGATACAAGCTGTGTGGGATGCGCAGCTGCATGCACTGATATTGATCAAATGGCAGGATGTGTTCTAGGTGGCGGAACCGCAGTTAATTCTGGCCTATGGTGGAATGTAAGTAGCCATTATTTGGACTTCTGAATGATGGACACTGACTACGCGATAGCCACACCCCGAAGACTGGGATTACAATTTTCCACCGGGCTGGAAGTCTACCGACATGGAATCTGCTTCATCTCGAGTATTTTCCCGCATTCCAGGCACTGACCATCCTTCAATGGATGGCCAGCGCTATCTGCAGACCGGCTTTGATGTTGTATCACAAGGATTGTCAAGTGCGGGCTGGACGAGTGTCACTGCAAATGAGGTGCCTTCTCAAAAGAATAGGACATACGCACATACCCCGTATATGTACAGCAACGGCGAACGAGGTGGACCCATGGCTACTTATCTAGTTTCTGCGATGGCAAGACCAAACTTCGACTTGTGGTTGAATACGAGTGTGGAGAGGATTGTCCGTACTGGTGGACATGCCACCGGTCTCGAGGTTATCCCTACTCAAAATGGGGGCTATCAGGGTACGATTCAGTTGACCCCAACTACAGGGAGAGTCATCGTATCTGCTGGCGCCTTTGGGACCTCAAAGCTACTCTTCAGAAGTAAGTTATCCTGTTCACGAATATTGAGTAACGCCTAACGCGAATCAAGGTGGAATTGGCCCACAAGACCAGCTGGAAGTCGTTAAGTCGAGCACGGATGGTCCTACAATGATCAATGAAACGGATTGGATCATTCTCCCTGTCGGGTATAATCTCGGTGACCATCTCAACGTGAGTCGAATATTCCGTACTAACCTTCACATGACTCTAACAGAATTAGACTGATACAGTTATTGCACATCCAAACATGTCGGCATCATATTATGATTGGCAGGGATCCTGGACTTCACCTATCGAAGCGGATAAGACTAGTTACCTAAGTACGTATCTCTTTACCAGAAGAGTATTGTCACTAACACATACAGGCAATCGTATTGGGCCCCTCGCACAAGCTGCTGCAGACATTGGACCGATGATGTGGGAGGAAATTACAGGGCCGGACGGTATTGTGAGGCAGATGCAATGGACGTCTAGAGTTGAAACTTCTAACGGCGTAACTGCACCAGCTGATAATGGTACGCTCTCTTCCCCTCCACTCCTTTTGACCACCAACTAAAGTTAGCATAGATGTAATGACACTGAGTCTTTACCTTGGTCGAGGCGCTATCTCTCGAGGACGACTCACTATTCAAAAGGGGTTAAACATGGTAGTCTCGACCATTCCGTACGGAGACGAGAACGATCTTGCTGTTGTTGCCACGGCGCTCGATAACATGGCAAATGCCCTGACGAAGGTGCCGGGCCTAACATATCTCTTCGGGCCTAGAGCCAGCACCAGTTCAGCTCAATCATCCCTCAATATGACTGGAGCCGAGTTTCTCGCCAGCGTATGTCGTTTCAGACCAGTTTAAATCCAGCTTCTAACAATTCCTTAGGTCCCTCTCACATACGCGAACATCGGTTCTCGACGGTCAAACCACTGGCTTGGAACCGCCAAACTCGGAACTGACAGTGGACTCGAGGGCGGAACATCTGTCGTTGATACAGATACCAAGGTCTATGGCACAGATAATATCTTCGTCGTAGATGCGAGTCTTTTCCCTGGATTGCCATCTACCAATCCCTCAGCCCTTATCGTTACGATGGCAGAGCATGCCTCGGAGAAGATCATTGCTCTTCCCCTAAATACAGCCTAGCTATGTATGTATGTATTGGTAGCTCATTGCAAATATTTCTTTGATGTTTTGCTAACTATTCGATAGAATGGCCATGGTTCTCAAAAGATAGGCCCCGTTGGAGTGTTTAACTTATGTTTGGGAGAAAGGGTCACCGCAGTGCATAGCTCTCGCATTCACATAACATCTTTGCAGATCCATAGTTCTTATAAAATAAAATACAATGATTTCATCAAATAAATCCTCTGAAAGCACTACCATGGCTGAGATACCAAAAATGGGGGGTGTTTCCGTGCGCACGAAAGGAATATCGAAGCACGAGAAGTACAATTATGATAACGAGGTTAGGGAAATGGGCACTATGCCCCAACGATGGCCACACTAACAATGGTCCAAAACAGTGATGATAAACTCAGCTGATACGCTGTATTGTTCTAAACAGCCACCGTCGGCGTTTAATTTTCCTCCGATATGTGCGATTGCTGAGATGGAGCAGATGGCCAACTTGCATGATGTCGACGTCGTGGTGGCCGAAATTGTCTAAACAGTGCCTTGGTCATCTCAGGCTTTTACAAAAGATGTACGGATTGCCTTGCCGCGGGGGTATTTCGGGGCCTGCTCAACCATGAGCTCTCCATAATTTATTTCTCATAATCTCTATGAATTAGGGTGCATATCTAGCATAACCATGACGCATGAATTGGAGTTACTATGGCCGTAACAACTCCTGACGTGATACGCACCCCAGACCATTTTCTCCACGATCTTAATACCCCGTACTTCCTTCTACCGAATCAATCCCGCAAAAAGAGCGCCTTTCGGCGTAATAAATTGGCATAAACTACGCTACTTACCTGCTGCCTGCGTTCCCAGCAGCCGCGTGTTTAATCACACCAGGCTCTCGGTGAATTCCCTCTTCTAGATTCTAAGAAAGGCAATCAACAACGCACATCCGCTCTCGGCGAATCCCCTCTTCTGTATTCCAATAAAGGCAAGCAACATCGCAAATCCGCTTAAACATACCCTCTATCGGTCCTGCATCGGCCCATGGATGCCCTACGCCGATCGTTAATTAGCCTTTTGCTGTGCATTCTTAATTTGATGGCGGTGTTTCGGATAGTGGACTCGCTTTGCTAGCCTACCCCGCATACGTATGAGATAGATCATCCGTGGAAGAGACACAAGCTTCAGGGCAGTGTGCACTATTATTGCATGAAGTGATGCGGGCTCTCGTCGGCGATGCAAAATCCTTGGATATGCTCTAGCCGAGAGATCGTCGCGGGCCAACATCCGATGACGGCACCCCATGCTGGTTTCCCGCGTCGTTTTATATTGGCTGTCGATCGTGCTCTTGCCTCGTGCTATGTTTTTCTTGATCGGCATTCGATTGACATTTGTCGGACCCTCTATTAAGGGCTGAAAGTTGGGGTTGTGCCGAAATACTAGACCGCATTAGGCCTTGCCTCATATTGGAACTCTTGCAACTCTTTTGTATCAGCAGCGGTCTATCTAGTAGCTGCGAATTTATGAGAGAAAGAAACGAACGACGCCGATCAAATATGTTTCAAGATCGTTGAGATAATTATAAAGAGAGAAACAATCCCCCATATGTCAACTCAGCCCATAGTCATAGAATTTTTACTATAGCCTACCATTCTCACCTTACACACCTTGTCCAAATTCGCAAGTTCATTCACTGAAAATCAGCAAATATGGTGGCACTCATCGCGTTAACCGCCCTCAGCCTAGCTACATCTGTCTACGGACATGGCTACCTCATCGTTCCCCAAAGTCGCACTGGCCTTGGGGTCGAGGTGCGTACTATTCCACTCAGCATGAGTTACTGGACATGCCAAAAGTGAATTGTTAGCTAATAGTCCTTACTAGGCCAACTTAGATTCATGCCCGGAGTGTACCATTCTTGAGCCTGTATCAGCGTGGCCTGACCTCACAGCTGCCCCAGTCGGAAGGAGTGGCCCCTGTGGCTATAATGCCCGCGTCAGCATTGACTACAACCAGCCGTCAGACAACTGGGGCAAGGCCCCCGTCGAAACCTATGCAGCCGGCGACATTGTCGATGTGCAGTGGTGTGTAGACGCCAATGGGGACCATGGTGGCATGTTCAGTTACCGAATCTGCCAAGACCAGACCATTGTCGACAAGTTCCTGGATGCAAGCTACCTACCTACCGACGCAGAGAAGCAGGAAGCGGAGACTTGCTTCCAGGCCGGTACTTTGGACTGCACCGATGTCTCTGGGCAGGACTGCGGGTACAATCCCGATTGTGCCTCTGGGGAGGCCTGCTACCGCAACGACTGGTTTACATGCAACGGCTTCAGTGCCGGCGACCAGACAAAGTGCAAGGGTGTTGACAATGCAGCACTCAACTCCTGCTATACATCGATTGCAGGTGGCTACACCGTATCCAAGAAGATCAAGATCCCCGACTATAGCTCTGAGCACACCCTCCTTTCTCTACGCTGGAACTCTTTCCAGACAGGGCAGGTATACCTCACTTGTTCTGACATTGCCATCTCAGGCAGCCCGGGAGGCAATGAAACGAGCAACTCCACTACCCAAGCGTAATATGGCAGCCGAGGGAGGATAAAGGGTATCTTGGATATGAGTAGACGGCTTCCGACCATAAAGAAGCCTCGCACAAAGGACGCCATGGCGCGTTTACGGTTACTATATCTATGTAGATACTAGAAATTATTGAATACTGGCCCTTCAGAGGCTCTAAATTTATTGACGCTACTGAGTTATCCCTGATGATACCTATGTGACTGCCTCAGCACACAATAACCCTTGGCCATGCCACAGATGTCTCCATTGCTATGTTTGAGAAATAGACTACTATCACGATATGGTAGATGAAAGCTCTATCCCTTGCACGCAATCACTACATATACTTAGGATTTATGTGGCACTCTTGCAGCTCGAGTCTAAGCTTGAGTGTTTTGGAATTTTTATGAAAGTGCACGTAGGACTCGGGTTCAACTCCTAGATGAACACATTGCACGCAGCCGCCCCCTCACCAACGTTCAGAAAGCGTTCTAAAAACATATATAAAAAAAGCCAAAAAATAATGGTCTGATCCAGGATTGAACTGGAGATCTTTTAGGAGATTTCCCGTTGGCCAAGAATCCCTCATTAGGCCCAAAACTGACCAGATCACAAAAAAGAAGAACGGCGGAAGGAAACCCTAGCCTCTCACCCACCTGCCAACCAACCAACCAACCACCCATACTCTCTCCCTCGCTGATTTCTCATCCGCAAATCCGCAAGTATCCAAGGGGTTTGAGTGCCGAAGGCCCAAAATCGGAAGTTGAGAAGCGGTGCCTTACCACTAGACCATCAGACCTTTGGAATTAAAGGGCAGCAGCTTGAGCTGATACATATAGTTCGTCCGGACGCTTATGGAAGTGGCTGGAGCCTTAGGGACCAGTCCCCCCCCTTCAGGCAAGCGGGAAGCCAGCTCAGTGGCTACACGTTTGCCTCGAGGGGAAGCTGGTTCCTGAGCGTCTGGTATAAGAGCAAATTCTAGCAAATTCGGCATTTATATATTTTTTGCCTAAGTATTCTAGCCTATACCGTGCTCACAATACTACCAGAGGCTCGATAGTTTCTTGCAAGGCTACTGAGATGAGCCGCTGACCCAGGTCTTACCCGACCAAATAGTTTGAAGCGCCTCAACATATATTCGAACTATAAATTCTCTTCAACCACATAACCTCAAGGACAGAAGCTGCCCTTGTTCTCCGTTTGTACCCAGATCTACGCGGGAAAGTCAGCCATCTAATGTCTCGATTCATAAGGGGCAGGGGTGTTATGATCACTTACTCTAGCTTCCCCATTGGCCGATGGGCTTGTGAATGCGCCAGAGTCGCCAACAGTTGCCGCAGTACAGTCTAGGAGATCAACAATTGAGTCTCCAGAAGAAAACGTCGACCCTGTGACGCTGAAGCTGTCACTGGTGCCCGCGGCACCGACATTTGACACCACCACCACGGCAGGCCCACGCTGCAGGGCCATATATTCGTTCGAAGTGCCAAGGACTGCCACATTGGAGGAGAAATAGGTTGCCTTGTCAGTAACATTCGACGCGATGTCCCTGATCTCGTGTAGTTGTGTAATATACTTGTACAGCGTCGTGTCGGTGTTGTAACCGCTGGTCCAGAGCGTTTCGCGGTTGTTTGGGTCAGCTGCACCGGTGAATCGCTGCTCAAAGCCGTAGTAGACCATAGGAATCCCAGAAGTGAACATCAGGAATGTCACCGCGTTTTTGTCTTTGACCTCATCGTCGCCGGACTGGCTCGCAATGCGAGGTTGGTCGTGGTTATCGAGGAAGTTCGTCAGGACGTTAACGTCGGAGAAAGATGTAGCTTCAGTGCTAATCATTGCTGCGAGGCCATCGAAGCTCCCACCCATAAAAGATCTGATGAGATCGTACCAGAGTGGGTAATTGATCAAGCTGTTGAGTGGGCCTTGATATCCCGAGACATATGCTGGGTCCCCATCCAAGGCCTCTCCTGTCACAAAGACACCGACTGCCTCCTGGAACTGAGTGAGGTATTCTTTTGGGACATGCTTGGCCGTATCAAGACGGATGCCGTCAATGCTATAGTTGCTAACAAGGTCAACGACACTATCCACTAGAGCTCCGAAGACGGATGCGTCTTCAGAATTGACATCAGGTAGAGAAGGGGCAGGCGAAGTCACAACCCAGCAATTCTCGATGGACGTTTGGCTCGTATAGTCAATTGCGCAAGGTGAATGGAAGGCTGACGCGGCATCGAACGGCGAAGGGTATGCACTGTAGTCTACCGAGCCTGAATCCTGGATTGATCCGAAGTGATTGATTACAACGTCGACCATCAGTGACATGCCACGCCCATGGAGAGCATCTGAAAGGCTCTTAAGATCATCTGTAGTGCCAAAGTGGTCGTTGAGCGTGTAAGGGTTATCAGCCCAATCTATCTTCAATGTTAGAATACCCTCATAGATAGAGAGTGCGGGTTAGAAGTAAAACGCACACCCATGATACGCATAGCCGGCAGGAGTACTCCCGTCGATGTTATGAACGCTAATACAGTGTCAGTCAACTGTTATTTGGCTGGATACAAAAGACGTTACACTGGAGAGATCCAAACTGCCTCAAACCCCATTCCCTGGATGTAATCAAGCTTATTCTCCAGCCCTTTCCATGTACCACCGCAGTAGTCTGTGATCCCACAACTTGGGGAAGAGCCATCAGTTGTTGCAAATCGGTCGGTCAAGACCTGGTAAATGGACAGTTCACGCCATTCCGCCGCGGTCTTTGCGGCTGCGATAGGGAGCAAGGAGCCAGCCGTGAGGAGCAAGCTCGCCGCTTGGGTTGCCTGGAACAAATTTGAATGCATGTCGATAGTTATTTGATCTCAAGCACGGCGTACAGAATGAAGAGACACGGAAAGTGGTCGCCATCGGCCTCATTTATAGATATCCAAACCTCCCCAAGCGACATGGAAAGTCAACCACGATCTACATAGGTTCAAAGTGAGAAATGCTCATGATGTGAAAGGGGAAACTTACTGCGGAGATTTATGCGGGGTAGCCCCGGATCCATTGGATGTGCGGGGAAATAATCTGTAACATGGTTGTCCAACTCGAGCTCGGCCATTCTCTCACGGCATTAAATTTGATCGGCATAGTCGTCATCGGGCCGTCCTTTGACCCTTACCACATTCACAAGCTAGAGACTATACGAGAAACAAATAAAACAGATAGTGCAGTATCTACCTGTTTTATATTTCATCGTTTATTAAAAAGCTTGTGTAGAATGACGTACATGTAAATAGTTTTCATTGAGTAGTGTGTGTCCAGAATGGAGGCTGTGTGTGTAATTATATATCCAGGCACAAGACAAGCCCTCAGCATGTGAAATCAACGCAATTCACCACCCAACCTTCCTCAAAACGCCCGCAAAACAGCTCTGATATCCAATCCCCTACCAAGCAGTATTCCCTCCATCAATCCTCAAATCCCCTCCAGTCATCCACCCACTGCACCCCGCCATGAGAAACACCCCTGCCCCACCCAAATCCCCCGGCTTCCCCAACCTCCCAAGCATATTCTCCCCCGCCCACCCATCTCTCCTCTCTGGAAACTTCTCAAAAAGCTCCTCCACCATCTGCGTCACCACGTAGCCCGGGCTAATCGTATTGACCCTGATCCCCTCTCTCCCCCACTCCGCCGCCAAACTACGCCCCAGCTGCTGAACCCCAGCCTTCGAGGCATTGTACGCCGCGCAGGGCAACCCACGGTTCGCAACGGTCCCGCTCATTGACGCGATCAGAGCAATCGAACCTGGCGCATGGCATGCGCGACGGCCTGTGCGGAAGACATCACGCCGGTGATGTTTACAGCCAGGACCCGGTTGCATGTCTCGGCAGAGTAGGTAAGAGCGGGAGCTTCGTGCTGGATCCCAGCTGCTGCGATGAGGCCGTGGAGCCTGGAGTGTGTTCCGGCGATGCTGGTGACGAGAGTGTCTAGCGCAGGGACGTCGACAACGTCGATGGGGTGGTAGGTTAGTGTTCCTTTGGGGAGAGGCGGCGAGGCGGTCGAACTCGGGGCTGGGGCTGGGGAGGCGGTCGAGCTCATGAACTGGGGTATGTTAGTTGGGTTTGTGAGGCGCTGGGAGGGAGGAGAGACTCACCGATGGCTCCGCACTCGACGAGCGACTCTGACATGGTGAGGCCGATGTCGCGTGCTGCTCCAGTGACGATGATGATTTTTCCTGCGAGGCTGAAGAGGCTTGGGACGCTCCTCTCTTGGCCTGCTTGGGCTTGGGTTTCGTCTTCGACTTGGGCTTTGGCTTGGACTTCCGCTGCCGGGGCCTCGGGGGTGATTGCTGAGGATGAGGTCTTTGAGATCGACGATTCTCTGGTCGTGGTTTGTCCGGTGGGGGCTTCTGGGACCTTTGAGGCTGTGGATGCTGGTTTGAAGGCATCCTCGGTTTGGGATTCGTAGATGGTGGATAGGTGGATAGGTTCTTGGACCTTGAGGTCTGGGGTTTTAACTGCTGGGTCCATCATGGCTAGCAGTGATTGATTTGCCTGAGTGATTGCTTGAGGTGAGTAGGTGATGGACTGGTTGATGGAAGGTGTGTGTGGTAGCAATCTATGAGTAGATTGTTGATGGTGGTGGTGGAAGAAACGAAGGAAAGGATTCGTCTTGGAAGATGGTTTTTTACTTGGTGATTGGAGGAAAGAAATTCACTTGAATTTGCAGGCGCGGGGCAGATAGATATTCACTCTTTGTTGAGTAGGTATTAGATGGAAGCGCTGGTCTTGGGATGATACTCGCCTCCAACTTTAGAATCATGAGATGGCCAAGTCGGATTCATTCCTCCTGGCACCAATCAGAATTCACCAGAAGTCAGAAGTGAATATACAACGAATCCCTTGATTCAATTGACGTTTGAGAGTGTGGTTCAGCATCACTTTACAAAATACTGATTCTTGACACCAAGGCTCTGAATCTACCTCATGGAGAGTGAGCAGTCAAGGTCATCTCGGCCTCACCGTCAACACTGCCAACAGGTAAATTCTGGAATCCATAGTCTTCTGGCAGTGTCACTGCTCCATAAAACCCCCAAGAAATATACTCAAGCTATCGCAGACGCAGAGAATGGATAACTGAGTCGCCTATCTTAGATAGGCTCTGGCGAGAACAGGAGCAAAAAGGGAGAGGAAAAGATTGCGAAAAACGGTGACAACAACATGGTGCAATCTCGTGCCATGTAGAATTCCCAAGATCTGCGGCAACGGCATACAAACATTATCTGAATCATGTATCTGCTGACCGCGACACAGTTCTACCTGTGGCCTTTGTGGTCATTGTAGCCATTGTACCAGATCTGCGGCTTGGCAGGTGGCTGGGATTATAGGGGGGAAATGAAACCTCTATATCCCCGAATATGACAGCTCTCCTGCAGAAAATTTCTGTCGCCTGGGACGACCTGTGCTGTGGCAGAATGATAGGGAGACAAGCAAACACGACACTGCAACAAGGAAGGGGGCCAAAGAAAGGAGAAATAAACGGGGAGGAGCATCGATTGGGGGAGGAGCATCGATTTGGAGAGGAGAGTTTGACAGATAGGAGAATTTAGGGAAAGCGCCGTTCCCGCGCTATTTCCTAAATTTCCTCATCACATTTTTCTCTAGTTTCCAGCTTTTTTTTTCTCCCTTTTCTCAATAACAGCGCTGTGTACCACGAGTGTGGCCTACGTTGTGTAAGGAGACACCACGATCGATCTGTCAGCCGCTGTATGTCCTACGGGGATAACTGCATGATCAGGCAAGATTAGCTCTCTCTACCCTATCTGTGTTGCCCAAATCCAAAGATTCGCATAATTTGCTCAGAGAACGGAAGATGGCGGGATGATCATGGCTGGCTGGCAGTCTTGAGGATAGGGTCGATCTTGCTTGTCGATGTCGATGTCGATGCCGATGCCGAATAGTCGTTTCGATCGCGGTACCGGAATTTCCTCCGGATCCCCCATCAGAAAGTGGTTTGCTGTCTCACTTATGGGAAAATGTCAATCGTCATCTACGCAAGCCCCTAGAACGCCTCAATCGACCCGAAGAAAATATACGAGTGCTGAATGGTGGCGCGCGCCGTGCATATGCATCATGCATATTCTACCAAGGGACCAACCAGAGATCCCACCTTGCGGAATTGCATTACTATTTTCAGTATCCCAAATCCTTACAGTCCACTCTCCTACAATTCCCCTCTCTCATGTCTCTTATCAATTATCATATGCACATCAATCCATCCTTTCTTCATTTCCAATTGGCCACTCACCTATCCGTGCCATCCACCTCTCTCCAGCAGCGCCGCCACCATCACCAGCATCGGGACGCCTAGGCACCCATACGGCTCTACACCGTCCTACATTTACGTATATCCCTCCTCCAATATCATCCTCCTATTCCCCCTTGACAACACCACTATTGTCGTGACCCGGCGAGATACAGCAGCTTCCGGCCGCCACTGCCCGGGGAGCTCGGAACCCACCTGCCCGCCGCGCTAGAGCTCGCCTTGCGCCGCCCCTGACATGCCCATCCTGGCCCCATCTCAAACCCCGTTCTGATTTCACCTCTGGACCCCATTCCCCGATTGAAAGAGACGCACGATTTGCTCATCTGTACACCCATCGCCCACCACTCAGCTCCAGCACGCCGCCTGATGTACCGTTTACCTGCGTCCGCGCCTGGGACTGCCTCCCGGACCTAGCACACCATCCGATCCTCTGACTTCACCTTTCCCTCACCGTCGGTCGGTCTCTGCACGGTACTGGTCACTACGTACCAAGATCTGAGCAAGCGACACACTGCCGAGAATCCAGATCCCCCGGCATATGTGCCTCGTCCCTTGGTTCCACGCAGCCGTATCACGCCCTTGTCTCCCGCCCGCACCTCACGGGCGACCCTCCCAGACCGCCTGCAAACAATCAAGCCCGGGTCCTGCGATAGGCAGGCAGGTGCCCCTGCTATTCATGCAGTAAGGTAAGTCCAGTTATCGGGGTACGGCAGGAGCAGGCGATATGGGCATCCTAGTAGCCCGCGTCCCGGAAAGGGAGGGAGCGCCACTTGGTGCACCACCAGTTACCTACCCAGGTTGCGGGAACAACCTAGTGAGTGAGATCGTCGTATCTATTTCCTCGCACCGCGCCGTGGCATTCCTCGATGCGCGCGTCCGTATTCTGTTGTCTTCTCCCTTTTTGCGTCTTCGATTGTCGTCCGGATGGAAGACGAAGCGCCGGAGGGACTTGTGAGGGAATATAAACTCTCTCACTTCCCCCCCGTCTCTCACTGCGTTTCTTCTGCATCCTCTTACCAGTGTTAACCCCCCTTTCCAAGCCACACCCTACCTCCTACTTCTCACTCACCACCCTATCCTACCCAAACTACTACCACACCACCTCACTCACATATCCAATAAACCGCCAACATGGTCGTCAAAACAATCACACCCCCCGCCGCTCCACTCCGCATCGTCCTCGGCGGCGACGAAGCAGGCTTCGCCTACAAAGCCGCCATCTTCCAAGACCTCGAGGATGACCCGCGCGTCTCCCTCGTCACAGACGTCGGGCCCTACTCGGTCTCCGACACCACCGCCTACCCGCACTACGCCGTGGCAGCCGCTAGAAAGGTTCGTCTCCTTCTCCCACCCCGCCCTCTCCCAGGCACTCCCCTTTACACCTCATTCCCATCTTAGCCTTTCACATCGCAACCCCAATTTCCTGTCATCCGCTAACCTCTCCCCAGATCGCAGCTGGAGAAGCAGACCGCGCTATCCTCATCTGCGGCACCGGCCTCGGCGTCGCCATCGCCGCCAACAAAGTCCCCGGCATCCGCGCCGTCACCGCCCACGACAGCTTCAGTGTCGAACGCGGCGTGCTCTCCAACAACGCGCAGGTCCTGTGTCTGGGGCAGCGCGTCATCGGCGTCGAGCTCGCGAGACGATTAGTCAGGGAGTGGGTGGGATATCGCTTTGATGGACGGAGTAAGAGTGGCGAGAAGGTGGAGGTTATTTGTATGTATGAGAGGGAGGGGGCTTGGGGGGTTAAGGCATAGTGGTGGGGTGGCTGTGAGATGTGGGGGGAAGGTTGTGAGATGGGGCTATTGGGGTATAGACTGGATACCGGCGTTGTGTTTCATATTTTTCTCTCTTTTGTTGGATAATTCTCAGGACATGGGAAAAGAAAATGGTAAAGGAAAAGGATTTAGAAACAATGGGTCTACATATGGACAGGGGCAAAAGGAAACAAAAAGGGGGGGTTGGGCGGCTTGTTTCTGCTTTTGAAGCCTTAATAGTCGCTGTCTTTTTATCTCTCCATATTTATCTTTTTATCACTGTGGCTCCGAGGTTTTTTCAGAGGCGTGTAAAAGATTGCAGTGAAATCCAATGCACAACATTAACTTCCAATCCGTAGCCCCAAAAACCATGTTCACACAAGATTTGACTAAGTAACATTTGTTGTAGCCTGAAACTATTGCGGAGTCTCACCTGCACTTTTACTGCATACCAACATGGCCTGCTTCTGATATTAACATGGTCTCAAGTACAATTACGGGTGCCGAACTGTCTATAAATCTTCTGTATGAGATGACGCCAGCTTTTTTTTTTTTTTCAGGGTCGAAGAAAGACGTTTAGGACCCTGCCATTAACTAACACCCAAGATCCGCTTTCTGTCAACGCTGCCTTCTTGCCGACACTGCCTTCTTGTTAATGCTGCCTTCTTGAAACTGTCCTTTCCACCAGCGCGCCTCACGATGGTCAATAATAAGCCGAGTAGCAACTACCCGAATCTCCTGCGCATCGGCTTCCATCTCACTTATCCGGGTTTCCATTTCCTGGATGTCGACGCCTTCTAACTACCATTTCCTATTGCTACCGCCACCATCACTCTGTAACCCTCCCCCATCCCAGCCACCACACACCCGCCCCGCACTGTAGCAGAATGCCAAGAAGGTTTATAGCTGTCTGCATCGTGCAATGCGTCTATGAAGTTTTGGCCGCGTATAATCTACTAGTGGGGAATGGTGAGGCTGTCTATAGTGCAATTTTTCGAACCTCGGAATAGCTGGTTCGATATAATGGAGATGAGATAGATACCAAGTTTAACGAGTTCAAGCGGAAGAGGGGAGAAGAAGAGGGAGGTTGTCCAGCGTCGAAGAGAGACGTTTGGGACCCTAACATAGGCCAGCACCCATGATCCGCACCTCCATTCTATCAGCACTGCTTCTTGTCACCACCATTCTTGTCACCATGCTTTTTACATCATCACCACGCTTTTCTTCCCGTCATCCAGTACCCCCCCCCCCCCCCCCCCCCCCCGGGCGTCATTATCCGGATGATCATCCAAACGGTCTCGACTGTAGTAGAGAGCCCCTTCATCTCGTTAGCAGCCGTTTAAAAGTTGTAGCAAGCCAATTACGTCCATCCATCGATTGTCAAAGGATTAACTCAAGAGCGCTATTTCTGCGCGTCGTATATTGTCTGCCTTGCTTATCTTTGAGACGGCTGTCAAACTACAAAGAGAATATACTCTTTTTGAGTGGCATCCACGTCTGGAGTTAAGGATGGGGGAATTGGGTATGAAGATATCAGACAGAATGAGTGGGAGTGGCTGGGAAGGAAGGAACAACCAGACAGTCGTTCCTTCTTCTGATAATCGTTCCTTCCTATGTTAGTCGTTCTTTCCTCATGCAGTTATTTCTTCGTACGGTATGTCGTTCTTTCCATTCCAATTTTGACCAACCCCATTCATTGGCGTAACTTCACATCTAACTTCTCACGTAAATACCCTAATTAGTAACATACCCCTGGAGGCTTGTTACGTACAAATCACCACGAAACAGATGAGTGAGCAGTAGTATATATATGTGTTATCCATTTCCTCTTCATGGTGAAGGTATATACAAAAATCCCCTTTCTTCCCTCCTTCCCTTTCTATTTCTCCCCCCACACCTCGATCGCACCTTCCTCCACCAAAAAAGCCAATATATAACCCAAACCCAGGCACCCGCTGAACCCAAAACCCACCCCAGCGCCCGGCTGCTAACCCAAAAACGCCTGCCTGACTATATATAATAAGATCCATCCCATTCTAATATGTATTCCACCGACTAAACCCTCACATCACGAGCATCATCACCCCCACCAGCGACGCAACAACCACGCCAGTAATCCCACTACCCCCCAGGGCTCCAGCAGCACCAGTCAAAGCATTAGGCATCGTCTCATTAACCCACCCGCTCCCACAAACCCCATTAACCACCGCCGCCCCCTCCGCATACACCGCCGCCACCGGCGCCGTCCTATTCGCGGCCGCCGCCCCAAAAACCCCCACCACATCCTTCAGGCACTTATTACACGTCATCTTCGTCGTACTTGGTAACTCATTCCCCACGCCCAGGTAGTACACATACGCGTCCTCGTCAGAGGTGGAATTCGTAATCGCGTCGGCGAAACAGTAGGATCCGGTAGGGGACTTGAGACAGGTAGCGGTGCGGAGAGAGGGGTAGGCGAGGAGCCCGGTTAGGGCCATGGTGGCGGTGGGGTTGGAGCGGGAGAGGTCGAGGGCGCAGGTGCTGTTTAGGGTCGCGGCTAGGGAGGAGAGGTACGGGGCGCATGATGCAGGGGCGGCGCAGGAGTGGTCGAGGAGGGCGGTGGTGAGGAAGGGGGAGCGGAGGGTTTGGAAGAAAGCTTGGGAGGACTTTATCACACTTGTTAGCTTATTATCCTTGGTATGGGGTGAGTTGGGAAGGGGTGTGTGATGGGGGGTGAAAGGGGGGGAGAGGGAACGTACCTCGAGAAGAAGGGAGACAGGGTAGCAGGACTGGAATTCGGGGTTGGCGAGGAAACTGGCTATGAAGACGGGACATTCTTCTGCTGCGAAGTTGGCGCCGATATTGCTGTCGAATGGCTTTGGGAGCTCGGCGGTTGTGCTTGTTGGCTCGGCGGTTGCCACGCTGTCGCTATCGCCGGCGGTGGTGGTGGTGGAGCTCTTCGTGGAGGTCTTGGAAGGCGCAGTAGTGGTGGTAGATTCATCCTCATCCTCCTTCCTCAGCACGAGATCAACAAACCCCCTCCTCAGGAGGTCACCAGAATACGAAGCCAAATCCCAACCACCACCCACCCTCGGCGGCGGTCTCGTATCAAGCAACACAATCCCCTTCTCCTCCAACTTCCTCAGCTCCGCCGCAATGCCAGCGCTCAGATCCGCAGGCGGGACAAGCGTATCCGGTATAGTCGGCGGCCTCGCCGCAAGCGCGAGCGTGAATGTTAAACACACCGCGAGGAGGACGAGCGAGGTGAGAGAGCGCGGGAGGTACGCGGAGCGCCTGCGCAGCGGGACGGGGGATGGCGAGGGCATGCTTAGGAGCGCAGAGCGCGTGGGCATGTCGTGGTCCGCCTATGGTTTTGGAGAGGGCATCTGTCTGGGTGCGATGCACGACACGGTGCCGTAGGTGAGGCGCGGGTATGGTGTCGTCTTCCTCTGTGGCGGGGAGGAAGAGGATGTTTTGTGGCCGTGAGGCCGGACTGAGCCTGAGCTTGTCAGGAGCTCTGGATAGCTTTTTTTGGTTCCTTTTGTTTCGAGGTGGTGTTTGGGCAAACGAGTCGTGGTCTGGAACAAGTGATCGTCGCGGAATGTCTTAGAACGGGTGTTTGCGCGAAACGCGGCGTGGGGAGTTCGAAACGGATAGGTACTGTGAGGCTAGGATAGATACGATATTCTCAAACGAGTGACGATATTTAAAGCGAGTGTATTGAGGCCGAAGGCTGTGGTTAGGGTAAGGACGACAACGGCGAGGGCAGAGGGAGAAGATGAGGCATTGAGAGACAGCGGGATCGGGTAACGGGGAAACGAGATTGGGAGGGTTTGTTCCTTTTTTCGTGCCAGTTTTCCCACTTTGTATGGGGGGGCCTGGAGCTGGCGGGGCAAATGTAGGGGTAGTAGGCCAGGATGGGGACTGAGCTCGTGGGTTGGTGGGTGTTATGGGGCGGGAGGAATCGATAAATGGCGTTTTGAGAGTTGTATAAAGTGGTAGTGTGGATATATATAGAGAGATGGTATGTGTATAAAATAGCAGATATGTATGCAAATATACGGTAAATATACAATTTGTATATAATAGATGTAAAATATGGGCATACTATCGATTCTACAGTGGACTTAGAGCCAATGATTGGCTCTAAGGGGGATAGTCTGGTCAGAAGGGAGATAGAAATGAAGCCTGTAGAGGAAACAATGTGGATGAATTGCCAATTTCAATGCAACCATCTTTACCCGTATGCACGTACCTCTACCCGGCTGTGGCGGCGAGAATGTATGTATGGACGAATAGTGTATCTTCTACCCTGGACAAGCATACTAGAGGCATATCTAGTGTCATGACACACCCCTACAGCAGCCATGCGCTGCGATGCAATCAAGCACCACCCGCTTCGTTGCACGATAATCTAGGAATAACGCGCATACCTTAGCTAGAGACCTGATTCGTGCAGGGACATTGAGATAATATGACGATATATAACGAGCATATCAATAGTATTATAATATTCGAATCCTGCAGTACTACCTCCGTCCACCAAGCCAATATTCATCACTACCCCTATACGAAATCCCCTCACCCATCGCCAAGCAAATATATTGATTAACGGAGCTCAAGTGGGCCTGTCCACGTCCCCCCTAGTGTCATCTCCACAGCACACGGCTCAACGTCAGACACCACCCAAACCGCGAGGCATCAAATAAGGCAACCAGAACCACCCTCTCGGCCCCTGACGCGATCGCGTTCGAGGTGCCTGATTCGGTCTGGATGGATCCACTGATGAAGCCTTCCCAAGTTGACTTGCCCAATTCCTCATCTCCACATGCTGATGCTGACATGTTATTATTCTTAGGGCTGAGAAAACGCGGTGCTGGTGGGTGAGCAACTTGGCGCGAAGACTCGTGAAAAAGACGTTGTGATGGGAAATTGCACATGACGCCGACCGGTCTCGACTCACGTCGATGACCTGGTGCTACCTCACTAAAAAAGCAACGCACAGCGGGTCCTTCGGCCCCCGATCACAGAGTCGTGTCGTGTGGGCTGTGGACCCCTAGCGGTCAGGGCGGACGCTATTGTCCACTAGTGGTGCCGAGGCCATGGCTTAAGGATAGTTCGTGTATTATTATCGATTTTATGAAAGGGGAAGGGGGAGATGACATGACATTATTGGGAGGCGGCTTATGTGAGAAGAGAAGGAATGTCAGACGCGATGATGACTGGATGGGAGTATATACTATATGTGTGTTGTCGCGTTTATAGGCCGGCGAGACTCGGCGGGTGCGTTTGTGTGGATGATTGGGGTTGGGTCGACGCTCCTCGGCCTGGGTATTGGTCGCGTTTATGCGGCTGAATTGGATGTATATCGTGCTGACCTGGCTCCTCTTCGTGGGGGTGCGTTTATGAGGCTGAATTGGGTATGTATGACTTCTGGGTGTTGGGCGCGTTTATGCGGCTGAATTGGGATATCGTTCTGGCCTGGTTCCTCTTCGTGGGGATGCCTTTATGCGCCTGAATTGGGATATATCCAGCTCGCTGGGACCGATTCGTCAGTTGCGTTTATGCGCCTGAATTGGGTATATCCAAGTTTGTTCGTCCTCTCTTGGTTCTGACTTCTCATCCTTTCCTCTCCTTCTCTTCCTCCCCGTCAACCTAACTAACCAGTATCTTCTTTCCTCTCCCTTCGACACCGAGTTCTCTGTATAGCGTCGTTATATCCAGTAATTTGATAAACAATCTACCCCAATGTCCCAAAATCACCACGTGATATCTAAGACATACCTCCCCCCCGTCACCCCAGCCCATCTACTCCCAGCTCACCAATCCAGCTATCACAACTACCTCTCCCGCCATGGCCCTCATAGACACCCTCTTATCTCTCGACATGGGCACGGAAGACTGCCTCTACCGGCTCCGCCGCGACCTCCCCTCCACCAGCACAGTAATCTACATCCACCCCCTCTCCCTCTCCCTCATCCCCACAGACAGCCTAACCTACGGCCTCGACCTCATCAGAAACCTCGGCCGCACCGTCCCAGACTGGGACAACGAGGCGTGGACAACTCTTACTGTATCTCACGAGGATGGAGCAGTAAAAGCCGTGCGCGATGAGTGGGCACCGCATTTCCTGCCAGTTGATGCTAATACGAGGGAGCTTCCGCGGATTAATGTTTTAGATCTAGAAGTCGTAGCAAGCTTGAAGAACCGCGTGTCTCGCGTGTGCCTCCCAGGCCGCCCGCGCACACGCATCCTAAAGATCTGCCCATTCGCATACCAGCTCCGCTATCTCGAGCGGGAGTTTCGGGCATATGAGAAGATGTTGAATGATGAAGAGGGTTGGGGTAAACCGTGGGGACAGTGAGACTCGTAAATGGTATCTGCGAAGTTGATAGTATACGTGATGACCTCCAGAAAAGACGACGGGGGCATTCTATTTTATTTCCTTTTCATGGCAGGTTTATGCCATAATTCTTATAATCTCTCTTCGATGTAGGTTTTGCTTTGGTAGACATGCATTATTCCGAATTAGGATATCCAACAGTGGTTGACCAAACGAGGATCATCAATTGGCTCTCGTCCTCTGCCACCCTCGCGCTAAAACCAGAATTGAAACATCCCCATTGCATTTCCCTCCGACTGAGAATCAATCTTCTTCCTATGCACAATTTAGTTTTCAAAAGGATATCATCATCTCACCCAACATGGCCGTCATCGCATCCGAACTTCCCCCCACCCAAGCCCCCCAAGTGAGAAACCAACCCCCCCAACCGCCAACCCACTACCCGCCCCAGCCCCTCCCCCTTCCCCCCCACCTCGACCCCGCCATCCGCGCTACCCGCCTCGACGTCATCAACGCCGGCAGCAGCTGCCTCATCCACCTCCCGAGCAACCACGTCCGCAAAAACGTCTACCCCGAGCGCCTTGACGAGAGCTTTATTGACTCCCTCGAGCTAGAGTCACGGATCTACCAGCGCCTTCCCAAGAAGCACCCCCGCCTCCTCGAGATGATCAGTTACTCGCGCGACGAGGGGCTGATCCTCGAGTACATGCCCGAGGGCGACCTGGGCTCTTACATCCGCGGCGAGGAGCCAAGAACGCGCTCATGCCTCGTGACATAAAGGAGCCGTCGACTGCTAAGACGGAGTTGTTTGCGTTGGGGTCGACGATTTATGAGATTATGACGGGGAAAGAGCCGTATTTGGAGCTGAAGGATGATGAGGTGACGGCTTTGTTTGAGGAGAAGAAATTCCCATCTGTAGTCCAGTTGCCGTGTGGGGATGTGATGATGAAATGCTGGCTCAGCGAGGTGCATTCGGCGGAGGAGGTGCGAGCATTAATTGAGGCGAAGTTGCAAGATTGCAAGGCAGAGGTTAGTAATGTGTAAATGAGGTGGCCGTTTTCTCCAACGAGTAGTTGAATCCCGGCTTCGTAAGTTTATCAACAATCTGTTTTTTTGGTACCATATGACTATAGCAAGTAGCGTCAATGGAAAGGGCATTTGAAAACCCCGTTTCGTAGATACAGGGTTGGTTTATTTCATATCCTTATTCTCATATGTGATACCACCCCTATTAAAATGGGCAACTAAAAACAAACCCCCAAAAAATAAAGTGGTTATAAAACGCTGTTGAAACATGCTGCCATCTCAAATATCTCAAACTTGCAATATGGCAGAACTTACCACCATCATCGGAAAGTATGTTGCGTGGGGGTTAACCGTAGTTGTTGACGACACAGCCACACATTCTCACAACCCGGCCGCCCTCACAGCCGCCAACATCACGCCATCATGGACCTCCTATTTCCAACTACCAACAAAAATGTTAGTATATGCCGTATCAATGTTGTCCGTGTAAAATAGTGATTGCAACACAAAACATGGCTGTCGGATGACTCCAGTCCCATTCGTAGTGAGATGCAAATCTTGGAGAGAACTTTGAGAAATTATTGAAGATTCGAGCAAATTCGCGACAACTGAACACATTGAGAATCTGGTAGAGTTTTGTCGGTCCACGAACAGAGATTAGTAAGAATATGGATACTATGTAGATAAAGTCTGCTAGCGGGATAAAGGGGTTTAATACTGCGGTCGAAACCGTCTAGACAATTGTTAAGGATCTCGAGACGTTATCAGCACTGTGAAGACAAAAGAAGGATGTTCGAACTAAGCATATTAAGGATATTGTGGAGGGATTAAGAGCTTGTTAGACAGTGCCATGAAGTAATTACGGACAAGCATGGTATCGCAATGGGACGAGAACGAAGGGACGCCAATGATATATTTGTGGAGGGTTACGTGGCGCGTGAACCTTCACTATCCCAATGCCCCTTTCTCAACGACCACACTTCTACCGCTGTACCCCACTGCCGCTAGCCATCCTGCTGTTGCTAGCTTTTCTCATCATCGCGAGCCCTGCCACCACCGTCGTTTTGTAGTATGCGAGCTTAGCCTTAACATATCTCCGGTTGGAGTGGTTGTCGACAGCAGCGACTAGCCGGGGTGTATCCTTGGATAGTTTAGAAAGCTTTCTGCAAAAAGTTTGGTACGAGTTCTCATGTCGTTGGTAGTTTTGATTCTTGTGTCAGAAAATCTTTATATGGAAGAAAACGCTTGAGAATCACATCTGCCATTTAAATAGTATGATATGACCTGGCCAACGTTAGCATACCAACGGTGAACCCGTTCGTAAAAAAAAGGCCCGTCATGGAAACCAAGGTCCAAGAAATCCATGGCAATTTGGACAAGGCAAACAACCAAATTCCATCTAAATAATCTGGACAAGGTCCGGCAGAATGATAAAGTGACGAGGATGAGAGCGAGGGCGAAGGAGTAGAAGAAGTACTACTATGAAACCTGCGACCTAGCTTGCCCCAAGCTCAATACTCTCACGAGGCATCACAGATCGGAATGGTAATCAAAGATAGACCTTCGCCGCCAGTTGGAAGAGGCGTGTCACTGCACAGTAAGAGAGCAAGAAATCACTCATCCGAGTCAATACCCCTTTCTCACCGACCACGTCTCCACCGTTGCACTCCCACTATCATCAGCTATTCTCGTCACCACCATCTCTGTCGTCACCACCCATTACATCTACATACCGTGGACTCACCCGCCAAAATTCCTCTACAATAACATCCAATATACGCTTGGCAATAAGTGTGGAGAAACGTACAGAGATCCCAGAACCGTGCGTAAGCGGAATGTCTCCATTGTGGTTCCTAACGTTTGGGTTGCAAATCGAAATACCACTGCATCTTTTATATTGTGGGCGAGGAGGGAGTTCTAGTCGCGCATATGGTGGAATAAATGCGGGCCTGGGAGCGGGTATGAGAATTCAGATCCGTAATACGAAACTGAGTCCATGAATAGGAGGGCAATCGAGAGACGTGGGTATCATGAGTGCACGGAGACAATATGGCAGAAAGTCAAGGAGAGGGGTGTTAAAGCAGTAGACATAGAGGGAGCAAATGTGGTATATTGAGATAAGCATGTAATGATAACGGCAGGCTGGGATTCCCTCAGCCCAGCAAACTCGGAACAGGACTGAACGATATATAAAATTATGAGATGAGGACCTACAGAAGATTACAGCCACAAGAAATTTTCAAATAAGGGGTTGATCATGTGTTCCTCTTTGGATGGCGCCGAGAAAAGATATTCTAGCGAGGGTCTAGTATACCAACACGGTTTGTCGAACGCGAAGGGAAGGAGATGGTAGCAGAGGTAACGGTGACAAGAACAGCTGGTGACAGTAGGGTGGGTAGCGGCGTGGTGGGATGAGGCGGCAGAGGCGTCATCGGTGAGGATGGAATATCAGGCATCTCTGTCTGCTGGAACCAACCGTATCTCCAGTGAGACGTTTGGCGTTTTTTGCACTTTCCCCACCTTTGGGCGAATGGGGAGGGAGATTGGTAGAGATATATTCGTATTGTAGTGCAAATTTGCGGGTCCGTCCTGGTTAAGAAACTGGCATGCGTTTCGACAAATATTCTGTGCTTTGTGAATCTTGCCTTGGATCGGTGGGGTATATTGGCAAAGTATATCGCGTGAATGGTAAGTATGTGGTAAGTGTGCTGGAAGGAAGTAAATAATCTCGTCTTCCTGGAAAAGGGGTAAACCTTAGGCCCCTTTATATATTCAATGGCTTCAGAGGACTTGGAATTTAGAGATTGTCTCAATGCCGGTCTGCGAGGAGTAAATAGTAGGGATATCTACATTGATTGACCCCTATCTCTCTCTATCTGTCGAAAACATTGGAGTCATCGACTACGATGAGACCATATGGGTGAGATGAAATAAACCCACTTACCTTCCCCCCACATCAATATCTCCATCCCAGTGCGAACATACAAAAAGAAACACCCCCCATACTCCCAACTTCCACATAACAAGACCACAAAATCACCATTTCCTCGCTCAACCAGAGACGACAACAAGATATGCACCTACATAGTATGCGGAGTCCACTGAGCCTCAGAAACAGACGTTTGCACCCCACCATCTCGTGAATACGGCCCGTCGATCGAACTCACCAACCCCAACGTCACCGAGCAGCGCACTATAAATGAGTCTGGTACCTAGACTGAGATGGATGGAATATGAAGCATCAAACGAAACGACCTCGAATGGATTAGGGCTGTTTTCTTGCCGGTACGAGTTTTGGGAGTGAATAGAGCGCATGCTGAATCGCTTCGTTATCTCTGTATGGACTTGTATCGTGACGAGAATAGCGCGTCGACGACAACAGAACAACAACAACAGCATACCGATGACGACAGCATACCAACGGCAACAAAACACTAACGACAACAGCGCACTTTCTCGCCCCCCTTCACAAACCTTCTCTCATACCAAGGCCTCCCATCCATCACCGTCACCCCGATAGTAACCCAACATGCGTTGGTTCACCCTGGACCAGCCGGTTACTTTCCCTGCCTCGGCTTCGTGCCTCAATTGTTCTGCCTTCCTCGCTGAAGACCTCGCCGTAATAATAACCTGCGGCAATAGCGGCACACCAACTCGACTCCCTCCTCACCCACTGCCAGTACAACCCGATGCCCGATAGAAGCCCCTTTTTGCCACAACCCCCCATATCGCCGCACCCTCGCCACACTCCCCACAATTCACACCTCTTCCTCCTTGTCGTATAGAAAAACCGCCACAACTGTCGAGGCGGAGACATAGTAGGGCCGGACGGCACCAGAAAGCGGGTTCTCCACCCGGCGCCACCAGACCAAAAAGGAGGGGGCGGGAGCTTATCTCAGCTCTCATGCCCGTCTGCGGCGGTATTAGGGCAAAAAAAAACAGGGAAGAAAAAAGGGGGGCCTCGCAAGGGGGGAGGGGGGTTGGATCTGGCCACGCTTCTGTGGAGGGATAAGGGAAAAAGGGGAGGATGATGATGACCAAAAGGGAGAAAGAGATGCACGTAATGACGAAAATAGAGAAATAAACCACGCAAACTGCACCCACCACCCCAGATCGAGCAACGCGCACCCCCTTTCAGCACAACAAACCCCATCCATCCTCGCCACACCCTCATCACACGCGATTCCCACGCGCTCATCCCACTTCACCCTACACTATGCCTCAAATACCGAGAGCGGGAAAGTAAGGCCGACCATCACCAAAAAGGGGTCATGCATCCCCCACCGCCGATAAAAAAAATGAGGAGGCGGGCACTTACCCCACGCTCTCGGCATCGTATGCGGCCATACTGGGCTCTCGGCAGAGACAAAAAAAACAGGGAAGAAGAAGGGGGAAGCGGTCGGGAGCTGATCTCATTCGGCACTGAGATTTTGATGGGGAAAAGAAAACAGGGAAGAAAAGGGGGTGGAGAGCGCTGGAGGGAGGTTATCCCCACGCCTCTCATGCCCGTGTGCGGCGATATGCAGAGACAACGTGGCGTACGACGCGTACCTGCTTTACCTACGACGGTATTGGCGCTGAAAGGGGAAAGGGGTGGAGAGGGGGGGAGGGTTGAGATCTAATCTCGCTATGTGATGGGATAGGAGGAGAAATGGAGAGTAATGCAGGTAATGATGACAGGGAAGGAAAACGCGCATAACCACACCAACTACACCGAATCGGGCGAGGGGTATCCCATTTCAGCACAACATGCCTTATTCCCACTCCACGCGATTCCCACGCGCTCATCCGCAGCACGGCATAAATGCCGAGGCGGGATAGTAAGGCCGACCCTCACCGAAAGGGGGTTTGCATCGCCGCCGTGCATTTACCCATAGCCTCAAAGGAGGGAACCGGAGTTTACGCACGTTCTCATGCTCGTATGCGGCGGCATTGGGCTTTCGGCGTGGAAAAGAAACAGGGAAGAAAAACGGGGGGGTGGTGATTCGGTCTTGCTCGTAGAGGGAATAGGGAAGTGATGTTATGATGTGATAATTATAGAAGGGGGTATAGATGATGATACGAGACGAGGATAGGAAGTAAAACGCGCATAACCAAACCCACCAGTTTGGATCAACCGACTCCTCCCCCCTTTCAGCACAACAAGCCCTATCCAACCGCCACCTCAGCACACGCGATTCCCACGCGCTCCCCTAACCCTACAGTACGGCATCAATGCCGAGAGCGGGAAAGTAAGGCCGACCGGTCGGTAGGCAGGAGAAAGGGGTCAGTTGCGCATCTCGCATCACCCATCCACATCACCTACCGACATCCCTAAAAGAGGAGGCCGGGAGGAGGTAGGGCGCTTATTCCATGCCCTACTAACGATATTGACACTTTGGCAGTGGCGGCCGCGGAGGGGGAAGGAAGAAACAGGGAAGAAAAAGGGGGGCTCACGTCACAAATGCGGAGGCGGGCGGGATAGTAGGGCCGGCCCCAGATATGGGGGGAGCGGGCGCTTGTCCCCTCACGTCTTCATGCCCGTGTGCGGCGATATGCAGCGTCAACGTGGCAAACGAGGTGCATTGGTCCCCATACGACGGCATTGAGCTTTCGGCAGGGAAAAGAGAACAGGGAAGAAAAAGGGATGGAGAGTGCAGAAGCATTCCCCCACGCTTTCATGCCCGTCTGCGGCGATACCCAGCATCAACGTGGCGTACGAGACGCATTGATCTTCATGCGGCGGTGTTGGGGCTGAAAAGGGAAAGGGGGAGAGGGGGCCAGCTTCAACCTCGCTCTGTGATCTGATAGGTGGAGACAGCGAAGCTGATAATGATGAAAGGGAAAGAAAACGCGCATAACCAACAACCCACCAGTCCGGATCAACTCCGAAATACCCCTACCTCCTCCCTTTCAGCCCAGCAAGCATGCCCTATCAAACCGCACCCCCGCCGCATCGTCGCTGCACCTGCACTACACGCGATTCCCACGCGCTGATCCCTCCCCCTACCTCTCTCGCGTACAAAAAGCCACACATGCGTCAGCGGGCGGGATAGTAAGGCCGATCGGTCGGTTGATGGCAGAAAGGGGGTCGTGACGCCACAAAATGCGTCAACGAGAAAGTAACACCGGTCGGTCGGTCGGTGGGTGGCAGGAAGGGGGTTATGCATCTCGCATCTCGCATCGTGTGCATCACCCACAAATATGAACAGTGAACAGACCACAGACTAAAAGGAGGGGGCGGGCGCTTATCCCTACGCCCTACCAGCAGCAGCAGTGATCTTCCAACGAGACCCCCCCAAAAAAGCAGGGAAGAAAAGGGGGAGGGGAGGGGAGACTCATACCCCGCCATCCCGCTGTAGACGACGCCACGAATGCGGAGGCGGGCGGGATAGTAAGGCCGCTCGGTCTGTCGGTGGCAGAAAGGGGTCATGGAATTGTGCATCACGCCTGGTTGGTGCCGGCGTGCCGATGCCCTAAATGAGGCGCTTATCCCCCAAGCTCCCATGCTCGTCTCGTATGCGGCGGTATTGGCATTTTGCCAGCGGGGGAGGGAACGAAACAGGGCAAGAAAAGGCGAGAGCACCGGGGACTTAATCCCCACGCACGCACGCCCTCCCGCCCATCATACGACGACACCAGAAAGCAAAAAAAACATGTGGAAGACCTGGATTACCACGGCATTGAAATCTTGGCCGCCCGGGAGAAAAAAAAAAACAAGCAAGAAAACGCGAGTGTGCACCCCGGAGCTCATACCCACGCGCGCCCTAATGCTCGTATGCGGCGACATCGACATCTTGGCTGTGGGGGTGGGGAGGGGGGATAAATAAACAGGGCAAGAAAAGGCGAGTGCGGCATGGCATGGCATAGCCCTCATGCTATCCATGCACCTCAACGGCGGTACTGGCCAAAAAGGCGTTGAAGAGGCGCAACTTGCGGCGGTATTTTTGATAATAACGATGATGTGGCGTAGGAGGCACACTTCGCGTGTCTACGGCCGTAGCTTGCCGTATTGTGTCAGGGGAGCTTGCGCCGACCTCGCTCGCTCTAGGTACTGAGATGGGATGGATAGGATGGGATAGGATAGGAGCTTAGTTGAGATGAGCTGGGATGAGGTGAAATGGTGACGCCACAGCAAGACAACACCGTGATGAATGACGGACGGAAGGGCATGATAATCGGCAACAACACCAGACGAGGTGAGGAGAGAGGTGAAAACCGCCGCATAACTCATACCAACCTATCTCCACCTCCACCTTTCCACCATGAAGCGGGAACTTACTGCATCCCCATCTCCACCACGCCCTTCCCCACTTCCCGCCCTCGCACTCGCACTCGCAATCGCACCGCCCCAAGCTCCACGAGAGAAACTGTAAAAAAGACGCGCGGAAGCGAAGAATATCGACAGCTTCCTCACCGTGGTCGTTGGCGAGTAGTACATCCCGCCCGCCCCTCGGCCCGACTGGATGGTGGGTGATCAGCGGCTCAAAACCATCCCCACGTCTAGGGCGTCGATCATGGGTTTGTCGGCCGGTTGGGATGCCATGTATTTACGTCTAATCCATGGCATGTCAACCGAAATATAGTAGTAGTCTGACGATCACGGCCGATTTCCTTTTCTGGCACCGGCGATTTGCCTTTTAGAACGTGTCTGCCCATGCTCCGTGCGTGGGATAGATGGATGGGATGGGATGGAGGGATATCGCATCCCGGATCAACCCAACCCAACCCAGCTCAGCGTAACCCTAAGGATAACACGGCGGGGATAGCACGGGCTGGATATTGGGATACTATCTTTAGTTTGTGCACAGCCGAGAGAACCGAGGGCAGGCTTGCCATGTCTCCTTCTCATCTCGCGTGCGTCTGTCTGTCTGTTTGTGAAGGGGTGTGGCGTGGTGATCTGGTTTCAGCGTTGTTTGTGGTATGGTAGGTTGGTAGGTAGCTGCTGCTGTGGTTGCTGTAGTTGCCGTTGTAGCTGTTGCCGGTGCTGGCGTTGACCCGAATTCCGCGCGTGATAGACAGGGGAAGTGATAGGGGATGTGAGTAAGGGGTCTTACATCCCCTGATTTACCTACTGTACCATAGCTCCAGATACCAGCCTCACGCGGAGTATAGGATGCTCAGTTTCTCACCTCACCTCCTCACCACACCATCTCACCATCTCACCATCTCACCACACCTATCACCACACCTCACCAACCCTCAACCCACAACATCGCCACCTCCACATTCCACATCCCCTTCACCCACATTCCCCATACCTCCCACCCCGCCTCCACAAACACCTCTCCCTGCCCGCCCAGAGAAAAAAAAAGCCTCCCTCCCCACTACAACCCTAACATCCGGCCACCGGCGAGAAACCCCCCCTCCCCGCCCCTTTCTCGGCCCTTTCCCCGCCTCTTACTCTCTCACCCACACCGAAAAACGACAGCGGTAGCAGCCGCGCGGGGCGCGCTGCCTGGCAGAACAGGTGTAGGTGTATTACACTACCCCACGCGGTGTCTCGCTGGCCGTTGGCCGTTGACGACGACGTTTCTTGGTAGGAGCCCCGAGCAGCACGCTACAGTTCACGTGCAGCAGTAGTATAGCGCCGCGCAATACTCTACTTCTACTCCGCTACAGCGCAGTAGCGGACTGCAAGTACAGTAGTATAGCAAGAAGCAAGCAAGTGTGGAAAGTGTACATACAAAACCTCAAGGTGACGATGTGTGAGTATGTATGTATGCGGGTTGGCAAAGCCACACGTTCAAGTCGGCCCTTTTGTGGTGTGTGCCGCCATGGAGGTAGGTGCGTGCGGGATATTTGTGGTGCGTGGTGCACTGTACTGTGCTGAAGCGAGGTGGGAGGTGGGTTGACACGTGATTTTGATGGGTTTGTGGATGTGATGGGTTTAGTGGAGTCGTTATAGGACGGGTCGGTCTGTCTGTCAGTTTGCTGGCTGGCTGGATGGTTGGCTTGTGAGGGTGGATAGATAGGTGCAGGTGAGTGGGTTGGTTGGTGATGGATGTGCTGTGTGTGATGTGTTGTGCAGTGAGGTTTGAAAAGTGGACGTGAAAGTGAGAGGGCTGGCTGGCATGTGGATGTGGATGTGGATGTGAGGAGGAGGATTAGGATGAGGCGGTAACAGCGCTTCTTCCTTTTTGACTTCTCACATTCACATCCGCCGTCGTCTCATCCTTCACCTAGCCTCATCACCTAGCCTCACCTCACCCTTCACCTAGGCTCTCACCTCCCTTACCCTCTTCAATGAATCCCCCGATCGATCCTTCCTCCCCACCCGGCACACCGGCACACACCCATCCCCCATTAGACGCGGCCGGGAGATGAGAGGGATTCACGCACGCATCACCACGTCCTAGCCCACTAACAACACACAGATACCAAAAAACCCACCACCACCAACCAACCGCCGTTTCAAACCCAATCGCTCGGGTCCCTCGATCCCTTTCTTCGGTCATGCGCGAGGTGGGTTGTTTGTTCTTATTATATATCATATTTTAGGGATGGATGGGATTCTTTGTTTTGTCAGTAAGTATCAGTCAGTAAGGTTGGTCCCTTGCTTGAGCTGTGATCGATCGATCGATCCTCAAGCCGTGATGTGATGTGAGAGCTCTTTGTCTTAATTTGAAATACCAGAGGATCGAAGTAAGGAAGGGGACGGGTAATCGAAGTAAGGAATGCAAGCATACAAATCCCCATCTATCCGTAAGAAAACAGTTTCTTGCTTGCGCGATTGAGTTATTCCATCCCTCATCCTTCGCGGCACGCACTGTACTATAGCTTAGTCCATACAAACTACTCTAACTCCCACCCCCTGCGCTCAAGCCTGTCCTGCCCGTCCGTCCTCAGACCCTTCCTTTGTTTCTCCCAGCAGCCTAAAACGTTACGCTAGACGCCTTGCCGCCTAGCCGCGCCAAGTTGACATGCGTGCGTGCGGTTATTCCTTTCTTTTTCCTGTTTTACGTTTTTAGGTTCGAATCCTACTCGGCTCCTACGCTACTCATATCTAGCTTAGGAGTGCAAGGGATATGCTATAACCTAGAAAACATACCATGCATTGACCATATCGAACTGACAAATGAGCGCCGACGAGACGGGCTGGTGGGAGGAGGGAGTGGTTGTGATGCGATGCGATGGATGGATGGAATGTGTGAGATGTGAGGTGGTATGGATGGGAGGTGAGGTTGATGTCGGGGGTGGATGGGGATGGGGATGGATGGGGATACAGCATGTAGGTACGTGGATGCGTGGATGGAGGGGTGTACAGCAGATGACTGAGTGTAAGCCGAGGAGTATGCTTCTGTTTGCGTTCCATCTCCTGTCTCGTGTCTGTCTGCTGTACGATCCATATCCTCTATCCTCTATCCTCTCTCCCGCTTTGTTCGCTGCCGTGCACAGTATTATATCCCACCTCGCGCTTTGTCTTTGTCCTGTTGTGATCTGTAACCAGCATCAATTCCATTGTTCTATCAATAGAAACAACGCGTTACACCCCTCCTGCTGTGGGTATGGTGCCGTGCACACAATTGGGACGCGGCAGGGAGATGATGGAAACAGCGATGATGGACTGTGCTCTCTGTCTGCTGCTGCTGCTGTTGTCTATATTTGTCGACGGAGATTTCTTTCTCTTATCCTACCCTGTTCTGTCCTGCTGTGCTCGTGCTCAACCATGGATGCCGTCAAACCCATGATATTGTTACAATATCATGTCAAACCCTGTATGATGCCTGGGCCAGTGGACAATCAAGTATCCACGGATTCGTCGAGTGCCGTGCCGTACATATCCCTTGGCATAACAGCCATTGACGTTGACGTTGATGGTGTATGGTAGAGAGTCGACGGTAGACGGTGGACGGTAGACACGGTACTCAGCTCCCCTCGCTCGCCTATCTTGACTGTAAATCTGTTGTAAGAGCGCGAGCAGCAGTCGAGTTTCTTATCCTTGGTACGTACTGTCTATTCCCATCTCAAATACAGTGCTGTCTTTAAGTACTCCCTGTCTTAGGTGTAGTACAGTATAGTTACAGCATCTCTCAGTTCCTTAAACCCGCTTAGTAATACGAGCAATCTCTTATTCCTCGCCAATCACATGTCTACCTCGCACTCGCTTAACCCGTCTTCGTCCCCTTGCCTTGTCTTGCCTTCCCTTTCCTTTGGCTCCCTTCTCACAGAGAACAGACGGAGACGGGCTATACTACGTTACAGGAGGAGCCCCTACAGGTACAAGTTCTCGTCGTCCACCGTACAAGTCTCGTCCACCCTACAACTCAGCCTAGGTATGCATTCATGCCTGGATACGTGCCTTACTGCCTCATTTTTCTCTAAGCGAGAGCGAGAGGGGATATAACTGGACGAACCAAACAAGAAAGTGGACCTGACAGCCATTCAAGTGACCAACTGGAAGAAGCCCAACTGTAAATAAAAGCGGAGAATTCCCTCTTTCAGCAACTCTAGCCCGGACAGACCCAAGAAATAAGAATAAGGCCGAGTCGAGTCCTTAGTAGTGTCTTTGCAGTGTCTTTGCAGTGTGTCGTGCATGCATCGCGTATACCGAGGAGTGACTTGTCAGTTAGCCAGTCTCTGCACCTGTTTAACACCCACAACCCACACACGCACACACATCTGATGCTGCAAATATCTGTCATCCCTCGTACCAATCATGTACCGTCTATACCTAACTAACCTAACCCCCTCCGTCCATCCAGTCTTCTTTTCCCTCGTGCGACTCGTGCGACGAGACCAGAGAGAGGGAAGTGAAGTGGAAGTCCCTTACTTTGTACCCTCGCTAGGGGGGACAAGTATCCCGGGTGTACCCTCGCTGCATTCAACACCCTGGGAGTGTACTTAGTGCTGTACTATTTTGCTGTTGTTCTCTCTCTTCTGTCCCCTCTTCTCTTGCACAATGCACCCTCATCTCATCCCCCTCCCCTCCCATCCATCCCTCAATCCCACTCTACACAACAACCCAGTCCATGAGCCTGTGATACCCCATCTCTACTTACCACTATACTTCCATCACACAGACAGACACCCAGGGATGGTACTTCTTCTCTCATCTACCCACGCCCTATAGTGGTACTTCCAATTCATGCCTCACCACCCTACTACACGCTTGTACCTCCCCTTCTCCTCTACTCTATCCCCGCTTGTACCTTTCCCTTTCTCTTCCCCCTTCCCTTTCCCCTTCCCCTGCCCTTTCGCTCTTTCCCTTGTTCCTTTTTCTTCCCATCCTCGACTATCTCCGAACCCCGACATACAACAGACAAGACAGGCCTTTCCCTTCCCCTTCCCCGTCCCCCATCATCTCCTCCATCCACACCCCCCTGTCCCCCCAGTCCCCCATTCCTTCTCTTCCCTGCCCTTGCTTCCTTCCCCCATCCCCCATCGATCGTCGTTTCCTCTTCCCTCCCGCTACACACACACACGCGCTACTGCCACTTCACTTACTACTCCCACACTACTGCCACTACACACGCTACTCCCACTTCTCCCACTACTCCCACCCTCGCTCGCTCATCAATCACCACCACTACCACCGAAACCCACTCCCACACATCCTTCCCCAATCATCCACTCTCCCTCCCTCCACCTCTCCATCTTCTCCTCGTCCCCCCCGCAAAAACCTGTCAATCCCCCCTAACTCTCTTTTCTCTCCGCTCATTCCACCCATCTTCTATCCCAAAAGCCGGTCCGAATATCCTCGCCCAGCTCATGCATCCATCACCTTCCCCGACTTCCTCGACGGCCAACCTCCTTCCTCAACGCATCTTCGTCACCCCATATCACCGCCGACTACCGCTCCGACGGCGACAACCTCGTCCACTCTTTTTTCACTACCTCCACAACAACCCTCGCCGACGCACATCCCCATCGGTGACGGCTACAACGTTACCACGGCCTGTCCGCCGCCCCTCGAACACACTCTCTCCCTACCATCACGACCGAACCTCATCCTCAAACTCTCCGAATCATGTCTTCCGCAACACCCTCCTCCTCCTCCTCCTCGTCCGGCTCCTCCGCTCCTCCACCACCAACACCCACCACCGCCGCACCACCGCCACCCACAACCACAACAACAACGACATCCACCTCCGTCAAACGCGCCTGCGACGCCTGCCATCGCCGAAAGGTGAAATGCGACGGCCTATCCCCCTGCCGCAACTGCTCCTCCGCCCAGCTCGCCTGCACATACAACGCCATCCCACAAAAGAAGGGTCCCAAGGGCTCCCGCGCAAAAGTCATCTCCGAGCTGCGCGAGCAGAACCGCCAGTCCGCCCTCTCCTCGAAAGCGCACGCGCGCCTGCTCGCCGGGAATGCCTATGCGAGTCCGCCACCGCTGTGTGCGCCCACGCTCGCGCCGACGCCGGGGTTGTTGACAAATGAGATCATCGCGCAGTGTATCGATTTCTTCTTCGTGAATATGTACCCCACGATCCCGATCCTGCATCGCGGGAAGCTGGAGGCGCAGGCGAGGTTCGCGGATAGAGATACCGATACGTATTGTTTGCTCACGTCGCTGTGCGCGTTCATGCTCATCCAGCCGGGGATGCCGGTGCCGGGTGACCCGATGGGACTCGATAGTATGCCTGGTGCGAATCTGATGAGCGGGACGATGCTGATGGAGGAGACGATCCGCGTGAGGAAGGGATATGACCACCTCGAGTCGCCGACGCTCGGCAGTCTGGCGACGAGCTACTTCTTGTTCGGCTGCTACTTTGGTTTGGATCTGCATAACAAGGCGTGGTTCCATCTGAGGGAGGCAACGACTCTGGCGCTGATTCTGGGGATGAATAAGGAGGAGTCGTATGCACAGTTTGATGTGATTGAGTCGTCGAGGAGGAGACGGTTGTATTGGCTGTTGTTTGTGGCTGAGAGGTATGTTTTGATTATATGGTTTTATTGAGCGACAACTAACACATTCAGATCATATGCCCTTCAACGACACCGTCCACTCACTCTCCCATCGACTATTGAGCTTCCTACCGCAAACGACGATCCGACAGAACACTCTCCCCCGCTCACAGGATTCATCCACCTCGTCACTCTCTTCAAGCCTTTCGACGACAAGTTCGTTGCTCTATGGAACAAGACACGCGACGACTGCTCTCCAGCATACCTGTCGGCCCTTCAGAAGCAGCTGTCCGATGCTCTTCCCGCATACCTCAACAGCACCGAGTCCCAGGCCGCCGAGCTACGCGTCAACCAACAGTGGCTGCGCAATGTTGTCTGGCAACTAGGCATCTCGAATGGATGCGTCAGCAGCGGCAACGACAACCCAAGCATGACCTTCCAATATCCGGTCGAGATCTCAAGAGACCTCATCGCGATGACCGCAGGCTTCTCCCCACATTCGATGGACGTCCACGGCGTAGGACTGGTACGTCCCCCTCCCATCCATTTTTCTACACCCACTAACCCCTCCCAGGTCGAGAAACTCTTCGACGTAGCCTACTCCCTCACCGACGTCCTCTCCGTCTCCCCACCCCCCGCCGACCCCTTCGCCCCAGCCCCAACCGACTACCTCAACCAATTCCTCTTCCTCCTCTCCTCCCTCCGCAACGGCGACACCCGCTTCCGCCCCCTCCTCATCGCCAAGATCCACGACATCCTCCCCCGTCTCGTGACGCCTATGCTGCAGACTCTCCCTGAGCCGTCGTCTGGTATGGGTCCGGGGGGTGTGGATATCTTTGACGGTTTTGGGAATGCTGGGATGGGTGTGCCGAGTCTGCCTCAGCAGCAGCAGCAGCAGCAGTATGACGCGAAGCCGTATGAGAATAAACAATACGATGTCAAGCCATACGATGTTAAACCCTACGATAATAAACAATACGACGTCAAGCCACGCATCGAAGACATCGCTTCCCCCGTCCACGCACACCCACACCACCAACAACACCAGCAGCAACAGCAACACGCACAACAACACACGCAGCACACACCCCCCCAACCCGCCCTCCTAGGCCAAGAACCCCTCCCCCCGTTTCAACCTGAACAACATCACCAACAGCAGCAGCCGCAGACCCCGGCGCCGTATCAGGCTATGCACACGCCGCTTGATTACGCGCCGTTAACGGATTATGGGTTCTTGAATAATCCGCGCACTGCACCACAACAGCAACAGCAGCAGCAGGGACAACAGCAGCAGAGGCCCGGGATGGGAGTTAGACAGGGGAGTGGGGTTTTTGGACATCATACCCAACAGCAGGGACATCATGGTCTGGGGATGGGACAGCATGATGGTGGTGGCGGGTTTGAGGGACTGGGGTTGGTGGGGGTGGCGGAGCATTTGCAGTATAGGTAGTTGATGGAGGGTAACAAGAAAGGGAATTTGTTATATCGGAGCGGGGTGGTTTAGGCCGGGCTCCCGGAGGACGATGGGATGGGGAATGTGGGATTACGGAACCACGACCATGAAAGATGGGTGCTGGATGGCGGTAATGCAGACGCGAATATGGGGAGGAAAACAGAGATACCTCACCCACGCATTGCTATGCATGGCATGGAAAGAGTTGAGATGATGGACATCCATTACGGAACCACATATCCATCCGTTCATGCCTATCCCATCCACTGACGGATAGACGGATGCGCGACGCACCGTCGCATCGCGTCAGCCACAGCGCCACTCACCCGCCATTCTCCTGCTTTGAAGTAGGAGGGCGGAAATGCAAACTCAAACGACCAAAAAAGAAACGAAAGGGAAAGGAAAGCGAACATAGGAACAACAACAACAACACAGCCAAGGAGTTATTCAATGGGAAACACAGGGCTCATTTTTTTGTAAGGGATATATTATTTGGAATTGAAATCTAGCTACTGCGACTTATTTTTTATGTTTTTGTCTTTTTTGGTTCTGTCATAACTTGGGAGTCAGTCATCGTCATTGTCCATTTTTTTTATTTAATCTTCTTCTTCGAGGCTTTGGAATTGGAATTGGGGAGGGGAGGGGGGTTTGGAGTTTTTTGAATAAGGATTGGAATTGAATGGGGGATTGGAGGGGATGGAAAGGGGGAAGGTGGAGGGAAAGGAGGAAGAGGGTGGAAGAAAGGGGATGAAATGAAATGAAATGAAAGTTAAACTTATTCCTCTCGTATATCTACCTATCTGATCTGACTTCAACGTGATCTTTGACTGTGACTCCAACTGGTGAACTTCGATATTTGAACAAGCAACCCCCCTCCCTAACATTAACCTGTTGGCCGTCGTGGGTAGGTTGCAGTATCGTCTCTAGTCAAGAGAGTATATTACACGGGGGACGGGAGGGTGGTCTCGTTCTTGCTGCGTGAAATGTGCGCACACTTTCTTCAACTTACCGGACCGAGGGGGGGTGTTTTGTGGGGGGGAGGGGGGTGGACGGGGCGAAGGGGGTGGTAGTGGTGGTGGTAGTGGTAGTGGTGGTGGAAATGGTGTGGTAGTGGTGAGAAAGGGGCGATGGTGGAAAAGTGGGTGGTGGTTGTGGTGAGAAAGGGGTGATGGTGGGAAACGAGTCGTACACATAGCACTAAGCGTACTCACGCGACAAAATAAACAGCTCATGCACATAGCAGAGAGCCTACTCCTACCATGAAACAAACAGCCCATACACACATACCATAGAGCAGCAGGCACATAATAGAAACTACACCACGTTTAATTATTACCCACTACCCACTCCTACTACTGCTACTTCCTTACTACACCAATAACGAAGGAAGAGGGTGGTACCATGCGTTCTTCGGTCGTACTTCATTCTTTTGACGACGATCTGGGAGTATTGTTCTTGGTGCGTTGTTCAAGGTCCACCTAGGATGGTGGGTGGTGGTGGGAAAGGGGTCGTGAGAAAGGGGGTGGTGGTGAGAAGAGGGTTGTAAGAAGGGGGTGCCGGTGGGAAACTGAACGACGACAAGAATGAAGCCGCAACAGCAATGGGATACCGATGACAGCACAACCCACTGCTCCCAAACAGCCCGTGCAAAAAAAAAAGTATCATCACCACTAATACTCACTACCACCACCCTAACCCCCAAAGAACCCCACACACCGCTTTCTGATTCTTTGTCATTGTCTTGTGGTCTGGCTTGGAAATTGTCTTTGTGCGATGCTGTTGCTTGCTGGTTATATGTGGATATGTGAATCTGCTTTGAGAGGGTGGGTGTGAGTTGTGGGTTGTGGGTTGTGGGTGGTGGGTTGTGTCTTTCGCGGCTCACGCATTCCTTACCCGCCCTCCCTCCGATTCTACTGTTATTGCGATCCATTCATACTTTCCTCCCTCCACACGATATTATAAATGCCACCCCACACAGTACGCACCAACCCACTCTCTATCTACCACATCACGAAATTTTCAAGCTCATGTGCAAGCCTCGTGGACTAGAGAGGATTATTTCATCGATAGCCTCTTGAGACGTAGGTGCCTACGTCTGTATCTGTCTCTCCTTCGCACAGTCCGTTAGAAGGCTAGATGACAGGGGGAGGGCGAGAGGGGTGTAGTATCGGTGTATGGGGGAGTAGACTTAGAAGGCCGTTGACTCCAGCCTACTTATTCCTCGTATTAAATCTGCAAATGTGCGAGGTCATTTATTTGCGATGCGATGGTTTAGCGGGTATTGTGTGCGGTTCGCCGGTGTAGGGTATGGGCGAGCGATGCTTTCTTTGTTGGAGATGCGGGGATGCGGGGGGGATGGTGCGAGGGATGTTTGGGAGTGAGGGGGCGGTTTATTTAGGGAGGGGAGTTAATGACGAGAAAGAAAACGGTGATGATGAGAACCCGAGTGACGGCGGTAAGAAGAAGGATCATGACAACGGAATACAGGTGACAGCAACACCCCCCTAGTAACAGTAACAACCCCTAGTGACAGCAATACCCCCCCCCCCCCCAAAACCATCATCACCCTAATACTCACTAGCAGCCCCTCCGGGCTCAAGATACGCGTTAAAGGGTTCCATAATCACGTATGCAGTCACAGCCACAGTCACAGTCACCGTATGGTAAAGTTAGATAAGTAATCCAAACAGCACAGCGAGTTCAAACGAGCGGAATCCGGTCAGATAACACCCATCCCCCACCCTGCTTTCAAGGCCTCTGAGAATTGGAATTTTCGCACGGAGTCTGCTGGGAGATTGGTTATAAGAGTGTTCTCTGGGATCACCTTTACAGACTAAGATTAGAGAATAATGGGTGGAAAAAAATGGAGGATAACGTCTCAGCAACTACCTTCATTACCTCCAAACCGAATAACTACAAAACTTCAAGATATGACTCATACTATCCTTAATCTGACCAGTTACTTCCCATCTACCAGTCGTGCACGCTGACTCCTCTGATTACCTAGAATTGTCTTCAAATATCTGTAGAACGCTGTATTATGGCAGGTTCTTCTGCGCCTGTGTAATCCAACCCCAGACCAGCCTCCCCAAGTCACCATGGCTGCTAGTAAGGTTAAAATTAACATTTATTCCAACTCTATCAATATTAACTATTTTTAGATATGATTTGAGTTGTTCGGCGATGACAGCTTGGTGTCACCGAAGTGGCGTCGATAGCGCCTAGCAAATTGCCTCTTCCGTTATCTGAACAACGCTAGCAAAAGCACCCTACTGGTTGATTGTGTATCTACTTATCGGAATATGACTGTGGTTTGATTAATGGATATGCGTATTCTCAAGCTTAATTGAGACCAGCCGATGCTATAAATCCCGTTCTAACGCTTAACGCCACGTTGTATGTCCAATAATAACTCCTTCCTCGCTCTTCTACGAGTCACATTGCAGGAGGGATCATACCAAACCTCCGAATTCTGTGGCCGGTGCAGCCGTTACAGTATACCGTGTATATACGTTTGTGGCGCGTATTCCGGCAGGCCGGAATATTGTAGCCTTTTAGCTCAGTTGAGGTGTGATGCGAGTGTAAGCTTACACCCTTACAAAGTCTCACAACGGAGTTAGAGATTGGATATATCCGTCCCCCTGACCCATTTACACATATTAACAGGAGCGAATAAAGCTTGGTAAGCTTCGATGGGGCTTGGAATCCAATCCCTCCGATGACCTGGCCCGCTCCCACACAGCACCTGAACTGATCCAACCGAAACAAGGCATAACAATAGACGCTAGGGTATACAACCTTGTCTTTAAGAAATAGGATTCCCTTAGCCACACTTCTCATGCACGTTAAATTGATCTAGCACGGTATACTTCGATCCCTCCAACCCCCCTGTCCACGTCAGAATTGTGTTTGATATCACGATATTCACTCCAAGTCGATAAAAACCACTCAGAACAGCGGTGTAAAAGAGGGGTGCCTGAATTTATCCAACTTCTACAATGGGCCTGGCGTACGGGTTTGATGTCAGATTTAAGATTGCGCGGTTCTTGATAAAGAGAGAGCTATTAGCATACTTTTGTTTAAATATCATGGCCATATCCGACTGTTGCAGTCCTCCCCCCACTCATCCACGGTCATTTTGATAAGCTTGCTGTGCTTAGAATGCATTACCTTCGAGGAGGTATAGCCATATGGCTTTGGGCGACAACCTGTAAGAAAGATTTATCAGGTCATATTTGCCTAGGCTTACATTAGTCCAGCTGTTGCGCTCCCAAGTCTTTCTGGATTGAACTTGACTGCGATTGGTCTTGATTCTCAAGGCGAAACCCTACTAGGACGCCGCGGAATTGATGGCGGTGTTCAACTTCGAATTTTGCCATTGGGCGCGTCCATTACTTATGGCTACGAATCTACGGATGGAAATGGCTACCGTTTTGGCCTCCGAAATCAATTGGTTTACAATGGAAACGCTGTCAATATGATTGGAAGCGTCCAATCCGGAACAATGGTTGATAATGATGTGGAAGGCTGGCCGGGCTACGTAATCGACCAGGTTGCAGGAAAGGCAGAGCTGTCAATCCCATCACAGCCCAATCTGGTTCTAATCAATGCTGGGACAAACGATTGTATTCAAAACATAGACATCGCCAACGCACATGTCCGCTTAGGCAAGATGGTTGACCGTCTTCTTAGCGCCATTCCTGGCGTCACAGTTATATGCTCTACACTTCTACCTAATGGAAATGCAGCTGCAGAAGCAAACGTCAAGTTATTCAATGCTCAGCTCCCTGCGATGGTGGCGAATTATCAAGCAGCTAACGAAAAGGTCCTCCTTGTTGATTTCCACACCTCGTTCTTTAGCTTGTCAGACATCAGAACAGACGGGACACATCCTACAGATGCGGGATACCAAAAAATGGCTGCTGTTTGGTATCAGGGTATCCAAGCTGCAGCCGCTGCAAACTGGCTCACAGCTCCTGCTGCTGTTGCAGGACTATCTGATATTGTGGTTGGTGGAAATACATGTCAGAAAAGACCCGGAAATGCCATTGGGCCTGTCAAAACACAACAGGGTTCGGGCTTCGATGATGGCCGCTACGTTCATACCGGTGTTAATGTTGGCACAATGACTGGCTTTGCTGGAAATACTGATGCTGCAGGCGTGTACTGGGCAGATATTAATGGCGACGTAGGTCTTGATATGATAAAGTATGATGGCTTTTGCTAACAACCTAAATAGGGCATCGATGATTATGTTTACGTCGATACAAATGCAAACCTAGGCTTCGGTGTATCTCTGAGCTCTGGAGGTGGTGTCTTTGGAGCATATGCTCATTTCCCCCTCGACATCTACTGTCTACGCCGCGGAGTTAGGTTTGCGGATATGACAGGAGATGGCCGGGACGACTTTTGTTGCTTAGCCCCAAATGGAGACCTCGCTTGCTGGGAAAATACCCCAGGCTCAGATCCGAGAAACCCTACTTGGGTTTCCATGGGCATAATATTCCCGAATCGTGGCTATCTCCAAGCTCAGGTGAGTATCCTTTTATTCTATACTACCTCTCTCACTCACAGATAACTGACTGGGCCGTAGGTGCGACTCGCTGATATTGATGGTGATGGCCGTGCAGATTATGTTGCCTTTAGCTATGATGGTACTAGTATCCTCGGTTGGCGTAATGGTGCGCCGGGGCACGTTAAGCCTCAGTATTGGAATCCCATGTCAGGCGTTTTTAGTGGTCTACCAAATCTCACACCTCTTTCTGGCTGGCGATTCGTTGATTTGAACGGAGATCACAGGGACGACCTCGTTCATGTTTCTACAAACGGCCAGGTCACGACATGGATCAATCAGCGAGGCTATGATGTTGGATTGACTCCAGTATGGGTTCCAATGGGGCAAACGCATGCCGGCGCCGCATCTCCTCAGAATATATCATTTGGCACTTTTTGGGGCTCAGGGAGAGGTGACTACTCTGAGATCTCTGAGAGCGGAGGGGCTATTAGCATAAACCGCTTCTCAAATGAGGATGTTGGAGGGACGATGGTCAAGGGTGACGGTGTAAGATACTGTGATATGAGAGGCACTGGGGCCGATGATTATATCTGGATCTCATCAACAGGGGAGATGTGGCTGTATGGCAACAAACATGCACCTCCCAACTGGATCCAATACGGAATCATTGGCAATGTTAACCGACCGCGAAAAGAGGTAAGATCATTACTCATAGAGATTCGACCAAGCTAACGAGGCAATGCAAGGTTCATTTTGCAGACTTCGACGGCGATGGAAGATGCGACATTCTGCTCGTCGATAAAGCTACCGGATCTACAACAATGCTCCGCAACGACTGGGACGGCACTAAATTTACTTTCACAAACATAGGCGTTGTGTCTGGGGGGGCTACTCCTTGTACTCAAGGATATGGATACACTAACAATGACCTTGGCGTTCGGTTTGCTGACATTGATGGAGATGGAAAAGCTGACTATCTCTGTCTGGAGCTTAATGGTCGAATGACAGGAGCTTTGAATCGAGGACTCAACAACTTAGTTAACCAAGGCCAAATCAAACTATCGGAAGCAAAAGAGCGAGAACGTAAGTGCATATCTGAATCCACGGATAGTATAAGAATCCAGCTAAAGACGTCCTAGATATTTGGCTTGCCGACATCAATGGAGATGGTCGGGCTGACTATCTCTTTGTCGACTCGTTGTCCGGAGCGGTCACGGCTTGGACAAATGAGGGTAATACTGCGCAAAGCGGCAGTTCATTCTCCTGGATTAATAGAGGTATTGTAGCGGTAGGCTATAGTGCCCGAGGTTCCTGCATCAACTTCGGGAATCTCTACGGCGTTGGCCGAGCAGACTACATTATTGTGAATCCCCAGGCTAACACGGCCAATACGTATTTCAATGTCTGTCCCGACGGCGGGCTTACACCTGAGACACCGGAACTGCCTGTTGTCACAGTTCCAGGTCCTGCCCCTCCCAATGGAGGAGGTGGTGGATCTGGTTCTGGAATCTTCGATCAGAAAACTTCGGACCCTAACTGCGCTTGTATGTCAAGATATCTACGTATATCTTCTCATTTACGCTAACGCGAGCTTAAACAGATATTTATGATTGTATCAACTGTGCTATTCCGGATGACCCTAAACAGGGCAACGATGTGCGATGGAAGGCTGCCAACGTTGATTCGTTCTGGCCGACCGCTAACGACTGGTACACGAACGCAATGGACGATCCTGATAGTCTTGGAGTCCTCGTGGGCAGATATGCTGAAGCGATGATAGATCACTGGGGAGGCTCTCATGCACCCTTGGGTTGGGATTGTGCCACGATTGGCGAATCACCTTGGTATTTCCGTATTCCATAATCCTCGAAATTTGCTCCCTTGACTGACCTACTTGTAGTTCAAACACGCAAACATGTCAACAATGTACTGAAAGGGATGGAGTCGGCGCTATGTGCCTCATTATGAGTTCGTGGGGAGAGCTCCATAACTTCTATACTAATATGTATAGCACAGTAGTTGTGGGGCAAGCAGACATACTTTCAAAAGCATCTGATGTAAGTGGCCGTTTTAGTCTGTCCTAGTTTAACTACTAATGATTATAGATTGTTACGACATTTTCCCCATCAGTTGATGTTTCTGGCTCACCCTTTGACACTATATTGACGGTGGCAGGCTACTTAGATGACTTGCTTGGTTTTGCAGGAGCCAACTTCTGGTCTAAGGTACATTTAAGCTACAGATCCTAGCCTTATGTTGCTGAAGCTAAAAATATACCTAGGTGATTAAAGATCCCAATACATTTACGAAATTCTCAGACGGTGTTGAGAAAGCTGGAACATATAACGCCAATGTTGAATCACTTGTGACCTTTGCAGCCTCATATTCCTCAGATCAAATCCCAGCGTTAGTCATATTCATTCATCTTCATCACATTACTTTACTAATAATATAACAGGCTTGAACAAAGTATTATAAAACTTAATGCCCTTGACAAAGCCATAGGAGCACTTTCTGATACTATTCGTGGTCTTATAAGTGGCTATCTAACACATATCTTTGACGGCTCTCCATCTGGTATGGCTGATCTCGTTCAAGCTACTAAGGATGGGTTCTTCCTCACAAACCCTTTTGAGGAATCTGGTGGCGAGACATTCAACTTTCCGGATCAAATAAACGATGCATTTTATGCCAAACTGATCCCAATAGCATGGAAGCTAGATCCGGATGTCTGGCCTGTGCTCGTCTACCTCGACGAACTCGATGTTCCAGAAGATGGATTTCGGCTAAGCATAGATTTTCCGCATCCTCTTGGTGGTGGACGCGGAACCACATCTATTCTTGAAAGTTCGCGGATTCTATCAGATGATGACGCAAATATTTCAAGAGTACCGTATGGCGATACTACGTTGTGGTTACTTGATCTGCATACTTGCGAGAAGCAGGGGGTAACAATAGTGCCAAACTCATGTGAGGGTCAAGTATTCCGAGCGCTGCCTGGAATCTCATCTGTCAACGGAGATGGCACGTACGGATCCGTAACTAAAGAAAACATGGTCTCCTCGTCATATGATGGTTGGTTGCGGAATTTCCAGCAAAATGGCTACAAGATGCCGACTACTGGAGACCCTGGATCTGTGCCATTCTCTAATGGTTTCGCAACGGCTGGATTCTTTAGTATCCCTATCTGCAGTCCGACTGAAGCCTTCACCAGCTGGGCTTATTATTTCGGGAAAAATATCACAGCGGAAGCTTGTGAATTTTACCCTTGTTGTGGCAATCCATATGAGTCTTAATCTGCTGAGCAAGATTCTATAGCAAGAGCTGGACAATGCTGCAGTCGCCCTTCTCAAGGGTTCTTTTGTAGCTTCTTGGAGAATAGCCATCGTCCTCGTAGTCGACGATCAGATTTAATGAAGCGTTTACTCGGCACTCAAACAGACTGCCGCTCATAGTAGCCAGTGGGCTACCATTATGACTGTATAATCCTCAAACTGCGCTCTGACAATTCTCCTGTGTGATCCTGTCCGTGTCTTTATCCCTCTTAGAATTCATTTCATAGAGATTCCGGTGATATTACTAGCATTGTGGGCGGCAAGAATAGATTAACAGGGATGGCAGCACAAAATTTTGAACGATAGGTTCGACGCCAATAAAAGCTTCACAGAATGGAATCCCCAGCATTCGCCGTAGTGCAGGGTCTTGAAAAGATCCTACGATTCCCCCGTCCCGCCCCGAAAAAAAGTATAAAAAAAGCTTGGCACTAGGCCCCTGGACTCCTGGAGCGCAAACAACTACCCCTCCATGCCCACAACTTCCCCAACCCACCCTCCTCGTTATACCTAAAACACAGTAATAGCGATATTCCACCATGTAGGAGTATTAAAAAGTTAGCAAACGAGCTATGTAAAACAGTAACGGAAGCTGCCCTTTTTAGCAGCTTGCTTACCGTTACATCGTTAAATTAAGTTATAAATGTTAGTGCCCTACTTTTATATGTGCTATTTAAAGATTCCATCTAAAGGACAGGATAGTTAAGGGCTTTGTCTTTCTATTCTAAAGTCTATAAATCTCTCCCTCTTAGTAAGCAAGCCTTTATAAGGTCTTCTAGAGTCTTATAGCATTTAAAAGCATTATTAGCTATTACTATAGTAAAAAAACACATCACTCTATTATATTACAAATTATCTTTTAAATCTATAACAATATAGAGGCTATATATAGTAAGCATTACTTATAGTCTTCTATAAAATTACATACTTGTCATTCTTATTACTATGTCTTCCTTTTAAATATTACTAAATCACTTTAAGTTTAAAAGTAAAACTGCTATTAGCATCTTATAGTAAGTAAATATAGCAATCCTAATTAGTTAGTAAGGTAGCGCTTTATATAAACTTAACATACCTTATAAGTAATTACTTAATTTATTACCCTATAAGAACTTAACTCTATATAGGTACTACCTCTAGTACTAGTATTAGTAAAGAAAACTAAAGCAAAAGATAGCTAGACTCTATAGTACTTATATAGATAGTAATAAGTCTATTGTAACGCTAGGTCTTAAACTATAAGACTCATAGAGGTTTCGTTAGTTTACTTAACAGAGGAGGCAGGGGATTAGACACAAAAGGCTTTTGTAAAACACGTTATAGTATATAACAAATACTATATTAAGTTGAGCACGAAGCTCCTATCTAAGGAATAACTATCTACTTATATAGTAGCGTTGTGCTAAAGGGAATAGTTAGAATAGCAGACTCTCTAACTATTCTCACTATTCCTACTAATCTAAATTACGTGTGTGTCCTATAAGAGGTGCTACACTTATTGCAGGTACCAATTCCCATAGGTGCTTTCCTAAGGAGGCACCTTACTCTACATAGGTGCCTTTCCTAATAGGCACCTCTCTCTTGCCAGGTACCTTCTAAGAAAGGTACCTTTTCCTAAAGGTGCCATTATTAACTAAGCTACCTACAATCTCTGCGTCTATTTCCTGCTGCTAATTAGCTATAAGCTATTTCACCTTATTAATCTATCTTGCAGCATATAGGTTGCATGTTTCAGCTGTAACATCTATCTATATACCCTTTATAACAAGAAACCTAATATGTCTATTAGTAGCACTATTTATAGTATTAAGTCTTATGTACTATTAGAATACCTCCCCTATGTCTACATACTTAACTTTAGTAGCACTAGAGAGAGAACGTTGTTTAATTTAACTTAATATACTCTATTATTTAGATGTTATCTACTTAAAGTAGCCTTATAACTATACTAGGGCATTTCATCCTTCTTTAGAGAGGGTTTTCTATCCTATAGTAGTAGGTAAGTTCTTAAAAGTAAATGAAGAATGTTATAGATATTAGGCTGTAAAATCTAGACATAGTAGGAGTGTACCTTTTATACTATTTTTAAGCTTACCCTTACTTACCCTCACTTACCCTCGCTTACCTAGGTACTAGATTATCTATAGCTATCTAAAGTTATAGTACATTACGTTTATCACGTCTTAATACAAGACCTACTTTATACGTGTTAACGTAGCCGCTATTAGGTAGCTAAGGGGGACAACTAGATTATCGTAAGGCATTAAAAACTTAAGGGTAGCGACGCTTACCCGCTAGTCTAAATAGCACCGTCCTAAGCATCAATCCACTTTAAGCTTGAGATTAGTGGATTAGTAGTTAGGTGGGTGACCACCAGCGAATACCCACTGTTGTATGTTTTTGCTTCCCTTACCAAGCTAAGTCAACTCAGTCGTCCTTTCCTTCAGCAGTCATTCGTTCGTTCGTCTTTTCTTTTAGTCGTCGTTTTGGTTGTTCTTTCAATTTAGTTTACCGGCCGTTCCTTCCTTTGACAAGTTGGCCGCTCCTTTCTTCCTTTGGGGAACCAGTCGTCCTTTCCTCTTTCCCCTAACAAGTCAGTCGTTCCTTCTTCTCATGGCAACCTAGGCGTCGGATCTCTGATAATCTCGCGACGAAAATTATCATATGGGCGACAATCCATAATAAGCCAAAATATGGTTTTATGGCTGGCAAGGGACATATTCAATCGCCGGAGTCACAGTAGGCGGTGGCCGGTTGATTTTGTGAGGGAGTTGGGGGAGGAGGTCACGGAAGGGGCGACGGTGGGAAAGGGGCAACGACAAGAAAGCGAGCGCCAGCGAGAAAAAAGCCCAACAACACGAAGAAGCCCAACAACAACAACAACAACAACAAAACCCCAGCAACAGCAACACCCCCTACACTCACCTCGAGCATAACAACGCGTTCCCCCCCTTCAGATATCCATCACACCAACCCCCCGATCGTCAGTTGGTGGCAGTTCCATAAGCTCGTGGAATGTAGCATCGACCTGAGCAAAAAGTCTTCGATGACGGAGTCTGGTGTTTAATGGTTGGTTTATACGCGCGATAAGTCGTGTCTCGGCTGGGGCAGTATGTGTGATTGTGGAGTAGAGTGGGTGCACCGTTGGGAATCTGGTCTGGGCGACTGAGAGATGTGGGGAGTTTATGAGTACGGATTAATGTGACGGTGGGCGATGCCAGTCTCGAATTTCATAAGCCATATCGATCTTTCCTTCCTTCCTCCTTCCTTTTAGGCAATATTTGGCAAGTCGGGTCGTTCTTTCCTTTAGTTGCCAGTCGTTCCTTCCTTTGGCAAAAACAAATCGTTCGTTCGTTCTTCCTCCGGTAAGCCTAGTCAACTCTCCCTTCTTTCCCTGACAAACCAGCCGTTCCTTCTAGCCTAAACTCCATGAATCATCATTAGCTCGCTCTATATCAGAAGGGGAACTTGATCGCGAAGAACAAAGTTGTTGAGGGAGCGTGACAAAAAGGAAAGATGAGATGACATCTACACAATGGACGTACGTGCCTTAAGTGATGTAGCAGGTCAAGCATGTGCCGTTAAGATGGTATTCTTGCAGCTTGTATTTCTTGTCACCTGTTCGTTCTTGCCACCACCTATCATTCTCACCACCACCTATCAGTCTCACCACATGCCATTTCTTCCCGCACTTCCTCGCTATGGCAATGCAGTTCCCGCTCTCCAAACCTTCGCGCCGAGGTAATCGAGGTGCGCTCTGACCGTGAAGAACGGCGGCGCTTGCGAGATTGATGGAAATAGGTTTGAACAACGACCTGGACCTCCTTTTATATCGTGTCACCCCCCCGTCTACCGTGTCAATGGCACCCGTGAACTTGTTGATATCTGTCAGTAATCGGTCCTTGAGATGGTTGTAGAAGCTCTCACCTCCCTCTGTCATTCTCCGCCTGGTTTATTTTTGTCATACAGATTCTAGTCGTGTTATAACCGCAGAATATGAACATGTGGGCCGCAGAGTATACGGGGATATAAAAAAGGGACTCTATCTCAACTTCTGCTGTATAATCGACCCTATGACCCCGAGAAACCAGGGACAATTGAAGTCAAGGAATGCCCGAGCCAGAAGAAGGATAGGCTTTTGTATCGTGGGGCGGAGACTTGGAGTTGCTGTTGAGGCGCTTCATTGCCATTGGGGGTACCAATAATCTCGACAATCCCCTGAAGGGGCCAAACAACCTCCGCAAAATATTCGATATTGCACGCGCCAAAAGTTGGTTTTGCGTGTCCCATCCCACCACCCACAGCCCCATAACTCATGTGGTGTCCCGGACGCAGACCACGCACTTATCCTTCTTGTCGCCGCATGTCGTTCTTGCCGCTTGTCATTCTCACCACCACTCGTTCTCACCGCCTCTCCCAAACGGGAATGTCATCAATCGCCTCCTTTACCGCATCCAACTTCTTCTCAAACTGTTATAACTTCTCCGCATGGGCCGTTAGGATCGCACTGCCAGCCTGGTACTCTTTGACAAGAGCTTCTGCTTGGACCTCTCCAAAGGGGGTGAGGGGGTTGTCCGGGCTGTCCGAACTGTGCAGGCGGCTGTCTGGGTTGACTGAACTGCTTCATCAGCAAATATTCTACGACATGGCGAATAGGCTTACCTTTTCTTGATTTGCGACAGGGCTATCTCTTGCACACAAAATAGGTATGCCAGTTCGCCACATTCTAATGACTTTGGCACAATGTATGCACATTTAATACGTTTTGCATCATGCCACACCATCCATTCTGTTTTCACCGACCCTTCGCTCCTTCCTTTATCAAGTCAACAGTTTACCATATTCCCGCCGCATCAAAGCCGATCGTTCGTTCCTCCGGCATGTGCAGTCGTTCTTTTCTTCGCCTTTCTATTAGTAATTCACTCCTTCCCCTTTTCTAGGGCAAGTCAGTCGTTCCTTCCGTCAGTAGTTAGTCGTTCGTTCCTCCTTTCTTTTTGGGCAACACATTTGGCAAATCTAGTCCTCGTTTGGAAAAATGCTGTTGTTTGCTTTTATTTTAGTTTTGCAGTTGTTCCTTCCTTCGGCAAGCCAGTCGTCCCTTCCTCTTTCATTCCATCCTGCCCCGCCCGCCCGCCTCCCTCCTCAAACCCACTCGGTTATGATCGGCTGCAAGTCATCAGGCCAGTGCCGCTCTTGAACGTGAGAAATCTGTTAATGAGGCTGGATTTCAGACATGGCTCTGAGAGACCTTGAGGCTCGAGGCCCCATAACAGAGTCCCCTAATTCCCCAACCCCATCGAGTGGGAGTGCCCTATCCTCTGCCATTTCTGACCTAGATGTATTCGACAATCTCATGACCGATACCAACGACCGCCTTCGTCTATACCAGGGTCTTGGACAGGTGTCATTCTCGTTGCCTGATGTTCTTGTCGCCAGTCGTTCTTGCCACTTGTCGTTCTTGTCACCTGTCGTTCCTGCCACCTCTCGTTCTTGCAACCTGTCGTTCTTGCCGCCTGGTCGTTTCTCGCAATCTTGATCCCGATCGAAATTGGCTATTAACGATACCTGAGGTTGTGCATCTCCGGATTTTGGGACCTTCCTTGGCTTCCTATCTGAACTGAATATGAAATAATCATTACCAGCATAGTCACCGACTGCCTTCACCCGGTACAACCACCCACGACCCAAGAGGATATTGTATGGAGTCGTTCCGTAGACCTCCCGCCGGAGACGCAGAGCATCGCGTTGACCCTGAAGTTGGGTTTTCAAGCTGTCGCTGCTAGCCCTCAGACTGTCATTATCCGTCTAGTCTTTCGTTCTTAGGTATATATATCACGATACATAGCACAATACAATGACGCTCATACAAACTCTCATACATTCATTCCATATTACACTGCATACCTCGCGCCTAACCAACCCCCACACCAAAACGCCTCTGTTCCATCCCCTACCCAAACCAGCCACTTTAACCATCAACCTCCATCTCCGCCCCTCCCTCCTTCTTAACCGCCCCAACCTTCAACAAGAAACTCCTCCTAAAATACTCATTCGGATGCACAATCGTCTCCCCCCCCCCAATATTCGTCCCCTCCTCCTTCGCCCTCTTTAATTCCCTCGCATGCACATGCTCAAACACGCGATTACATGCCATATGATACTTCATCTTCTCCCTATCATCCTTCACCCCCTTCAGCACGCTCCCATCCGTCACACCCGTGCGCTGCAGCGTCGCAGTGAGATTCTCGAGACTGTAATGCCGGTAGGGGCATCCGTGCGCTTCACCCGGTCCGGGGGGGTGCTCGGTGAGGATCTTCTGGCAGGAGAACGGACTGTAGCCTCCTCCGCGTCTATTCCCATCACCACCCACATCTCCGTACGCATGCCGGATATTATACCGATACTCCTTATTAAACGTATCGTCCGTCACAGCACTAAACCCACTACGCCAATACTGCAGCGAGTCCGCCAGCGACAGACCCAGCCCCTTGAGGAAGAGCGTGTACTGTAGACGCGCGTAGTGCTTGAGGTGGTGTGTGGTGGCGAGCGTGGTGCCGAGGGTCGACATGCAGAGCGGGAAGTTGGGGAGGAGAGAGGGGATCGAGGCTGCGGTTATGGTGCCTGCTACCATGGAGGAGGGGGCGGTGGAGGCGGGGGTGAGGAAGGTGGAGGAGAGGTGGGCGAGGATGGGAGAGAGGCGGTCGTCTTCATCGAGGCGGGGGAGGGCGCGGGAAGTTTGCTGGGGGATGTTAGTTTTATCTCCTTGGGTTGGATAGCTGGGGACTCACCTCAAGCGCCTTATCAAGCCTCGCCGTAAACTCCGCAAGAACCATACTCATCTGTTCCCGTCCTGGCACATACGCATACCCCCCCTTCAGCAACACCCTCCTGCTCTCCACAAGCTCAGGGACCTTCATCCAATCTACCTTAAACCACCCCTCATCCACCATCTCGCTCGCCTTCCTCCCCTGCCCCGCCGCCACAAGCTCAGGCAATATCTCCTTTTTCTCCGCATCCCCAACAGCCTCCCACTCCAGATTTAGCCCCGCCACAAACGCACCGCGCTCCCTGGCATCATCACTCTGGAATCTCAGCCTGAACAGCGCCGTCTCCACCCGCGCGAACCGCCGCCGTAGGTCCTCGGTCGACGCAAATGCGAGGCGCAGGATGAAGTGGCTGTAGTGGTCTTTTTTCCTCTCTAAGGCGAGGTTGGGAGAGGAGCTGGAGGAGGACGAGAGGGGGAGGTATTTATCCATCAGTGGCTTCATGTGCGCGGCTGTCTCGGCGGGGGTTTTGTTGCGGAAGGAACATGCTTCTAACTCTGCGAGGACTTGGGGGAGTTAGCACCCTCTTCTCTCCATGCCGCGAATTTGGGACAGGGGGGATGGGAGGGGACAAACCGCGTAATCGGTCAATAGCCCATTGTTCGAATTGCTCGAGCGTGATATCTGCAGTCGGGGGAAGGATGTAGAAGTTCAGACGGTGGGGGTAAGTGTGTTCCTGAAATTTAGCCGTAGCGAACTGTTTTTTGCGGTGGTCGAGTTCGGCGCGCCGGTTGGAGGCGATGCGCTTTGCATCCTGGCGGATCATTGTGCGCGGTATAGAGAGGGATATGGGGTAAAGTGAGGTGGAGTGGTGCTGAGTATTGTGGTGAAATGCTTGTGGTCGCGATACTTGGGATGAGGTCTGGGTAGGCGCGTTGGGAGACGCGACGCGACGCGAGGGGTTTAAGTGGTTGCACGTGATTTACATTTTATAGGTGGAGATTTTTACCTTTTTGGACTCCGACGTGGAGTCCTAAGGATGAATGATATGCCTAATCGTTTACTGCTTACATTAATTACTTTAATTGGGTCAAGTGATTTCGTCGTGCAGCTTCGTGGATATTCGGCACTTGTTGTCCCTAGTCGCATCGCAGCATGAGGGGTTGCGATGAACCCCACGTTGTATATTGGCTAAATGCTTCGCCGGACTATCTCCGGTCTGCCTCAGAGTCCGGAGATTTCAAAGGTGGACGTTTATATAGAGTAGTTTCATGTGGAGATATATCTAACCCCCATTAGTATCAATCGCAATTCCTCCCATACACCTCTCAAAATGACATCTTCAGACTTCCGAGCCAAGGTCTTGGGGTACAATGACGTGCATCCCTTCTGTGAAGTGAAGCTTTCAGACAGAGAGTCTGTCCAGGATTTACTAAAAACTATCCTCGACCCTCTCCAACAGCATTTCTCTCCACAATGCTCTCGTATCAAGGTCCCCGGTGCTACAGCCGTGCGCTTCGACAATACTGCGTCGGAGATTGAAGGCTATGCCCGCCCACTTTGGGGACTGGCTTCTATGCTTGCTGGTGGTGGCACTTATGAGAACACGCCGCGCTGGATTGAAGGTCTGAAGGCGGGCACAAATCCAGAGAGCGAAGAGTACTGGGGGCAGTCGGAGGATAGCGATCAGCGTATGGTGGAGATGTGCTGTATCGGCTGGACTTTGGCTGTGGTGCCGGCATTTTGGGATGCGCTGGATGAGAAAGAGAAGGGGAATGTGGAGAGGTATCTTGGAGGGATTAATGATAAGTAAGGCTCATGAAAAAAAGGCATGTTTCTTTACTAACAACTACAGAGTCATGCCAAATACAAACTGGCTGTGGTTCCGCGTCTTTGCGAACCTGGGATTACTCCGTAATGGAGCAAAGCACTCCCCGGAAATGCTAGTCCAGGACATCAAGCACCTTGATTCCTTCTACCGCGGTGACGGCTGGTCAAACGACGGGCCTGAGCACATTCACCAGATGGATTACTATTCCGGCTCCTTTGCTATCCAATTCCTCCAGCTTCTCTACGCCAAGCTAGCCGGAGAACAGGATCCAGAGACGAGCGCAGAGTTCAAGCGCCGCGGAGAGATGTTCGCGCTCGATTTTGTCCTTTACTTCGACGAAGAAGGCCGAGCTCTCCCGTTCGGTCGTTCGATCGGATATCGATTCGGCATGATTTCATTCTGGGGCGCCATCGCCTACGCCGAGATTGACCTACCTGCACCTTTGACCTGGGGAGTCGTGAAGGGTATTGTGCTGAGGAACCTGCGCTGGTGGCAGACGCAGCCGGATATTTTTGGTCCGTCAGGGACACTTAATCTTGGATACTCATATCCCAATATGTACATGCTCGAGAATTATAACAGTCCTGTAAGTAACTTTCAACATAACCTAGACTTGATGCTGACCAGCAGGGATCACCATATTGGGCGTGCTTGGCCTTCATCTGCTTAGCTGTTCCAGAGTCACATCCATTCTGGGCATCAGCTGAGGAACCCTACCCATCCAAACAACTACCCGTCATCAAGAGTCTGAAGCATCCCAAACATATCATCACGTACCATGGGGGCCACAGGATGCTGTTGTCGTCAGGCCAAGCTTGTGGCTATCCAATGAAGTCCACTCATGCGAAGTACGGAAAATTCGCATACTCCAGCGCTTATGGATATTCCGTCCCTCCAGGAGGATACACACTCGAACAGTTTGCGTTGGACTCGACATTGGGGTTGTCAGACGACGAAGGGGAGGTCTGGAAGACGCGGAGAAATTGTGAGGAGTCTGGGATAGAGGTTCATGATGATTTGCCCGTCTTGGTATCCGTGTGGAAGCCATTCAAGGACGTAACCATCAAGACATGGCTCATTCCGTCTACGGAAAAACACCCTAACTGGCACATCCGAGTTCACAGGATCGAGGCTGGCCGCGACGTCATGACTGCGGACGGATCTTTCGCAATCTACAATATTGCCAAGGCCGATGGTCGAGCCCTGCGCCCCTACAAGTCGGAGATCGCTGAAGGGACATCACCCCGCATAGTTGGCAACTACGACCTAGACGCAGAGGGCGGAAGCAACCCGGGCGCCGAAGGAGCATTTGCAGTATCTAAAGGTGCCGTGGGTATCGCCGACCTCGAGATTGCCGACCTCGAGCGGCCGAGCAATCGCACGGCCATGATTGTTAATGCGGATCCAAACTCCAATATTGTGGAGAAGAAGACTATCATTCCCACTCTGCAGCACACGATCAAGGCCGGCTCGACCCAGTGGTATGCCACAGGCGTTTATGCAAAGCCTTCTAACCCCGGAGTTGCGCCAGAGAGCTATCTCGACGGCTGGGATTCCAAGCCTGCGGTTCCAGATTGGATTCGAGCATTGATCAACGGACAATCCTAACCAGTTGTGGCAGGCAACGCAGGCCTTGGCAAAACAGGTAGCGAGAGGTTAATTACAGCTTTAAGCCTTCCGGGTGACCTCTTTTACCGTTAGCTTTCTCCGCGTTTGCCAAGGGGAGGGGGTGAGATACGGAGAAACTCAAATTCCACCGCTCACAGGAGAGGCCAGAGAGATCCGCGCCTATCTAGCTGGAAGCTGGAAAGGCTATGTCGATGTTGGGGAAATGGAAGCGTGACTGGTCCACTTCTGGAAAGCCTAGTTTATCGTGGAATACATGTGATCACCCTAGCTCTGTAACTTCGCAGACTGACTGTCAACTAGCAGACTGACTGTGACCCTTGGTAGATCCTCGCGAATAAGACGGACGAGCAGCGAGTTGTCCATATCTGTCGCATTGGCACTCGGGGATCAATGGCCGACCATCAATTCGCGGGCTAAGGGCGAAACCAGCTTTGCCGATGCTGTCAGTTACCTCTAGCGGGACCAACGGGGCCCACCTCAATACCCCATTCTCCGCTTCCCCAGCTTGGCAAATTGGTGTCGTCCTGCCATCGCGCGCTTTTATTTATCGCCCGGGAGTTATTTGGAGCCGCATCATTGGTTGCTACTGCCGGTCTAGCCCGTACCAGTCTTGCTACTAAGTATTTAGCCATCACTCTGATGCGAAGTCCAAACTTGAACCACCCAAGGGCTTACGGGTAACTTGGCGGGGGTGCGGGGTCTGGGGTAAAAGACGTTGTCACACTTGAATGTCGTGGAGTCCAAAAGTTAGTGGCGTCTCCGGGTGTACTGTAAGTAGTACATCCATGCAAATGCCGATATCAACGTAACCTCACAATATCAATCCCCAAATACGTGCTAATGTGCGCAATGTCTCCACGCGGTACGTTGGGTTCCGCAATGATTGGCAAATCGCATCGAACCGGGTGAGCTCCCGGCTTTATCCATGGTGGAGGCTCTTGGCGGATAATTGCTGCAGGCCAGGAAAAAACGTGGTTGCGCGCGACGAATCCGACGACGGCGATCATGGCAAATATGTCTCCATATTGATACGGTATGCCGTATCTTGTAGACCATGCACGCAACACCCTTGTCGAGGGTGTCCTCCCTGTCCGTCGATGCTGTACTTGAAGGGGAGCTCCCCCCAATTTCAAATCGTGCATTCGTGAGAGCTTCGATTTCTGACACCTCTGGTACAAACGATACGAGTACGCATTATTCGTAGTATATCGCCAAGATGGGTCTTCTTCAGAAAGTCGTCAAAAATGACGCGATGAGGACCGATCCTCCCGAAATCTACGGATGGAGGGTCTTCGCACTGGCATGCTCTGGTAAGGCACCTATCCCACCGCTCACCGTGAGCAGCGACTGGTCTAACAATCTCCGCTATAGCTTGCTTTGGTGCTATGATTTTCGGATGGGATATTGGCGCAATTGGAGGAATCTTGGGGCTTCCTGCTTTCAAGAAGTATGCTTCTCCAAATGAATTACGAGAAAGACGTACCTAACTTCAACCAGGGATTATAACCTCACCGCTGATAACTCGGCCGACCTTGGCTCAAAGTATGTGGAATTAGGGTTTAGAATATCAACATGAGAAACTTGCTAAAAACATCTAGCATCGTGTCGACGCTTCAAGCAGGATGCTTGGTAGGAAGTCTTGCTGCCTACTGTAAGTTTCCAATAATATCAAATGAGATCGAAGCTGACTTCTGCAGGGTTTGCCGATAAATGTTCGTAGAGCTGCGCTGAGCTGTATTGAATACTGACTAACTCGTTTCTCAGATGGCCGAAAACCTTCTCTTATGGGCGCTGCTGTGTGGACCACAATCGGTGTCATCTTCCAGTACGCTACCACACATCCCCGCCTCCTCTCCAACATACTAATGATAACAGGTCTGCTGGCTCTGGTAAGCTTGCCCTGATGTACGTCGGCCGTTTTGTCAGTGGAATTGGAGTCGGTGTATGTACTTCTACGGTCTCTTTCTCTACTAAAGGTTGTCATTCTAATAAACATGCAGGCCGCTTCCATGTTGGTGCCAGTCTACATTTCCGAACAGGCTCCTAGAGCCATCCGCGGTGGTTTAACCGGCCTGTACCAACTATTCATCGCCACTGGTGTCATGCTTTCATTCTGGGTCAACTACGGCGCATCATTGCACTTGAAGGGGAAGCAAACCTACGTTGTCCCTTTGGCTCTCCAGATGCTGCCCGCCGTGTAAGTATCCATGATTCCATCAGTGATGAAACGTACTTATACCAATCTAGGGCTCTCATGGTCGGCATGCTCTTCTGTAACGAATCCCCCCGCTGGCTCGCACGCCAGGATAACTGGGATGAGGCTAAGCGCGTTCTCTCCTTAACCCGCAACCTCCCAGTCGAGCATGAGTACATCCAGATGGAGCTTACCGAAATGGCTGACCAGCTGGAGAATGAGCGCCGCCTAATCGGAGGTGCAAGCTTCATGGACTTGCAGCGCGAGATGTGGACGATCCCTGGAAACCGCAACCGCGCGCTTCTGTCCATCGGCCTCATGGTCTGCCAGCAAATGACCGGAACAAACGCAATCAACTACTACGCCCCCCTGATCTTCAGTGGCTTGGGTATCACTGGTGTGAACAACGGTCTCTTCGCCACCGGAATTTACGGTATTGTCAAGATGGTTACGTGCGCCGCCTTCCTGCTCTTCGCAGCGGATTCCCTCGGCCGAAGGAAGAGTTTGCTCTGGACCAGTATTGCGCAGGGCTTGGCCATGTTCATCATCGGCATCTACGTCCGCGTTTACCCGCCGGAGAACAGCGCCGATGGCAAGATTAACATTCCACCATTCGGCTACGTCGCTCTCGTCTGCATCTTCCTCTTCGCCGGGTTCTTCCAGTGGGGTTGGGGCCCAGTCTGCTGGATCTACGTGTCTGAGATCCCCACTGCTCGTCTGCGTGGTCTCAACGTCGCGCTGGCTGCTGCGACGCAGTGGATTTTCAACTTCGTTGTCGCCAAGTCCGTGCCGCTTATGTTGAAGAACGTCGGAAAAAAGGGCTACGGTACTTACTTCATCTTCGGATCATTCTCCTTCGCCATGATGATATTCGTATGGTTCTTCGTGCCGGAGACCAAGGGTTTGAGTCTGGAGAGGATGGACGACTTGTTCGGTGTTACTGAGCTGGCCAAAGCTGCGGACCTTGAAGGCTCGCACACACCGACGCAGGAACTCTCGCATGGAGAGAAGGCTACGGGGATGCAGCTTGAGAAGAAGGCGCTTGGTTGAGAGTGGTGTGAAGAGCGGCTGCGGATGGGGATGGGGATTTAATCATAGTGGGATGGAAGAGTTATGTTATTGATCTTTGCATAGCTGTTCTAAGTTTATCATTATATACTGTTTCAGTCCTATTCTACTTCCGTGTGACATAGACTTGAACCTCTCGAAACAATCTTAGAACCGCACACAGCACCAAAATCTCGGGACGCACCTTCACTCGCTCAATTATGAAATCCTAACAGCGTTTAAAAAACCGGCTGGTATCAACGAGACATGCAGTAAACACATATTTGTATGCCCTCATACCAATAACAGAATTTGAAGTGGAAGCAACCTGCAGAAGCATTGTTTACTTTGAATTTGCGTTCGAAGTGCTTCTACCACCACTTCGAAGACAAAACATCTGATCAAATAACATCTACGACAATTGAACCGAGTAAGGAAAAGAAGAGAGAACAGCCCCACCCCCGCAACATTGTCGGCTGCTATTCTCGTTAGTGCTATTGTCGTTGTGCTGCTGTTGTCGTCGCTGTATTGTTCTCGCCAATCCCATGCCCCTATTTCCAGTCACTCAATCACTGCTCCAGGGTATCGCACACAGCCGTGCTTTCCAAGCCGCGATAAACTCAGATACACTGATAAAAATCTCTTCTTTCGCATTTCTGACTGAGGTCGGGGAGGGGTTTAGGACATGTAGTTATCACTTCAATGAGGGACATAGCAAGTTATATCTCTGATTATTTCCATTCATCTCCCGTATATTAGCTCGCATCAAGGGTATCTCTAAGCACATTAAGCATCACAGTCATCTCTCGTCCTTCATCCCGTATCCTCATCAGCCATGACACCATATCCAACTGATAAAACCTCATCCAATCCCAAAATAAATCCTCCATACCCAATAACCAGCCTGCTGATAATAAGCCAACCCGTGACCGCGAAGCGAAAGGAGTCTGTTGCTCCATGTATGAGATGAGATAAGATGAGGCTCGCGCCTTTATCGTCTTCGATGGAGGAATGATCGCATTAAGTCGCCCAAATATGCGTCGCTCAAACCAAAATGAAATGAAAAACAACAGCTCAAACAAACAACAGCTGTATAAACATGCACGCTGAAACGCTAACACAGAGCAGTACAAAACACCAAATGCAACCTCAAACACTCGCCGTCCGGCGCCTTGGCACCTCGGGCTTCTGCGCATAAGCAACCAGTAGCTTGAAATTAGTCTCCCACCTCTCCGCTTCCTCAATGACCTTGCCATCGGCAAATATGCTCTGTCCATTGGTGCTAGGTGCCAGGGTATCGCTCTCATAGCACCGACTGAACCACCATCTCCCGACCTTCGCCACCATCTTCGTGATGCCCTCGTCACCTTGGGCACTAGAATCCTTCATCAGGTCAGCTAGGCTGACATCCTTCTTCGACCCGCCGTCACTGCTTGCTGGCGTGCCATCGCTGGAGGTATTGGGCACAACGCTCGCAACAGGGACGCCCACATTGCAGCTCTTCAAATCAGTGAAGCCTCGCTTGCCAGTCAGTCGCAGCACCGTATCAGCCATGGAAACCAAGTTAACTTCTGGGTTCCGCGCGCTGATGCCGATCTTGAGCTTGCGAACTGCGCGCCTTGTCTTGGGACCCATGTTCATCATGTCGAGGTCCAGAATTGACATCTCGAGGTACCCAGAGGGCTTGAGAACGCGCTTAGACTCTGCGATCAGATGCTTCATCAGGGATTCCGGGCCTGCAGGTGGGAAACGCAGGACAACGACAGTGAACGTGCTCGGGGTGAACGGAAACTTCGATATCAGATTCATATGCTGCACTTGACGGTGGTTTTCCGGGGGCGCAGGAAGAGCAACGGCCGATACCGACATGCGCTTGCCACTGTTGCGGCCAGGTGTGGGCGACAGATTGTAAAAGGTAGTCTCTGGGTATGTCTCCGCAGCATAGAAAGACCAATCGTCGTTGCCAAGTCCATCAATCACGAGAATAGAGTGATGCTTTGTGTGATCTGGGTTGAGAAGCAACTCTCGCGCAGGACTGAAAAGAACATGTCCGAAAGTCAACCACTTGCTAACAGTCATTGAGCCAATGCGGAGGTTGACTTGAGCAGCTGGCGACTCCTGGACTGGCTCCAACTTCGGTTCATCCAACTCGTTAGATCGACGAGATACATCGCTCGTTGAGGCGGACTTCGAATGTCCCGATGCGGGTCGTAGCTCGTTTTGGCTGTGGTAAGATGAGATACGCCTAGCCTTAGCGCTGCTGGAAGTTCTATCACCATACGCTAATATAACGTCCGTAAAGGACATTGGCGTGGTAGGGCTAGGAGCCCCAAGGGCGTTCCTAACGGTTGTCCTCAGGCTTGGAGGGCGGGGATCGGCCAATTTTGGCACCCTCGACTTCTCATCAGTTGGTGGCATTACAGCCACGGCATCAATGGCAGGCGAGTCCTTAGCTTGATACCGTCTGGTTCGTCTAGTCTCAAATTCTTCGTATTGAAATGGCACACCGTGCGAGGAAGTAGCCGATAGAGGGACCTTGTCAGCATCGGTCTGGCCGATCAGATCATCATACTCAAACCAGACCTCGTCCTCTTCCAGAGCATCGTCGGCTTTTGGAATAATGGCCGTAGTTCCGGCATAGCTGCTTCCAGTACCAGAGCTGAAACTGGTGCCGGTCTCAGAACCTTTCCTTGGCGAGATCACAAGGAAAGGCAGCTGGGAAGTTGGTGCAGAATTATCTGGAAGCGGTTGCCGGTTTGGAGACCTCTCTGGGCTTGGGCCATTTGCAACAGAGTTCGGGTCGACAATAGGGAGCATCCCGGGCTCCTTGATCATGCTAATCCTCGCAAAAGGACGAGAAAATGACTTTGGTGATGTAGTGTCAGGCCTGGCTTGGACCACTCTAGGAATGCGGCCAACTTGAGCGAGTCTACTTGGTCGGGCAGCCGCTGGCTCAGGCCGCTCTTCCATTTTCCACATTTTCGGTATTCCTGGGCCATTTGGAGCCGTTGCCGGTACATCTTGCTGAGTTGGTGCTGGCGATGGTTTTGAAACAGGGGTTTTTGGCGGCGGCGGCATATCGCTCGATTTCCCAGACTTCAGCAACTCTGCAGCCTCAGCTTCTCGCAAAATATTTTCGATGTCCTCGGCGCTCAAGACCCTGTCCTCGTCCGGCTCAGATGAATCCATAATAGCGTAAAATGGGACATCTTTCTCCTCCGGGGAAACAACCACAGGCACTGGTTTCTGCTCCGTCTTCGCGTTCTTCGCTCGTTGGAAGAAATTCCACTTTTTCGCTGGCGAGGTGGTGCGCTTCGTAAGCTTATTGGGTCCATTCCTTTTCCTTCCTCGGTCTGCTCGTGATCCATCGGAAACATACGCAGTATCTAGACTGCTCAGTCCTGATTCGCCAGCAGCGGGTATCTTGATTGGAGCTGGGAGATTCAGGCTCTGAAGCTCGCTCTTATTGAGTCGTAGTAGTGACCTTCTCACAGCAAGGGACTTCTTTGGGTAGAAGCTATCATTGTCGCTAGTGTCAGATACTAAAGTGGCTTTTGAAGCGAGAGACACTGAGCTATTGTTCGCAGTGGCGTTCCGCGGCATCGCCGATGGCCATAATGTCGCCCTCTGAGCTTCACTATTGAGGTTGGACCTCGACGACATAGCGCTTCCCTTGGATTCTAGGCTCGGGCGTGTCAACGGCAGGCTCTGGTTGCTTTCGGTGCGGCTGAGATCCAAGCTGTTGTTGAAGTTTTCCTTGACCTCACCACCTCCAGAAATGACGACTGGGCTCATTCTCTGCGACAAGAAGGGATCATGCATCGCTGTTAGACTCGAATAGCTATCTTGAGAGCCAATGGAACCCGCATTACTTGGCCTCCTTTCCCGGTTGCCAGTAGTGTTGTGTCCACGAGATCCAAAGCGATATCCCTCGTGTCCTGTGCCAGCAGCTGGGCCCTTTCTTGTTGTCTTCTCCTGCTTATCTGTAGTCGGAATATCTCCGGGGGCGGTTTTTGTGCGCCTCCCAAATAATCCAAAGCGATGTTTAGGTACTTGTGCTGACGGGCTGGGTGTGCGAAGACCAGAGCGCGTTTGAGTCGGTTCAGGACGAAGGTCAGGAATGATACCAAGGCCAGCTGGTGAAGGTGTAGGCTCGCGGTGTACTTGATTCACTGGGCTTGGAGCACCGCTTCTCGGCAGGCGAGATTTCGTGCCGGGACGGGTAGCAGCTCCTGCTTGAGATGGAGCGGTGAGGCCACCGCCAAATCCTTGTCCACTTAAACGACGGTCTGCTGCAGCAGGAACGCCCGATAGATTCGATTGTACAACATTGACAGTATCTTTGATGTCTCGAAGGTCTGGTGTGCCATCGCGACTGGGTCGACGAGGTGGTCCGGCAGCTTGTCCAAGGTTTGGCGATGTGATGTTAGTCCGCGGTGAAGTGACATTCCTATTTGGGAGATTTGTGGCTGGCGCAGCATTCATAACTGGGCGCGCAGGGGACTTTGATGCCTTCGATGGCGAGTTATCTGCCGAGGAAGCTTCTTTGAATTTCTGCGATGACCTTCTCGGAGGCGGGCTAGGAGGTAGAGGTGACAAACGCTTCTTCTTTTTCTTGCCGCTATCGTTTTTCTTATCTTTCCCGCGATCCATGACAGTGGAGTTGGATGAAGAGGAGGTAAGTGATTCTCGAAGTGCGGGGAGCCCATTTCCATCAGGTGCTACGGCGTCGTTTTCCTCCGAGGCGCTGCCCATGCGCCTTCTAGTTACTGGGGGACGGTTGTCCATGGGGCTTCCTTGCCGCAAACGAGGTGTTCCTCTGAGGGGAACCATAAGTCCAGGAGACTGCGAAGACATCGAGGTAGGAGTAGTGTCCCTACTGTAAGGCCCAGGCGCAGGTGATTCGGAGAATCGGGTTGATGGGCTTGCACTAAATCCGCTGAAGACACTATACTGGCTATGGCCGCTGAGCCCTGAGCTCAACGGGGTAGGGTTTGGCGGCAAGTCCTGTGTCGACAGCTTGTACGGTATATCCGACACGTCCCTCTGATACAGGTTTGCAGGCGCAGTTGTTCCAAAGCGATATCTATCAAGCTCAGGTATTATCTGGGGTGAGTTATCGAGGACTGGTATTGTCGGTTCAGGATAGTATCCGAGTTCCTCGGGGGCTCGCATGGAGGCTTGGTTGTGTTGTTTCGAATGTTGCAGTGGCCATGGTGGAGAAGGATCCGCCAGGTTATTGGGGTGGGTATTCTTGATCGGTTGGGTAATAATGGATGGTTTCTTTCTCAGGTTTCGCGGCTGTTGCGGCTCAGACTCGTCATCGGTAGATCGTGCCGCAGAAGGTCGACGAAAGCCAAAGTTCGATCTTCCAGTGGGCATATATTCCGATGGATTCGCACCTGGGCGAGGTTTTGGCAGATTCGATGGGCGCCCATAATTCTTTGGCGCTTCCAGCCTTGGTTCCATCTGCACAGGCACCCTCATCTTTACCGGCTCTTCAAAGGGCCTTTCCACACGCTTCGCTCCTTGGATGCCAGTTGAGTTGGCCACGTAATGTCCAGTCCTTGTATTTTGATATCTGTATTCAGGCCTCGTGGGCGGATCAAACCCAGATCTATACGAGGCCATTATAAATCAACGCCCCTCATGCCCTGTATGCGAAATTTCTAGGAGAACGTTGGATTATAAAGATGCACTTGATATGATATTTAGCATAGTCATTCGTAAGAACTGATGCTTTATAGTCGTCGGTATCTAGGGGCAATGTGAGGTGAGCCAAGGGAGGGACAGTGGAAAGATCGGGCGATGAGTCTTACCCGTACGGAGAAATAGCTACGCCCGCGAGGACGATTAATTAAATCTTGCAATAAAAGCAGTCAAAAATAAAACGCAGGATCAAAAGACGAGTTCCACTATGTATCAAACAATAGTAGAATGTTGCTCCCGTTGCGAGCGCCCAGGCAAACGAAGGCAGGAAGTGGGATAAAAGATGCGATGATAAACGGCAAACGACGCCCAATGCTCCGGGAACAAGTATATATGGGGGCGAAAATAGACGGCAGTGGCGGTAGTTGCTGTATATATCCAATGGTCTTTACAGGCAAGCAGCCTCGACCTCTATGGTCCAAGTTACCGCTCTGTTGTGGAGGTCAACACACTGATGGGGCCGTCTGTTTGACAGATCCCAAGTGGAGAGCGGTCTCGGTAGCGGGGTCGATGGTGTGGACCCTGTAAGGGCGCTTGTCGATAGGAAAGTAAGACCCGGGATGTCTTAAAAAGTCGAATTGATGGGGGGCGTGGGCTGGGAGTAGCTTGGGATAGATGGAGAGGTGTATCTGAAAGAGGCGAAAGAGCAGTCTTGTATAGGACGAGTATTGCTCGTGGCGGTCAACCTAACGAACATCGCGATACGACTCGTCGGGCACGACCATGGGCCCTGCATGAGCGAAGCAATAGGAGACGCCGAGACGCAGTAGAATCGGCGAAGCAGAGCTCCTATACCAGGGCTGGAGTAGGACAACCAGGCAAATCGAAGGCCGCATCTTGCCATTTTGGAGGAGACTAAGGTAGGAACTGTGGAGGGTGGAATCGCGAACGCGGAGGCTGCTGCGCCCATCACCGCCACAAGCACGCCAATGTGCCTACGCGGACATGCATGGATGGGAAACACATATATGCTCGCGGTATCCGTGGCCTATGATGGACATCCAGGTGGATTTTCATACATGCTTTTTGTCCAATGGGTACTTTGTGATGAGGCAGAATTGGTTGAATTCCAGTAATAGTCGCAAGTCACACACTCTCCATTCGCCGGCTAAGTGGGAGGGAAAAGCGGGACATCTGCACGTCTCTTGTCGGCGGTGGCGATCATCCCACAGACGATGGCGCTTGTTGGTCGCAATGGGCCTATACAGGCCCATGTTAAGTACCATATAGTGCTCTATTTCTGTAAGGTCGCAGGAGCGGTCTGTAGGAAACAGTGCTATGTATGCAGCTTGCTCAAGCCTTGGAACTTGACCTGCATTTCTATCTGTCATTGGGTGCCTTCATCATGTGCCTTACACCTGACCTGTTGGATCATCAGCTTTCAGTCAGCCTTTTTACGGAACTCCCGTGATGCCTAGACGCGTTCACCAGCCCTGCCCTTGCGTTTTGGCGGCCGTCTCTCCACCAACAGGTTCTTCCGCGACGGCTCGGATCAGCCCCCTCGCGGTGCGCGGATCCCATATGCCTTCAACAGCCAACTATCTCACGGTCTCGTTTGACTGGATGGGCGACTCTCGAACCGCCTCCATCCATTTTCAGAACGGCCATATGGGATTGGCGATATTTTGAGGCTAGGCACTTCTGTAATGTCATTGGAGGGAGTGAAAAAAAATCCCGATTATTCACACCCAACCGATTAATAGTCCAGCGGCTCCCCCAACTTTCCCGTCTGGCCCCCGTAAGCTAAAGCACTAAAGCACTATCCCGCGTGAAACAGGACCCTCAATTGTCTCTGTCTAGTCATGGAGATGTCTCTCCTTACCCGCAGGCGTTGAAAAGAGAGCTCTAATCACGCCATGTAACCCAGTCTCCACTGTAGGATGCTGCCATCTCGTGATCTCGTCCCATGAAGAGCCCACGAGCCTGTTGCGACGCTGCGATAGCATATCCTAGAGTCATAGGCAGTACCCCCTGACATATTGTCGGAGGGAGAACTCCTATCAGCTATTGTACAGCACCATACGTCGCTGTATGGCGACGACATTGATTGCAACGGCCAGCAAGAAACCCTGAATGATCCTCTTGCCTAGTACATGCTAGTAATGAGCTGAATGTACGTGTATCTATCCGTCTCCAGTGCGACTGATAGGAGAGTCACGCCTGACTCTACCAATCCCGACACAATAACAACATTCCATATTGCTCAATTCAACGTCCTGGGGATCCCTCCCTTGTAAAACTGTCTCGCAGGGCGATCGGCATGACTAGAATTTTCTGTCTCCCAGCATAGCTGAGCTATGCATGCGGTGACGCAGCTAGGACCAACGCTCCATCCCAAGTGAGGCGCAGTCAATGCAGAAAGCACTCGCCACACACGAAACGTCTGCTTTCAAGGGAACGCCGATAATTGACGTGGCATTCGCAAAACTCTCAAAAATTGAAGCCTAATAATTCTTTTGCGAACATGCTGAATTTGAATGTCTCCCAAATCGACGAGATGCAAAAGTTGGAGGGTGGGCGCTTGATTCATGCTGAAGACCCTCTTCTGGAATGTGTGCTCAGTGAACAGGGTTCCTAGACCTCTGATTGGACAAGGCCATTGTGACTGGCGCCTCGACGCCCGCAGCTATTGAAAGTAACGTGATGGCGAAGTGGTGTCCTCTTCCTGGTATAATTCTTCAAAGAGGGTGTGGACTTCGTTGACGGGTGCGGGTCAGAGTGGGAGGAATGGCCCGGCCCATGTGGGTAGCTTACCACAATGTCTCTGAAGGATGGGAGATATGCCCCGATTGCGGAAAGCTTTATTGGTGTGGCATATCGAAGGAATCCAACGCCGTTGGTGAGGAATAAACGCGTCGATTTATTGAAGGAATGCTGATTCAGCCTTGGAAAGTCACGCTTGTAAGACTGACCCGTAACTCGCTTTAATGGGATGATAAGATCTAGGCGCGCCAAGCAGAGCTTTGTTGAATATTCTTTGTGTTTTGATACGTCACATCGCCATGTTTTCTCCTGGTTCCCCTTCTCGGTGTTTGCTATTCCAATAGTCAGCGCGGGTCAACAACTGGAATATTGATGTTGATAAGTGATCAGTCAGATTTTAGGGGGTCCCTGAAGTTTGTGGTGTTGGTTCGTCGTAAGGGTGGTCCGTCGTTTCTTCCTTCCCCTATCAATGTTGTTGCCCCCTTTCCAGTCTAGACGATTCAGTTGTGGGTTCAGCGTATTATATTATAAGTGAAACAGTATCGCTTTAATATATTGTAGGGCAGTATGATACACTGGTTGTTTTTCTGGGCTCAGCCAGAGAATAAATTTACACATAAATAAATAAATAAAAATATGGCGATTAAAATTTAAAATATACCAATTCAGTTTTCAAAATGTTTAATTCAATGAAGGTGATGTAAACTCCTTAAAACTCCAAGATGCCATCTAATAATCCCACAACTACCCCCTTTTGCTTTAAACCACCCCCATCCCACCAAATTTAACCTAATACCCTCGGAAAAACTAACCCAAATCACGAACCTCTTACTCTGGCTCCATCACCCCTTCCGCCCCCACCATTCTCTGTCCTTGCATCTGCTTCGCCCAACTAAACCTCCTATCATCAATCCTAGACCGCCCCCCAAACTCACCCAGTCCCGCCGCTGCCGCCGCTCCCCACATCCACGCAGGCCAAACGACCAAAAACGTCGACTCACTCTGCCACACCATCTTCTCCACCAGCCCTCCCCCCTCAACAGCCCTCTCTACCACTCCTTCCCCCTCCCTCTCCTCATCCCACCCCGCTTCCCATTCCTCGACACGCCGGCGTACTTGTCCCAGCTCGTGGAGGACGTAGGACTTCAATTTCTTCGCTGCGTTGCCTCCACTCTGGTCTGAGGGCCGTTTGTTTCTTTCAATCTCGGTGCTGGTCCATACCGTCTGAGGAACGCTATTGTTGACGCCCCAGCCACTGTTGACGCCCCAACCGCTGTTGGCATCCCCACCGTCGCCACGGCTTCCAGTGTTATTATTTATTCCCACGGCGTTGGTGCCTGTCCCTCCCCAGGCCGATGATGCATCTGTGTTTGCTGCGGTATGTGTCTCTGTACCTTGTCCCCACCCGGTTTGATTTGTAAAGCTATGGCCCGTTTCGCCCCAGCCCGATGAGCTGTGTGTGTTTGGCGCGTCGTGGGTGTCTCTTTGACCACCCCATGCCCCTCTGCCTGCCCTGCCGCCTCTGCCACCCCTATCTCCTCTGATTCCTCCGCCGCCCCAATCTCTGCCTCCTCTGTCTCCTCTGACGCCCCAATCTCCCCTGCCTCCTCTACCTCTTATGCCTCCTCTGCCACCCCTATCTCCCCTGCCTCCTCTACCTATTATGCCTCCTCTGCCACCCCTGGTGCCTCTATCTCCCCACCAATCTCCTCTCCCTCCATCCCCCCGCCCGCCACGATAGTCGCTGTTGTGTCTGTGGTTGTAATTGCCGCCATTATTATTGCCGCCTCCATTATCATTGCCACCACCATTTCCCGGCGGATCACCCCCCCACCTAGTCCCCACACCCGAACCATCTGCTGTTGAACTCCCCATATGCACATCTACCCCTTCTACAGGCGCACCTCCAGCTCCCTGCATCCCAGAAAATCCTCCGCCTCCAGTATCCGCTTTCGTCCACACTGAGCCCCCAGTATTGTTGTTCTGCCCCTCTCCCCCATTCCCAGACCCTGTCTCCGTAGTTGTCCATCCGAGACTCCCCATATTGGAATTGTTGTTTTGATGCCCTCCCCCACTGCCCCATCCGTTCCCATCATCGCGGCCTCTCCCTCCCCTAAACCCTCCTCGCAGGCTCACGGAATGGCCTCCCATAGCTCCAAAACCTTGCTGCGCATTTGGGAGGGGCTGTTGCGACTGTACATGGGCATCCGGAAGCGGCTGTTGTGGTAGTGGAGCGTGTTCGTTCGGGAGCGGTCGATGTGGCTGTGACTGTGTGGTACTACGGATTGAGGTTATGGACCGGCGATGGTTGTTGCGGCGTGAGCGAGGCATGATGGATGGACGCTCGAATGGTGATGGAGAAAGAGAAGGTGGGATGGGCGAGAAGGTGCGTGGATGGCGGAGAGGGAAGGGGGATATATGGGTGAGGATAAAGCAACATTGATGCTTTGGATAGGAGGGCGTGGAAGGCTCGCGAAGAGAGGGATTGCTGATGTTGAAGATGGTGGAGTAGAATGGGAATAGGCGATGAGAGGGTGTGTGAGACGAGGTGGAGTCAAAGAGTAGAGAAGGTTATGGGAAGTGGAAAGAAGTGGAAAAGGGACGATGGGGGAGCTTGAGAGAGATATAGAACTTTCCAATCTAAACTTACAAAGATAGTCGTCTATCTATATATCCTCAAACATCCAAACGATATCTTTGTTCCGTTTAAATCAGAAGCCTCCGTGTCTTAGACTTGGAACTCTGGTTCGGAGAGCGCATATTTAATGTCGATGTGACATTCGATAGACACGCACTGGTTTCGCACTCTGGATCTTGGAAGACATCCGGCTGATGCTATGAGACGCCCACCATAATCACAATTCACGGACCCGCGCGAGTTTGAAGCTAAATGCTGTATGGCCGCAAACAAATATCCATATATTTTCCGCACGCCGCGCTCGTTGAGAAACCTACCTATTCGGGCTCCTAAACCCTGGTCTCCCTTAATAACGTCATTTTAATCATCACTGTGATTGAAAATGCGGCTGGTGTACAAGTATCCCCCGGCGCCTGGCTGCATATAAACCGCCCAAGAGTGTCCCCGACTGCACCCATCGCTCACGTTGATGCTGGCGCAGGAGCGGAAGCGAACTTCTGCCTCCTTGCCTCCGCCTTCGCCTTCTCTACCGGGTCATCCATGACACTCTTATACGCCTTCCTTGGCTCCTGCTTCGGCACGGACGGCCTCGCCTCCTTCTTCAGTGGCTCTGCCCTCCTATCAGGTGTCTGCCTCTTTGCTTCCCTCCCAGTCTTTCCCTCCCTCTCCTCCCTACCCCTCTTCTTCCTCTCCGGCAGTGCCCCATCCAAGCCACTCACATCCACATCCTCCGCGCCGCCACCAAACTTCTTCGCCCGCTCTGCTCGCTTCACCTCGTCATCATCGGGCACAATACCAAACTTCTTGGCGCGCGCCGCCCTGCGCTCTGCCTCCTTCTCTGCATCAGTCTTCTGTAGCCCAATGCTGAAATCCTGCTTCGGCTCCTCCACAACAACCGCCTCAACTTCTCCGCTCGCAGCTACAGCGCCATCAGCGGCGGCAGGCGCATCTGCGCCGCCGGTGACCTTCAGATCCGAAGTCGTGGCTGGGTCGATATCTTGCTTCTGGTTCGGGACTGCAAGAGGTGTCTCAATTGCGCCTTGTCCACCAGCCGCGATGGTGGTTGCTGCTGCAGTGGTAGTGGCCGCGCCAGGGGCGACCTTGCTGTCATCTTCGTCCCAGTCGATTTCGTCATCGGCAGCTGCTGGGGCTGAGTAGGTCAGCGAGTGTGCGATTGAAGAGAAGGGGGACAGGCGCAAAGGGCGCATAATGTGGGATGATGGCATACCTGCGCTGACGGGGGCTTTCTTCTTGTCATCCTCCTGGAGGCGCGCGATGAGATCGGCTTTGTTTCCTGAGAGGGGGAGAGCGCGCTCGGTGAGGATCTTTTTAAGGTCGGGGACCTTGAGGGAGTTGTAATCGGCCATTGTGAGGTTGGTGTGGTCGTGAAGAAGGATTGGGGAGGTAGAAAGGTGGTGGGAAAGGTGGTGTTGGAGTTGTGTGAATTGTATTGCGACAGATCAATGGGTGGAACTGTTTGGGCGGTTTCCATGCTTTGTCTGGACGCGACGATATGATGTATGGATTGGATACGTGGACAGGGATGTTGATTGCAGCCTAAATTATGAGGCCCAAAATATTGTCAAGGGGCTTTCTAGTAATTATCCCTCTGAGCTTACGAAATGTCCAAGAAGTCTAAAAACTAAATGTATTAAGACGTTGAAAAGACCATACTGCGGCGAATATACAGCCTATCATAGAAACAAAACCTTCACGCATATTTTCCCCTACAATCTCACTATAGTGGATGTTCTCCTTTCTTACCTTGAGATTTTTTGCAGGCCTGGAGATCTCATCTCTTAATGCGAAATGTGTACGCCTATGTCTTATGATGATGCTGCATGGGAAAAGAGCGATAATGTATTTGATGCATGGAAGCATAAACTATACAGAAACGATGTTCTTCAAGCTATGGGCGGATTTGTCCAGAAGCATAGAGGGGGAGTTGCTACCAGCTGTGCAACCCCTTAAGAGGCAGCTTCAACGTGTGCATTAAAGTTGAGTTTTTAGATGGAGGTGCAGCTATGATCCGGATCCCTTGCCCTGGCGTGGTTATGTTTCCTGAAGAAAAAGTTAAGAGGGAGGTTGCGACTATGCGACATGTCCAGGAGAACACTTCGATTCCTGTGCCCCTTATCCTCCACCACGGAATGGCTGATGAATGCCCATACAATCTTGGGCCATTTATAATCATGGAGTATGTTAAGCATGCTTATGATCTAACTGGGCTATTTAAGGAGCATGGCTCAACTGGCGATACGATGGCAATTGACCCTAATATCACAGACGAAAAGTTATCCTGTGTCTATGAGCAAATGGCAGATATTCTACTCGAACTCTCCAAGTGCTCATTCCCGGAAATTGGCTCTTTAGTAGAGATCCAGGAGTTCGAATATTCGGTCGCAGAGCGTGCTATGACGTTAAACACAAACGAACTCGTTCAGCTTGGGAACTTCCCTCCATCTCAACTCAAGTCGCAGACATTCAATTCGTCTGCTTCATATCTTCAAGCACTTTCAGACACGCACATTACTCACCTATCAACTCAACATAACGATGCCATTGAGTCAGCAGAGGATTGCCGCCGCAGATACATAGCGAGGCATCTCTTCCGCAAGCTTGCAACTGAGCACCGGCTTACAAATGGCAACGACAAGACATTTAAGCTATTCTGTGACGGCCTTGGCCCGCACAATGTTCTCGTCGATGCCGAATTCAAGGTCGTCGCAGTTATCGACTGGGAGTTCGCATACTCCGCGCCATCGAAGTTTTCGCAGACGCCTCCTTGGTGGCTTCTCATCCAAATGCCGGAGCGTTGGTCTAAGGGGCTTGACAGCTGGGCGGAAAATTATGAAAAGCGGCTTCAGCTATTCCTCCACTGTCTAGAAAAACGCGAGCAAGTGTTCTTAGAAGAGGGGAGGATTACTAAGGAGGACTGTCTCTCGCACAAAATGCGGCAGAACTGGGACAATGGAGATTTCTGGCTACATTACGCAGCTAGGAAAAGCTCGGCTGTCGATGCTATATACTGGTCAAAAATCGACGATAGATTCTTTGGGGCTCGGGATTCTTTTGAGGGCAGGCTCGCGCTTCTTAACGAGGGGGATAGAAAAGGGATAGATGCGTTTTTGCAGAGGAAAACCGAGGAGCAGGAGAGACGGATTTTAATTGACTGGGATGCAGACGGCGTTGCGTCCTAGTGGTAACGAGGTACCATCTGCTAAAGCCTACGCATTAGCAGATTGAAGGGCAGCTTCGGGCACGAACACGTAACAATTCTATACTCTGTGCTAAGAAAGTGTTTTTGAAGTAAATTCATACAGTACAGTGCGTGAAATATCTTAAGCCGCGCTTTCATGTGATGGCAAGCCATGGTTGCTGTGCGAGAATGCCCGAATTCGAATAAAAGGGACGTGACAATATAACGCGTTTGATACCATGTATGATTACGGTGCCTGGAGGGTCTGTTTCATAAGCTCGGGGCTTAGCCTTAGGGCGGAATGGCGGCGACCGAAATGGCTTCCATGCCGACCTCGTACCTGGAAGGATGTCAGAGGGGGATCTGGCCTTGTTCCAACGGATAAAATATATTCGCTCTCGGGTGAACCACGGCTTTTGTCTGCATGAGTAATGCAAGGTTTGACCTGGTATAAATTAAATGCTACATTGCGACACGCGGCTCCATCCAACAGAAAGTCCAACAAAAACAAAAAGGGGCGCAATTACACCCCCAAAAATGTCGGACGCGCTCGCAGCCTCATCTGGACGCCACAAGTTTTGACGAAACTTCGTACTATCGTCTGGCTGAACTTCAAATAGCAACGCAAACGAGCGACCAAATAAATCATCCCTGTCACACTATCCCCTAGGCTTGAGCAGAAAAACGTGTCTGCAAGGTTCTCCCAGCGATCGATCGCAATATAAGAGCGACCTTGACATTGCCAGACAGCACAATATTAGCCGCGGCTTTATCCACGCCCTGGAAGCAACACTCCATTGTGTTATCAGTGACTAGATCCGATATAGGGCAGGCTTTGGGACCTGTTGTGGGGTTGTGCGGTGAAGCCGTGGAATGGGGCATGGGTGTATATATCAGCGAACGTGCGCAGCACCAATATATGCGTCAAGTCAGGCCTGGCCGTGTGAAGTGGAACCGCTGGTCTGGTAAGGGCCGTGAGAAGCAATCTACGAAACAGCGGATTTAATTTAATGCCCGAGACCTTCGTCGTCGCGACATGTGCGCCGACGACACCACTCGATGTTCTATCTTAGGATCTCCGAGCCACGGAGCATCGGCATGCCATCCACATGTGGCAACGGAGCATTCACCGAAGTCCACCATCCAACAGGGTAAAGTGGGCACCCGAAGGAGACATTCATCTCATTTCGGCAGAGGACGGGGACACGGCGTACCGGAGACGACGGTTCTAGAGCCAACCGGCTGGATTTGCTCGGAAGTCGTACTTGAGGGGTCTCACTTGAGGGGTCTCACTTGAGGTCAGCGTCGATCCATGCTAGCATATCAACTAACCGAAAAGAGTAAATTTGTTAGAATTTGCGGAGGCGGGAGCGATTTGACATTGGGTGAAGGGAATTGTGGGTGCAACATGTACTATGTACATGTTGCCAATTTAATTTTCGGAGGATTTCCACCACTCGCATTGCTTTACGTACTCCCTGGAGCTCTAGAGGGATCTACTGGAGTGGAGGTGCGGCAACTGTCATATAGCGTGTGAAAAAAGAAGTGGTGGGAGGGGGCTTTTGTCATCGTATTTCGCGAAAGCAAAAAGTACACTGTACAAGGTCTCACAAGAGAGACCCCACGTTTGGAGGACAGAAGGGAGAGAAGGGGATAAAAGGAAGGAACGGCCTGTAGTAGAGGCGGACCTTCCTCATCCCAGCGTGGTACGGCTGCGGCTCACCCAATCGTTCTCTATGAAGTCCTTCAGGCCGTACAAGCATCCACGGACTTGCGGGCCACGAAAATCCAGCGCATGTCTAAGGGAGTCCAATGAGCTGAGTCGAGGGAGGGTGTTGTGCACCCTCGACGCGTGAGACCGATACCCCTCCCGCCAGATCACAGGGATCAAACACATGGCTTTCGCGTAATACGCCTGCAATATACCTGCAAAGTAATATAATTCCTTGCTGGTCAACGGCTGAGGGGTAGGTTACAATTCAGGTTGCAGGCCTGTCCATTATCGCCCTCGTCTTTTCACATGGCCTGCTGCCCTATCTTGAGGGCCATCCTGTGGAGACGACCTTCGGGCGACATGGCGCCGGTGTCTCTGCCATGTGCACAAACGACGGGAAGCGGTAGTGGTGTCCTCTCGCCCATGCGATCGTCGTGAAGCTACCATGGTAGTTGACGGACTTTGTCCTCGGTTTGGCTAGGGGTCTCTCTCATCAGCAACTTGCCTCGCCACCAAATATGTCAGTCCAGTGTCGAGTTGGCCAGTCTCCATTCTCGTAGGTGAAGTACAAAGTTCGCACTGTGTGTCGTGCGGCACTCAGCTATCCTCATCCGCCACACACGCAACGCGTGGTAAGCTTTTGTATGACTTGAGATAACCCGTCGAAGCCACTCGATTTCGGCGTCCTCGGTCTATCGGAGTAGCACTACATGCTGTAGTCATCAAGGGACATGGAGAATGTGACAGTGGGCGTACGATGTGTTTGCAAAATGAGAGACAAGAGGCTGATCGCACAGACCTGTGAAGTAGTGCTACCTTAGTCGGGTTTCAGACCACCAGAGTCTCGAAAGATTTTGGATCAGCCAACGAAATCTGATAGAGGCTAAATGAAGAAGTCTTGGGTGCTCCTACTAGCACCGTGGATTTGTTGCAGCCCAGTCTGTGTGCACTACCGTGCGACGCTTGTGTCTCTTATATCTGGCTTGTTCTATGTCAACAATTTGAACATCTTCCATGGCACAAATATAGCATGTTCCAGCCAATACATTCGTTCTTCTCTTTCCCGAGGCTGTCAAAATCGAGGTAAGCCATAACAGGCGGCTGAGACCATCGGTCTCGCGGTGGAATATTATACTTGATATATCGCCCAAGGTGTATCAACAGGGTCCATCGCTCGAGGGGTCTGTGATTGCAGGGAAAAGCCTTAGGGACTGTGACTAGGCCGACTACTGTTCAAGCGCCGAAAGATCAAAGAAGCACCCTATTTTTTTGGTCGAGCTAAGGAGAATTTATAATTGCCGACTATGATCCATCCTGGTTGTCATGGTGGAGAGATATATTCGGAATTAATCACACAATTTATCCCCATTTAACCGCCCGAAATGCCCCAAACAGGGACGACTAGACGCAAATCCGGGGTGAAAGCGGAGTATTGAGCTGACACACCCGGCTCAACTATCGTAATAGATTTAGTACTCCACGTATTGCAGGGAACAGTGCTCTACATTACTGTAGATATGTACCTGTCATAGACTTACAGGACTCAAGTATGGTCTTCAAACCCAGCCCATCCCTTTCGTCCCCAGATTCTAGGGAGGAAATGAGGGCGTGACCCTCTCGTCGTCGATGCGTCTTAATTCTCCTCACAAGTCTTGTTTCCTCTCAACTACCACAGCGTCTTGTATAACTCCACATCCGTGCCATCCATTTGCGACGCCACGACGGAATACTTCACTGTGTTCAAATCGATTGGAGTCAGCTCCGTCGCTCTGGGCCCCCGTTCAATGGTTCAACGGAGACTACCCGTCACACTTAACGGCACAGCGCCCCATCACCCACCCGCTATCAAATCCCAAGTTTTGTCGATACAGATCTCCAACAAACATTTCCCTGGCGACTGAAGAAAGTCAAAGACAAACAGCTCGTCTTTGAATAGTCCGAATAGCGAAATCTCCAACATTTTACCTCTCGGTACTTCAATTGCGATCGGCATTGATATTCGCGGCGTCGTGCGGGCTCCCTTGCGCTGTCTCGCTCACAACCCTCGGACCCCATTCTAAGAATCCACCACCAACGCCACACAAACACCAAAGCTTTGATCTTGGGTTCATCGCTTTATATAACTAGCCTGGGTGCCCCTCTCCAGCTGTACTTCGGGATTTGACCGAAATTACATTTTTCCGCACCCGATTCGAACCTTTCCTGAATTTATCACTCATAGATTTGGGCCCGTTTGTCGAACGACCTTTCGCACATTGGTAACGACGAACGCAGCCTATCGACTGGATTGGTCGCAACCGTGGTTATGGCAGTAGCAAGCGATCTCGATAAGGCACATCTCCACTATCTTGTCGTTATAGAGAGGGTCACATCGGGGCTCTCAGTGGCAGGATGTCTCTTCGTTATCATAACGTTCCTAATCTCGAAGTCGTTCCGTAGGCCAATCAACCGCCTCATCTTCTTCGCATCCGTGGGCAACTTGTTCACCAATATTGCAACAGTCACCGCTGCGGCGGTTCTAGACAATGAGACCGGCTTCCTCTGCCAGGCCCAGGGATTTTTAATCCAGATGTACGTTCTGCATCATTGCAGTTAACCCGGCCTATAGTCTGGAACTATGCCTTGAATATTTAAACACTAATACGGTGACAGGTTTATGGCTGCGGATGTCTTATGGACACTGGCAATGGCCTTCAACGTATATCTTACCTTCTACCACAAGTTTGGAGTTGCGAGGTTAAAGAAGATGGAGAAGTGGTACTTTTTACTTTGCTACGGCCTCCCGTTTATTCCAGCGTTTGCCTACATCTGGGCTCAGTCTCCTGGAAAGGGAAGGATATACGGAAATGCTCTCCTGTGGTGCTGGATCACGCCGGAGTATGATTATCTTCGCGTTGCTACCTTTTACGGACCTATCTGGTGAGTGCCATCTATTTATAGGATCATGGCTCTTGTCTCCCTAGAGCCGCCATTTTGGGACTGGACGCTAACATCACAACCAGGCTCGTTATCCTTGTCACGTTTGGAATCTACATTCGCGCTGGCCGCGAAATCTACAACAAGCGTAAGCAGCTTCGCCAATTCGCCTCGAGTGAAATTGGTCCTGACATGATTCCAACGAACCCCTTCAATCATGGCGCCATTCACGAACAGACAGATGTCGCCATCTCCTACGAAAACACTGCGGACCACCCAACCATCGACGTCAACGCCCTAGGCCGCCAGCTATCTGCAGCTGACCGACGCCACTCCGGCCAAAATGGCCAGCCGCAGTATACAGTTGCCGTCTCCGCCGTTCCTGCGGTCTACAAAATAGGCAGCATGCCACCCTTCCCATCTGTATCTAAGCGCCCAAAGAAGACGAAGGAAGAGAAAGAAAGGGGCGAGGACCCCGCCCTCAAGCGCTACCAAACAATCGAAGCCAACCGCGCCGCCTGGGGCTACACTAAGGTCGCCGTGCTCTTCTTCAGTGCCATGCTAATCACCTGGATTCCATCGAGCGCTAACCGTCTCTATGGTGTCGCACATCCGGGCCAGATCTCCATTCCCCTTACCTACGCTGCCGCCTTCGTGCTCCCTCTTCAGGGCTTCTGGAACTGCCTCATCTACATGATTACCAGTCTGAACGCTTGCAAGGAGCTGCTCGGCTGGATGGGTGTCAAGCGCTACAGCGACGGCACCCTGCGCCACGGCGGCCACGAGAGACGCAATAATACCTTCGGAATGACGAACCTAGATATGGGGAGGGGCACGCGCATACCGAGCATGGCGGGCGATAAGGATATCAGCGAGACGGAAAGCACCGTAGAACTGGCGACTCAGCAGTAGCCGGCCAGCTGGGTGAGAAGAAAAGCGGTTTAGTTGTGCACTCTTAGCGATGGCGTGTCGGCGTTATAGCGGTTCTGGGATTTTTAAGGGGGGGATATACCATTTACGAGGGGGAAGGGGTTCGGTCCTGGGACTCAATGGGGCGCTCTTCGGGGTTCGGTGAGCCTGCATGGGGTGATACGTAACGAAATCCGTGGGTCTCGGGAAGGGTGTCGCGGGAAAGGTCCCCTGGCTGTTTGCATCTACTGTTTATGTACACGATATCAAAAATCTAGTTGCCACTGTATATAGTCTACAGTTTGGATAATATATGGGAATATAGTAGGAAGAATAGATCTCTCATATGTACGTGTACACTGGGTCAGGGGGATCACGTGAGAAGTCTTTGTACGGTTGGCTCCTAGGTCTAAACCATTAAACCATGGGATTAACCTGGGCTCTAGTAATTAGCGTACCTTAATAAATAGCCCAGGCAAAGGAAATAAATCCGTTTGTTTGTTACTTCAGGATACTTCATGGTAGACCGTCCTGAGAGGGTTTGTTTTCGTGCAGCCAGCCCGCGGATAGCCGGATAATGCAGGTAGATAGTAAGAACAAAGAAAGAACCATTCTTTGTACGCATATTCTGCAAACGTTCAATATAAAAACACAGACTCTATGACGCGCCACCAACATAACCATACATTGGGTAAAACATTATCAGGAACCAAAAAGACTGATTGGTAGCTAAATGTTTCGTCTTTGACCCATATATTGGAGGGACCAATCCGAATGGTTCTAGCTGGTTCGCCGCGGCTCGCGCTTGCCTCGTTAACATTTCGGGCACAACCCACTAGCGCCATTGGTGACAATTTCCTCCACTCGATTCCAGTCTTTTGGCCACCTCCAATATCAACGATCAAAGTTTCCCCCCCCCACTACAAACGTCTCAATCGACTTCTCTCGCGTCTTCCTTTTCCAAAATACATTATCATCTCTAATAAAGCCTCAAAGCTACCTTGTGTCTTGTCTTTCTACACTCTCTCCTGTCGGATTCTAGGCTTCCTGTGGTTTTCGTTTCTTCAAGCGAAACAAAGTTTGACGAATTTTGAACGAGTCGAAAAAGAGAGCACACGACTAAACGCTCAAATACATATTTTCACCCATCTACACGGCGTATATATACCTCGCGTCGCCCGATTTACGTCCTACGACTTCTCTCGAATTCATACTCAGTAATCCGTGAGGTCGACAGTCCAGTCAACCTCACCCTTTTCAGTCAACACAATGGCCACAACCAATGGAGTTTCGAACCAGCAGGAGCCTTACAAGAGCGCCACTGAGCAGTATACCAACACTGCCAGTGCTGCTGAGACAGCGAGCGGAAACGCCAATGGCAGCGCTGAGCTGTCCAAGGACGAGATAGGATGGTACTTCGTTGAGCAGTACTACACTACTCTCAGCAAGTCGCCAGAGAAGCTTCACGTATGTTCATCCAACAACCTTATACCATACATTTGCTAACAAGCCCAGCTCTTCTACGGCAAGCGCTCCCAGTTCGTCTCTGGCCTCGAGGCTGAGGTTGCCCCAGTCTCTGTCGGCCGCCCAGTAAGTTACCCATCGGACATATTACAAATCGTTTGCTGATTCATCTAGGCCATCCAAGAGCGTATCAAGTCTCTTGAGTTCCAGGACTGCAAGGTCCGCGTCTCGAACGTCGACTCCCAGGGCTCTGACGAGACCATCGTCATCCAGGTCATTGGCGAGACCTCCAACAAGTCTGCTGAGCTGAAGAAGTTCGTCCAGACTTTCGTCCTTGCCCAACAGCCAACCGGATACTTCGTTCTTAACGACATCTTCCGCTACATCAACGAGGAGGCCGAGGAGGAGGTTGTTGAGGCTGCTGTCAGCGAGGAGGCTGCTGCCCCAGCTACTGAGGACATCGCTGATGTCGAGATGCCCAAGGCCCAGGCCAGCGTCGAGGAGACCAAGTCCGAGGTTATCGCCGATGTTGTTGACAAGAAGCTCGACCTTGATGCCGAGCCTGCTGTCCTCAAGGAGACCCAGACCAACGGCGCTGCCCCGGCTGCTGCTGTTGAGGCCGTCGAGGAGACCGCCGCTGCCCCAGCTGCCGTCTCTCCTGAGGTCGCCGAGAAGGAGCTTGAGGAGGAGGCTGCCAACGTTGCTGAGACCCCCAAGGACCCTGTCCCAACCCCAGCTGTCACCAAGCCTGCTGCTCCTAAGGCTGCCCCAGTCCCAGCCGCCCCAGCCAAGCCAATGAGCTGGGCTAACCGTGCCGCGGCTGCTGCTGCCGCCGCCCGCCCCGCCGTCCCAGCTGTCCCAGCTGTCCCAGCCCCCAAGACTGCCTCTCCAGCCCCCGCCCAGCAGCGCGCACCCGCACCTGCCGCTGCTCAAGCTGCCGTTGCCGTCGCAGTCCCCGCCCAGGCCGCAGCCCCCGCCTCCCCAACCGCCAACAAGGAGAACGAGGCTCCTCAGTCTCAGGGCTGGCAGACTGCCGGCGCTGACACCAAGCGCCAGCGCCCACAGTCCATCTCCGCCCCTCTCGAGAAGGAGGGCACGATGGGCTACGTCCGCAACGTGACCGAGGCCGTCCAGGCCGATGCTCTCCGTGCCGCTCTCGCCGCCCACGGTGAGCTCGTCTACTTTGACATCAACCGCCAGAAGAACTGTGCGTTTGTTGAGTTCGCCTCCCCAGCCGGCTACCAGGCTGCATTCGCTGCCAACCCCCACCACATCGGCGGCGAGGCCATCCTGGTCGAGCCCCGCCGCCCAAAGTCCTCTGCTTACGGAGGCGCCGCCTATAACACCCGCGGAGGCATGAACAACCGCGGCCGTGGTGGCTTTGAGCGCGGCCCAGGTGGACAGAGAGGACGTGGCAACTTCGGTGGCGCCGCACGTGGTGGTGCCCCCCGTGGACGCGGACAGAGCACCCCTACCACCACCGCTTGAGAGGCTACTATTTAGCGTCTGACGCGCCACCTAACATCCGACCGGCGCCCACGACGTCCCCTCTCCCCACCGTCGTCTAGGTTTTCCAAGATCGACTTGTACTCTTATCTCCGTATCATCACCGTCAGTCACCATACCACTAGCAGATCTCAACCGTCTCCTATGCATCCATCCCTATTCTCAAGTCTCCGCCCGGCGCAAAGCGAAAAAGTTCCATTTTTTTACTTTAGCGATGCATCCACGACACACAGCAAGAAAAGGGGGCGTTTTAGAGCATCGTTTCTGTTCCTGCTTTGGGGGATCCTCCTGGTTTTTTGTACGCTTGTTAAGCCGGTGACGATGGGATTGCCTTTGGCCCCTCTCTTCGAGGGACCTTCCCATAATTTTATTGTTTTCTGTTTGACAGCCGTTGCTGCATAGCTTGCTTACCATGGAGTTCGGCTCCCTACGATATCATCGAAGGGCGACGACTCTCCTTCTCGCTCTGCTATCTCGCAGTGACTCTTCGTTGTCTTTTCTCTCTTGGTCATCGTGCGCGGTTGGTCGCGCGTGGTTTAATATGCATAGCACGTTTTTTATGTTTTGGGCGGGTGCGGGAAGGTTGCATGGGTGGGGGTGTGATGGGGTTGGTTTCTGGTTGTGTGAATGGGACGGCTGGGGAAAATGAAGACGCTGGTGATGTCTTGATGTAGTGATGTAGGAGGGAATGGGGTGTAGATGGGGGGAGGTGTTGCTGGGGGAGGGGAGGCGAGAGGAGGGATGAGAGTGTATCAATCAATCTATATAAGCTTTACGGGATGCACTGTGCGTTGGATGATCTCATTGCTACTGTGGATACCCTGTGATTGTTTCAGCGAGCATCCCTTGGTTTGTTCAGGAAACTGGACATATCATTCGTGTGGTCACGTGACGTGGACTAACTTTGACTAGATTTGCACACAGTGCTTGTGATGACTAGCACATTCGATATGATATGACATGATACTCTCATATCTGTTGCATCAGTTCTGAGCCCGTACATTTCCAAGCACAGCAGCAGCTGGTGGTGCCGAAATCAAAGTCACGTGCACATATATGAGGTGAAGGCTCGCGGGAACGCGGATGAGAGGAGCTATTATACAGAAATTGGGGAGCGACCGGAAGTGATAATGCCGACATGCATGCATAAGTCAGCATGCGAGAAAAGGGGGATGAAGATTAGTCTGCACAGGATCTATGTATGGGGGCGAAATAGTCGCGCCGGTGATCCGAATAGCCGCCGTGTTCGGAGCTGACTGAGGGGTGAAAGGGGGGGGGGTTTTTTGTTTTTTGTGTGCGCGCGACCACGAAAGACTTTCTGTTGAGTACGGGATGAGGCTACACTAGACTGTGCTAGACCATATGTCCGAGGATTGCGCGAACGGAAGGAATGGCGCCAAGGAGAGGGGTTCTGGGGGATCCGATCCGCGATGGGGAAACTGCGGGGGACTGTGCTGGAGAAACTAGGAGGGGATGGGGGACGTGGATGGCGGAGGCGCAGGGCTGGGCTTTGGCTTGGCTGGTTCTGGGGGAGAGAGGGTGAAGAGTTGGATGGGACGCATGATGGTGGGTGTGAAGTTCATCTGTGCTTTGTTTTGGTGGTGGTGGAATGAGGAAGGAGGGAATGAGGTGCGCAGGGATGGCCGGTGTACGGCACTGACTGTGCATGGGGATGGAGTGCAGCAGTACAGTGATTACTCGTCACTGGGGGACGGGATAGGCATTGCGGCGGTGATGGCCGCGATGATGTAAGTCCGTCCCATGCGGTCGTAGATGTGGTAGATGGAGGTCAGGCGGTCGAGGAGGTGATTGATTGATTGATTGATGAGTTAACTGTTTCATAGGAGAGTTACTTCATAAGTCAACAATTGGTGCCCAGAAATCTCATATGCGACGTCTGAGGCTGGAGGGACGGGATATTTATTTATTTTGTATCGATATTTCCGTGGTTTGGTTGCTGCGCCATAGGAAGAAACCAGTGGGGGGGGTGGTTAGGTACGTACGGAGTATGTTGTAGTAAAGTACGGGTAAGGGACATGAAAGGCCGAGATCTCGCTTACTCAGCACCAGAAACCACAAACCCCAGACCCCACGATGGTTATTGTATGGGCCAGCCTCGCGGAGAATGCGCTGTCCAACATCCACTTCCACTCTTCCTTGCTGACTGGCAACAACTCTCCGTCCCTCCACTGACTTCCACTTCTTCCGAAATGACATCGGTGATAGGAAAGTCCGTATAGGGCAGTGCAAAGAAATATGCAATACTGTGCGAAACTGCGCAAAAACAGGGTCATGTACTGGACAGGTACTATTCCGATTATCCAGCCCCCGCCCTATCATGCCCTACGAGACCAGCCAGGCACTACTGGGCACTATCAGGCACTACTCGGACTTACAAGCCATACAAGCCACTTACAAGCCGCTACGAGAGAAACTATGTTATAGCTTCACAGCACTATAACTGGGGCATAAACTGGGGAACAAAACCGTGAATACGTACGGTACGAACGGCGTTGTACATACATTCCAGCCTGCAATTGCTGTCAGCAAAGTACTATACTCGAATACGGTACGGTGCTGGTGCATTGCGCCGAGAAATGGCAGCAAGTGTTTCTGAGTGTAGAGTGTATTAAGTTGAGTTATACCACTGAACTCATCAAACTCCACACGGGCTGACGCCACCTCCCCGGTGCCCTGTTGTTGTGACGTTCGTGATCGTCAGTGGGGCCAAGACCCATAGCCCTCCTCCTACTTCCTGATCACTCCGCGATCTCCAGTATTACTGTGGTTCATGTGAGGCGTTGTCTTCCGCTACGCCAACGAATCAATGAAACTTTCTGTGTCCGGAAATTCCGCAGTCGTCCCTTCTTCATTGCGTGAATGCCCCCCTGTTGTTTCCTCAAAAACATACGCACATACGACCGACAACGACGATTTAGAGCAACCGCCGGACGGACTTGCCATTGACCGCTAGACAAGTTACCGAGACACACTGCACCGTTGCGCTGATTTGTGCGCCGAACGAAGCTAACGGAACGAAAGTTTGAAGGCAAGGGACTAGCAAGGCACAAGATCGAGAGGAGGGCAGATCTTCGTTGAGTGGTGACGACAAACGAGAAGGTTTCGTGTGAATTGATTTACCTCCCATAGACAAAGGCCGGGAGACTACGAGAGGCGTCCAGAATGATAGAGTGAGCGAGGTCGCTTCACAATTGTGATACGCTCGACTGGTCTGAAGAAGCGCAGCACAGATGGACCTCGATATCATAGTCACCGCGCCTGTGAGCCATGATGAAAGGGACGAGGAGGCAAGAACGAGGAAGCAGAAATACATTGCTCTCACGCCGCAAGACGACGAATTGGAGGAATATACAGACCGGGATGGGGCAGAATATACGCCACAGCCGTGGTCGAGCACGGCCTCCTCGTCCATCGACGAGGGCGCTGGAGATCTCGAGGACCTCCCAGCGCTCTCGCAGACGGTGTCGCAACATCGCAGAGTCTCAATTGACCAATTCTACCTGGAAAACCACTTCCCGGATAGAACTATACACCCGCCTCCTCCGACTCGCCCCCCTCCTCCGATCCGCGATGCTCCCTCACCAACCAACACCATCGCCAGCACCACAACGACCTCCAGCACTAGCAGCGACGAGCCCCAAACTCCCCGGCTCACCGCTGACGACCTGGTCGAGCAGTCCTCCTCCCTCTCACCACCGCCCTACTCCTCCAGCATCCTAAATCGCAGCGCCATAAATATCACTCCCCGCATCGAAGAAGGCCACGAGACCCTCCCACCCTACACCTGCGATCTAACCCTCACTGCCCACTTCATGCGCAAATCTGAGCTCGAAGGCCCCCACCTCGGCGAACCCTCCGAGTTCTCCAACCCCCTCCGTCGAGCCCCAGTGCGCACCTGGCATCGCGTCCAAGTCACCCTCCGAGGCACCTCTCTCACCATAGCCCCCGCTCCACGCCTCTCCCTCAAGCGCTCCAAGCCCCTCGCCCCACCGCGATCTTACTCCCTCCAGCACGCCGAGGCCGGCATCGCATCCGACTACCTCAAGCGCCGCTACGTTATCCGCATCCGCGTCGAAGCAGACCAGCTCCTCCTCGCCTCCGACGACGCACCCACCCACATCGCCTGGCTTGAAGCCCTCGCAGCAGCCATCGACCTAGCCCCTGCCCTCGACGAACGCTCCCTCCCTGAAGACGCATCCCTCCCCCGTCCTCGCCGCCGCGGATTACGCGACCGCTACGTCGCCCCAGGCAGCGCCGCTGCCCGCCGCACAGCAGCCGCGCAAGCCGCTGTCGCTGCCGCAGAAGCAGCAGTAGCGCCTCCCCCCCGCCACGTCGACGTCCCCGAGGCCCCGGAACCTATTCCGGAGCCTGTCTCCGAGCCTGAACCGGAACCTGAGCCGGATCACCTTGCACCTCCGCCCTCAGTCTTAGATTCCTCTCCTTCTTCGAGAACATCTACAGATACCCCGACCCCGATAGTCCGCCCCTCACACCGCCCGCAACCGGATCCCTACAACATCTACCCCCCCACCCTCGCCGCGCGCGGCGCACGCAACCCGGCCATCACGCGTGACGGCAAGTGGCGCCCCATCCACAACTGGAGTCCGCTGTATGACCTCATCTACGCGAAGCGGTGTATGGCGACGTTGTTGAATGGGAGTCCGCGAAAGGGGCCATTTGTGATTATGCAGGGAGAGAGGTGGGTGGTTGATTGGGAGACGGGGAAGTGTGCGAGGTGGGTGCCGAAGGAGGAGGGTGTGGAAGAGGGGTTGCCTGGGGAAGCTGGATTGCCCGGGTATGGGAATTGAGAACTGGTAACGATTTGTATATTTGAGCGAGCGTGTTTTGGATTGGTCTGGTGTAGATGTTTGGGTTACTGGCGTTCAGTTTGCTGTTGAGGCTGTCGAGCGATAACATTTTGCATATCCTTTTGCATACCCCCTCTTTTATTTTTACTTTTTAGTTTTCACTTTTTGTTTTGTTATGTTGGCGGGACATATAGATACCGGAATGGGCTGGGATGGGATATGATGGGTACAAATTTGGATAACTCACATAACGAGTACTACGGGGCACATTCCTGTGCCAGGTCATGCATAAATTTAGAAGGAGTTCGGGAATTCGAAATTGAACATGAATTTGAATTTGAATCCTGTGCCATAACTATTTTCGCATAGGTGATTCTGTGTCGCATAATGGCATAGTAGTGCCCGCCCGAACGCCATTTTGATATACCCCCATCCCCTCCCAAGCTCCCAGACAACCATATAAACAACGCCACCATCATCCTCCTTCCCAACCATCCCCAACCCACTACCCCCTCTCCACCCCACTCATCTCCCCTCCCGCACTCTCCAAATCCCTCACAATCCCCTCCACTCCAGCAACCAACCCCTCAATCTCATCCCACTGCCCCTTAACCACCTCATACAACTCCGCATTCACACTCTCCAACGTCTGCTCCTTCGCATTCAACCGTCCCTGCGCAGCCACCAAACTCGGTCCAAGATGCGCCGCCAATAAGTCCGCCGGCGGCAATAAATGCGGTCTACACACACAACACCAACATTAGCCCAAACTCCCCATCAATCCCCATCTCCCTCTCTCTCTCCAGATATCACAAAAACTTACGCAACATCCCCCCCCTCACCCCGTTCCCTCCTCCCCCTCGCCTCCCCAATCAAAACCTCCAACTCATTCAACCTCCCCAACACCCCCCTCTCCTCAAGTATAACCCCGAAATCCGCCCTAGCCGCCTCGCGCAGCCGATCAACCATCTGGGCGTGCACGGCGCGGAGGGCGTCGGGCGCTAGCGTCGACAGGAGGGGGAAGCAGGCGAGGAAGGTGGGGGCGGGGAGGGCGGAGAGGGTAGAGGTGAGGGCTGCGTCGTGGAGGGTTAGGAGGGCGCGGGCGCGGGGGCCGGGTTCGATTGGGGGTGCGGCCTGGGGTGAGGAGGGTTGGGGGTCTTGTGTTGAGGTGGGGACGGAGGGGTCGGCGGTTGCGGTTACGGTTGGCATTTTGTGGCGCGGCCGAGTGGCCTGGCGGATATTGTTGGTCGGGGGGGTTCGATCGCGATTGTCTGTTTTGTGAATAGTGTAAGAGTGGGGTGAAGTCAGCTTGGGAGTTCTGGTGATGAGCGACGTCTCTGGTGGTGTGTTTATGGGCGCGAGACGCGAGGGGCGAGGCTGAGGTTCTGGGTCGGAAGTGTGGAGTTTTGTCAGCCTTGTGCGGGATGTGAGAATTAAGGGATTGAGGGCCGAACGAGACTATAAATACCAGTCGGTGATTGCTAGACCTCGAGAAAATACCAAGAACAATAGAATACGAAGGGGATGACAGACCGGTTTTCTGTCGGCGTAATTAAGACCGGAAAGCAGGCGCAGCTGCAAGTGGGAGCCACGTTTGTTGTTGGTGAGAAGCTTCTCACCGTTGCAGTTTACTGTTACCGCATGATTCTGTTGTCGCATAATACTTCATAGTGGAAGCATAATACTCCATGGTGGCAGCCAATGTCGTGCAAGGGTATTTTATGAGAAAGTGAACGCTTGCATGCGCGCGCTCTTGTGGGGACTTATACGCCTTCAGTACACGTTCCTCTGCATCGAGGTTTCTCCTGGCTATCTTCTTTATCGTGACTATTTTCCCTGGCTCTTGACTCTCCGATGGGCTACACATTATGAAGGTTAATTTGGCGTCATGTCTAGTTTCACTCCGTCAACGATGACCTAGCTGGACTTATTCTCCAATTTATTTTACCACATACTATCCCGTAACTATTTTCACCATTCATACATAATAACATGCCCGCACGATGATCTCCGACGACGAGAATGCTAGCATCGATGGATCTATACAGGAAGCGCTTGCTACTCTTGACGGGAGAATAGAAGAGGATGACGAAATACAGAGCAGACATCGTCGTAAAAGCCAGCTTGGGGTCTTACGGTTTGTCTTGTTGGCGCAGCGGTATTCTCGTCGCTATTCGATTCTCGCCGCCGCGGGTAGTGTTTGCTACAGATAAGTATCTCGTGAACTAGCTTCCTGTCACCGCTCACCTCACTATCGCTCTTTACAAGTGTACTGACATCCATTTCTTGGCTCAGAGGTGACTTCTTTTTGCGATGCCAGACGAAAAGCAGGGAGCTCGGAGCTAGAACGGGGTAGAGCTACCTCGAGGTGTTACTGTCCATGATGATGAAGCCTAAGAAGAAGACTGGGTTTAAATACTCTCCCCCTGACATCTTAGTTTACCACCCTGCATTCCTTTTAGACTCTGTAAGGTTCATCACATTTAGCTATTGATGCGGGTTGCCGGCCACCATGCGAGCAGCCTTGGTTGTAGGTCTCAAGCAGTATTGCGTCTCGGACCTTGCCGGGTTTCAAGGGAGTTTTTATAATTTTATGTCTAAAGTCTATCGTGATGATGCTATGTCATAATGCTATACTTATATTATTGTAATTGAAGTTGAAGTTATAGAAATCATCAAGCACATACGTGGTGATGCTATTCTCGCTGGCCAATCATATCACTCAGTGAGGCTGTACCCGTCCTCCGATCCCGTTGTCCCGCCATCCAACTCACCTCAGACCCCTGTTCAGCTGGTAACCCCGCGCAACCAGCTCACCAAGCCCGGGCCCTTATCCGACATTTGTGCATCAATAATGGCATCCACAGTGTTCTGTTTCGTACGTCGTCATTGAGACAGTATATCCCTATTCATATCTCACACTTGGCTTCAGCGACGTGGTTTTTTATACCCTTTCAACCAGTTGAGACATCTCGTCTATTCACTTCGCCATATAAACAAACCCACGCAAACGATACTCTCACCGCCGCTACCAAACGAGGCTGGCCAGCCGTCATTTCCTCTGAAAAAGCGAAACTAGATATCGTCGTCGCATATCTGGGACCCAGATTTCGGACTCGGATTTCGAAGATTGTACCAAAACTTCAAGGCGCATTGAGGTAACTCTCATCCTACCGTCCGCCAGTTGGCGGCACCAGCGCTGCGATGGCGCCAGCTCCGGTCGATGGACTCTCGCCGCCGGGGAGCAGCACATACTCCTCAAATACACTCTACGTCGGCGATGGAACATGGGACAGCCAGAGGAACACGTTCCTGCTCCCCAATTTGGTGGGACTGAACTTTGAGACGATGCGATATAACGGTAAGAGCATTCCCTTCCTGTGATGTTGACCTGCTCTGCGCAGTGCTGACGAGGTTTTGTTTAGGCATGGGAAACCGTTTTGCATCGCAACCACAATATCATTACCTGATTAGGGCACATGGGATCATTGCGGTGATCGTATTCCTCCTCCTGATCCCGACTTCGATCTTGATGTCCAGGTTTTACGGCAAGATACCGGGACGAGGAGTGAGGGTACATATATACCTCAACATTCTCGCACTATTCCTCTCGACAGTCGTCTTTATTCTCGGCTTCATGGCCGTGGGCCCCTCGCGCAGCCTCACGAACCCGCATCATGGACTTGGCGTCGCTATCTACGTCTTGATTATCTGGCAAACCTTGGTTGGCAATTGGATTCGCAAGAAGTTCAAGAAGAAGATGTACAGACGCCCTCCTATCAAGTTGATGATACATCAGTGGATGGGGCGAGCTACTGCGATTCTGGGGATTATTCAGGTCCCGCTTGGCCTGGTTCTTTATGGTAGTCCAAAGTGGACGTTCATCCTCTACACGCTGTGGATGACGTTCCTCCTGATATTCTACTTCATCGCCCAACACAGGGCGTACGGAGACACCCATCACCACGGGGGACATGGAGGACACCTAGAGGGCGGAACGGTTATTGAAGAAAAGAAGAGCGGTGGTTGGGGGAAGTACTTGGCACCTCTCGCAGCAGGCGCCGGCGCTGTCTGGCTCGGAAAGAAGTTCTCACACAGACACGATGACGACGATGAAGTGGTTCCATCTCGCCGCGGCTCTCGACGCGACTCTCGACGTGACTCGGCCAGCTACTTCACTGAAGATGAAAAGCCAGACCACAAAGAAGGCGGAGGTCTCTTCAAGAAGCTGATGCTCGGTGCAGCTGTAGCGGGCGCGGGCATTTTTGCCAAGAAGAAGTATGACAAGAGGCATGCGCACGATGACGAATATTCCGCTGTGGCTGGTGATACCCCAAGTCGCAGACCCTCCAGACGACATGAACCCATTGGGAGCGATTACACTGAATCTACCATTGAAGTCCGACGAGCAGATGACCGCCCAGGACACAGCAAGCTTCTCCCCGCCGCTGGTGGCGCCGCATTAGGTGCACTAGGCGCAGCAGCTATTGGTGCTGCTAAACGCCCCAGGACACCGCCGCCAGTTAAATCCCCACGGAGAAACCCAAGACGCGATAGTTTCGACACTTACACGTCCATTGCATCCCCATCTCGCGTCAATGAAAGTGGTGGGCATGGAGCTCGAAATGGTATACTCGCAGGCCTCGGACTCGGTTGGTTGGGCAAGAAATTCAAGGATCGCAAGGACGATCGTGAGCAAGAGCGCCTCGACGACATCCGCCGCCAAGAGCTTGAGGATGAGAAGCGATTAGAAGCAGAGCGTCGATATGGAAACCGCCCACCGCGATACACAGGAGATGGACACCGCCCACCCAGGAGACATGATTACGATGAAGAGAGTGACCTGAGCTCCGACTTCACAAGCCTCCACCCCCGCAGAGCCGGCGACCCCATCCCCCCATCAAACCTTGGTCCAGGCGCACCACCAGTACCAATCGGCGCACAAGGCAGCAGACACGACATCGTCGATCCCGTGCCCATGCCTACCGGCCCACCTCGAGACGGCCACGACCGCTTCGAAGACCCCTACCTTCCTCGCCGCCAAAGCTCGCGCTCTCGTCGCGACGCCGAAGCCGCAGCCGCAACCGCTGGCGCCGTACTAGCAGCCAGCGAAGTCGACCGCCGTCGTCACCGTAGCCGTAGCCAAGGCGGCGGATACCGTGACGACGAAAGGGACGGCTCTCGCCCCTCTGCCACGGTCAAGGTGCGCGTCCGTCCCGAGGATGTGACGTTGCAACGCCTAACTCGCGAGGAGGCCGCAGAGCGCGACGCTCGCAGACGCCGCAGACACTCGCTCTCGGACTCGGAGGTCTCAGCTGGGCCTTCCGGCAGATACCGACGAGATGAGAGTGCTAGCCGGCAAGCGGCGGAGCGACGAGCTGAGAGGCGCGCAGAGGCAGATCTAGAGCCTCTGAGCCCACCAAGGCCGGCGTTTGCGAAAGGTAGGGCAAAGGATAGCGCGTATTACTCCGGACCGTCGGGTGGGAGCGGAAGGCCTAGTGGGCCGGAGAGTATAGGGAGTCCAGACAGTGGGCCCGCGTATAGCGGGATGAGTCCGACGGGGACGGGGATGAGTGAGGACCCGGCAGAGAGGCGAAGGAGGAGGAGAGCAGAAAGGAGTAGAGCGGGTAGCCAGGGAGGGCCGCCTGAGTTTACTTGAGGAGTGGTAGATAGGGATGTAGGGATGGGCGGCGCATTTATGGTGTTGGAGCGTTTGATTTTGATTTAGGTGGGATTTTGGGACGATGGTAGGATACCCGTCTTCAGATGGTGGGATGGGATATGTACATGTATGAATTGGGATGTGTAATGTGCATATTTACAGCGCGTGGTCGCTGCTGTTAGAAGCATCCACATACATGAGATATGAGAATAGGAAGACGTTTATGTGCTCTTACAAGATCGTGTAGCTCTGTTACTTGTGAGAATAAAATATCCGATAATGATACCCCAAGTTCTATGGTTTGGTTTGTGAAGTTGAAATCAGTAAGGTGAAATATGGATTCCCGTTCAATTTTGTGATGGCAGCATTGCTACTGGAAGCAAAAGTTTCAGTCGGCCTCGGCTTTCATGGGCCTTAGGGCAAGCTTTACTAGAAGTTATTCCGTCTAAATTAAAGTCGTATTAAATCTCATGCCGGCGCTTCCCCATGACACCCTCATCCTATGAGATCTCCCACTTCAGCGATGGGAGAGTTTATCATGCAACGATTATACTCCGGTGCAATCTTTGCCCGATATCATCGTGAGGTACGCGGCACTTTGATACTACAAGTCTATGGAAACAAAAGTTTAGGCTGGCGCGAAAGGCGCGTGAAAATATAGTGCAAGGTCAGGATTCGTCTGATAGGTGAGGATGAACAGCTTGGCGGGAATGGGTGAGCACGTTTGCGCATAATAAGGATGACGGCTCTCTGGCCTGCAGACTTAAAGATGACGGGTTTATATTAAGTCGGTATAACGTGCTTGAAAGCTTTGAGAACGGTTGGTTTAATTATATTACTTTGCGCAGATTTATATTTATATGCTCAACAGACCTAATATCTATGGATAATTGCGAGATGAGGAAGCTTGAGAGTATAAGAATGCGGAGAAATCCTAGAATCAAGGATAAATATTAGGCAAAAATAGTCTCAAAATGCATATTCCCTTCCTCACTTTTGCGTTCGCCGCAGGCGTCGCTCTCAACCCCTTTCTCGCATCATGCGCCGAAAACTCTAAACATCACCCCCGTACGTCTCTCCATACATCAAATAAACACTTACTAATACTCCCCTGCAGTCCCCTCCAGTTTCGGCGTCCTCCTCTTCCCCGCATTCGAGGCGCTCGATGTCTTCGGACCCCTTGACGCCCTGAACCTCTTCTCCGCACAACGCCAACTAAAACTCTCCCTCATCGCCCCAACCCTCGACCCCGTCTCCACCTCCCCCCGCAGCGCGGCCATGAACCCCTTCAACTCCACCTTCTCAGAGTCCATCCTCCCCACCCACACCTTCGACACTGCCCCGCCCCTTGACGTCCTCCTCATCCCAGGGGGGATCGGAACTCGCTCCCCAGACCCCTTCTTCGACGAGCATCTCGCCTTCATCCGCGAGCAGTTCCCCAAGGTCCGATACCTAATCACCGTCTGCACTGGTGCCTTCATCGCCGCCAGATCTGGTGTCCTCGATGGCCGCAATGCAACTACGAATAAGCACGCCTGGGCCGATGCACCAGTGTATGGGCCCAAGGTAAAATGGATCGCGCATGCGCGCTGGGTTGTTGATGGTAAGGTGTGGAGCTCGGCGGGTGTGAGTGCTGGTATTGATGCTGTGCTTGGGTGGATTGCAGAGGTGTATGGGGTTGATATTGCAGAGGGGTTGACGCTAGATATGGAGTATGAGAGGCATGCGGATCCGAGCTGGGATCCGTTCGCGGAGCATTATAATATTACAGACCATTTGCCGTCGTTGTAGTGGGTGGTTGCATATTCTGGCTTCGGGCTGGGGGCGGGGATGCGATTACGGATGCCCGTTTATATCATACAGAAGGACGGTAAGAGGATGCATTCAAATCCCTTAATATCCGTGATGAGTATAAGCACATACTATTAATTGAAGCGCCCCTTTCGAAGAAATATACCTATTAAGTGAGCCTTTGGAACTGTTATCTTTGAGGTGGATACATACCATTGACTCTTTCTAAAGAGATATTATCAGACTCAACCGAGTAAATTTCCTTCTCCTTTGGCTTCCCCACAGCTTTGATAGAAGGCACCTCCTGCCCAATATATCCAGCTCGGCCGAAGTCGATGATGGTAACCTTACCATTTTGGTTCAGCATTATATTGCTTGGAGAGATGTCATAATGCACAACGCCAGTAAGATGCACTTCTTCGAATGCCTTTGCAACCTCCGGTATATACTCGGCCGCAACGCCTATATCAATATTGGATAGCCTCTCCATTCTAAAGCCAAAAATACCTTCCTCGTCAGCCAATGGCTCTTGGTGTATACGAACAACAGGAAGGTCTTTAGACGATAAATGCCGTAGAATGGAGAACTCTCCTTGAAGCAGCTGCCTTTGGCGATCATTGATGGCGACCTTACAGACTGAGAATTTATCCCCACAAGAATCTAAGATCCTTATATGAGAATCCGCACCGTATGCGAGCACCTGAGATGTTGCCCATAACTCTTTAACACGTTCGCTCTGCGGTATGAGAGTGACTGTTGCATTATCTACATGTGGGAAAGATGTTAAATCTGGCGTCTCCCTCCAATCACCATCCCAACGCAAGAGATATTCGTCGCCATTGAAGTCAATATTGACTGCAGAGGACTTGTCGATGGGATATGCGGGCGTAATTGGCTGAGCTGGCATCCTGTGACGGGTCACCTAGAAATGAATAGCTTTGCGACACGTCAAGGCCTGTCTTGTTGAATTCCGGGGTCACTTTACGATATATCACGGATCTTTTCTAGGCACCGGTCGTGGTGGTCCTCTCCAGTTGTGGCTGTGCTCAGGCACCTTCAGCTTGGAACCATGTAGAGGACTGATAGACATTTTAGTAACAGGTATATTCCAGTTACGTTTTATAAATGCAAGGTAGTATCACAAATAGAGAGTTATTTTAACGGCGTATAAGCGTCTCTCTATCAGTTGACCCAAGAAGCTGAAGACCAGTGAACCACTTCATTTCAAGCTCTCCCCTCCTCCGTACGTTTTATCGCTTCATCGAGAAGGTAAATATCCCGTTCCTTGATATAGAGACCTAATTCCGATCTCGGTTCTGCCTCAGTCATCCTGGTCTTCGCCTCGTCAACCGACAGCCACAAGTGACCAAGTCCATCGTTGACCTCGTCCTCTGTGAGACTGGGACTGCCAGAGTCGTCCACAACGTCGGCAACATAGCCGAATGACATCTGGTGCAGGTCATTGCGGTATTCTTCAGTCGTGGCAACACATCCGAGATTGCTGCGTATCTTGACAAGCCCGCCCGTCTCCTCCTGCATTTCTCGCAAGACGGCCATCTCATGTTGCTCGCCGGGATTGATGCCGCCGCCGGGAAGCATCGGTAACATCTGCCCACTCCGAGAATGGCTTGTACGGGATATTATCCTCATGGCGATACTCCCAGGGCATCCGCAGGACCTGACAATTTACGCCATCGTCACCAATATGCTTCAAGAGCCCCTCAACTCCTTCCTGGTTACCAAAATACGAAACTTGACGTTGCAGGCGGATGGGAAAAGGCAAGGCGCCCTGTGCAACGTGTTTTTGTAAATCGTCATCAGCGCCGAGGATAACTCGGCCGAGCAGAGCATAGATACACTGTAGGCGCATGTTAGAAAGTAGATTCTGTAATATAGGGGGGGAACTCACCATGATCCCAAATGAAAACATATCAGTCGGTTTATTAAGCTCGCCCTTGAAGTGAGCCTCGGGGCTTCGCCAATTTTCGTTGCCGGCCAGCATCCCTTTCATACATCTAACTTTCGGAAGGTGGGCGGCGTTTTCAAGGTCCGTAACTTGAACCTGCTCAACTGTCGTTTCTTGGCCGGTATGGCTGCAGGTGACCATGATATTGTCCGGCTTAATATCTAAATATCATTTAGCGCTAGCGCTTGGTTTTTGTCGCTATTGGAAAGGAGCAGAAATTACCAAGATGGACAATTTCGTGATCATGCAATTCAGCAATGCCTTGCAGACTATCCCGGAGGATTTTCTCCCTCGCTCGCATCGAGATCTTCTTCCTAACCAGGCTTAAGAAGTCATCGGTGAGATATTTATATATAAGTACACGCTGGTCCGGTATGGTGTCCAACGGAAGCCTTATGTAAGGGCTGTCACGAAGTTGGGGCCGAATCTTCTCATTGAAGTTAGAGATAATGTCTTCGGGGATATCTTTTAAGATATACTGGTCTTGTCCGGATCTGATAGTGTTAGTTTTCGAGTTGGGTAGTATACACAGAGGGTATTCTCAGACGTTGCCAACCAAACACGACCAAGCAATGGGCGCTCTTGAAGCAGCTCCTTAAACTGATAACGACGTCCAGCTGCTCCAACTAATTCATTGGGCACAGACGCCAGTTTAGCAATGCTCTTTCGGAGCATGGTGTTGTTGCTGCTTGTGTGACAGCGTGTCCATCTTCTTAAACAGCTTTAGGCACAGTTCGATCCGCATTAAGGGTGACCAGCCGTTCACAGAGATGACATCGAAATGTTATAAAGAAATGATGATGATATTTTCTAGCTGGATAAACGACATGGCGACGCTACCAACGCCCTGTTAGATGGAGCGTGAATACCCCCCTGGGGAATCCTTATTTTCGCGAATTTTCCCACAATCCTGGCCCTTTGGTCATGAAAATATAAACTAAGAAATTGCTCTCTTACCTTGAATGTGTGGTATATCACAATTTGGATGGTCACTGGAGAGGATTGTAGTGTCAACAAACGCGTAGAGATGGAACAGTATTGTCGTAGTTTCCTTATCGACAACGCCGCCAATTAGCGCGCCAATGATATAATCCAACTGCTTTTTATATCTTCGACGAGCTCCCCCACTATCAAACACATAACTCTCAACCATCATAAACAAAATGCCTAAACCAAAACAATTCCTCAAGGATGATAGCAGGAAGAAGAAATTGTCCAAGCATGCTCCACAGGTGCGCCCAAGATCTTAGTGATGATCGCGAATCGTGTGTGACGTCGACCCTAACACGTGACAGGTCCCAGAAACCGCAGATGAGTTCTTAGCTGGTATGATACTTTGATAGACATCCCAGGAATGGTAGCTAATTGTATAACCAGCTGGAGTTGACCACGAAGAGGCCGGCGAGAAGTGGCGTGGTGGGGACGCAGCAAAGTCGACGCGCTTCTTCGTCAGAGCTATCGACACATACGAGACGGGCCTCACGAAGTTCCCGGATTCCTTTGATTTGGCTTATAATAAGTAAAGATATGTCGAAATACTGTCTTATTCCAATTCTAACTTCACTACAGAGCACGCGTACAATATGAAATCACACAGCACCCAAAGCTACGAGGACAGCTCCCAGGCAATCTACTGGACCTATTACATGTGGCACTTGAATCTAGCAGGCGAGCTCTGTCATTGAAGCAAGACGACCCCGATGTCATATTGTGAGTCCATCCATCCCCCTTTTCAACTCAGTCATTAACAAAACCCAGCAACACAGCCCAAGTCCTCACCTCCCTCGCCGAAGCGCTCGACGACGTAGGCAGCGACCCGGGCTCCCTCGTCCCCCTCCTCGAAGAAGCAGTCGAGCTCTTCCAACGCTGTCTCACCCTCCAAGAATTCCGCTTCTCGGAATCCGAAGCCCTGCGCGACTCCATGAATGCCGACGCCCCCGCCGACATCCCCGGCTCCCCCATCGACTCCGACGGCGGCGCACCCCTCACCCCCGCCGCAGCAACCGGTAGTCCCCAACAATCCGAAGAGCAATGGGCCAGCATCGTCGAACCAACCACCCCCGACACGCTCCTCGACACCATCCTCGCCCTCCTCGAGACCCTCACCGTTCTCGCCACCAAGCTCGACTCCCGCGGTCTCGCAGCACTGGAGGAGTACACCTCAACCCTCCTCGTGAAACTGCCCACCTACCTCGCCCCCTCACCCGCCCGCGCTCCGGAAGTAGGTCTCACGCGCGCAAACCTCCTGTCTGCACTAGCAGAGGCTAGCTTCCGCGCCAGCAACATTGATACCGCGACGTACGAGCGCGCTATCACTGAGGCCTTCCGCGACCTCGACCTAGCTTCTGACCCGAAGGGGTTAACTGACAAAGCAGACGCGATGCTCGCCTTTGCAGCTGCACTACGCACACAACCCGTCGAAGACGGACAGCAACAACAGCAGATCATAGCGCGGTGGGGTGCCCTGACCCAAGCGGGAACCGCCTTAGGAGCTGCCTCCAAGGTCCCAGGGGCCATGAACCTCGCGCGCATACATCTCGCGCGGGGGGACGCGGAGATGCTTCGGTTCCGGGTGAAAGATGGGACGGGATACCCGGGGAATGTGGATGCGGGGGTTCTGATGAAGAATGCGGGCGTGTTTTATAGAGGAGCCGCGAGACAGGCGCTGGTGGATGGGGAGGAGGGGGTTGGGAGGGAGGGGAGGCTTAAGGGGGCTCTGGCGGCGGCTGTTGCGGGGGAGAGTCAGGCGCTGAGGGAGATGGTGGCGGGGGAGACTGAGATGGTGGTTGAGGTTTTGGGGGGGGCGGTGAGTGATGGGTTGGTGGAGATGGAGTGGTTACAGAGGGAGAAGATTGTGTGAGGTTAGCTTGTGATGTGCTATGTCCAAACGCACTTTTTTGACACCTGACAACAGATGAAGCACCCCCTCCTTCACTCGTGACCGATGAGGCTACCATTCAAAGGCTTTCTCACTTTACTTATGACGACCATGTCGGGGCTACCATTCAAATGCTCCCTGCAACCAGACTGGCAAGATACCCCATTGTAGCAAAGTCTCAAGTGTCTAGTGACTCAATACCTTGCAATGTAGAGGCGTTCGTCCGGCTATTCGGTTCGATCAGTGATATCACCGTTAGACCCACCAGCTTGCAGCCTGACGCTGCACCCATGCACATAAAGACGATAGGTGGCGTTTTGAAAAGCCGATATCTGACCGCCCCAAGCCATGGGCCCTTGGCCTTAAACCGTAGTCCCTAAGCCAATATTGCGGTAGAAGACCCTTATATTGCCTTCTTCCTTGGGAGTCTTTGCTTGAGATCTGACCGCGGCAGGTTGAGTTGGTAGTGGGTCTGAGCCAGCGGGAGGCGGATGCAGCAACATGCCGTGTGTCCAATCCTTCCGTAAATAGCATCCAATGCTATAGCCACGGCGCGTTTCAGGATCTCAGCTGTGGGAATCAGAGACCCATCCGCATGCTATAGCACTGTTGGGCCCCTTTTTTTCCCTTCCGGGCGTGTTTCCGGTGCCGCGTGTTCTCGGCGTGGCGACCCGCTGTCATGGTATTTGTGGGCGCACGCAGCCTGGCAGTCCTGATCGACAATACTATATCCTCATCTGTGTCTGACGGCAGAGTGTTTCGTCTCGTCTGGTCACAGTTCACAATGAATCGAGTTCTTCGCAGTGTACAACCACACTCTTAAACGCATAGAACGCCATTGTTATATGTGGTGGTTCAGTTTAGTTTCGTTTTGTTATCGTTTGTAACAGTTGTGCACTGTTCTACACTACTTTGTATGGTGGATGCAGCGGGATGTAGTGGATGACGGTGAATGGCAGTGGATGACAACGCCTAGGCACCTGCAGGCTGCACTGTGGACAGGCACCCCTAACCCCTACCAGCCCCTAACAACCCCTACCCTACCAGTAAAACGGCATTTTCATCCCTGTTTCCCTCGTGTCCCCATCTCACCAAACACACTACATCGCACCCTCTAACCACCCTCGACCACCCTTACCACACCCTCCATCCACCCCATCCACCCCATCCACCCTCCCACCGCCCTCCTTCTACCCACCATCACCCATCCACCACTCTACAAACTGAACCCAATCTAACCACTCCGGGCCAACACCCGCACAAACGGGGGACGGGACGACGTTTGACCTCGTTTCACGGCTATCGAAGACCTATATACTCTACTCCTCGCCTTCTTCCAAATAGTAAAGTCCCACGATACATTCATCGGATCGTTGCAGAATACACAAATATACACATCCACCACTACTCAACACCTCTAGAAACTGCAGATACCCCCGTCTCTCCCGGGCGCAATCGAGCGAACACCACCGACCGCAGCAGTCCGATAACCGATACTCTCCCTCTACCACAACAAAAACCACAACCTCCCCCCCAACACACCCCCCCCCAAATAAAACCAAACGCCCATCCAAACCACCACGATGGGCCGCTCTCTCGACTCCTCCCGCCCAATCATGGCTCCAAGTCTCGTACGTCAACCCTCACCGCCCCCCCGCCTGTCGCATCAAGCTGACTCACGCCCCCCGCAGCTCTCCTCAAACCGCGCCTCCATGCGCTACAGCACCTTCACAATCCCCGCCCCATCCATGCACTCCTTCAGCTCCGACACCGTGCAGGCTGAGCTCGCGGATATTACCGCCGGCCTCGCTAAGCTCGAGAACAAGAAGCTCGCGTCCCAGCGATTCGTGCCTAGCAAGGAGAAGTCGGAGAACTTGTCGAAGCTGGCGCTGGGGGCGAAGCTGGAGAGGGCTTTGGATCGTAGGATGAAGGGACAGGATGCGGTGATGAGGAAGAAGGTTGTTAAGAGAGATCTCGAGAAGAGCGCTGTTATGGCTTAGATGGGGGATTCTTCGACACGAACTACGACAAAGGGGAGAGAAGGGTGTGAATGAGGCTACAGAGCGATATTTTGGTTACGACGGAGAAGGAAGGAAGAGCACACTTGAATCTCTGATGTGTTTCTAGGCAAGACTGAGGGAGGAGAAAGAAAGAAGACGACTCTGGAGGGGCTGGGAAGCAGAAGGGGCGGGGTATGATTGATGTATCAGAGTTATGACTACACCAGGGCATGATCGCAGGCGTTTTGTTATCGCGAAGTTTTTCGTTATTTCTTAGCAGTTGCGTTGTTTGGACTTATTCCATGTCTTTTAATCGCCGGAGAGAGCAGAGAAGCGGGTACGGAGAGAAGTACTGTAGTAGTCATTAATTGAAATATACCCCATGAGCAATTCTCGACGGTGTTTAATGCTAGTCATATATTGTCCTCAAATATCCACTTTCCAGACGCCAGTTCTAAAATTCTGCCCAGCAACATGCCCTATTTATACAGTTCGTGGTTCCTGACTCCTCTGTAAGTTTACAGTAACTCCCCCAGTCTCGTAGCCATCCATGGCCACTCGTTCAAGAACTCTTCGTCTCCTCCTCCGGCTTTCCTCTCCGATCCAGAATCTCATCCACAATCCCCATCTCCAGTGCCTCCCCAGCACTCAAGAACTTATCTCTCTCCATCATCAATTCGATCTCCTCCAGAGTCCACTCCCCACTCACGGTGCCCTCCTTCCGCCTCGTCAAGTGCCGCCTATATATCTCATTCAGGCTCTTCCGCACCCTCAATATCTCCGTTGCGTGAATCGCAATGTCGCTCGCCTGTCCGAAGTACCCTCCGCTCGGCTGGTGGATCATGACACTACTATGCGGCAGACAGTATCTGTGTCCCTTCTCTCCACCACACAGCAGCAACGAACCCATCGACGCCGCCTGCCCCACGCACACCGTGTGCACCGGTGAGTGGATGTAAGTCATGGTATCGTAGATCGCGAGGCCGGCCGTGACGGAGCCACCGGGCGAGTTGATGTAAAGCGTGATCGGCTTCGCGGGCGCGTCAGATTCGAGGAAGAGGAGTTGCGCGACGATGGATGCGGAGAGGGTGTCGTTCACCTCGCCATTGAGGCAGATGATGCGCTCCTGGAGGAGTTTGGAGAAGATATCGGCTGTGGGGGTTAGTCGGGGCGTGCTCTTCCTACTATGGCCAGGTTACATACATGTCCTCCATCCGCCGCCCTGGGGTGGTTAGCTAGGTTCTTGGGTCGGCGCATTGGCTACTCACTATCGTCTCGGTGATAAATGGGACGGGTGTCCACGCTTGTGGTGCTTGTTGGGAGAGTGACGAGCGGGAGGAATATGGCCTCGCAGCTGCACGCATGGCAGTGCGCGCTGTGGCGCGAGCTACTCGTAATGGCAGCATTATGGTGAAGATTGTGGAGCTGTAACAGCTCAGTGGTGTTGCGGCGGTTGAGAAAGTTAAGCTGGAGCTCGGAGATATGGTTGACGCGGGCGGCGGCATTGGTGTGTGCACGGCCAATACTGAGGCATCCCTCCTACAGCGACTTTACCATACATTATTGAGGAAGGAACGAGTCACACTACGTTCCCTCGCTCCTTCCTCGACGTCGTGCTTTCCGTTTTGGCACCTTCTGGTCGCTCTTTCCCTTCATGGCCGTCATGTCTAGGTTTTCCCCCGCCCTCAAGGCGGCAATCAACGCGCCTTTCGCCCGCTCTGGGCCCCTCCCCGCCCCAGATAATATCACTGCCATCTACTCCGACATACAGCGCGAAGCTACTTCTAACTCTCTCGGCGTTCTCCCATGGCTTGCCCTTACCGTGCGCCTTCCTGCCTCGCCTGTGTGCATCGCTGCTAACATCTCACAGACAGCCGCGACCATGACCGTCAACTCTCCCGCCTCTCTAACCCTCCTCCACAGCCTCGCCTCTTACAACCCTACCTCCTCCCTCCAAAACGCAGCTTTCATGCGCGAAGTTGGGCTTAAGACGATCAGCTTCAATGGCATACCCCGCGCCCTCAACCAGCTCGTACACCTCCGGGCTACGCTCCCTACAGAAACCGCGGAGCAGCTCTCCACGACACCGACACGGTAAATCCCTCGATCCACCCGACTCAGGATAAACGGCTGACAATAGGTGACGCAGGACTCTCACACCAGAATCCCTTGAACAAGTGGAGACAAGAGCGAAGGGGCTGTGGAACTCAATATACGACCCTCACTCCAGAAAGCTGGAAGCCAAGCTCAAGGCCGCACACCCCGACCTACCCGTACACATCCTCAGCAACCACTACGGCTCGCTCCTGAGTGATTTCCCAGGCGTGCATAAACCCGCCGTGGGAAGAGTGCTAACCTCACTGGTGGCCATCGCATGTCTACGCGCGCAGACGGGTGTGGGTCCTCAGGTTGTGTCACACATATATGGTCTGCGGAAGGGCATCAATGAGGGCGGCGAGGAAGTGGGCGAGGGTGAGAAGTGGCTCGGAGGGGATGAGGGAAATTTGTGGGCATTGGGGGCTGTAGATCGCATTGTGGAGGCGATAGCAGGTAAAGAGGGATCATTTGCCAGTTGACGATGCGCGACGTTGCCTCTTCGAGATGCCAATACAGCTCGAGGATTGGGCCAACGTCATAGCAAGAATTCCGTCCTAGGGGCCAAGCCCGTGAGCAACAGCTCTGTTCGGCATTTTACTACAAGCGCGAGACGTCTTACGTCGCAGCAAAACTCAAGCCCACCTCAAGAGCAAGGCCCCGAACAATCTCTCTCATTTCTCACTCCTCGCCAACTCGCTAAATTTCCTCTCTCCCCACTCATGGCTCCAATCGCCACCTCCTGGACCGCTGCTCGCCTCAAACCCAAGCTCCCAGCACCCCTAAATCCAACTCCCTTCCAGAAACGGCTCATGCGCAACCCCTACGCCGTCGCCCTCTCCAAGCCGGTCCGCTTGTGCGCACTAACGCGCACCTGGCTCCCACGCTCGTTCCTACAGCCCTTCGAGCTAGTACCCCGTCCGGATACAGACGAGCTGTGGTATCTCCCTCGTGACCTCACCACGCGCGTGCCTCGAGAAGAGAGGGACGAGACGGAGACAAATAAGCGTTCCCGGCCGGGACGACGGAACTATGTGCTCGCTAACCAGGAGCTGCTTGAGGCGGTTAATTCGAAGCGTAGTGGGTTGACGGGGTCGTGGGCGCGGTTTTCGAATCCAGCTGTGGGTCCTGGGGCGAAGTTGAGGTGGCGAGCTGATATGGATGAGTTTGTGTGCAAGATGATGAGGAAAAAGGTTGAGGGGGAGCTTGTGGCGCTGATGAAGTGGAATCAGGGACAACTTTCGCATGCGAAAACGTGGGACGCCGTGGTGAAGAAGAAGCAGATGGGCGCTTTGCTATGGCTGGGGCCCTACAAGGAGGGGACGGATACCCCAGAGCCGCGGGTGGAGGGCGAAGCTGCTACGAACTTACCTCAGGCACCTTTGACTTCCTCGCCGATCACAGATGAGAAGGGTCCTGGTCAATTCGCGACGATTTCATACCCACCGCACTGGGAGAAGAAACTTCCGCTGCATAACCTTGTTATGCTGCTTGGCCAAGAGGGCGTCGATAGCTTGAGAGCCCAGTTCCCGAACATCATGTGCCACGAGTTTGTGGTGGTCAAGGATAAGCAAGAGACGGTTTCGGTGAGGCAGTGGCTTTGGAAGCTACAGCAGTTTTTGTCAAAGTTAGAAGACAATTAGAGGTTTGTATACAGTACTGGAGATACCCAATTGGCATATTGTGGGAGTAAGGGAAAAGGGCTACGGAGGACCTTGGTGGATGGACCTGAGAACGTAGATGTATATAGTTTGTATATTGTATTATATAAAGAAGAAATATCCTCAGCTGTTCACAATTATGTGGCCTATAGCTCAATAAACTAGTAAATCATCAATATAGAATTACCAATCCTACAATTATATAACAAGTTATCATTTGGTGTTGATTCTGTACCACATCACATGTAAATCGAGGTTGCCAAGACAATGTCGTCAGCCCGTACCTACCCTTGTCCCAATGCATCTACACCTCTCGACCTCGGACCTGGACCTTCTCAAGCAACTCACTCAATAACTTCACTGACCAGATATCCAATCGAATCCATACCTCCCAAGCAAAACCCTCCAAGCCCACGATCTCCACCATGGCCGACGCCAACGCCAACGTCAAAATCGAAGAGCTCACCTTCAAGCTCCAAGACGGCCACCCCGTCTACATGAAGAAGTGGACTCCAGCCACCACCGCCCCTCTCGCAAAACTCGTCTTCATCCACGGCTACGACGACCACATCAACCGCTACTTCGAGCTCTTCCCCACCCTCGCCGCCCGCGGCATCGCCGTCACAGCCTGGGACCAGCGCGGCTGGGGCCGCACCGTCCAACACACCTCTGACCGCGGTCTCACCGGCCCTACAACCCTCGTCATCGCTGACATCGCGCATGTCGTTAAATCCGAACTTGCGGATGCTGAGGCTGCCTCGATCCCTCTGTTTGTGATGGGCCACTCCATGGGTGGTGCCGAGGCGCTGACCTTTGCCTCTGAGTCGGCGTATAAGGACCTCGCGCCGCGCATCCGCGGATGGCTCCTTGAAAGCCCCCACGTCGAGATGGCGCCTGGTAGCCAGCCGTCGTCGCTCAAGATCATGGCAGGGCGGCTTGCGGGGAAGCTGCTGCCGAAGTTCCAGCTGAAGAACAAGCTCCCAGCTGAGGAGCTGACGCGCGATCCGGAGGTGATGAAGAGTCTCACAGAGGATCCGCTTTTGTGGTCTACGGGGACGCTGGAGGGGCTTGCGGGACTACTGGACCGGGCGGCAGATTTGTCGGCGGGGAAGAGGACGTTGAATCCTGGTGTTAAGAGCTTGTGGCTTGCTCACGGGACAATTGATGGCGGGACCAGCTACCCGGCTAGTAAGAAGTGGTTTGAGACGTCGACGAGCGATGTGCCGGACAAGGAGTACAAGACTTATGAGGGGTGGCAGCATCAGCTGCATGCGGATTTGCCGGAGACCAGACCGGTGTTTGCGAAGGATGTTGGGGATTGGATTTTGGCCAGGGTGGAGGCGCCAGAGACCACTGCAAAGCCGCAGGCTGCCGCTGAAGCTGTTGCGGAGGAGAGTACCGCCGCGGCACCTGCTGCTGTAGAGACTGCAGAGGGTAGCCCGAAGGGGGCTGCAAAGTTGTAATATACCCGTACGTTTTTGCTACCTGATGGGTTTTTGTGTGTTTAACTAGCTATGATTATGAATACGATGTTTTTCTTCCAACCAACTGATATGTCAAGTTTATTGTAGCGCAACCATATGCTATGTTAGAACCACTCAGCGAAATTTGAATCCTAGGCAGGCAATCTACTCCTCTGTATCTCACTACGCGTGGACGGAAGCCCTGATTGAACCATAAGATGTTCCGTTTCCTCGCTTTGTCCCAAAATCTAATTAAATCAATATAATGTGGTCATGACCAATTCTGAGACCATTCGGCGGCAATATACAGCTATGAATTTTGAGGGCTTTTCAAGGAAACGGCGCCGCGAATAACTACACAAGTTTTTATATATATATCAAACGATACGATTATGATAGGGGTTCCGGTCCGCAGATCGTCGATGGCAACGCAGCAGGCTGATCGCCTCGGAGCAATCAGTCATGGGATGGGCGGTGGCGGTTTACCAGGATTCGAGCGCGTCGATGAGGTTCCTGCTCAGCGGTCCATGGCAGATTCAAGCTTCACGGCGCAGTCAACGCTCAAACGCAACGCCGCCGGGTTTGGCCACCACGGCATATTCGCACCAGCTATACGCAGCAGCAAGACTAACCCATCTCGCAAGAAGCACCTACTGCGGTGGGATTTTGGCAGATGATATGGGTTTCGGTATCAACCAGCGCATCGAATCCCGCCTCACCTCGGTAACAGGACTTGACCGGTGACAGTATACCAAGCGTTAACAACAGCTCAGTGGCAACGGTAACAGTTATCTGACAGGATTCAATCCGTAGAGGCCGCTGACAGCCATGGGCAGTGGTGACTATATCAGTAACGATCAAGCTGGTGGAGCCGCTGGTCATGGGAACTACCCGTTATATACGAAAGAGGTTCCCAAGGCTATGCATTTTTCGAGTCCTCCGTAATTAGAACTGTTATTATATAATTAATTAATCCGTCATAATTTATACGAGCCTAGATTTCTATTTTGTGCTCACAAATCTCGATTTGAGTAACCTTGGTGGCTTGCCAATTTTCTCGGCTCTTTTCCGCGCCGTTCCGCTTTCAGGGACCGTTTTTTATATTGACCTCCAAGACTTGCCAATTGTACCCATTCGACGGCTTCAAGATGCCAATTACTTTCACACGATGTGGAAGTGCTCTTCATCGGGTAGTGGCAAGGAGCGCGTACTCACCATGCGCTGCTCGCTCTTATAGCAACTATGTCTTCCAAGGTCCGACCCCCCATCCCCCATGAAATTTCCATTTCTTCATCCACCACACTCCACTGACACTCCTCCAGAGAATGACATTGTCCTCGTTCAGAAAAAAACCGACGCCTCCGCCAAGCAGATCCTCTCCAAGCCCCTACGGCCGGGGAGGCGCGTGAACACCACCACCGGCCACATCGATCATGAATCCATTATCGGGCTCTCTCCGCGCGCGGTCGTCGCGGCTGGGAAGGGGGAATACAGGATATATAAGCCTACGTTGGGAGAGTATACAAATTTGACGGCACGGATTGTCACGCCTGTAGGTGTCCTGCTCAAACCATATCTTCAAATATGGCAGCTAACACGAGTAAACAGGTCTATCCCGCAGACGCGAACCTAATAGTCTCCCTCCTCGACCTCAACCCCACCGTCCCCGACCCTTCCTCCTCGTCACCCTCTCCCCCACTCGAAATCTTCGAAGCAGGCACCGGCCACGGCGCACTTACCCTCCACCTCGCCCGCGCCATCCACGCCGCCAACCCAGCCCCACCTCCCATTCCCTCCCCCCCGCGTCCCGCCCCAGCGCCAGACTCTGAGGAAGGCACCTCCTCCGACTTAGTAGACGCCGAACACCAGGCTGCGGTCGACAAATGGGAAGCCTACAAACCCACCCGCCGCGCCGTGATAACCACCCTCGACGTGAGCGCCCGCCACAGCGCACACGCCAAGACCGTCGTTGCTGGTTGGCGAAAGGGGATGTACGCGCACTCTGTCGATTTCCACGTCGGTTCCATTCCGGAATATATCGCATCGCGTCTTGCTACCTCACCGGAGCCGTTCCTCGACCACACCATCTTAGACTTACCAGATTGCCATCTGTATCTTGAGACTATCTCGCAGGCGCTGAAGGAAGACGGCACGGTGCTGGTGTTTTGTCCGAGTATCACGCAGGTTATTGCGTGTGTTAAGCAGGCGAAGAAAGAGGTCTTGCCATTGGTTCTAGAGTCGACGTTGGAGATTGGTCAAGCGGCTGGAGTGGGGGGTCGGGTGTGGGATGTTAGAGCTGTGAGGGCCAGGTCGTTTGTTAGGGCTGAGGCGGAGAAGGTGGAGGGTGCTGAAGAGGCTGTCGAGAGTGGGACGGAGGGGAGTGAGGCAGCGGCAGAGACAATTGCTGAAACCACACCGAAAGAAGCTAAGCCTCTTAAACCCGAGGGTGATGGGTGGAACATGGTCTGCCGTCCTAAAGTGGGAGACAGGGTTGTGGGAGGCGGGTTTGTGGGCGTTTTCAGACGGGTTGTCAAGTAAGATGTTATAATTGTATGTATCAGATGTGAGGATAAGTGTATTATAGTTCTGTATATTAAAGCATCCAATTGTATGATTATCGAAGCATGGGATCAAGGACTCGGTTTATTAAGCCTTGCTAATTTGTTATATGATTATTACTGGGTTTGTAATTTCGTTTCTTCCTACTTTCATCTACACATCACATTATCACACGATCGCTTCTCATTCACATTTCTCCGTTCCAGAAACTACATTTTGCACGAAGGGTTTTGTATGAGCTTCCTGTCAACGCCGCTCTCTCCTTGTTGCCGCTACTCTTCTACCCACCGCCGCTCCCTTACTGTCACTGCCGCTCTCTTCTCACCCCGTTAGCTTTCTGTCATTAATTTGCCACCACCAACATGAACACAAGGATCCAATCATCCATACGTGCCACGGCTAATCATTCTCCTCATATCATCCCGATGCACACCAGTCCTCTCGTTCTGATGTGTCCCTTGCCGTTATATTGGCTCGTGGATTTGGCTAAATGGCTCTGTAAATTTATATTTGGGTTATGGGTAGGGTTATATATAGCCCAGCGCAGCCCTGGGTGCTGAGTTTGAAATATGAGAGTAAACTTGCGGATTAGGAGACCCCTGAAGCTATTCCTCCCCTAGATTTCCCACAACCACGCACGTCACGTCATGAACTCAGCCGATGCACAATTCAGACAAACAGCAAAAAATCACCGCACCATCCATCCTTCCATCACAGATCTCAAATCAACTCTTCGCTGCCTCCTCCTTCCCCTCCCCCGTCACCCCCCCCTCAACACCAACAGTAGACAACTGACTCCCAAACACCCTCCTCACCTCCAACTTCTCCACCTCCACCCCCTCAAGACACCTAACATTAATCGCCCAAACCCCCGTCCCCAACCTCGGTCTCCGGTACCCCAAAATCCCACACACGGGACAAATATAATCCCTCGCCACCATCGTATTAAAACGATACTCGATCAGTCCATGCGTCCCGTCCTCGAGACTCGCAGCGGTGGGAGTGATGGGGTGGAAATCGGCGTCGGGGATGCGTTGGATTAGGGCGCCCCGCCGGATGCAGATGCTGCAGTCGCAGCTGACGACGTCGGGGAGGGGGGAGGTGATGCTGAAGCGGATGTGGCCGCAGTGGCAGGTGCCGGTGTGGGTTTGGGGGGAGGAGGGGGGAGGTGGGGTGGACATGTTTGGTGGTTATGATGATAGGGTTTGATGAAGGTGGTGGGGAGGGTAGATGATTTATGTTGATGGGTGGAGTTTGGTGAGTGATATATAGGAAGTGAGTCATGAAGTAAGCATCCCGGGAAATAGGTAAGCTTTGAGGCTCAACTTAAACGGGCCGAACTGCCATGGTAACAGAAGTTATATGAGCCGGCTTGTGTTATCAGGAGACCAAGGAAATATCTCGTCATGACTGATTTCTAAGCTCCAACTAATTATAATCTCGGCCGTAATGGACGGGAATGGTTCCTCCTTCAGCTGTGGCTTTTCTTGCTATCACCGCTATCCCCGTAAATCGCCGATGAACCCATGTCTAATGCTGTTGCCGCCAGCGAAGACATATCAGTTGCCAGATAACCCGGAATACTTGACAAAGAAATCATGGAGACTAAGTCTGGCACAGCTCACGTTACCGACACCGAGGGGAGTATCACCACGCCTACTGCGTGTGGCAAGCCCGCCCTGTCACCGCCGCTCTCTTCTCATCGCCACTGCTCTCTTCTCACCACAACAATCTCGTCGTCACCAGCCTCTGCCATCATAAACGTGAGATCCCCTCTAGTTCCTCCATAACTACCCTTCGCCTTTGCTGTGATACCCTGATCCCCCATAATGCATTTGCGTGCAGAATCCATATCGACGTCAGACCTGGTCAAAGGACCCAGCAGGGACAACCCTGTACGAGACTCTCCACGCTCGCGATAACTTGTGCCATTTCTTCTCAACAAGGTGTGTTTAATTAGTTTGTAAAATCGAGACAAGAAATGAGTAGAAGAATATATACTCACCTTAATCATCAACAAATGACCCGTCCGATGGGGAAGTCATGTCTACGTTTGTGAGGACTAAGTGCCCGTAACTTCATAGGGAAGGAACGAAGGCCGTACCTTCTTCTCTCTGATATTGCCTTACATTATATGACGGCATGAGCGACCCTCATTTCTCCGTCCGTACTTTCCTATGTTCACGAGACATTGTATGAGATCTACACGAAACTTCATGAGGAAGGAGCCACGGCCGTACCTTCTTCTCTTTTGATATTGCCTTACATTCCAGAGTGGCAAGAGCGACTCTCACCCTTCCGTTCGTTCCTTCCTAGATTTCACAAGACGATGTATGAGATCTACCAGCAACTTCATAGGGAAAGAGCAATGGCCATGCCTTCCTCTCTTTGCTATTACTTTACACTCTAAGACGGCAAGAGCTAATCTCTTCCATCCATCCATTCGTTCCTTCCCAGATTTAGGCTACAAAACTATGAGGAGCAAGGGGATGTTAGTATCTGGTGTGGTTATCATCGTTGCCAATCACTCACCGACGCCATTTTCAGATTATCATATTTCCCTCACTATCTATCGCTCAGCGACGGCACACCGAGATCCAGCCTTGGGGCAGGCTCGCGCCTCATTCTCATAAAGATTGAGTGAAGCCTAACGCCTTTATGCCTCATCCTTGATGGCTTCTAGAAGCCTAATATCCTCGAGTCTCGTCCCCATGAAGCTTGAGTGAAGCCTGACATTCCCAGCCTTGTCCCGACAATTCCCTCTCAAAACTAACCTTACTCAAACCTCAAAGCCTAACTCACCCTCCCCGTCTCCCACGAGCCTTTTCCAAACCCAATCCACCCAAGCCTCACCCCAGAGCCTTCTCCAATCCCACCTCAAAATAGCCTCATCACACGATCCCCCCTCCCCCCAGCCTCAACCCCAGATGACATCCCAACACCCAACCCACCCCCGCCATCTCCAACGCTGACATCTCCCGCCTAACCCACTCAAGCCTCATCCAACGATCCCATCTCAGGCCTAACCCACTCAAGCTTCATCCCAACCCCCCCCCCTTCCCAAAGCCAGCTCCAGCCTCCACTCACAAGGCTCAACTCACCCCCTCTTCCCAAAAGCCAGCTCCAGCCTCAACCACCAAGGCTCTACCACCCCCCCAACCTGATCCCACAAGGCTGCCCCATCCCAAAATCCCCCTTCCTCGTTACCCGGGCGTTGGAAAAGGGGATCTAGGAATGGCCTGCATCCTGCGGCCGCTTCGGTGTTCGCAAAAGGGGGAGGGGGTGGTCTCTTGGCTGCGGCCTGGACGTTGGGGGTCGTTGGTCGTTGGTGGGATGTAGGTACGCACGCACCACCTTACTTACCTACCTTCGAGGCACCACCGCGTTGGAGGCAGGAGCACGGAATGTCATCGTTTCAGAGAGGAGTTGGGGAGGAGGATGGAGGGGAAGCTGCACAGCTCCCGATTTGCGTTTCATGTAGTGGGGGTGCTTGCTTGAGAGGGGGAGGGGAGGGGGTGTGACCAGAGGGTTGGTCGCGAGTAAGGGTCCTGTCCTAGAGAGGGGAGAGCGGGGGGAGAGAGCGGGATGTCTGCTTTGGCTTTGGCTTTGACTTTGGCCTTGATGGATCTCTCTCCGGAGCGGGATGTTGGATACCCTGTCCACCGCGATTCAAGGGCCTGCGCCACTGACGATGTCGTGCACTCACTCACTCGCCACATGTCTTCAGCCGGGCCGGTACTGGACGCGGAAGCGCGGGGGTACTTAGTGAGCTGTGGCTTGCGCGTCGTTTTCTCCACTGTCTCTCCACAGTCAGCTGTATCTGTGCCGTCGATGTGTTCGAGATACAGCGGGCATGTGAGATACAGTGAGCGTGAGAGTGAGAATGAGAGTGCTCGTATACGCGCGTAACGTAACTGTAGACGAACGCTGTAAACGAGCATACAGTAATGTACAAGCTGACTGAGGCCATCGTAGAGGTCAGTAGTCCTCCAGTAAACCCACCTTCACTCCCCATCCAGTCCATCCAGTCCATTCAGTACGAGATACGGCGGCATCAGTAGTACGCAGCTACAGCATCTCCCCACAGGTCACGTCGTCCTCCTCTCCCCGGCCCAGATCCCTCTCCCATCGCCCATCTCGTCCTCCCCCCGCGCCGTCACTTCCCGCAATTGGCTATATCGAGAGACATAACTTACCTATCAGCGTACTCACTCGAGGGATGCTGTGCGCACATCTTTCACCCCACCACCCCGCGCTCGCACCCTCAAGCCAAAGCCATCTATCACCCACCACCACCGACTCGACTCGATTTAACCCCGCACCAAACGCACCACACGGTCTCCCTTTCACCCCTCACCTACTCCCTCCCTCTCACCCAGCGGAGTCCAGCCAAAACAAATCCACTGAGCACACCACACCACAAACAACACAAGGTAGTTGCCCTGCACTGGTTGGCCTCACCTGCACGATCGATGTGACGACCCGCCTTGTCCCCGCCTCACCACCCCCCTGATTCGTCCGCGGACAAACCCACCCGCATCGCGGCGCGTAGCGTGTGTGCCACCATGCCAACCGCTGGTAGGACGGACGCGCAGGGTCGGTGGTTCGGCGCCTGCGTCTCACTGGTTCCCTCGTTGAGGGAGGCGCAGTAGCCGGGTTCTGGGTCGGCGTTTGGGTTGGTGGGATGGCACTGGGATGGGGGGCGAGGGGGGGGGAGTGGAGCATGCGGTTGTGAGGGGCGGGAAGAGGGGAGGAAGGGAGGGAGGAGGGTGGGATGGAAGGGAAGGGAAGGGGGAGGGTTTGACGATCGGTGGTGGGAGGGGTATGGGAAAGATACCCCTCTACCCCCTCGCCTTCAACTTCCGCATGGGGGTTGCCATGATTTACTACTACTTGGTATGTATGGATGCACGTTTTGAGGCCGTTTTGAGGCCATTAATGGTGGAGAGGCACGAGAGGGCAGGAGCGACTGACTGGCTGTTCTGTACTGGACTGTAGTATACTGTATCATGCTCTACTATACACATACGATACACACTCCTTTGCTCTCATGACGACGGATAGACACCCAGGTGGATACTTGTCTCTCCCGCCATCTCCCCTCCATCGGCGCAGAGGGTCTTTCTGGTCCTTTCCTTGTCAACTCCACCACTCACCACCTATTGATCACGTTAACTCTCCACTCCTCTCCACTCTCGTGCGCTGCGGCCGGTCCTGATGATCGATCATGCTGTCCCCCATACAGCACTTTAGGACTGTATCAGCTCGACTCAAGCCATCTCCATATCTCCAGCTTGTATCTGCACGGTACAGCATCATTGAAGTGGCCATTTCTCCATATTGAGCTCCATACTTGCTTCTCTCACAGACCCCTGAACGGCTATAATCTACAGTATGTGGATTATAGAGTAGCTATAGTGGACCCTCCCCTCTCCCCTTGCCCTCGGCTTCGTCGTCGCCATCCCCATCACCACCACCAGGGAACATACACCACCATCACCACCGCTATGGCTATCACGCTCCGCGCCAGTGCACACCTGCCATCTCCTGGTTGGCTCTGGCTGCGTCCGTGGCAATCCCATCACCTCCCAAGCGCGGGGTGACGACTGCGTGATGGCTGAGCGCGATTGCCACTCTCGGCCATGTCTTGTCTGGTCTTAGTCTGGTCTTGTCGTATCTCGACGTTTGCCTTCTCCTCCCTCGCTCGCCTCGAGCTATATGTTCCTGCATCGTGACACCGGACCTGGGTGTCCCGATCTGGCTGCCTGGTGTCCTCTTTTCCCACCACCCCTCATCCCTCCCCCCCGTCCTCCGTCCCCTCCCCCTCCCCGTTCCCGCTGCGGTCTATGTCTATCGCCGTTGGCGACAGGAGACAAGGGTTCAGCCACAGCGGCACTGTCCACTCTACTCGAGAGGTATGTGATGGGCGTAAGTACGGCGGCGTGGTAGGGGAGAGTGAGCCTTGCCTGAACTCGGTGATGGTGGGGGCAGGCTTCTTTGTAGTTCGAGTATACTGTAAATAGATTCACGCTCTGTAAGAAAGCAGCAGCCTCGTGCGGTATGTAACAAGAGTGAGGCGTTGGAATGTCAGATTTTTATATGATCAGCCTTGGGATCCCTAATATCTTACTTCCTTCGTATCTTGCCCCCAATCCCATCCCATCCCATTCCTCTCATCCTGCCAAACGAAGCGCCTCCTTCCGCCCTGAATCCGCCCGTCATCAATCATCAATCCTGTGCCCCCAATCCCCTCCCTTCCATCGACCTTCTTCCTTATTCCTTATTCCCCGTACGGCTCAGCGAACAAACGAACTGCGGCAGGCTCCCGGTTCCCCCTCGTGCCTTCCCTCCTCTCCCCTCCCACCCCACACTCTACCAGGGCGCTGCGCTTCACCTTCGTCGCAGATTTGGCCGAAGACGGACCACTTCGCATATCGCATTGAAAGGCTATACACTATTCAGGGCGTATCCGGTCAGGAATCGGACAGCAGCGCGGAATTGATCTCACGAGTCAATTGGCTACTTTCGTAACTCTTCTTGGTACTATACAGGCCGCATACAGACCATAATCGACCACATCGACCACATACAGGACCAAACCGGACCGTATACAGGCCTTCTAGAGGAACATCATCCGCTTGCCTGCGATTCGCCTCGTTCGTTAGACTGGTAGTTGGGTGCCAGTGCAGACCATCTGGAGCCAGTCCGAGGCCAGTCTAAACCAGTGGGCGACTACCTCACCGCCACGTCTGGGAAGCCCAGGTCGACTTACATTCGACTACATTTACTCTAACCTTTTCCTGTCAAATACTGTCAAGGGCTATCAAATAACGCGGGGGGGCCAACTCTTGGACGACCCGCTTTCTCGTCGTCTTGGGGACTATCACGACTATCCAGAATTAAGTGCTGCGTCTTGGTTGCTGCGTCTTGCGTCTTGCGTATACTCCATCCAGTACAATAATAGCAAAGCAAGCAGACCTGTGGATACCTGACCTTGGACCGACCTGACCTGACCCCATCCACAATCCACATCTGAGACCTGAGACCTCACGAACGACCCGGCCGCATCATCAACCTCGCCATCCTCCGCTTCTCCTGGTCACTCTACTATCTACTACTCCATTCTACCCCACTGCCACTGCACAGTGCCACTCCACAAGTGCCACTCTCTCATCCATTACCTTATACCTTACCTACCACAATAACAATAACAATAACAACACCTTCACCTTCACCAGCCATACAACAACCAACACCAACTGACTGACAAGATCAACCCTCACTGTTGCTATTCAATCTCACACCCTCACACACTCACACGCCTCTTCTCTTCTCTTCTCGTCCATTCCAGCAGGAGCGCCCTGTTTCTGCTTCATCATCGTTCCCTGGTGGTCCGTTTCACCCTGCTATACCGCCCCAATTCATCCGGAGCCCGCCAAACCACCGAACCAAACGACCATCAACACATCACCTCTTAGACTCATCATCACTCATTACGACGCATTCGCATCCCCATAGTCAGCTTTATACGGTGATTCCTCATCGCCACCGCCGCCCGTTCTAGCGAAAATCTTCCGCCTTCGCCTTCGTTCCTGGTCTAATCGCTCACTAAGTCCCTAATCTCTCTTCCAATTGGCCCTTCGCCCTTCCGATAGCTTACCAAGCAACCCTTCCGTCGCTCTCCCCGACCGAATCTGTCACTTTACAAACGCCCGCCCTGGCCCGAACCGTTGAGTGACGTTCATTCAGGGACTCACTCTCTAGCATCGACTTCGCAGCCAGTCTGTTTGCCTCCCATATAAGTGCTCTCTCTTGCCACTTCATTGATCTTTGTACTCCTTCACTTCAACAACACCTCTACACCTACACACGACCATCCCTATAACCACCATCTCAACTATCTCCGTCGACATATACGATACCGCCACCCTTCGATAAGTCTCCCAACCCCTCCGGACTACACCGATCGATACCCCCACCTGCGATGAGATAGCGAAGACAGGCTGCCCGATTCCGAGCACAACTACAACAACACACATTCGATGTCTCTCCCTCTCCCCCCAGATCCCTACAAGGCCCTCGGCGTAGCCAAGGATGCCGCCATCTCAGAGGTCAAGAGCGCCTACAGGAAACTCGTGCTCAAGTGCCATCCGGATAAGGTTCAGGACCCGACCCTGAAGGCCCAGAAGCAAGATGAGTTCCAGAAGGTACAACAGGCCTACGAGCTCCTCACCGATGACAACAAACGCACCGAATACGATGAGAAGATAAAGATGTTCGCTTTCCGGGATACACTAAGGTCGCAGGTACCCAAGAGCACCCCGCAGAGCGCGAGATCGTCACCGCAAACCCATAACCCCCCTGTGTTCGATTACGAGGTCAGGACAGCAGAGCCGAGATCGTCGAGGTTTAAGACTTCAAGGGCGCCATCACCCGTGAGGGTGTATGCGAGGCCTTCATCGTACGAAGAGGTCTCTCCACCGAGGGTGCACGACATGGGATCCAGGTCCGCGAGGAAAGCGGCGAGCTACGAGGACCGGAAGACGCCCTCGAGGGAAGATGAGAGGCACCAAAGACTCGGCGAGGAGCGTGAGCGCCAGCGCCGAGAGAAGGACCTCAACAAGAAGAACCTGAGCGCGTCGAAGAAGTCCCGTGACAAGGAGCGCAGGAAGGGCGTCGAGGAGAAGACGAGCAGCCGCCGCACGCCCTTCATCGTTGACGAAGACGACTCCGACGAATACCGGTCACCGCGCTCCGAGCGTCGCTCGAGCAAAAGGTCCGACGACAAGATCCACGTCACCATGAAGGGCGGCGAGACCAACGAGTTCACTATCTCCGAGCGTACACGCAAGCTCCAACATAGCAGTGAGACTGCCGCGCAGTATATACTGAAGTCGAAGTCGAAGGGCAAGAGCCCCGAGACTGAGTTCCGTCCCCCAACCATGCGGCGCTCAGAGACTTACCACGCTCCGCCGTACGCCACGCGTTACCCAGCTCCGCCCCCACAGACCTACATCGATGCCGACTCGGACGACGAACCCCGCCGCTCCTCTGCCCGCCCTCGCTCTCGCCGACCTTCTGACGCTCTTCCCCCACGCATTCCCCCAGGAAACGAGCCCTACATCATTACCGCCGACCCCTCTTCCCGCAAACCTTCTCTCCAGTCTCACTCCTCGGCGCCTCCCCTCGTTGCCGAACCACGCCGCAAGGAACCCCAGCGCGCCCAAACAATACAATCGGACTACCCTCGCCGCTCATCTGCTTCGACCGTGCCCCCACCACCCCTCCCACGCGCCTCGACTTTCAACAACGGCGAGAAACCTCGACCACATCGCCTCCAAACCGAATACTATCCCCCCTCCTCCTCCTCCTCCGACTCGGATTCTGACGGCCACGTCCGCTACGCCAGCCCGTCGCGGGCCCCACGCACTAGCCCCCCCATCCAGACCGGCACCCAAAAGCGATACGTCATCGAAAAGTCCCGCGCAGTCCCTATCGCCCGCTCCTCGCACCGCAAGGTTCTCCGCGACGACTCCTTCGTATCGGGACGCGACCGCAGCGAAAGCCCCCGCGGCACTCCCGCCCGCGTTCCCGACCGCCCACCCGTCACCCGCTCCAGCACATCATCGGCCCGCGCTAGCTCCTCCGTCCGGACCAGCTCCCGCACCACGCCGACCACCTACTACGCATCCCCCACCGACGACGCGCCGCCGAGATCAAAGCGTGACGTCCCGAGGGGTGTGCAGCAGCAGTCCAGCCCTGGCGGCGGATCGTTCTTTGGCGAGGTCAAGTACGCGCCGGCGTTTCGCCCGGAGGATGTCACTTATGGCGATTATTATCGCCCCGGACAGACCACGGATTACTATCCGCAGTCCCGACGGGGAGAAGCTGCTGCTGCGTATGCGTAGGAGCTGGCTTCTTTCCTGGGTCTTCTTCTGCCGAGTTGGGATCTGATGATCTCGCTGGCGGGGATGGCCTGTCGAGTCCACAAAGTGAGAGACCGAGCATTTGATCTTTCGCACCATTTTTGTTTTTTATCGATCTCTTCGATTCAAACCCATGTATATCCAACAAATAACGCAGTAACGACCGAAACCTCTACTACTTTTTTTATTACTACTATTTATTGTTCCTCCATGTTTTTGTCACTTGTTGTTTTTTATCTATTCATTCGAGCATTTTCACGACGAGCAAACAGGCAGCAGCGGCGGGCGGCACAGGACAGCGCAGCACAGCACACACACACTGGGAACGGACACGGGACAGGAGGTATGGGATGGGCGGAGAGGGCCACAGCGCGGCATTTTCTCTCGCTTTTGTTTTGCATTTGACGGATGGATGGGTGAGCGGGATGGTGGGTGGGAAGGCGTTTGGATTGGATTGGACCAGATCGGTACCCTTCCGTTTGATGAACTTATTAACGGCCGTTTTTTGCGTCGTATTGATGAGTTTTTTCGACTTGTTTTTGTAGTTACCTCTTTTTTTTTTGCCGTTTACTGGTGGAGGTTGAGAGGAGGGGAGGAGATGAGAAGTAGGTAGAGGATGGAGAGGAGAGGAGAGGTGGTTGGTGGTGGAGGGTAGAGAGAGAGAGAAGTGAGTGGATTGGATTGGACTTGACCGAACTGGACTGGATGAGATCGAGATAGGACAGACAGAGAGGAGGCTGCTTCGCGGCGCACCACGAGATCCATGAACATACATATATGATAACAGTACCTGACTTCTATGCTCTTCTGCTTTGGTTGTCGTGTCTTGTGTCCATGATGTTCTCGTAATCCTCCTACCTGAGCTGATCTTTTGTTCGAGTCGAGTCTGAGGAAGGATGTCTGTTGGTGTTGGGGTGGGTGGCTCTGTATAGTAGTGTATGTAAGCGTCTGGTGGTGTACTATAACTGTATGAATACAGCATAATAATATTAACTTGTCCATTTCTCTCTCGAATTCTGTAGTAATTTTGGCTGGTGATCAAAAAAATTATGAGAACTCGTCCATGTTCGAAAATAATGAGACGATGTCTTTCTACTCCTACACCACATAAACAATATCACGCATCTATAGCCCCTCGCTCATATTATACTGAAGGTTTATGCTTAATATTTTAGAATGTGGCCTTTTTACCCAACCCCCCTTACCACCTTGACATGCCCGCCTGACGCACATCCCATCAAGCCCAATCCCTTCAAAACGCTCAATGCAACATCCAATCCTTCCTTCCTTCCTTCACACTCACTCTACCTCGGCTCCGACCAATCCACCTGCTCCACCAAACTCCCCAACGCAGGCGTAGCATACGAAATCTTTAGCCTCAATCGCAACGGCTAAAAACAATCGTTAGTATTGAACTCCTCCACATTACCAAACAGAAAGATGCAAGACTCACCCCTTTACTCCCCGTAATCCGCATACTCTGAGTCGCCTCCTGCCCCGGCCCCAACTCCTGGCTCGTAATCGCATTCAGCGCCAGCTTCTGCGTCTTCGGCACCGCAGCCTGCAGTCCAACGGCAGACTTGCTATCCGTGAACGACGCATTCGCGAAGCGCGCGGTCACTAGCACCACGCCCTCTGCGTTGCGCTGCACTTGCAGCGTCACGTTGAGGTCGTTCTTGGAGTAGCACGGCAGAACGCCGGCGGGTTGTGGCGATGGTGCGGTGGGGGCGGGAGACATGCTCGAGAACATGTCGGGGGTGTTTTGGACGATGGGTGATGTCGCGCCGGAGGGGCCGAAGAGGTTCATGATGTCGTTGACATTGCTGCCGGACTTAGCGGACGGCGCAGGCGAGGTAGTCCCGCCGAGGATATCAGCAAGGAGATCGGTGTTCTGCTGGCCGCCCATCGCGGCGCCGAGATCAGCCTGCGGCGCACCACTGTCGTCGCCCATGAGGTCGAAGAGCAGGTCCTCGCTGGCGTTCTTCTTGGCGGGCGCAGTGCGGCGGTTAGCAGCAGCCGCGCTCTTCTTGGGCTTCTTGGTTGCCTCGCCGAGAACGCGCGACTCCTCCTTAATCTGTGGCGGAGGCATCTTCTCAAGCACACCGCGACGGATGGCGTCGTGCGCGAAGAGATTACCGTACTCGACGGCACGCTGCTGGACCTCGACGTCGAGACTGCGAGAGTGGCCCGCGAGGATGCGGCGGATCCTGTCGATCTGGGCGGCATCAGTGAAGCGCGTTGAGAGTTTCATGAGGGCCGTGATGATGTATTCGTTTGCGGATTGGGTGGCGTAGCTGCTGTTGAGGATGGTTGAGAAGAGGTCGATCACCTCGCTCTCCTTGACTTCTTGGACTAGCTCGACCTCCTCGTAGTTTCCGCCCTTCAGAAGAAGATCGGCGAATTCGCCAATGCACCATGCTCCTCCTAATGTGAGGCCCTCTTGGGTGATGTCTTTCCTTAGCGCGGTGTATAGCTTCTGTACAACGTATTGCTGCAGGTCTGGGGTGGTTGCAACGAGTCGGATGAACGAGGACAGGATCTGCTCCTTGACATAGTTTCCGGCGAGCGAGAGAACACGAAGCATCGTATCCACGTGCCACCTCTTCGACGGCGAGAACCTATCCGCAGCGATTCCAATCTGACTGGTCATGATCGGCTTGAACTCGTTGTCTGCAACCTCCAAGAAAGCGAGCAGTTCCCTAATAAGAACCCTCACGTTGCTCTCGTTGATAAGCGTGAAACTCAAATCGAGAGCTCGCCTTCTAATACTAATATCGGGATCACGCAAACACTCCAAAATGGTGTTGCGATGCCTTTGGACGGCATTGGGCTCAATCGCTACGACCTTAATAAGAGTATTGAGTGCCACATAACGGATGTTGTTGTCCCTATTCGCCAAAAACTTTCCGAGGATATTGACACCAAGGACACGAAGTCCGGAGTCGGCCTCAATATCGAGAATAGTTAAAACGGCTTCATAGAGGATAGAGTTTCCAACGTTCTTTGTAGAATCGGTGTTGGTTGCGACTTGTGCCAGAATGTCGTTGATATGCTCGCTCGTCTGCACATCGCCGTGTCCCAGAACCCTCAGGAGCTGTAAAATCTTAACTTGTAGGAAGGGGTCGGTGATGCCTGTAACGTCGTGCTCAGGGGAGTATCCAGAGCTGGCCAGTCCCTTCAAAGTCCGCACCAGTTGTCCACTCAGCGGTCGGAACTTCTCAACGATTCCCTCCTCACCGCCCTCGGCCTCATCAGCCTCACAAAGGCTAGTAACCAAGGTCAAGCCGCACAGCAAGACGCCGTGGTTGCGGTCTGACAGGAGGTTGGCAGCTTTATCAACGAAATGTTCTTGTAAATCGGGTACTTTTCGGCAAATCCGCATTGCGCATAGGGCCGCTTTCCTCCGAATATATGGGTTCGCTGTTGAAATGAGGGTCTCGATCTCGGGGAATAAATCTCTCGACATCTCGACCGAGGCAATATTTCCGAGTGTGCACAGAGCCAGCCCAACGACGTATTGGTTCGAGTGGTTCAGGTCGTTCTTCAAAGAGTTTGTGACGAGCGTCAGAACCTCCTGGTTCTCATCCAAAAGCAACATCGTTCCCAGGTATCCCAATCGTTTATCCGCGAATCGAGGGGAGGCCAGCAGTTTGAGACATTCGATCTGTCCGAAATGCGTCCGTTCGCCGAGGGTAAAGAGGTATAATAATTTGGCTACATTGTTCCTTCTGTATGATAATTTGAGTCAGCTCCCATCCCTATGGAGGCTTATCAAGAGCCAACGAACCGAACATTGTGGTCTCCGCTTTCCTCCCTGAAGCTCGCGCGGATAGCTGCACTCTCCTTCTGAACCACGGCACGCTCGTCGGCGATTGTTTTCGATGCGCGAACGTTCCGGATGAACTGCTTCACTGGGTACTGGTCAGCTTCAACCTCAGGACCGAGGGGCAACTTGTTGCCTACAAGAACTCATCCTGGCTTGTTAAGACCCCGGTCTGGGGCGTAAGTCAGTTCTCCTCTAGCAGATAAGGTCCAGGTCGTCTTCGCCGTGTTGATTAAACTATCATTTGTAAATAGAAAGGCCGTAAAATGCGTATATAGTGAGGTTTCCCTGGGCGATCATAGGGAGCAACACCTTTCGCTTGTGCGGGATGGACCACAGCGAAACATTGGGGTTGCATACTAAAATCAGCAGCCAATTAGAGACACCCACCCAATTGGTGAGGCTCGGAGGTTGTGGCTCAACAATGCCGACGCGCCACATACGCCACTTGTCAGAGGATACCGATGATGTCGTTTTGCTGCCGCGGGTCCGCCGCCCCGGATACTTCGACCCCGAATTCATGCTATTCCAGAGCTTCGTAGAAGGACATATATCGCTCACCACCCCTCAACTATCGGATATCTCGGCCGTTCTGTCCTTCTTGCTTCGATAATCTACCTTCACATGCACCATTGATTCTTCCTTTCCAACACAATTATCCGTCAAGCTCGGTATAAACACGCTGCTTACTATACCGTACGTTGCGGTTGAGGGGCGGCAAAAGTATTTAATGATTTGGTCCTTCCACTGTGGCTAGAGATACGACGCGCTATTTAACAAGCACCTCTCTTTATGCAATAAAATGGCTTCCACGGCCAGAGCACATATCAATGGAAACCACGAAAGCACCGTGCGGCCTCGACTGGGAAAGCCGGCCAATCCGCGGGTCTCACGCACAAAAAGTACAGAATCCATGACAATGGACATGGGAGAAACAGGCTCAAGCTCTTCACACACAAGGTAACTTTTGCCCCAAGGAAACCATGCGCAGGTGCTCATTTGTCCACAGTGGTCGTTCCACGCCAGTTCCGTCAGATGCCCCTCCATCCGTCCAGGTCGTGTCGAGCACACGGAAACAAGTCAGAGCAGACGTCCGCCGGCGCCTCTTCCCAACCATAGAGTATGCATCCCGAGTGTCACATTTCGATCCCGACAGCGATTATCGAGATTTCCAGGGATTCTTTGTCCTGTTTTGGATCGGTCTGGCAATCATGGCCATTACCACTATGGCGAGAAACATGAAGGATACTGGCAATCCTTTCAGACACGAAATATGGCAGCTGTTCACAGTCAAGACGTGGGAATTGGCGGTTGCCGACTTCTTCATGTCCGCAACTATGTGCATATCACTGCCGCTACACCGTCTGTTCCGGAGCTTTGACATACTTCGGTGGAAGAACACTGGGATGATCATCCAGAGCCTCTTTGAAGCTGCATGGTTCTCGATATGGATCGCCGTGCCTTTCCACTTCGAGTGGACATGGACTGCGCAGGTTTTCCTGGTTCTCCACACTCTTACACTCCTAATGAAAATGCATTCCTACGCCTTCTACAACGGCCACCTCAGCGAGGCCGAACGACGCCTCAAGGAACTTGACAAGCCGTCCACAGCCTCTAAAGAGCCCGCATACCAATACCCCCCCTCGGGGCCCATCTCAGCTGAGGACAAGGGGTTTTTCCCCTATAACTCTAGCGAGAAATCGGATTTATCTTCTCTGCGTGAGGACTTGGCCCGCGAGCTCGTATCCCCTCTCGGCAACCAAGCATACCCCAAGAACCTCACATGGGGAAACTTTATTGACTTCCTCTTCTGCCCGACTCTCTGCTATGAGCTCGAATACCCACGCACATCCCGCATCCGCTGGGACCAACTCGCCTACAAGATCCTAGCAGTCTTCGGTGTCATCTTCCTGCTCACCATCACGTCCGAGGAATTCATCGTTCCCGTCCTTCAAAATTCAGGACCGCGCATCCAAGAGGCAACGTCGGCCTCCGAGACCCTCCTCGTGCTCGCTGAGACAATCAGCCAGCTCCTCTTCCCATTCATGATCACCTTCCTCCTCGTCTTCCTCGTCATCTTCGAGTACGCCCTCGGCGCCTTTGCCGAGATGACCCGCTTCGCCGACCGCCACTTCTACAGTGACTGGTGGAACAGCACGGATTGGCTTGAGTTCAGTCGCGAGTGGAATATTCCCGTGCACCACTTCTTCAGACGGCACGTATACATCGCATCGGTACCACACATTGGCAAGCCCATGGCGACCCTAATCACCTTCCTTATCTCAGCCATCGGGCACGAGATCGTGATGGCGTGTATTACGAAGAAGATCCGCGGCTACGGATTTCTGGCCCAGATGAGCCAGCTGCCTATCGTTATGATACAACGAACTAAGTGGAGCAAGGGGAGGAGAGTCTTGAATAATGCAGCATTCTGGAGCTCGATGATTTTGGGACTGAGCATGATCTGCTCACTCTATGTTCTTGTGTAGGCATCATGTATATTGCCTGTTTACTTTTGAAAATAAGATACCCGATACCCTCTTTCATATTCTGGATGGGATTATATTTTAGATTTGGCTATTCTGTATTGCATGTATTTAATCAATGATTACATATAATTCACTCAACTCTTAATTAAAACTTCAATAATTCCGTTATTCTTAAAAATATAATTAACTATACATATATTTACGTCAATTACACCTAAATACATGAAACTTACGCAATAAACTAGCTGAAATTCGTGAGCTTTAAAAATCTCTCATGGAAGGAGCGACGGGTATGTTCCTTCCAACTTATCGAGTTATAATAGCTATAAATCGCACAAGATGCATAAGATTCAACGTGGTCAGAGGGTATGTATCTAGAATGTGAGACACTCATAATTAAAGTTTGCCTAAGTCATCCCAATCAAACTGGCCTGCTGGCCCAATGGCAAGGCGCTTGACTACGAATCAAGAGATTGCAGGTTCGATCCCTGCGTAGGTCACATGATTACTATCCGATTCGGATATTTCTTTTTTGCTTTTTTCTCACTTGGCTGGCCCATTTGAGAAAGCGAGAAACAGCGACTGGTGTGTTCCCTTTGGTCGGGGAACAAACAGAAAGAATATACTTTTGGTGCTCCTCATAATTCAAGCTATCCGGCCATACCGTCTCCTTGGCCACAGCAGTGCGATTCCCACAACCCAAAATATGACGCGTAACTTAGTGGTATCAATTCCTGAACATACAATATGCCTACACAAATCCAAGCAAATCGTCACTCGTAATCTTTCCATGTTGCCCAAGCGCCAAAAACCGTCCCTGCCAATACTATAGATACCCACGATTCCAACTAATCCCGTGGTACGGGCTTAACCACCTTCCCCCCTTCAACGATGATCTGCTCATCAATCCTCTTCTCCGTCTCTCCGTACTCAAGGCGCTTGTACGTTGTAATCCGCGCCTCATTCATGTCAATATCGAATAATCGTACACGCCGATGGTATCCGCCATAGCCTCCATAGCCACCGAATCCAGAACCGCCACCGTAGCACATCCAGAGCGCTGGACGCTCTTTCTGCATGGCTAACCCGCAGTAGTCGTTTGCGTGGTCACTGTTATTTTGGATTAGCTGTGTAGTGCGGGGAAGTGCAAAGAGGTACATACTGTCCGCAGCTAACCATCAGAATCCCTTCTTCTACGAGAGCATCTCCGAATCCGGAGTTGAATTTTGGCGCCGTGACGTACTCCAAAACTCCACCTACAACCGTCATGTTCGGGGTGACATATTCTGGCAATGGGATATGGATGAAGGCGAGATCCATATGCACTTTCGTATACTCCCGATGTGCCTTCTTCAGTCCCTGGGCCGTCGATTTAAACCAATCGATCTGGTTCTGCTTCAACCAGTCGTAGCCTTCGTAATTTCGCTCGTCCGGCGTATAGGCATGCGTATCTAGTAAGTATAATGTGAGCGCCGAGTGCTTCGAAGAGCCTCGCGCAAGAACTTCAACATAATAATTTCCCACCCCAGAAATTTCCTCGGGCCCCGCCTCAGAAATGGAATAGGGTAGCGATTCGATGAGTTCCATCTGCCCGGAACGACTGAGTGTCTTCTCGTCGTCGTGGTTCCCGAAGATAGTTGCGTATGGGATCTTGCGCTTGATGAAGAGCTCGGCAAACTTGAAGATTGCGGTTTGAGCGTCGGGCGCTGTGTCACCATTAACCTGGTCGCCGCTGAGAACGACCAGGTCAGGCTTCTCATTGTCGAGGATCTTTCCAATAAACTCGAGGGTTCGAGTGTCCGCCTCACAGGGTCCCCCATTCTCCGGGAAGGCATCGCGGCATTCGCCGACGCCTGTGCTCAGATGCAAGTCTGCAACCTGCAAGATCTTGAACTTCCCGTTGTCGTTAATTCGCGGAACAGTTTTTCTAATCGGAGCTGGCTTGCCGCGTCGTATGCTTATTCGCGCCCCGTGTTTCTCGACGCCACTATCCAGTAGGAGTGCCATGTCCTTGATCTCCCAGCCTTTCCGCGGTTCCACTGCGTCAGGGCCGAAAAGGATGTCCACGCTTGTTACCGCATGATTTGAATCGCTTGCGTGTCGTCGCCCACTACGCTTTATCCAGATTCCCGCCGGCCTGGACTCCCATTGTCCACCGGCCTCGTCTTTAGCCCCATTTGCCGGCACTAGACGACTGACAGCTAGATCAACCACAATCTTATCATCCGGTAGCAAGTCTTCCTCCTTCTTCCTCTCCACGAAGACATATCCGCTGTTCACCCAGGCGGTACCCAAGTACAAGTCCTTTTCGATACGGTGCCATGTTTCGCCCGGTGATTTGCAGCTCGTGAAGAGGTTAACGGTAGAGCACGTCTTGACGGTGACATCTGTGATCACCAGCCCAGCGTGGTGGGCAGGGAGGAGGGTGTGGACCGAGGCGGGAAGGACGCGGAATCGGCTGTCCAGGAGGAAGAGGAGTATTATACCGATTACCGTTGCTGTCGAGAGCTGGATAATAGCGCGCACCTATAGAGCAAGTCAGCACAGATCGAATCTTGCCGGTCCGTAGTCGCGTACATATCGCCGGGTCATCATGATCTCTGTTAGCTGGCCTTCTGAGCTTGAAGGCGCGCGCCCTCGAAGCTTGACCTAATAGACAGCGGGCTCTCTATGGTCCGTCCCATGAGTCCATCCATTCAGAGGCTAATATAGCAACTGCCTCCAAGCAATAGGGAGTATGCGCCTCTTGTCGTCGTCGCGGGAATGATAGTTGTAGTCTCAAAGAGGATTTCGCAACTACATTGGTCGAGGCCGCCCCGGACTTGCCAAAATCCGGGGGTTGCATTTAGCGAGACGCTGAATCTGGTAACCCAAGCAGCTAAGGCCAATAGTCTCAGGAGTATAACTTCCCATGTTAACAGCGTCTATGGCTCGCCACTCTACTATTTATGTTTATAATTATAATTCAGTTGCCACCCGAATTCTATTCGAGTAAGTCGGTTTATTGGCAGCGGTTGGCTTTTGCATGGGGATCAGCGGATAAATGCTTAAAGCGTTGCCGTGTCAGATTCCTAAAGCGCGTCTTGCCAATCTCTGGCACAGGCGCAAAGAATTCAAATCTGGGTGAAAGAGGATATACCGCCTGATGTATTTTATAAATGAGAAACAATTAATAATATATAATCTGAAAATACTACCCATGGGACATATCATATTGTGCTCCCTTACATGCCGTTTCCACGTTTCCAACGTGTCCCAGCCTTTTGAGATATCAAAGTCGCTAAGGAGCACCTGCCCCTGTCAACAACCTCATCCCCTTTCAACCATCGTCAGCCGCCCTCTCTCACTGTTTTGCACCCCTCTGCTATCCACCAAACGACACTATTCAGACCTCCATTGACGTTGATTCTTGAGAGGACAGGTTGCTGTATAGGCTCTGTAACCTTCCACGACAACTGAGGTCGAATTTAGCGCCACAACAGTCTCTACCATCGAATCTTCGAACTTGGACCCTGGGTTTCAGTGGGCCCCTTGATAGAAGCTCCAGTTGTTTTGCAACCTTCAACACGATCATTCAGCCAGTTTTGAGCGCATATTCTCCTTTACCGATACGCAAGGTCTTTTAGAACCTACAATTTCGATCGCCCGAACAATTTACCTTCCCCACATCTCTTTTCGACTACAAACACAGCCACAACCTTACCTTTGCGTCAACAACGGCACGGCCACCTGCATCCTTGTGGTGAAACAAACCGAACCTAAAACCCCTTTGGAGCGTATATCTCCCGAATCTTTATAAAGAGAGAGAAAGATCACGCTCAATGGCTGCGGTATCCGCACCGCAAGCCACAGGCGCCCTGACACCTCCTACGAGCTCTGATGGGAATGCGAGCGCGTGGGATTACTCCGTACCATCTAGAAACCAGGTATGGACCTTTCACGTCTTGTTGGGCATGCGGGAAACCTTGTTATAGGCGTATCTAGGACGCGCAAAATCTCTCCAATGCTTCTGTTGATTACTCTGTTATGGAAAGCTAACCTTGCTTTAACTTTAGCAATCTACATTTCCCCGCCAGCAACACGACGAGACCTCTCACGCAGAGCGAAAGCAAATGACTTCCCACCCCAACGGCTCTACGCGCCGTAATGATGCAGCAAAGCAATCCAGATCAAATTCAGCAGCTGAGCCAGCCCACGCGCCCCCACGGTTGAACAACATCAACAAAAAAGGCAGCATGAGTGGAACAGACAGCCCGTCTGACAGTTTAGTCGACCTCTATAGCTCTGGACCAGCAAAGAGTGCAGCCAACGGCGTGGACCCTAATGAGCGGGGACGAGAAGGAATGGGTGTAGCTTCATATCACGAAGACGACCCTGGTTGGATTCACAGGGACAAACTGGCACGGATCGAGAGCCGCGAACTACAGGCAGCTGGGATCATACTCCCCCGCACGCGGGCATATAGCAGGAGGGACAGGAGTCGAGACACGTCGGCCACTGGTCTGCACAGAAACGAGCAACACCCGGCAAAGCAGCAGCGTGTCGAGAGCCCAACCGCCGAAGAGCTAGAAGATGATGACACTGCGGGATGGGATCCGCGAACGCCAGAAGAAATCGCAGCGGATGGCATCTCCAGCTATCGCGACTACGGATCTCTCTCGAAAGGCTCCTCCAAGATACCCCTCGCCCTGACGAGCCCCGCGCCAATACCCTGGGAGTACCTCGAGCGCGACGCACCTATGCAACGCAGCCGTAGCGCCGTATGGGGCGGCGAAGAGGACTCCATCGCCTACCCCCCACCCCGTGCGAAAGCTTCCTCCGAGGAACCCCTCTTCCAACCCACCCCGACCACCACCCCGTCCGCGCCAAAACGCTTCGCCTCCACCGATAGCTCCCCCAAGAAGTCCGCCAACGCGACACCTACAAGCCGCAAGATGTCTGCCAATAGCGTGACCTCCAAGCCTCCGATCACACAACAAAACCAGAAACCAAAGGGACGCTCCGGCTCCAACAGTCGCCCGACGACCCGTTCCGGCGAAATCAAGACCCCCGAGGGCGATCCGCCGTGGCTTGCATCAATGTACAAGCCTGACCCACGCCTGCCACCAGACCAGCAGCTCCTCCCCACCGTCGCGCGACGCCTGCAGCAGGAGCAGTGGGAGAAGGAGGGCAAGTTCGGGAACGTATACGACCGCGACTTTCGCCCGCTCAACGACGACGAGATCAAGATGCCCGAACCAGCAGCTATCGCACCAGAGGAGCAACCCGAGGCGAAACAGGACGAGCTGGTCCCGCAGTGGCCGCTGAGAAAGGCCAGGAGCCCCGAGCCGAGTCGCCCGGGTACGTCAAGCGGTTATTCCACCATGCCACGCATCCAGAACGCGCCCAGCAAGATACAATCCCCGATGCTGGCACAGTTCCCCGTGCACGGGTTCGAGCCGGAGGTGGTGCCCGAGAAGAAGAAGGGCTGCGGATGCTGCGTCGTGATGTGATTTCTTAATCCGCTGATACCGACGTTACTTACTGTACAAGCCGTTTTTTCTCAAGCGGCACCATATTGGGCTGGGATATCTCCTGCCCTGGACTCGCCTCATATACCTCGCATTACTTCAACAGCATGTCTGCCCAGCGACTTTTGGCAGCCCTTTTACTGCGCTTCTTTTTATATATTACACGACGACTCATGACACACACTTGATTACTGGTTTATTTTTCCTTTTCCACAACCTGTTTGTTTTGTTTCCCCTCCCCTGATTCCCGCCCGCAGGGCAAGCGGCAGTTCATTTGTTTTCCACGTGTCTATCCTCGGCTCGGCGTTCTTGTGCGTGTTTGTGCGGCGTTCTGATTGCTCTTTATTCTTGATATTACTGGGGAGCAGAGCGGAGCGCTGTTGGGCTTTTGGTGCCGTGATGGTGGTGCTTGGTGTGTTTTGTTTTCAGTTGGTGAGGAGGATTAGGAAGGAGGGAGGAGGAGGCAGGGGATATGAGAGGGGATGGAAGGGCAAGGGGGAAGATGTGGAGTAGGAGTAGGTGGTTGTATACATATACTGTGTAGCTAGATTGGGTGATTGAGGAGACGAAGGAAGGAGGAGGAAGAAATTTCAAACAATGATTGACAAAGACCTCGATTGACAGATGAGATGTGATGATTGAGATGCAGGAAGCTCTTCCTTCCTCGGCCCCGTGCTAATTTGCCACTCGACTTAGCATCCTCCGGGGTTCATCGTGCCGCGACAACGGGGATGGGCATGCTTCCGTGACAGCCCCGAGATGAAGGGGGGCATATCCCGAGCCGTGTGACGACACGCATACAATTCGGACAGTGATCGCACGAACCTCATCGACTCCCAGCACGAGCATCGTACCATATCCACTGATCTGCCCCTTAATCCACCTTCCCTCCTCCCCCCTGAACCGCTGAGAGCTGAATGACATGACAGACATCGCCGATCCTCCAACCCTCCACACCCAAACATGTGCACCCTATTCGTCCTGCCCTCCCTCATCCCCAAACACCACCGCCGTTCGACGCGCCCCACCACTCGGCAAACCTCACCTATGTCAATTAAGGTACATCCGCTGGAGCAGGTCAGCTATCTTAGCTCGATTTAGTTCAGAAAATATCTCGATCCCTAATCCCCAATCCTAGCCCCTCCAAAACCACCGCGTCCCACCCTCCTCCGTCCGTTCCCCTATCCACCCTATCCCTATCCCCATCCCGAAAACCGGGAAAATCGTAATACCAACACCTTCCTCACCGTTCATTACTCTACTACTGTACTTCTCACAAGCAGACCCGTTTGTTTCCCACCCGCTGCCCCAACTACCGCACCCATGCCGCCGCCGCCCACCAAACCCACCTCCCCCCCTAACCCCTAACTCCCCTAGCGCCGATTCCATCGGCGCACCGCCTGTTTCGTATCCCTTTCTTGCAGGAGATTTGCACCCAAAACGCCCCGCCCCCTATCCGCCACCACGGCCACGGCGAAAAGGGGGTCGCTCACCCACCGCCGTCATACCGTCATCGCAGACCAGATCGCCCCGGCTCATCCGTCGCGCGCGCCTGAAACGAACGGGGAGGGTTGGCAGCGCAGGGCTGGTACTCTACTCCCACAGCCAGCTCAGCGAGCTGCATACCTAGCTGGCTGTGGATGTCCTCCGCGGGAGCGAAAGTCAGCGCGGCGCGGGGTGGAGAGGCTGATCGACGGGTTTAATGTCCGGCGGTGTGTGCGTGATGTGATGTGTGATGTGTGATGGGTTAGATTGGATTGGGGTGCGGTGAGCGGTGTACTGCCGGTCTATCGGTCGGGCGGGCGTATACAGGGGAGGGAGAGAGTCAATGACGGACGGACGTTTTTACTTACTGGGCCGTTTGTTCATGCAGTAGCCGTCCTCTCTACTGCGCGAATCGGCCTCTGCACTGCTGCAGCAAGCAGCAAGCAGCACGTACATAACAACTGCACATATACACATGTGCATGCGGGATTTCGCGCATTACGTGGGGGGATGGATTACGAAGATAGAGGGGGATTTCCGACGCAAAATCCGGCTGCGCGGCGTGCGTGCGCTGGGTAAAATGGGTAAATGTAAATATCGAGAGAGAGAGCGAGAGAGCGAGAGAGCGACGGTTACGTGCATGCATACATGCAGGCTGTAGGTAGGCGTTCTTCGTTCTTCGTTGTCCGCGAGCGCGGGATGGATGCGCGGTTCACGATGCGCGATGTCATGATAAACAGCAACTGCACTGTAATCTACTCCATACCGAACAGCCGCACTGCACACACAGTACAGTGCTGCACAAATACAGCACGAGATCACATCACCCTCCCATCCCATCCGCCGATCGGCGCTGTCAACACCCGGAGCGCCTTTTCCTGCACTGGTGGTCCACCCAGAGGCTTGCATTACATCGTCGTCGGTCGTCGGGTCTGCATAAACGGTGAAGCGCAAAAAAAAAAAAAAAAAACTCCATCCACCTAATCTTACCCATCCACCACCACCCGCCAAAAAAAAGCCTGGTTAATTACACCAGCCCCGTCCGGTTTTTCCTCACCTTACACCTCGGTCAAACCTTGAATCTTGGGCAAACACAAACACAAAAAACAGGGACCCGCGCACAGGGCTGGCCTGGCCTGGGGGCTGGACTCGACTGGACTGGTCGGGGCAACGCAACTGGACCGAACCCCGATTAAATTCTCCGACGGCCAGACCGGGCCTTGTAGTCACGGGGACTTGCTTACCTTCGCAAAAAAAAGACTGTGTCGTCGTTCCTGGAATGGTCTGGACGGGGTCTGGATGTGTCGGTCTGGCTGGCTGGCTGGCTAGACTGGTTGGATCTGATCTGGACCTTGGCTTTGTGTTTCGGTGTACTCTGTAGTACTGTACTGTACCGTACCACGGTGCGGCGCTGTAAGGCTGGATAGATGATGACCCGGGACGTGTGTCTGGATCGTTCGCTTCCTCGCTCGCTCGCTCGGCATAACTACTGGACTTGACTTACGCGTATACCTGGGCCGGGCTGGGGCTGTACGTAACGGTGCGGCGGTGCTTTGGCAGAGCGTTGCGTGGTCTCACCTTGAGCCGCTGGCTGGTCTCACCCTATCCTACAGTATACCTCAGTCTCACCCTAACTCTATGCCACAGTCACATCCCTTCCGGAGTCTTACCATTTCCGTAAGTCTCACCAGGCCGTGTCCGAGACTGCCGGCGCGGCTGTGGTGGATGGGTTGTTAGAGATAGGTTAGCATGGAGTAGTCGTTAGCATGGCGGCACTCGCTGTGACTGTAACGGCGAGATGAGCTCAGTATGACCGATGACCGAGTTGATGTGTTTGTGCTGTGCTGTGTGCTATGGTGGGTAAGTTACGGGAATAAGATGGATGCTCGAGTAGCAGCACGAGTAGCACCGTAGAGTAGAGTATGGTAAGATCTTACACACCTAGCACCGTAGAATATAGAATCTTGCTGGTTCAAATGATTCGTACCATCGTATGAATGTCTCCGTATATACGAAGGTATCGCAAACACAGCACAGCACAGGCACGGGATGTACATTCTGTACTGCGTGTACATACACAAGTTACATCGTCAGTGACGGGAGATCTGCCAGCCAGCCAACCTGCTGCCCGGGTCGCTGGATCGATGCCCGAGGTCTGTGAGCGGTACGGAGAGGGTACTTGCTGTACACTTGCATGCTGCAGCGTATGTGCGTTCCTTGCTAGAACACCGTTATTCTTTCCTGTCTGTGGTCTCTCAATCATGCATTTTCCTGCTTTTCCTGTCGTTTGTTTGCTGGTCGCCGCCGCGATGTGACCCTGTGTTGGGATGGCGAGGGGCAGCATGCACGGGCATACCATATCGTATCGGCGCACTGGATAATTAGAGGTAGTGTGAGTATAGTAGGGGCCTAAGGGGTGGCAGGGTTAAAAAAAGAAGTTAGAAGGGCGGGCGCATGCATGGAAGGGGTGGAAGGGAGGGATGGAAGCAGGGAAGCCGACACACCCGCGCGGGATGTGTCTGCGGGATGTGTCTGTCCGTCTGTGTGTGCGTATGTGAGGGTTTGTGCCTTGGAAAATAGTAGACACATGAGACGTAATCATGATTTTTGTGTATATATATAGTATATACACAGAATATACTGGTTAGTAAATGGCAATGGCAATACATGGCAGCAAATAAATAGAACAACGTGCAGCTCGGGGGACACGGGCATTGGGCCGTATTGAGCGAAAACGAGCGAAAACGAGCGAGGATGAGTGTGTACTATACCATACTATACCATACCGCCGCGGTATCGTGGAAACCGTGGGGCCATTGACATCGATCGTGGCATCGTGCCTTGCCTCGTCGTCGGCGGTACTATCATGGTAATAATGTGCGCTCGGAGGCTGACGACGTGTTTCTGCACCTCCTCCTCGCTCAGGCTTTCTCAACCAAATTTTCTCTCTCTTTCTATTTGCGCCTTCTTGCGTCTTGTTGCGCCCTGCTTCATCTCCTGCTCCTTCCGTCCTTCCTGCCTTGGCAAAGCGTACGAGGACTCATACGTACGTACTGTATTGTATACATCACGTCGCGCAGATATTGAATCTGGCCCACCTTTGTATGGGATATTGTTTCCGTTTTTTCCCATGGCCTGTATGGTTGTGCTCTGTGCTCTGTGCTTGGTTTGTGCTTGGGGGCGTTGTTGGGTGCAGGCAGCCGGATAGAACGTCTCCGAGGGAAGGTGTACTACTGGTAAGGGCAGGGCACAAGATGAAGGAGGACGCGCGGGTCCCAAGCCATCACATCGGAGAGTCATAGGGGAACAGCTGTCAGTCAGCCTAGCGAGAGCGGACCGAGTGGTAAGTAAGAGTGGTAATGTAATGAGCTGCCAGTCAGCCAGTAGCCAGCCAGTAGCCAGCCAGCCCAAGCGAGGGACAAAATGTCAAAAGGCACGGGAAGGGAAGCGGCAGTACAGTGGATGTGATGGGATGGAGTCGCGTGGGATGTGATGGGGATGCGGATAGGGAGGGGGGGTGGTGTGTCTGTTTTTTTTTGCTGGTGCCTTGCTATTACCGGTGCTGCAGGGTGAGGATTGGTGGGAGGGCTGTTGATGCCTGGTCACGAGCGACGAAGGAGGAAGCGGCGGACAGGCGGACATGCGAACACGGACGGGAAAGAGGAGGCGAACAGACGGTGAGAGAGAGAGAGGGGACGAGTGGAGGAATAGTCGGTGAGAGAGAGAAGAGATGCTAATAATAAATAATAATAATAATAATAGTAAGATCATAAGAATAGAAATAATGGAGTCCAGCGCAGATTTTGAGTCGTACACGATTTGTTGTTGTTGTTGTTGAGGCGCAATGACACTGCACAGACAGCACGCACAGCACTGTCCAGTCAGTCCCAGCGCAGAAGCAGTCATGGAAGTCGTAGTCGTAATCGTAGTCTGAGTGCAGTGCAGTGCATTGCATACGAAGAGATCTCACATACAGTGCAAGCGCACGTATGCACGCACACAGGGCTGTGGCCCATGATTTGATCTGACACCCACGTACCCACGCACGCACCCACCGCTGCTGTATTCTTTACTCATCTCCGACATGAAACAGGTCAATCGGTCAAGCGGCATTTCCAGCTTGGATGCCAGTTGGTGCCAGGTGCCAATGGTGCCAGTGGTGCCAGTGGTGCCAGTGGTGGCACTAATGCAGTGCGTATCGACCAGTATCGTAGTGTACTCGAGTGGTATCGAGTGTATTCGTGTGTGCATCGTGTGTAATCGTGTGTATCGTGTGTATCGTCTCTACGGATCGTGTGTATCGTCTCTACGAATCGTGTGTATCGTCTCTACGAATCGTGTGTGTATCGTCTGTAATCGCCCGTACCCATACCCGTACCCGTTGAACCCACCCCTGCCCATCTCCTGCATAGCCTACATAGAGTTACGAGTACTAACCTACACCGATGTACAGTATAGTTTTCCTCTAGTCTTCCCTCCCTGCACGGCGACGTCATCTTTGCCCTCCTGCTCCTCCGCACTGCCCCTCCCCATCGTCTACCCATGCCCACCCACGTTCAAACCCGTCCATCGTCCGTCGTGACTACCCTTGAAAGTCCCTCACCCGCAGCAATCACCGCAAAATGGTACTTCGTCTACTCACTCACTCGCCTTTCTCACCTCCTAGTCTTCCCTTCCCTCCCCTCCCTCTCTCCTTCCTTCACCTTTCCCTCTCTCCCTCTCCCCTCTCTCTCTCTCCCTCACATTAAAGACAACAACCAGTTAAACACAAACACCTAACACCTAACACTAAGTTACACCTTTCCTAACCCTACCTAATGTATATGTCCCGTACCTAATAAGTATCTCCGACTCATATTACGAGTCACTCCAGCCTCATACTCCACCTCTCCCCCAACCCAATTCCACCCAAATTCACCTAGTTGTACCACTCTCCTTCCACCCTTTCCCCCTCCTCCACACCTAATTTTTTCCCTTTCGCGCTATACTCCCAGCTACAACCCAAGCTACAGCCCAACTACATCACAGGTACTCGTAACTTCTCTTAGCTCTCCTAGCCTCCCTAGCCCCCCAAGGGATCATCCGCTCTAAACCCTTTTTTTTCCCTTCCTGCAACCTTGGACAAGCGTGAAACGAAACAAACCACATGCGAAATTCCCAACCGTCACTCACCTCACCTCACCTCACCTAACCTAACCTAAATCTCAGACGAGTAGACTTACGTGCGGTGCCCGCTGCTTTTTTTTCTCCCCCCACCTATACCCATTCCCCCATTGCCCATCCCCCTAATCCCTCCCCAATCCCTCTAACCCATTCTATCTCTTCCTACCCATCCTTAGCCCCATCCCTGCCCATCCCAGCCCCATGCCTGGTTACATCTTTAAACAAAAATTGTTACCAGAGTACATAATGACCGGCCCTTTTCCCTCCCCCCCTCCCACTACAAGTTAGACCCATCGCAATACTCTATAATACTCTATATACTCCCCAGCAAGAAAAACTTTATACCTTTACGGAACGCCTTTGCAATTTTTTGGGAAGCATAGATCAGAGATCATAGACAGCTCGCGCTCATACTCACATACGCTCATACACTCTCACACGCCGCTGCCTGCACTGCAGATTCTCATACCCATACAACCACAAAGCCACAACCACAAACGAACCACGAAACTGAGAAACACGAAACACAACGCCGCGAACCTCCTATACACCCCCGACAAACACATCCAACACTCACACAATTTCACAACCCAGCAACCGCATACGATGGAGGCCCCGGCCCCCCGCGCACCCCCCCTCGACCCCTCGAAGTGCCACTCCACAGTCGAGACCATGCGCTGCTCACGCTGCGCCATGAGCGCCGAGACCGTCTCTCACAACGGCCGCGACGTCTCTGCCGACGATGCCCGCGCCGGCGGCATGGTCAAGTTCGGACATAACCTGTACTACTGCGATCGCTGCGCCAAGATCGTGGGTTATCAATGAAGAGAGCTATAGAACACCGGATTTCAAGGGACTTGGATTATATGGGTTCGAATTTTATGAGAGAAAGGATTATACTGGGGATGAGCAGTATACAGAGGGATTTGGTGGAATAGAGATGAGAGAAGCTCGAATACGAGGAAGGAGCGAGGAGCGTTGCTCCTGCCATTTTGGCGTGCAAAAAAACAGCAGAGGAAGGTAGGACCATTGCTCCTTCCCTGTGGAGCTGTACAGAGCAGCGGGAAGGTTAGAGCATCGCTCCTGCCACACAAAAGAGCACAGCAGATATACCCGAAGCCCACAACGGCAGGAACGTTGGAGCATCACACCTGCCACCTCGATATTCAAAACGGCAGGAACGTCACATATCGCACCTGCCTCTCAAAATGCAAAAACGTCAGGAACGTCAGGGACAGCTCTATTAGACACTCACTCAGCGCATGAGAAACAAGTACTCGACAAACCACAGCAACAGAATCTCTTCAAGTGCCAAAAAAGCATTTCACTCATTCTAGCACACTCGTTACCACAACCACCACCACAACCTACCATCCAAAAACCACCACACCACACCCACCCAACCCCCCCCATGCCCAAACTCCAACCCCCCTACCGCCCCGACTTCGACGCCGAAACCTCCCTCCCCGCCGAGCTCATCGCCGCCTCCTACCTCGCCTTCCTCACCACAATCCTCTCCCTCATCCTCCTCGGCTGCCTCCTCATCTTCCTCCTCCGCCTCTCCGTCCTCTTCGACCGCCGCCTCGCGCGCGACGGCTTCGTCGGCGGCGTGCCCCGCGAAGAGAAGATCCTCCGACGCTGCAAGGAGAGGGGGCGTCGCGTGTGTCGCGAGAGGGGGATGTGGGACGTTGGAGTGCGTGGGGGTCCGCCAGTGAGGGACTACGAGGTTGAAAGTGCGGAGGAGAAGAGGAAGGGGAAGAAATTGCGGTTTTTGCCAGTGCCGGAGGTAATACCCGCTTCACCTACGGGGGAAAATGTCCTAGTGATGGGGGAGAAGAAGAAGAAAGGGAAGGGCAAGGGGAAGGAGAGACAGCGCGCGAGGAGTCATAGCAGTCATATCAGCACCGGCCACCGCACGAGCGAGGAGTGGGGGACATTCAGTTTCGCTAGTGTCGCTGGAGTGACGGCGGGGAGACGCGCATCGTCGATGACTTGGGAGAGTGGAGACTGGGCATGGCCGCCACAGAGAAGGGCGAGCGCAGACTGGGTGACGGGTGAAGAGGAACCGATGAGGTTTTTCGGCGCGGGCTCGTGGATCGGGAGAGTGAAGAACAGGGGTGAGATGAGGGGTGGGAGTGTGAGTGCGATTGAAGGAAGGGTGTTGGGAGAGAGAGATGGAGCGGGAGCTGTATGAGTGAGCGAGACATGGCAATTATAGATGGGATGGTGCTGGTACACCAAAGTAATTCTTAGCACTGAGGAGCGAGTAGTTTTTATCACAATAGAATTAGAATGAGAAACCTCAAATACAGTCTGGTACTTCCTGCGAGAATGCCTTGAATGCGCGACGTGGACCTTCTCTCAGAGAACAGACGCAGCAGTGACCGCTCTCAGAGAACAGCCGAAACAGCAGCAGCGTTGTCGCCACCATCCTTTCCCTGCTCCCGAGCCAGCGCCTCCCGAGCCCTCACCTCGATAGCCTCATTAATCTCCCGAACAAGGTCGTCCTTCGTCCCAGGGAGCTCCGCAAAAGCAAAACTCTTAACCAACGCCGGCACCCACCCCTTCTCCGCCCCATCCACATCCTTAAACCGCTGACTAGACCCCTCACGCTCCTTCTCAACCCCACTGTACACCTCTAACACCTCCGCATCAAGATCAACCACATACGCCCACTCGCAAAACAGCCCATCATGAATAAACCCCAACTCCTGATAAATCGGCACCGTCGCCCCCGCCGTAGCACCCGCCACAACCTCCAACACCCCCGCGCTCGTCTCGCGCCACATAGACGGACAGGTAGGTTTCATCCGGCTCATCACGCTGACCTCCCCGCGCACCAAGGCGGCGTGGTACTCCTCCCCCTGTCGAGCAATCGATCGGGTCATCTCCTCCACTTCTTCGGCGGTGGGGGTGTAGGTGTGTGTTAGCCCGGCTTTGAGGCGCGCGATGTTGCTAGGAGCGAGGAGGAAGGTGATGACGGCTAGGCCTTGCACTTCGGGGTAGCCGTCGAATTGGCCGTATTGGGCGATTACGAAGCGGCCAAGGTAGAAGACGCAGATGAGGTGGCGGGTGCCCATTTTGTCGGGAGGTGTGGTGTGTTGGTTGTAGGGTGTGTGGGGTATGGTGATTGTGAAAGTGTGGTAGATAGACCTTCTTTTGTGAGTATGGATTTGGTTGCGAGATGGAGTGAACAGGTATGGATGCGGTTGTGAGGTTGATGGACAGGAATGGGATGTTCTCGTCTTTTATGGTGCTGGGTCGGCTTACCTAAAGGGTCTGGGGCTTGACTGTAGATTCTATTTGTTGGAGAGGTGGAAGAAGAAGGAAGAGAAAACGCTCTCTGTTTGCGATTTATACCAATCCTTTGCTACCGAGCAAACGGATGAAATCAAATTAAGCTTTCCGGTTGTCAGTTGATTGGTGTCAATCTCATGTTGAGATACAAACGGAGAAGGAATGTACTATACAGCATTATATTTTTCAACTGCTACATGCCTACCGACATCCAAACCTTGCGGAAGTAACCATTAAATAAACGCATGTTTCCTATAGATACGAGCAACTTCAGTATTGCATAGTGGATAGTAGATAGCTTCAAGTGAAAACTACATATATGGATCTCCGTAATTCTGTCCTTGCTTAGGTTCGTTCAAAGGTGAATGGAGTATGGATTTGATTCAAACATAATCAAAACCAAGAGGCTTCGTCAATTCACCTCCTCATATCCTCCCCCAATAACTGTTTTATGCACTCTATAGTTTTATGAGACAAGGATTGTGTTTGTTTTCGACGGCCCTTCCCTTGAAGTGGGGCACGTCATATTTTAGCTTCCGGCTGGCATAAGACGCTAGTCTCCAGGATCAGGATGGGTCCACGCGGCATGGAGGTCCTGCTTGGTGTTTGCTGTTGAGATTGAAAATCCTCTAATCGGATACAATGAGCCTCCTGGGACGCATCGTTACAGGGCTGATATGTCGTGAATCTTGCACTGTAAGGCATTGTAGTCCCTGGCTCACGCAGGCTTGTTTGCACCACGGATTGGAACAAGCTCCAACAAGGTGCCGTGAGATAGAGTAGCTACCCCGCAACACAGCCAAGAAGATCGCGCATGCAATCACAGATCGCACACACGCTAATAAAACCAAACATCTCCAGTAAAAGAAAGTGCATCGTTTGAACCCGGCAATCTCAGGGCCGGCCGGCAAGGTTCCGGCATCAGAGACCGCACGCGCGACAAGCTTGTCTTTCGTGTCCGAGAAAAGCGCGATGTCCTCTGCGTCTCCGCCTCCACCTGCATCTAGGTCCGACCCCACCCCCAAGTTGCGCAGCTGCGTGGTCTGTTGAAGCCGAAAAGTGCGCTGTGACAAGCTGGCGCCATGCACCAATTGCCGTCGTGTGTGTCGCTCCATCCGCTTTCCGACCTCCGCGATATGCGTGACAGCCATGCGCACAGCCTTACGCCAGCGAATGAAGCCCTGCTGTTCTCCATCTACTATGCGGCAGTAACTTCGATGGAGGAAGACGATGTGAGTTTCGCCCTGTTTGAGTTTCGTTCGGAAACCATTACTTACGGCTCCTAGATCATAACTAACTTTGGTTATACGAAATCAGAACTGAGTCTTAAGTTCCGTCTCGGCCTAGAGCATGCTCTGGCCAAGGCCGACTTTCTGATCGTCTCTGACATAGTCCTCCTACAGGCCTTTGTTATATTCCTTCTTCTCGTTCGCCGCCACGATAGTCCGAGGTTTGTCGTCGGACTATATCTTCGTTAAATCAGGCCACACATGGGCTGTTATTCATGAAAAGTTTCATCCAGACCTTGGTCCCGGGTCCCCACGATCCGTGGCCATGTGTGGCGACTAAGCACTCGTACCTCTCAAACGGAGTCATCGGACCTTGAATATTGTCTGATTTGAGAACCTTTATGGGTGTAGATGGCAAGGTACGGGTTGTTAGGCCGCCTTGTGGCATACTTTCTGTGGTACTCATATCTTACCAATTTATTTTGGTTGGTTTAGACATGACGGCGACGACAGGGGCGTGCCGCTAACTAATTTAGAGTCCACGCTATGGAGATTTAACCTTTTCTGCCAACCAAACTGACGGGAACCACACACCCCACCGGGTGATTATGGGCGTGATTCATTATTTCCTAGCTTAGATATTTTATTGTAAGTGCAGTCTCTCATATTCTTGTCTCTTTTATCCCATTTTGCTGGCTCTTTGGCGACTATTGCTGTATTTGATGCCTTGTGCTCCATTTTCATCAACAAAGACCGCATAATGCGCTATCCACCTGCCCTCTGGGTAACTAATCTATTAGGTATTCAGCTTGCAGTTGCACTCCCTACCAGTGGAAATGGCATCGTTTCAAATTCGACAGCGACAAACTCGTCGACGATGGCCTCCAACTCCACGCATTCCTCGATGCATACCTCGAACTTGAAAACAACCTCGACTCGCAATAAGCTGACATATACACTGACAAGCAAGACTATATCAGAGTTACCGACCAGCAGCAAAGAGACATCGACGTCTACGACGGCATATCTCCCGACTCCGACTACACCAACAACGCCCCGGTTTAATACGACTACTATACCTCAGAACTCATCTCTCACTCGGGTGATCACAGAGATATTAAATGGCACGCATAAAGAGGAATTTGGAGGCACTGGATATGCCAAAGCAAACAATCTTACAAGCGTGAGCCTTGCAAGCTTGAATACAAGCAATACTCTTGCTGCCGCGGATGCTTTTGCATCCGACATGTTCCGTTTCGCTGACCGTCAGAATATATCCGAGGCACGCTGGACGTCTATGATCTGCAGTCCTTCTGCTTTCGAAGATGCCAGCAAGAAGTTGGCTCCCATAGATCTCGCCGCGCTAGAACAGACATGCGCGATCGTCGCCTCGAATGGGGCTAACAACACGTTCAACTACTTCTCCAACTCCACTGGGATTCGTCCTTACAACATCAGTAGATTTTCACCCGAATCCTCGTTGCGACGCCTATCCAAAGCAGCGCCATTTGCGCTCCCCCAGTTTGGCCGTGGTTGCATGGACGACTTCGGCTACTTTGAGATGACGGCTGCCAACCTGGAGGAGTCTGGCGTGTGGGAATGGTACCAAGCATGGACGCAGGAGGCAAGCTCAGGGCCGCTGGGGCCGCGATTTGCGGCATATGGCGAGGTGAGACTTTTTGGCCATGTGTTCTTGGGAGATGATGATTATGATTGTGGCTTGGAGATGGGTGGCTGCACGAGGAGGCCAAGCTGTAGCACCATCATGATGCAGTACCAAGGCGATAAAGAGTTGGCACGGAAGGTGTATTTTGTGATGAAATTGCACAACACGGTTAACCTGGTGCTGAAGACCTACTATGTAAGTCAACTATCATATATTCTCTCCCTTGGTTACTGACTATGTAGGACACTCTTTTGGCATCGCACGTAAATGTTGGAGGCTACATCGACCCTATCATCACGACATGCACACAGAGGGTCTCAGGAGAAGCAACCAAGACATGCACCTTCATCCGCACCAGCGTCAAAAATGTAAACGACTTCGTCACTGAAATAGGAATCGCCGCCATGATGAGCAGTATGGTTCTCGCCTCGCCAACCGCAACGCAGCTCGTTCCTGGCAAGATTCTCGACATGCCCGCCCCAGTATTCATCTTCAGCAAGGCCCTGCGCATCTGGCGCATGTGGAACGCGAAGGCACTTGCTGGCCCATCGCCCGAACGCCTCTGCGAGGGCCTTGGTATGATTAAAACAGATGACCCGACGCAGATCACTGTGTTGAGGAACGCCCTACTCGCAGCGAGCCAGGCCTTCCGCAAGTCTTTGAGCGCGAGCACGAAGCAGCTCAATCGCGGAACGTTTTTTGATAGTGGCCCTTCGGTATTATCATCTATGATAGCCTCCCCCATCTGGGCCAACGAGACTGGAGTCGTCCAAATACTCACGGACCCTTATCAAATGGAAGAGTTAGTCCCACTCTCCTTTAATCCCAACCACCGACTGACCAATTATAGCCTCATGACAACAGCCATGAAAGAAGGCCTGATGGCCGCTTCCTACCGCGCCGCCAAATGCTTCATGAAATGTAACTCCCATCCCCAAGCTAAGATGTTCTGCGACGGCTTCAACGACTGGGAATTCAGTGCTGCTGCACGCGAAAAATATGGCGACCCTGGTGATGGCCATGACCCACAATCCCCCAAATCCGATCTTGAGCGTCAGATGCGGATCTGTCCGCGCCCGGACAAAGTATGCCAAATTGAGTGCTGGTCACAGGAAAAGCGTGGCTTCAGCATGCCCATGCACGGCTTCGATACCGTACAGGGTGCTCCGCTCAATTTCGGTGTCAAGGATGCGATGGCGCGCCTATATGAGTATTACAAGACTCGCGGCAATGCGGATCCGTATCTTGACTGGGGTGGTGATGCATTGGGGGATATCGAAGGCGGCGCTCCGCGGTTCTGGCTCCCTGTTTGTGATTCTGACGCGGGATACGTGCATATCGCCGATTGGGGCCACCAGGGAAGCCACCTGTCGGACAATGTTGATCGCCGTGCCTTCCCGCTGTCATGTGGAAACTATCGCTCTGATGAAACGGAAGAGTTCATTCGCGCTGTGGGGATGGATAATTTAGCAACCAAGCCTCCTTTCCCGCTTGATCCATTTTATAAGGTCTACGCACCGAAGGTAAGAATCTTCCCACTGAACCCAGAATGAAAGCATGCGCTAACTGCAAGCAGACACTAAGCGCCATCATCCAGGCACCTCTGGACTCCTTCCTTGCCTTCTGTGCTCTAGGCATTGCGTATCCCCAGGATGCCCCACACGCAGCAGCTATAACACCCTTCCGCTTCCAGCGCGAGCACTCGCGCTTTTGCGAGCCTATAATTGCTGAGACGCAGGGAATGGAATGGTACGTTGCAAACATGCATTTCTGTGAACACAGTGAGGCTGCGCAGGAGCTTTTCAAGGCGCAGCTTTCGATGCCAGCGAAGCATGTGTCGGGTATGGGGGTTGTCGTGAACCATAAGGAGTTGTGTGCTAGGTGGGAGAGCAATGAGAATGAGAAATCAGTGCATATAGAGACTGAGAGTGGGGGTTATGCAATTGGAGTTGATATTGAAAGAGGGAAGGGAGGGCGAGAGTATTCTGTGGGGATTGGCACAAAGGAAGTGAATGAGAAGGAGAAAGAGAAGGAGGAAGAAGAGAAGGAGAGGAGTGTGGATAAAGGGAAGGGGAAGTGGAAGGAGAAGTTGAAGTCAAAGGGAGACGTGGGAAAAGAGAAGGGAAAGTGGAAGTGGAAGTGGAAGGGAGGCGAGGGGGAGAAAGAGAAGGAGAAAGGAAAGTGGAAGGTAAATGGAAAACCAGGGTAGGGATAGAGATGGATGACGGGGATTGAAGTTTTTAAGCCGAATCTAAGATTGAGGTGTGATTTACGATTTTCTAGGAGTTGCTTGCCTATGGGTTATAGTTTGGTTTAGTTAGCACATACCCCCATACAAATTGAATTTGGGACTACAATTCACGTTTACTTTATCAAATTTACAATGCAACACAACTGAGCCAGGACAGAAAGTAAGAAGCGAAAACTAATATTCTCTATGTGGCTAACAACCCATGCCAAATCACGACCCGTCCCGAGGGTTAGACCAATTCGAAGGGATGGTGAGCGACGTCTCCACTGGGCTTCTGGGACCGCTGACACTCCCACTTGTCCCACTGGCACTGCTCCCATCGTCGCTGATCTTCCTCCCACGCCTAGGCATTGGCAGTACCGGCCCCGGATCTTCATTCGAGCTCTGCGTAAACCCGCTGACGCCACTCAGCATGCTGCTGCTGCGCCCGCGATGCGGCCGCGGTGGTGTATACGCCATGCTCGGAACGGAGTAGTCGGCGACATTGACATTCGGTGCATTCCAGGGGTAATTGGATGCTGCGACGTTATCGGGAAACTCGAACGGGTTCATCGTCGTCGGCGAGGGCTGCTGGACCTGAGACGCCAGGTATGCGGCCTGCTGGATCTCGGCATTCTGGAGAGCATGGATGCTAGCCCATAGTGTCGCTAAGGACTGCTGCATATCGAAGATCTGCGGCTCGAGCTGATCCAGACGCTCGAGGTACATCATCTCGGTGCGGGCGCGCTCGGCCTCTTTTGCACCGCGTTCGGTTGCTTTGCGTTGAGCTTCGTCGAGACCCCGTGCGTTGGCATCGGTGATACGCTCAAACTCTCCGTTGAGCTTGCTGATCCGGCTTTGCATCCTCTCGCGCTTCTGAAGGAAAGCCGTCACCTCTGCGGTTAATGCGTGTAGCTCATGCTCCGAGGAGACCTTGGCCTCGTGAAACTTGCTGCGAGAGGCTTTGTGGATGTCTTTCTCTGATTGCCATGAGACCTTGGAACACTTCCACCCCCTGAAGTCGTCGTCGGGAACATCTTCGAGGCTCCTCAGTTGGTCAGTCAACGAAGCAACTGCATCCTCAGCCTGGCGCGCATGAAGATGGCTCTGTTGCACCTTCTGGCGTAACCGGTCATCATTGCCGCCAGACGACGCAATGTTACTGCCCAGCTTATCGATCTCCTTTCGGGTTGAGTGCATCTTGCTTTTCTGCTCCTTGCGTTCACGCTTCTGACGAAGGCGTTCTTCATTAAGCTTGGCCTCTGCAGAGAGGATGGACGTTTTGAGTGTTGTGGTGGGAGAGTCGGGTCGTGCTGACCGTGGTGCGGTGGTTGACAGCGCAGGAAGAGGTGTCGCATCTGTGGCCGGAGCCGGCATTGTTCGAACATTGGTCGAGAAGATAATGGCATCGTCAAGGGTGCCGACAAATTCGCATTCGTAGTTTGAATTAGGAGCCAGCCCAAATATCTCGCCGCTCCATTGATCACTATTTGTGTCGAGGGGGTTAATTCGAGTCGGTTGCCATACCGTCTTATTCACACGGACGAAAAATGGCTTCGACCGATCAACCCCGAAGCTGTCTATGGTGTCTTCTGGCGAAGATGGGTCGGTTTCGGCCCGAGAAGGGAAATAGCTAGTGTTGAAGCAGACCTCATCGGAACCAATGTGCGTGATCCAGATACGGTCAGCTTCACTGTCGAACGGTGCGTTCCCAAGGTTGTTGATATCAGTGGCATTCGCCCCAGCAGACTCTGCTGCCGTGCGAGAGGTCTCGTACTCTTTGGCCATGACGACCTTGGTGCTAGCAAGAGCTGCCCAAAGTGGCTGCTGTATGCGGACCTGAGCGCCAACCTTGCGTTTCTTTTTCGGATTCAGTGACTTGTCTGCGGTGTTCGCCGAACCATTCGTTTCGGCAGAGGTGGTAGCTGTTGACGCCGTGCTCACTTGGTTCGTAGGTTCCCCTTGTGATATGGCGCCGTTAGCAGCCTCCGGGTCCCCAGCTGCGGATGCAATGAGGTCCCGTCTTTCCCGTCGCATATACCAATCCCGGATATATCGAACAATTCCTTGAGTTAATATGTGGACTGCTAAGATCGTTCGGACCCAGATGAAGGCACCTTTATTATTTGCCGAAGAATTCTCGAGGGGATCATCGACATCGGGCGAATAGTTGAAGAGGAAGCTAAGTCGTGACTGCTTGAGAGAGCCATTGCGAGCAAAATGCGATGCTCCAATGATTCCGAGACAGACGAGGACGTTGTTGAAACCCGCATCTTTACTTGTCGTGCCTCCGCCCAGTGTCAGCGCAATAACGGTCTGCGCCACATCCAAGGACAGGTCCTGTAGAGGGCTCCACAGGAATAGCCAAACGAGCAAGACAAGTAGATCTACAGCCACGAGTGTGGCCACGGATGGGGTTCCCAACGACCCCTCAAATATGTCGGTAAAGGTGAAGCTTGAATGTGCGCCTGTGGACGGAGGCACAAAGGTGAGCGTGGCGAAGAGGAGGTGGATGAGAGTGAGGAATGCGGGTGGAACTTGGAGGAGTACGATGAGGATGGCGATTGTGTCGTAGAGCGGGCATGAGCGTAGGACTGTGAACAAGAAGGTCACAGGGCCAGCGTCTCGGTGCACAGCGGGGTTCTTGGCCGCGTTCACGTCAATTCTGCGATGGGTTTCTTGCGGAATTGACATTGTCGCGGCATTCTGGTACGACTCGGAGGAGGAGGATTCGGAGTAGCCACTTAGTGAAGCGCGTCGGACGACAGAGGCGGCGAGCTTGGAGTCCGAAGCACCATTGGGAGGCCGAGTGTGTCCCGGCCGTGTCTGTTCATGCAGAGGAGGGGTTCCGGGGAGCGACGATACTGGCGGTGGTTGTGAAGTTGGCTGCGTCGCGCCATTGATGTGCCCATTGCTCCTCTGCTTCTGTATCCTCTTCCCTGGCCCTACCAGGCCATTCTCGTGCCTCGAGTTGTGCTGGTTCGTCGCTGGCCCTTGTGGTCGTTTGTTGGCAGCAGAGCGTCCCATACGTCCTCTGCTGACCCAGACGTTTCCTGAGCCAGCTCAAAGCTGCAGGGCGCACTCAGTCTGGTGGCGGTCCCAGACCCAATGTCGTAAGGTAGCCAAGATGAAGGGGTTTGGTTGGAACGACCGGCAGTTGTTTTCGGATGAATGCGGCGGATGGAGCGTAGAGTTGGATGGAGTTGTGAGGTTCGCGAGGAGCGAACGTGGTTGATCTGGCGGGTAAGGACGTGTGGTCCCTAGCTGAAGATTCGGGGGAGGTTTGTTTGAAAGTCTGGTAAGATTCAGCAATCGGTGGTTTGAGTAGCGCACACCGAAGCGGGAGCCGTTTTAATGCTGAGTCAGCATGGGAAAAGTAGCGTATCGGAGTGGTGGGCGACGCTATTCTGGGTGTGTCTGGGTTATTTCGGCGCCAAGCGAAGGCTTTTTTAATGTTATGGGCCTTCCGAGCGTTCTGGCGAGAAAATCTTAAATCTTTTTACGGGTGGGAGTAGTACGCCGGCAGACAGGACGGGAGGAAACAACCAGCGACTGCCGGGTATGACAGCGCAACCCTTGGAGTAGAAGAGGATTTGGAGATGTTCTTCAGGGACTGGCGATCGAGAGGAGAGGTTCCTTGCTTCTGATGCCGATATCTTTCCACGGTAGTTTGTCCGCAGTAGTACTGTCCGTAGTACTGCCCGCACGGAGTACAGTACTACTTTCCAAGTATTTCTTTTGCGCCGGTGCAGTGCCAGTGCCGTCTGTACCTCCGTGCTTAAAGCAGAATAAGGGGAACCCCCCGGGCGGAGAACCATCCAGTGCCAAACAGCGCTGTGCACACCATCTCAGTCATCAACGGCGCCCGCATATTCTAGCTCAGGGTCCTCTCCGGGAATTGGCTGCATCCGACCTTCCAAGTACCGAAAGGCGTTCTCCAGGATGTTGGTGGTGATGGTTGCACGTAGAGATAAGTACAGAAGAGTGCTCTGGATGGCCATGCGCATGTGCCGGCTGTCTTCCAAATGGCCATACAGATACTCCATGTATTGAATATCATATGCACTGTAACGTTGTTACTGTGCGGTGCCGAATCTATTCCGTGCTGGTACTTTGGTCGGATAGAGTAGCCTGTCGGTCTGTGCACACGACTGGCTGGAGCATCAACGCCGCGAAGACCATCGTCGATGCCGTACATGCGCGAGTTTTCCCCCTCACCATCCTGCATGTTCGCCGTCATCGACTTGCTCGCCATATCTCTTCCACACCTCACAAAGTCGAAGGCGTATCTATGGCTACCATACTTCGTGGTATGGTTTCCACAAGTGGAAACTCATCGCGCCGGCAATGCTCGGCATTTGTGCCGTATAGGGCATAATGAGTTTCGACGTTCTGCCTGTGATTCGCTCCCTGACCTATGAAGCTCCTGTTTGAGCGATCAGGCGGTGAAGATTACCGTGGCCAGTCCTATAATGCTGAATATCCATCGAATCTCATAGGCTGTTTCGGGCATGTGATGTCGATCGCTGTGCTTGTTTTTGAGATGCCCACAAGCCTAACTATGTGTGACCAAACACTCTCATTGGGTAGGTCACCAACGACCTTCCAGCTTCCTCCATCAGTTGTCTCCAACGTTTCAAACCCCAGTCGGAGGAAGGCCGGAGCACGACCATACTTTGATGACTGTTGTCCGGGAGGACGGCACCCAAGGCCGAGGCTGTTCATTGGTAGGTAGGTATGCATAGCAGAGAGAGCAAGGTAGGCAAAATGTATGTGCATGTCATAATATCTAATAGCCTTACGTTCTTCCACCCAAGTCCTCCTTTGCATCGGCTCTGTCCCAGGAGTCCTTCTCCATCTGCCTCACGTCTTCTAATATCTGAAGCACTCGCCTTGTGTTCTTCTCACGCGCCTCTTCCTGCTCCCGGTAGATCTTCTCAAATCCGTCCAACATGAACGGCCGGAGAGCGATCTTCTTACCCACGCGGTAATCGTACACCACGATATCCTCTAGACATCTTGCCGCCGGCCTCTGTTCTCTTTCCGACAATATCATGGCGTCCAGGACAAACGACGACTCACCCTCCTTTGGAATCTTACGAAGTTTGTGAAAGACGGACACCTTATCAGGCCATGCCATGGGCTATCATCTGTATTAGCGACTGGAAAAGAACCTGTTCGATAAGAGGTGGGGTGGCACGTACGAATTTGTAGTCTGTCTTGATACTTTTCAGAATCATCCCATCTCCTAGCGGCGTGCACATCTCCATCCATTCCCGCTTATGCTCCGGATCTAAGTGCATAGCAATATTGCAGGCCCAGTTTACCCTCGCAGTCTCTGCGTATCGTATATATATGACGTTATTCACATGGCCCTGTAGTGGAATCACGTTAGTACCAATTCTTCACCGTAGATGGGCAGACTGACCATGCTATCCAACTCACCCCAGGAAACCCTGTGTCCGAGCAGGCCAGCTCTCTTCTCGTCGGTCAAGAACCCTTCGCTTCCTGCGAGGAGCTCCTTCCATTCCTGTCCCAGTATTTTGCATATCTTAGCCGCTTGCTGCACCTGCTCTGCATTCATACCAAATGTCAGGCATTTGCCGATTCGTAGCTTTGTATCGGAGAGCCATTTTGGAGATAGCGCAGGCAGCGCAGGGCCCTTCAAATGCGCTGCCGCATCGCTGCTGGAAGGCCGACTCGAAGCTCTAGCGGTGGAAGGTATTGAGCGTGCAACCCGGGATTGGGAGAGGCATTGAAGCGTTCGTGCTCGTCCGGTGAGGACGCTGGCTGCTATCATGGCGGTGCTTCAGACAGGCGTCATCTAAACATAAGCAAAACCTATGGAGAATATGCAATAACTGCTGTATATTATATCGATTTGGCCGCCTGAGATGCCGAGATAGTCGCCGTGGGTACCCGTCACCATCGCTCCAACCCCGCGTAAAGAGACACCCGCACGGACCAAGGTACGAGGCCATGACGTGCCGCTACGGCTTACCGGAGCTACTCGATCCACTATACCCGACAACTTCTGAAGCTCTTCATGGTGCAATACCTCACAATCGAGCCACTGACTTGTCTGACAACCTCTAAATATCTAGAGAAGATACCTCACTTGCTCCGGTTAAGCTGGTTGATATGACCGCCGTGAAAGATGGACTGAGGAGGGAGGTGATTGCGGTGTATAAGGGTATGATGCTGTGGTTTTCTACGTGGCATATGTGAGCTATGCTAAATTGCCATACAGAGCTTTTAAACCTAGGAAAGGACTATCCCCTTGGCTACAGCTACTTTAGGCCCAAGCTGCACAAGGCATTCTCTAGTCAGGCTGGGTTGACGGACGAGGCAGAGATTCGAAAGGCACTTGACAGGGCATATTTTGTGCAAAAAGGTACGATCCGATTTAATGTTTGCTTTTCAAGAACAAAACTAATCTGCGCCGCAGAGATCGAAGCATTGTTCGTCCATACACCACCCTATACCTGGGTAAAAAACATCGCTAAATATATATGCAGATACTATCTGAAGAAGTACAGATCACTGCGTCAAAGCTATTATAAGCCGTGAAAGGGCCATGGTGGGGTGGCACTGGCACTAAAATATGGGTTATCAATTGCTCATCCTCAAAACATGAAACGCCACGCCCATGCCCATGGTCGTTTGCGTCGTATGAAATGACAATCGGACAATCAAGACTCACAGCAGCTCCATGTGAGGTATCTTCCACTCATTCCCAGGATGTGGATCTGGCGGGTACGGCATGGGCTTGTCTGGTTTCTCGTCGGCAGGCTTTGACTTCGACTTCGGCATGTCCCTCTTCGTCGCCCACCAGGCACCGACCTCCAAACACTCGCCCCATGACGTTCCATTTTGGAGCAGAAGGTCATTCATCATGTCGCCATACCACCGGTCCCATTCGTCCTGACTCTTCCCGCTCGCTTCCCGTAAGAATGGCTCCAGACTCTCCATGTATTGGACCAAGGTTAGGAGAGCTGTGTGCCGAAGGGCTGTTTGGCCAGTTGTGAGGACCTTTTTGCCCGAATCCGCCTCCTTTCCTTTGGAGGAACCCTCGGTGCCAGCGCGCTCCCATCGGACCTCGCCGAGAGGAATAGCTAGTCTGCGGGACTCAATGTCCGCCAACTCTGGCTCCTGGAGAAGCAGCGATGCCATGCTTGTGCATGGTATCGCCGAGAGCCCTCTGGCGTCGAAGGCCTTTGTAAGCCAAGTATTGTATTCGGTCAGATATGGATTTTGCGCTTCCGTAAATGGCGTCTGAGCCGTCAATATATATGTACCAGTTCCCTCCGCTTGTGCCGTCTCCTCGTCCTCGCTATCGCTATCCTGGGATGCAAGCGTTGGGTTATGTGATAGTACCATGCGGATCGTGTGGTCTCCATCCCACACCTCGATTGCGCCACCAGGGCGTAGTATCCGTAGGTATTCGTCCATGAGGTTCGCCGTCATGCTTAGTTGCGATGAGATCATGCTTAGATCCTTGACCATGACAAGGTCAAACTCCTCATCCTGGAATGGAGTCGGTAATATTCGTAAATCGTGTTGGACAAATCGCCATTTCATTCCGTTCGTGCTGTTATCGGCCGATAGAGGGGCAATATCGATGCCTGTGAAGGAGACGCTGTGGCCTTGTCGGGCAAAGTGCTTGTGGCACAACGCACTCCAGTAACCATTCCCACATCCGACCTCGAGAACCTTCTTGGGAGGGGTGTTCCGGAAGTTTGGTGAACAGACGGGCCCGCCAAACACATTTACGAGAAGCATGGTGCGTAGGACCTGGCGGTGCATTTCTGGAAGGTCCACAGGTAGGGGGTACCGCAGAGTTGGATCGGCGAGATATCGCCGGCTGTTACGCATGGTGAAGGGGCGTTGAACATAGTCGTTCTTTGCTGGGGCGCCGCCTAGCAGTGACGGAGTATTCGTACTTGAATTTGTGAGGCTGGTACTCGATAAACTCTGAGCTCTCCCATGATGTGTCTGCACGCGCTGGGTCGGCTGCAGGCTATACAAATGTCGATCCAGAACTGCGGTTCCAGGGCCAACCACATACGCCGACGCGAACTGAGTGCTGAGTGACGGCCGTCTTTGTATCTTGCGAGGTCTGGCTTGAGAATGGGTTTGAAGGGAGGAAGTTTTGGAATCTGTCGAGCTGTTGGCGCTGTTGTTGCTGTTGGTGCTGTTGGTGATGGAGTGGAGCTTGTCTAATCGAGGTGACGAGTCCCCCATTCGGTCGGCTGTGCCACTGTTGACAACATGTGTGGAGCGGACAGTGGTTTGTTGCAGGTTATGAAACACGGGATTTGGTTGGGTGGGTGAGATGGTAGATTTTATAGAGGTGTTATGGGGTGATATATATGGATATATATGGATATATATGTTCAGAGACGCGATATTTTATAGGATATATATGGAATATCTAGGAAATGGAAGTACGGCAGTAGTAGTCGCCGTCGCCATCTCCCTAAGGATTCCGTATTTCCCATGTGTGCGGGGGAGAGGTTCTTTGCAACCTTGTATTTGTGGTTGTGCCTGGTCTCTTTCGCTTCTGCTCACCTCACAGTAGCCCAACCTCGCTCGTCCCGTGATTGTGGCGCTATTCCAGATCGCGTGTAAGATCCCCGATAGAGTAGATCTCTAGCTTGCAATCGACAAGTCGTCCTCCCATCCACAGTCAACGTCCTCTGAACCTAGAAAGCAACAGACCCCCCGAGACAAGAGGTTGCCTGCCAGATTGTGTTCACCTGGATTGCAGTATGCTCTCGCAGTACGGTGCGTTTGGAATCCCTTGATATCAGTGGGGCTCGCGCTGGGGAGCCTTGGAGGAAGCTTATATCTCCTGGTGTATGCGCGCGCCGTCGAACCTTGCTGACTCCCAGGTGTAGCATGACGCACGATTGACCTGACCCAACGTGTCCAATCTCAGGCACCAGATACTCGCATTTCACCTACGTGAATAGACCTATCTAAGACCATCTAGCGACATCTCTCTGCATTATCGCAACTGCCATACGGATACCTATGTGCCTGGAAAGAAGAACACGACGCACCCGACCACCCATATCGAAAGCACGCTGAGTGCTGCCCGCGACCATCACCTAGACCGCAGCGTATTTAGATGGCCGATGGTTACAGGTTTCCGCAGGCGAGTGCAGGAAGCTACTATCCCCATACACAACATCAGCTGGCGAGGCACACGCGAAACCCGTCTCCGCCGAACAGAGCCACATTCATATCAGACGACCAATCCCCACCATCGCCACCACAGTCCTCAGCAGAACGGCTGTACAGCATGTTTAACCAGGGCCATCAGCCAGGCCAGCATGGCCGGCCGACCACGGGCAACCGACTGCCCATAATGTACAACTTCCAGCACCAGACTTCCCACCAACAAACCCATACACAACACCACCAAGATCATACGCACACGAATGGAAATGTGGCCCACCATACCGCGTATTCATCGGGGGTCCTATCCAACTCTACACCAAACTTTACACCAGCAAACCAGACTGGCCACGTCACGCCCCAAAGAGGCGCGCAGACACAAATAACTGAACATTGGGCGGAGCAATTGAAGGCATACAAGGAGACTGAGCGGGCACATAACATAATGCTCGAGCAGCATGCGCCGAACTACTATGCGAGGACAAAGGGGCACGAGAATCGGAGCATAGCCGCTGAACCCGCAGCAAATGAGGATACCGAGGACAGAGGCCGGCCGTCAAATCAGGATGGCCCCATCAGGAGGCAAGATTGGCACAATATGGACATCAGCGGCCAAGGCCTAAGAGTGCTGACCCCGCCACTGTTTGCGTACACCTTTTTAAATGAGCTTTATATTGCGTCAAACAAGATCACCCACATCCCAGCCTCAATTGGAAAACTACGCCAGCTCAGGTACCTGGACGCGTCAAATAACCAATTGTCGGATCTACCTCCCGAGCTTGGCATGTGCGTCTACCTGAAGCACCTTCTCCTCTTTGACAACGACCTCAGGACGCTACCAAACGAACTCGGTTCGCTGTATCATCTGGAGATGCTGGGAATAGAAGGGAATCCCCTGGACGTTGGCTTGAAGCGAGAGATTATGGAGAATGGCACGAAGGCTCTGGTCCTCCACCTGAGAGAGACTGCACCTGGTGAGTTGTTATGACGAATGATGTGTTGGGTCGTGCTAATTAAGTCAGTCCCCATGCCCCCACCCCCACGAGTGATGTTAGAGCTCCAAGAAGCATCGGAGTCTGAAGAACATATCAAGGTATTCTCGTACAATACGCTCTGCTTCAAGATGGCCACAGAGCAAATGTACGGTTATACTCCGTCGGAAGCATTGAGCTGGGAATACCGCAAGGAGCAGATCCTACAAGAAGTCCAAGCATCAGATGCCGATTTCATAACTCTCCAGGAAGTTGATAATGACAGCTTCAAGGAGTTCTTCAGCATGAAGCTGGCGTACAACGGCTACAAGGGCGTATTCTGGCCAAAGTCGAGAGCGAGAACGATGTCGGAGAAGGACGCCAAGGTAGTTGATGGATGCGCCACCTTTTACAAAGGCAACAAGTGGATCCTGCTTGACAAACAGCTCATCGATTTCGCCAACATCGCAATCAACCGGCCTGATATGAAGAACCAGCATGACATTTTCAACCGTGTCATGCCAAGAGACAACATCTCCGTTGTCACATTCTTCGAAAATAGACTCACCGGGGCGCGCGTGGTTGTTGTCAACGTGCACATCTACTGGGACTTGGCCTTTTCCGACGTCAAGATCATCCAGACGGCGATTCTCATGGAGTACGTGACAAAGCTGACCGATAAATATGCCAGGTGGCCAGCCTGCAAGGACAAGAAGGCATATGGCATGGACAACGACGACCAAGGCGAGCCAGCACCGTCGATGGAATACACCAACACCCAGCTGCCGCTGCTTGTCTGTGGCGACTTCAACTCCACTCCAGACTCGGCCGTCTACGAACTGCTCGCACACGGCTCCCTTGAGCCAAACCACAAGGAAATGCGCGATTACCAGTACGGAAACTTTACACGTGATGGCATGCAGCATCCATTCTCCCTGCGCTCGTCGTATGCAAACCTAGACGGCACGCCCGAGGCGCTAACGTTCACGAACTACACGCCGGGATACACTGGAATTCTGGACTACATCTGGTACTCGACGAATGCGCTGGAAGTTACTAGCCTCCTGGGGCCAGTCGACCCCGAGTATCTGAAGCGGCTGCCCGGTTTCCCAAACTACCACTTCCCGAGCGACCACTTGAGCTTGTTGGCTGAGTTCACATTGAAGAAACAGGGCAAAGACAGGAAGGGGGATAGGTAGGCGTCAGGGGGGTGTGGTGTGCGCGATGGGTATCATATTCAGGAACTAAGTTTGGTGGTGTTTGGTGGGCGTTTTTGCGGTCAGTCGATGTAGAATTAATGCATTGTACGTATAAGTCTCGAAGATGATGATGTGAGTTATGTGTACGTGTGTGTGTCCTGTGGTGATTTTATGGCGATGCGATTCTGGAACATTCCTGTGGTTACTATATGACTCCATAGACTCCCTTGACTCCTTTGGAGAGAGACTCTACAACGTGGCATGATAATCTCTTTAAGAACTTGGCGAGTTTCAATTGGAGGCACGTGCGAAAAGGGTGGCTTTGGCGACTATTCTGCATCTGGCGCAATGTGCCGCTGCTTAGATGCAAATCTCCAAAATCTCCTTGGGGGAACAGTCAGTCGGCGAGTCGGCGATGAAATTAACACACTCGGATGGCTGTTCTTCCGAAACCTCCTTCGATGCAAACTAGGCAGCAATACGAGTAAACGAGGGTTACAAGCGGCTAGAACTCACAAGCGGCAGCTTACGAAAATAGACGAAGCTTGGCTGTCATTTTATGTGGATATTGGACATTGCACGCTCGGTTACTGAACGAAGGGGGGTGTTGCTGGTGAGTGGTAATTTTCGTAGATATGTCGCTAGCAACGTTGTCGAAGTGCATACGTACTCTACCTTTTCATCTTTCACTGTATATAATTAACGGCGGTAGAGTATAAGTGAAAGGGCTGAGACGCCCAGCTCAGAAAACAGCCACCATCTTGGACGGGAGACCACCAAATTCCGGCTTGGCATTCTAATATTACCCTGCGCTATTCAGCGCTGTCTGCCTTGATAGTGAAGTGAAGTGCTCTACGGCCTCCTGTGAACGCCGACTCGCCAACCCTTCAGAATAGGGAAGATGGGATCGTCACAAGAGCTGGAGGCACGCGACGCTGGTCTACCCTCCGCGGTCGAAAAGGGAATACCAGTAGTCGCGCCAGCTGTTGCGCCTGCTGCCCCTGCTGAAGCTCAAGATGCCATCATTGAGGCAACCGAGCTGGAGGTTGAAAGCGCGTTAAAGAAAGAGAAGGACGAGGAGCATACCAATGCCTCGTTTTCCCATTTCATTGTAGGCTCCACGTCAGCCCCGATTATCTCATCACTGACAAACTGAGTAGAGGATATTCTCTTATGGGAAGTCGTGGGACTTTGTCTTCCTCGTTGCTGGAGCTGCGGCAGCCATGGGGGCCGGGATCGTAAGTTCAGATTGTACACCTTCTGCAGTGAAGATATGTGGCTAATAATCAGACCTTGCCGTTGATGAATATTGTCTTTGGGAATCTAATTGGCGACTTCAGTAACGCGGCAAGCATGGATAAGGCTACCATGAGCAAAGTGTTGGCTGGGGCGATCAACAAGAATGCGCAAGTTCTTAACGCTGAATCGCAAGGTTACTGCTAACGGTTCTCAGATTGTACATTGTCTATCTCTTCATAGGAAAATTTGTGCTCGTTTATATTTCCATGGTTGCTATGCCTTGTTCTCCCCCTTTAAGTTGCATTCTGACACCGTTCAGTTTTCCTTCAGATTCGTTGGGACGCGGCTCTCAGCTGCCATCAGGCTAGACTATCTTCGTGCCTTGTTCAACCAGTCGATATCGGAGCTGGACAAGCTGCCAGCAGGATCTGCTGCCCAGACGATTACTGGTGGCGCCAATACCCTCCAGATTGGAATCACAGACAAGCTTGGTACCCTCTTGCAATTCTCGGCAATGATTCTGAGCGCCTTCATCGTCGCATTCAAGTATTCGTGGCAACTGACATTGGTGACGAGCTCTGTTTTGCTTGGTATCATTGTCTTATTTGGCTTCGTCATCCCCGTGTGGCTAAAGTCTCAGAAAGCAGTCGACTACGCAAACGGCAAGGCTACATCTATTGCTAGCGAAGCCATCGGAGCGGTTCGAATGATTGTTGCCTGTGGTGCTGAGGAGCGCGTTTCAAAAAAACACGGCTACTGGGTCGGTGAAGCAAGGAAAAGAGGATTGAGGCAGTCGCCTCTCCTTGGTGCCCAACTTGGTCCAACCTTTCTCTGCGTCTTTGCCGACTACGCCCTGACATTTTGGTATGGTGTGAAGTTGTATAACGATGGGCACATTGATAGTGTCGGCACGATTTTAATGTGAGTGTTCTGGATACTCGTGGAACATATAACTGACTATCGCAGTGTCCTTATGAGCGTCTTGATATCTGTCATGTCACTTGGAAGCGTTATTACACCGTTGAATGCTGCCACGAAGTCGGCTGCGGCGGCCGCAGAGTTTTTTGCGATCATCGACAAGCCAACATTGTCGCGGGATGGACTGAGCGATCCGGCTGTCTTGACTCCTGACGATATCAAGTTCGAAAATGTAACATTCGCATATCCGACACGGCCGCATGTCAAAGTTCTTGATGACTTTAATGCTGTATTTGAAAAGGGCAAGCTCACAGCCATTGTGGGGCCATCTGGATCTGGGAAATCAACCATCGTCGGCCTCATTGAGAGATGGTATAATCTCACGCCAGAAATGGAGGCCGAGGAATCAGAAAAATCTGAAAATGTCCAGCTGGGTGGAGCCATCAAGATGGGAAACCATGCACTAGACGATATAAACTTGAAGTACTGGAGATCTCAGATCGGCCTTGTTCAACAGGAGCCGTTTATCTTCAATGATTCGATATTTGCCAACGTTGCATACGGGCTGGTTGGTACCGAGTGGGAAGACGCAGAGGAATCAATCAAAAGAGAGCGGGTAAAGGAGGCGTGCGAGGAGTCGTTCGCCGACGAGTATATTACCAGACTACCCCTTGTAAGATCTTTGTTATTAGATGTCGACTTTCGCTAACGATAACCAGGGCTATGACACACAGGTTGGCGAGAGTGGGATGAAGCTCAGTGGTGGCCAACGGCAACGACTTGCCATCGCACGAGCGATTGTGAAACGCCCCCAGATCTTGATCTTTGACGAGGCCACCAGTTCCATCGATGTTCGCGGAGAACGAATTGTCCAGGCTGCGCTTGACAGAGTAGCCAAAGACCGAACCACGATTACAATTGCCCATCGACTTTCAACCATCAAAAAGGCCGACAAGATCATAGTTGTTGCGAAAGGAAAGGTGGTCGAGCAAGGCTCACACGAAGAACTTGTCAAGGATGAGGATGGTGTATATCACAACCTCGTACACGCACAGCAGATCATAATGGGCAGCACCAAGGAGTGGGAGATTGAAGAGGACTCAACCGCCTCTCTAGAGGCAACAGAGGTCTCGGAAAAGATTGCCGTCGAAACAAAGGTCGATACTTATGTGCAGAAAGATGTCTTTCGGAGTTTTGGGGTGTTGCTTTTCGAAAACAGAAGACATCTGCCTTGGTTGTTTCTGACGATACTGGGATCACTGGGTGGAGGAGGTAAGAAATGCGTTCATCACCTTGGCGTATCGAGCTGACCTTTGTAGCCGCCGTTCCCGTCACAGCATTCCTCATGGCGAACGTTATTTCAGTCTTTAGCGATTACCGACCCGACGACGTCCAGGGAATGTCAAGTGCTAGCCAAACGTGGGCATTGGCGTTTGTTTACCTTGCAATAGGTGTTGGCGTATCGTACTTCGTTATGGGCTGGTGTGCCAATTCTCTATCTGTGCATGTTGCAAATACATATCGCCAGCAATACTTTGAGGGCGTTGTGCACAAGCCGATCAAGTTTTTTGATCAAGAGGATAATTCGACAGGAACTCTCGTGGCTCGACTATCGTCTGACCCAACCCAGCTGCAAGAATTAATGGGCACGAACATGGGCTTTGTTTATATCGCCATATCCTCGCTGACGGCCTGTATCATATTATCCTTGGCCATAGGATGGAAACTGGCTCTTGTGTCGCTGGTTGCTGCACTCCCACTAACCTTCACTGCTGGCTTCTTCCGCGTCAGGTATGAGATCCAATTCGAAAAGTTGAACGCCGATGTCTTTGCCGAGAGTTCGAAGTTTGCATCAGAGGCGTTCGGAGCCGTCAGAACCGTGGCAAGCCTTACCCTCGAAGACAAAATATGCCAGCGGTACGAAGACCTTCTGGACCACCACCTCTACCAGAGCAGAATGAAGTCCCGGTACAGCACTCTAGTATTCGCTCTGAGTGACAGTATAAATATGCTCTGCATGGCGTTGACCTTTTGGTATGGAGGACGCCTGCAAGTGAGTGGAGAATATGATATCAAACAGTTCATTATCATCTATACAGCTGTTATCCAGGGTGCCGAGGCGGCTGGGCAATGGATGAGTTTTGGCCCAAATGTAGCCCAGGCGACTGCTGCTGCCAATCGAATTCTCAAGTTGAGAGACGTGGGCACTGGCGATTCTGGGAAATCCTTTGAGGCCGAGGGTGGAGTCGAGATCCAGTTCAAGGATGTGCAATACACATACCCGACAAGAGACTTGCCGATATTTGAAAGTCTCAACCTGACTATCAAGAAGGGCCAATTCGCCGCATTAGTGGGGCCGTCAGGGTGTGGAAAGAGCACGATTATCTCGCTGTTAGAGCAGTTTTATCAAGTCCAAGGAGGTTCCATATTGATCGATGGGCAGGACGTGACGGAGCTGAATGTTAAGGAGTACCGCAAGATAATGTCCCTTGTTGCGCAGGAGGCAACCCTCTTCCAGGGAACCATTAAAGAGAATATCCTTCTCGGGGTGGACGACGCAACAGACGAAGAGGTTTTCAAAGCTTGCCGCGAGGCTGAGATCCACGACTTTATCGAGTCGCTTCCTGACGGGTATGGCACTGACATTGGCAGTAAGGGTGTGGCTCTGTCTGGTGGGCAGAAGCAGCGCATCTCAATCGCCCGTGCCCTTGTCCGCAATCCCCAGGTCTTGCTGCTAGATGAGGCGACGTCCAGTCTCGACAGCGAGTCCGAGAAGTTGATCCAGGCTGCGTTTGAGAAGGCGGGTAAGGGTAGGACTATGGTCGTCGTCGCGCATCGTCTAGCGACGATTCAGAATGCGGACGTGATCTTTGTGCTTGGGGGTGGCGCGGGAGGCGCAAGAGTACTCGAAAAGGGAAGTCATGCGGAACTGTTGGGCAAGAAGGGCGTGTACTACCAGATGTGTCAGAGCCAGGCCTTGGATAGGTAGGGCGGTGAATTTGTATTGGATACGGAGGGGGAGGGTATGGGACGGACACATATGCCGCTCAGAAGATGCACAACCCATATTTTTCGGTATAGCAGTGTATAAAATTATATATTCTACTTATTTAGGAACTTTATAAAATCTGTTAGATTCTCAAAGCAATTTTGAGGTCTTAAAGCTGAAGCTGACTATTAATGATGTCTGAATTGTAATTATATTTGGAAAATATCTTTATTATATATTTACAAAGCATTCATCTTGCTCGTTGAGTTGAATTATACTATACATGAATAGTTTGTCTACATTGATATATACAATTGAATATTAACCCGAAGTCAGTTTCTAACGTTGAGGCGAAGAGTGGTTTCCCAGCCTTCTAGAGAGGTGTAGCACGCCCCGGAGATGTCCACTCTAACAGATGATGCCGAGCATTGGTTTGCTCAAGAAATTCGATACATCCGTACCGCGGCACCCTGCCGCCTGACCTTCGAAAGTTTGGCGCCCATCCGTTTCTGTAGCCGTGAGTTATCTTCCAGCGGGATCTTGCTTCGGGAGGATGGCAATAGAGATCCTTTGAGCAATATTGGATCCTTGAAGCTGCAACTGCCTACACCAGCACGCCCTTAATCTCATCTACCCTCCTCTGGACCCTTCTTTGATTTCCAAGTCGAGTTCCTTGCGATGAGATATTCACGACTTTCAATAGATTTCCGGAGTCCCCAAATCCCGCCAAGGGGCCAGAACTGGAGCGCCCATGTGCCCCACGAACTATTATCTGCCTTCTTCGCGGCGTCGGGATCAACTTTAACCTTGTGCCAGACACTGGGTAGCGACTCGCCATGGTATTTCTTCCGTAGGCCGTCATACCACTTGCGATCGAACATCTTCCAGAACTCGTTCTCCTCGTAGTACGTGTGGGCATAGTGCCACTTCATACCTCCAAGGTCACGAAGCTTGTGCTCCAGCTCGCGGTTTTTGGCAACAAATTTGTCCCGCTGTGCAGGGCCAAATCCCCAGAGGCCAACATTAAGCATTGGCTTTAATGTTTTGCCATCGGTGTCCATCTCGGGGTTATGGGGGTGCAGAGTTGGAAGGCGAGTTTGCTTTAACGGGCATAGCCATAAGGGCCATATTTTGAATGAGTCAGCCGTGTAGTTTATGAATTCTTCCGCTGTAGAATATGGAAGGGCAAGATCTTGGATGACATAGTTTCTGGATTGTCCGCTAGCATGAAGTGCTTTGTACAGCATCCTCGTGTGCAAGAAGTCGTCAAGCCACCAGCGAGAGAGCCAATTGAACGGGAATCGGAAATACTTGAAAGCAGACGCGCCAACCCAAAAGCCTCCACGATCATATCGGAACAGATACTCGGCCAATGGGATATATTCAGTGTATTCTGCGACTCCCTTCGTTTTGTCCTGCACGTGCAAGTAAAACCAAGGATCCCTCGCGTCGCTGAAAGTCTGTACATGAGCATTTGGTGGGAGTTCGTCTGTCATCGTGCCGGTGACTATCGCACCGTGGTCTTTAGAGAAGAGAATGCCATCCACATAATCAAGTTTTGCATTCTCCGTTTCTTCCCTCACCTTCTTGACAGCCTCGGGGACGGATTTAACTGTGTGGTAAGTTGCCTTGACGTATTTCTTTGCCTGAATGAGCTGTAGCTCAAGCAAAGTTGATATGCCCAAACTTCCCACCGCACCAGAGGCTCCATGGAAGAGGTCGGCGTTCTCCTTTTCCGAAGCAGTCACAACTTCTCCATTCCCAAGTACAACCTCCACCGAATTAACGGTTTCGTTGAAATATCCATACTTGAAAGAGCTGCTCTCGCCTCCGGTTCCTGCAAAGCCACCTCCAGCTGTAATCCCGGGGAATTCCATGACAACCGGTGGGATTAAGCCATGTTTCATTGTAGCTTCGACGAGACGGTCCATTGGCACGTTCGGTTCGACCAGGGCAGTTCGTGTTTTAGTGTCGACTTTTAGGACCCGGGAGAGAGCGCTGATGTCGACCGTGTTCTGGCGTTGGAACGCCTGGCGGGTGCTGTTCGTTGAGCCATGATTGATCCGGAACGGAGCGCGTTGTTTGAAGTAGCCTTGCACGCTGGCCGCGATCTTCTCGACCGTGAGCTTGTGGTTCTTCATGGGTGGGATATGCAATTGATCGGCTGGGAGGGTATCGCCATGTGCCTGACGCAGAACAAAGCAAGTAACAAAAGTGCAATTGATTGAAGGAACGCCGAGGGTCAAAATATTTAGTGCAGGGGTCCAAATAAAGTTCGTCATGGCAGCTCCACCGGCCCGACGTCGCCCCGATGGTTCCACGTGATGGTATTTATCGTTTAGGGATTTGATACTCGTGGAGATCAAAGTTATACTGCGACGGCGGAGGCAAGGGGATGAGCTGCAACATCGGATGAAGGCTCTCATAGATCAATATAATATTATGTTATCGCCAGAATCTATTGAGAGGATCAATTATAATATATCTATGTACAACGCTACTTTTAGTCGTTAAGTTCGTGAAATTGCTAAATGTTTCGATGGGCCAGACGAAGAATCCGGGGTATGTGTGTGCTGATATTGGGTTGATGCGGTAATGATTGTGGGATCAGAGTGGTTGTGGAGAAATAGTATTTCCCCTACCACCAGTCACACCTCAAAGCTTAAAGACGTCGTCGCCAGCACTATGTGAAGAATTACTCATCTTCACGCATTGTAAGGCGAGGTATCTCGAACAATATAGACCTGGCCAACGAGGACGGTACAACCGACGGCCATCGAGATTGCGATGATTGGAAGATTCACCCGTGCAAAATCGAGCCTCTTAACATGGATGTGTTTCCGAGCGAGGATATCCCTCCATAGCATACCAGCAAGCGACGCACTGAATGCCGTGCTGAACGCTCCATAGTTCACGCCAATAGCCATTCCATATACTGTTGCCCAAAATGTCCGATTGCTGATGGGGATTAGGTTTTCGTCGTGGATATCCGTCCATGCTTGGACTACACGGCACAGAAGAATGGTGGTGCCGATATTGGTGCCGGCAAACTATTCATTGTTAGCTGGCTACATTTGTTGGTCATTTGGGAAGACCTACATTGCAAAGAACAACAGACAGGAAACCCATGCCGCCAATGGCACCGACAGTCCCTGTCTTGGAAACCCAATGATCCCATCCGTAGGCAAAGACAGATACCCAACCTTTGGTAACCAGCGCTTGCACAAGGATGAACATGGTGAAAGCAAAGGGAATAAGTGCGAACGGTAGATGCGCTAGAACGGCCGTGACGGTAGGGAATGTCTCCTGAGACCATCTGTAAGCATCTGCACCGAGCGATGTAAGCGTTGCACGCTCATGTTTTTGACTTCGCTCAGATGGTGGTATCTTGTCGTCCGCCGGTTCGCTCAAAGTCACTACGACTCGGGGTTTGGAAGCAGAATCTCGATCTAACTCCTGCTTCTCGTCGAGAATACCAATAGCGCTAGCTGATCGATCGGACGGGGTTGGCGTGTGGGTTTGTCCCTCGTTCTCAGTTGCCCGAGCTGGTTCAGCCACAGGCGACTCTGTCAGAACCATGGCATGTCCGAATACTGGGCCCTCCTGGTCAAGAGCAGACTCTCTGTTTGCACGTTCGGCTCGAGCAGCCTCGACTTCTTGCCGGCCTTTGCGCGCGATACTGCGTGTCTCCTCCCGATGGAACCACCCGAATCCCAAGTCCCAGCAAAACATGACAAACGCGCCCGGCAAAGTCACCCAGTAAACAGGACGTTCGTTGCCGCTCTGGCTAGCAGCGTTGAGCGCGAGAACAGTAACAAGAGTCGCCGCCATGACAGCGGCTCCGAATGCCGCGCCTCCCTTGTCTAGGAATGGATTCATAATCTCCTCCAAGGAGAGAGTGTTGGCCTGCTCGTCGTTTGCCGCCAAGATCTCTTCTTCCTCGACATTTCCCCTAGAGTGAGGAATGTTGGGATTTGCGGGTTTTCTCGATTTCGCTTCATCTGACAGTTCGTGCATCTTGATCGAGAGCGGGATAAGAGACTCGTCCGCGAAGATGATGTAAAGCAAGAAAGGGAAGAGGACAATGGCCGTGACAACAACAGGCACAATCATGTTTGCGGTGTAATTGATGAACTTGATGTTAAAAGCACCAGCGAGGACAAGGTTGGTCGGGTTAGAGGAGACGAGGATCGCGGACGCAATGTTTGCTATAGCGAATTGAGTGTGGATCCATGCCCGGGGGTGAACGATGTTGCTCGACACGCGGGTCATGTAGGCGAGAAAGGCGGTGCCGGACAGAATGATGGGGTCGTTCCCTATGAAGCTGCCCAGGCCAAAGAAGAAGATATAGAGGTAGAAGAACAGCCGGTGCCCAACTTTACCACCTTTTTGGAGAACCTTGAATGCCAAGAATCTGATCAGGCCGGAAGCGTCGATGGAAATGGCGATGTACGCCAACGTGATGAAGAAGGCCATGATATCAATTGGGGAGATGTTGTCTGCGCCAATCGTGCCATCGTGGACCTCCTTGCGGCCGATAGCTAGGATGGCAAGTAGAAATAGGTCTGCTATTAGGGGCGCAGTTACAAAGTTCATGGGGAAGTTCAGCCGCACAAAGGGCTTGACTTTGCCATTATCATCACTGTCATGGTGAGAGCGCGGCGATATTACTCGCAATGTGCTCAGGGTATCAAGGAACGCATTTGAGAGCGACCGAGGGACGTAAATTGGGATATGGAAAGGGAACAGGACGATGCAGTCTGTGGGCGTCAGCATGTCCTGCCCGAGAAAATATTTCACTCACTGGTGATGATGAAAACGAGCAATGTGACAATTGATCGCCAGTTTCGAATGCGACTGGTGTCAGTGTCTGGTTCCATTTCAGTGTGAGCCATTGCTGGGCATTCTCGAGGGTAAGATGCTGCCGCGCGAATGTCGTGTGCTTGGATGCAAGGGTAGCCGTGCCAAATCCTCAGTTGGCACAAGTTGAAGTACAGCTTAGCTGTTGCTCTTATCGCGACGCACAGACGGCCATGAAGATGAGATGCAATGGGAGCTGGTATTCTTAAAAAAAATTACTTGCAGCAGTCGAGCAGATCGAGATCGAGAAGGGAGGCCCTCTTAAGAGCGTCTTCGTCGATGAGATAAAGCTCTGCTCAATAGACACAGCCCGTCGGCAAGTTTCTTTTGGAGACGGATCGCGAACAATCTATTTGTCGGCCAAGGGCCCAGAGATACTTGGCTCGAGAGGTTGAACAAGGCTGAACTGCCAAACCAAATAAAGCGTGCACGTGCCTATCGAGGCGCAGCGTGGGTAAGACCAACTAGTGCGGTTGTGCGAACAAAGTGAGGCTGTGTCGGAAAATCGGAAGGATGGCGGCCATGGCATGGGATTGGCAGAGAACGATGGAGTACAAATTGGATAGAACAGGGAAACGATCAGAGGCACGCGATCACAATGGGGGGGGAGGTCGGGAGAGGCCGGGGAGGATTGGCTGGGGATAAGACTGTGTATGAGAGTATGGGAGTGGGTTTCTCTTCGAAAGGAACTTGTTGTCCTCATACAGTTGCATAGAGTGATAAAGATCATCTGAAATGAGGCTCGCCTTCCATATCCTGCTGCCTATTTGCGGCGGTGTGGAGAGAGCCCACAGATACGGCGAGATATGATACACTAGTCGCTTGTCGTACCTGTCTTGGGCAATCGGGGCGGGATAGTCTGGCGGGTTGGATAACTACTGACGTCTGCCGCTTACTGTAAGAGTGCAAGTGCAGGGCCGGTGAGGATGCGGGGTCAAGTACCGTGCAGCCTGCTGCTCGAGTAAAGTCGCGCATCACATTGCCGCCTCCCAGTTATCCCTCAGCCGCACATTCCGTCGTAGCGGTGCGATTCCGAGTGGAGAGTCTACAGAGGGAGATTCGTGTCAGTCCGTCCCGTAGGATTGACTTTCGGGCGATCTCTCCTTCTCCCTTTGAGATCCCCATATAAACCTTCTAGAAGCCCACACCATCCCCACACGCCAACTCTCCTACTGCACGTAATCTGATCTGAACCTCGGAGACATACATCCATCTTACCTGCGTTGTGATTCAGCGTGATCTGCGTAATCACGAACCCACGAACCTGTCACTTGATTCTCTTACCTCTCCCGACAGACCATGCGTCGGGCGAGAGAACACAATGAAAACAGGACAGCGTGTCTGAACAACAACTTCACTCGGCTCTGAACGAATGTGAGATAGACCACGGAACTCTCTGGCGTATCCGAAACCCTTCTCGGCTGGGGCGCGGACAGACGACGAGCCATGCCGGCGCTCTCTTCCGTGTCGCTAATGAATACGCTCGTCGTTCGAAACGCGACAGCTGCCAATGCAACCGCCAACCCATATTTGCAGGTCGTATGCGCGTGGCCTGTATCCGGCCAGTATGGGTTAGGCTCACGAATATTGTATGTCCAGCCCCCTTGCAAAATCCTAACGCCATAGCTGACACGTCCAGATACTATGTCCTTGTTGCTGCGTGCGTGTTTGCTCGGAACGTGAAATGGTTGAGAAAAGCTTGTTTAGCGGCCACATTGCTCTTCCCCGCCGTTGCTGCTCTCCATGGCATCGTTCTCGCCGCGGTACCCACGGATGGTAAGTAAGCTATTGATGTTCTGCTTCGGTGACTAACGGCTGTAGGCGGTATTGATTTGGACATCTTTGGGGCGTTCCAGCTCTGCTCGATAGGCATCTTGGCCGCTCCAGTGACGGTCAAGGTGTCAGGAACATATTTTAACGACCCTGGCCGGAACGCCATCTTTGCGTGGACCGGTCTCATCCTGTCTGGTAAGTCGGCTTTCCTCTACGACGATCATGACTAACCTTGCAAAGGTCTGCTCAGCCTGACGGTCCAGTTCTTCAGGCTTTCAACAAAGGACTGCATTCACGACGAGTTTGGACATGCAGTATCCCCAAAGGCGAGCGAATTCGGCTACAACACGACGTGTGGTCTCATCTGTAACACTGATCAAGGCCCGTTCTCCCCCATGCGAGGTGGCTCAGCAGACGACGTCTACGTAGTCCCAGCGCCGGATATACTCACCTTCGGCATGGCCACACTGCTGTCAGCTGCTTGTTGCATCCCCGCCGTCCTCTCGCTGATATCCATGTGGTATAAGATCCTCGAGATCAAGTGGAAGACAAGCTTTGGCGATGGAGGGGAAGAAAACAAGATAATCGACGGGACGAATGGCGCCACTAATGCCGCGATGATGCGTGTCAAAAACCAAGTTAGGAAATTCATGCTTGCCGTCGAAATCCCCGTGTTTGGTGCCGCCGTGCTCGCCATCCTCATCATCGGCGAGAGGAATTTCTTCAGCGCGCAGGTCAGGTATAAAACGGAACCCATGGCTAGTATTGGTATGTCTCTTTTCTCTATCGCCGTGGCATAGCTGACAGTTTTCAGGCCAATGGGCACCTATCGCAGGAACTGTTCTTGCCGTGATGGGATCGCTATACCTGCTCTTAGCAGGCGGTGAACTAGAAGAACGACTCGATACCCCTAGAGATGGCCATGTTCCATCGCCCGACTCTGTCATCTCTGCGGATACGGATGACCTTGAACGGCGCAGCGTGAATGCAGCGCGAGAATCGAGCGAACCAGACGCGCGATCTACGGCTATGGGACGTAGCTTTTCTACCCCTGGCGAGACATCAGGACAGTCTAGAATGGCGAAACTCGGCAGGTCTACGACGGGCTCTACAATGGACGTTGGCAACAGACGAAATATAGCCAAAATATTAGAAAAGTTCAGCGACATCACCCACCCTTCAGCAGAGCGATTTAACTACGACGCGTTTAAGCATGGAATAGCAGCAGGCTGGCCAACCCTGCCCGGCGAAGAGGAGCGAAACCCGAAGTTGAATCAGACAAGAAAACAGTTCAACGAGTCCCGGGATGTAGATGGGAGTGTTGCACCGATGCGACCGTCGAGAGCAGCGAGCTTTACAGGAAGCGCAGCCTCGATACGCCATCCGTCGCCATCGCCTTCGCATAGCCCGCGCGATGCCTCGTTCCCATTCGACCGGACATCATCTGAGATGCATACCATCTCAACGCCGCCAGGTGCTTTGATGAGAGGTAGGGCGAGGAGGGATACGCTCGAGGTGCCGACGATATCTCATCATAGTCTACAAACGAACTCATCTTTCGTCGAGGCGGTACCTGACAGCCCGAGTTCGCCTATAATTATCATATCTAAAACGACAGAGAACGATAAGTAGTTAACTAGATTTTATGTATATTACATGTAATTAAAATCATAAGATAATAAATAAAACATCTATAACTATTCTTACTTTCCTCTACCTTTCTATAATTTCCCTTCTCTTTCTCTTCTCTTTCTCTTCTCTTTCTCTTCTCTTATATCTGCTCGGGGTACTATCACCAGGCGGCGAAGGTGAAGGGGATCAGGGAGTATGTGAACTTGTGCACGAGTGTGGCGATCCAGTTGCATCCCACCAGCGCCTTGTATAGGCTGGGTTACTTGCCAGATTACGTGGTTTACCACGAGCTGATCCTGACGTCGAAGGAGTACATGTCCACCGTGACGTCTGTCGACCCTAAGTGGCTCGCGGAGCTAGGCGGGGTGTTTTACAGCGTGAAGGAGAAGGGGTACTCTACGCGCGAGAAGCAGGTGACGGAGGTAGAGTTTAATCGCAAGATGGAGATTGAGACGCAGATGGCGGAGGATAAGCGGAAGGAGGAGGAGAGGTAGGAGAGAGAGAAGCCGCGGGGGGGGGGGGGGGGGAAGGGGGGGGGCGGGGGGGGGAAGAGGGTTGCGCAGGGGGGGGGGGGGGGAAGCGGGTTGTTAAGGGGGGGGGGGGGGGGTTTTGGGGGGGGGGGTGGGGGGGGGGGAGAGATG